GACATTTTTTCACTCATTTAGTCTAATTTGCATTTTAGTGCTTTTCATGTATAAAACGTAATCATTTGCTAATTATAAATAATTTCCGATCAAAAAGTTTATGCATGTTTATTTGATAAAGACACATCGTTTCCAAGTGTTCGATATGTAATTATTTAATTTTTTCTTTCTTGCGAACAAAAGATATTATTGGAAAAAACGGTCATTTTAAGGGTTTATTGTTAATAATAACTGACTTATCCGGCCAATTTTTATAAGCAATGTCTTGTACAACCTGGATTTTTAATAGTTAAAAATGATCCAAGTCTTAAGTGTAACCGAAAAATGCGGATAGCGAATGAAATGTGAAGAAAACAAATCGGCAAAACCGAGCGGCCACATATTCTAGCGTTCAACAACTACTGCGAAAGCATTTCATTGAAAGAAAAAAAAAAAGAAAAGGGCCGAGGGAAATGTGTCATCGCGATCATCCGCTTTCATCACGGATCATCGCGTCGGAATGGCAGCTCCTCTGTGGCTTCGCTCCTTTGACGAGCATGACCGCTAACACGCGGATCCAAGACCGTAAGTTACAGCTCGGGGCGCGAAAAGAGCCATACGCTTGGGTTACGCCGACCGAAGTGAAGAGAGAAAGTCTTATTTTTTTTTTCTTTCTTTTACTTTAGCCTAAAAACTGACGAGACGCCGGCATCTAGCGTTGTGATTGGTCGATGCCAAAAAAGACCGCGAAATTTTCAATTTTCCTATACTCTTAAAATATTTGTATTATATATCTAGGATTGTGAAATTTCACGTATTCATATTTCAGCAATTAATAACTAATGTGAATAATAATAAACAAGAATGGAAATATGCCATTAATAAATCGTTTTAAGGATATAAGAGGTTATGTCTTGAAATTATTAGTGCAAATCAATAATTTTATAATCATTTGTGGCACTGTAATTAATATTGTCTTAAAGATTGGTTGGAAGAAAAAGAAAGTGAATAGAATAAAATAGAGGAAAATACATTTATACTAAAAGGTGGGGTCATAACCACTACTATTAAGTATATAAGGTTTAGTATTGTATAATCCCCATCAAAAACACTTTTGACAGAGTTAAATCTTGCATAAAAATTTCTTTTTTAACTGCTTTATAATGTGCTCGATAAATCTGAAAAAATTTAATATATTTCCCATTATTGAAATTCACTCTATCAATCTCATTATTTACTTATAATTATTTGTAATGTTTTGAAAGTAATGAAATATATTTAAAAATTGGTACGAATGCTAAAAATTACATTTAGATCTTTAATACAAATTAAATAAATATGTTTTGAATAACATAATTAAAAAAAAAATAGGTCAACAAAAAATTTCGCGTATGAATTATTTAAAGTAATGAAAAATGTAATGATTTTTAGAAAATTATTATTTACTAATAATTATTTTGTATGTTGAAATTCACTTTACAGCTGATAAAATGATAAAAGTGTGATAGTACTTTTATTATTTTATGAAAATATTATAGAATATTATTATCAAAATATAGAAAAAAATAAATTGAAATAAAATGATTATGATTTTATGACATCTTCTCACCTTTTCATAAACGTAATATAAAGAAATAAAACTTATGACTTCCAATGGCACTAATAGTTATTGGCAATATTCTTTTGTAGAGCTTAATTTATTGGTTAATTGGGATTTATACTATTTTTATTACATTCTAGTAAAGTAGTTTCTTATATATTTCAATCAGTTAATTGTAGTTATTATATTTAGAACTCTAATTTGCATTTAAAAATTTATTAAATTGTTACTAAAGTGATAGCTTTATTGCGAGGAATAACAATTTATTATATAAAATACTTGTGTTATTAATTGTAAGAAATGAATATTGATAATAATATCGGCGTGTCAGATATAATTATTAAAGAAATGTTGTTTTCATTATAAACAATAAGTCATGTTATCATTGATTAACTTGATAATGATAGATCCGACAAAAATATAATGTATCTCTTCATTATTTGAAAAAATTCATTAAAGCCTTTAACTCACATCTCCATGAAGAAAATGAATATCATATATTAAATGTCTGACTAATAGTTGATCTGTAGAATATTTTACACGAAATTTTTTAATTTTTTGTTGATCTGTTTTTTTATAGTGTGTATCATTTAATACGTATTTATTTAATTTATATGAGATTTGAAAATAATTTTCTCTCTAAATAAATAAATAAATAAAAAACATCTGCAGAAAATTGGTAAAGAAAATAAGTTTTCGGCCATTTTAGAGATTCGCTATTTAAATAGAGTAAAGGAAATAAAAAATATAAAATAAAAAATATAAAAGTAAAATATAAAAAATTTCTAGTTTTTTATATTTTAAATAAAAAATCATTAAAGTAAACGCGATAAGAACTACTTAGTCTTAAAGTATATACATTTATAAAATGTAATTGATTTAAAAATGTCGAACACAGAAAGTCATTGTGTATAGTGTTGCGTAGGTTGAGCCTCTGGCATTAATACCGTAGGTCGTGACCGCGAGCCCTGATAGTGTAATAGCTTAGTACGCTTTTTCAATCGTAGAATGAATTAATCTTTTGGATAATTTTCCCGATACGTTCTTCAAATGAGTAAATGTTTATCGGTTTTTGCGAAAAAATGGGTGCAAATGTTATTTTTCTCGATCAATAAATACCGATGGATGTAGTGTGTTTGATATTTTAAACAGCACGATTTATTCACGATTTATTTATATACCATTAGAATCTTGAAATTGATATGAAAAGGTTCGCTCGAGCTTCGCCGTACACGTGGCACGTTTGCGAGGTTCGCCATCTCGCTTTCGGTGTAGAAATGAACCTTGCCAGATTCGCAACGCCAGTTGGGCTCTGCTTACGTAAAAGAGGCAAAGAGCAAGAGGCAACGATAACACGAGAAAGTCTCATTATTTTGGCGTACGTCGCGGCTTGGTCGTGTGCGATCGAACAGAGTAGCGGTTACGCGAGTGCTTAGCGGACGTTGCGTCCGTTTATTTGTTTGGTTGTGTAGTGTGACTGTCTCAGAACTCGGAGCCGACTTTAGCAATACGAGTGGCGTCCCGGGCGTTGCGGCTATTCGCATCGCTCGCCTCGCGCACGCGCGATGCCCCATTGACAGTGTCCACTGTCCCTCCGCGACCGAGGACTTGGCCAAAGGACGAACTCTGTCGCGGGCGACTGCGTCTCTCCACTTGGCTCCCGCTGCTTTCTCGAACGAGTCACACAGCAAAGCGTCGCGAATAGACCGGCGCGATAGACCGGCGCGATAGACCGGTGCGATAGACCGGTGCGATAGACCAGCTCAGTCGCCGAGACGTCTTTGGCCGAGTAGGCAAGTAGGCACTGTCCGTTCCCAGAGTACTCTATTATTTTCTCGAGCGCAAGGCTTTCGAGCTCGGCTCGACAGTCGCCGATCCGGCCTCTCTTTCTCCGGAGACGTCGGCGCGGAGGCGAGCAAGCCCAAGCGTGTCTATGTCTCGGTTATCGCATCAAGCGGCAGCAGATCATGGCCACGGTGCCGAAGTAAGCGAGGAGAGAGCTCCAGTGACGCACAGCTGTAATCCCTGCCTATCAAATTTTCATGGCGCGAGACACGTATCGCTTCTCCCCGCCACAAGTTTGATTTTCCTATGTCTCATGGGAGCATGGGAGAAACCGACAGCGCGCCTCTGCCGCCGGTTGAGAAACCAAGAGGAAAGTCCGTCGCAAGACGCTGGCTCAGACCTTTCGACGGAGTTGCTGCAGGTGTGCGGCTTTGTTGCTTGGGCGCGCGCAGCTGCGAAGCTCCCTCTCAGCTAGACGCAGACAAGTGGAGAGAGGGAGGGGGGGGATGAGGGCAGACCCCCGACGAGCCTATAATGACAAAGGCTTTCACGGCGTTCATTTCCGAACTTGTCCAATATTTACAACTCACACACATATGTCGCGCTTAACTGCAGCTTCGACTCATTTGCGCACCATCTCCTCGCTTGAAGGTAGCGCCAAAATTCAGTGGCAGATTAATGATTTTTTCAGACTTGGACATGAGAGTTGATCTTACGCACACGCAAGACGGTTATTTCTAATCGAGAGAAAGATGCACACGAGACGTTCTGTCGCAGCTGATTGTTGGAGTACCAAGATTGGCGACAAACAGTCTATGGGTTTTGTCATCTGCTAATCCAGATCCACGAGCAGCGCACGCGCCGAATTTGCGCAAGGCATCATGACTCACGGTCTCGAGTCCTTTTTACAGACAAGCCGCTAATTGCTATAAAAATTTCATCGGGGCCATATCGCGCTGAATAAGACCCTGATGGAATTCTTGTTTCTTTCTGCTTAATGATTAATCGCGCGAGCCTAACACTGAATAATACGCTCCAAATCGACAACCAAGCAGTCGGCTGGCAGCGAAGCTTGAAGATAACCATCGCGCGATCGCCAGTTATCGATTAGGTGCAGTGTTGCGAGAAAAACAAAGACGTATTTTCCACGCTGTTCGAGGAGGGAAACGAGCGAGAAGTTAACGCAGTCAAAGTGGAGATGAGCGCCATCTCGCTAGTTCTCTTGTGAATAATAGCTTTCGGCGAACAGTCAATCGTTTTATCGGTTTTGAAAATTCGAAAGAACCAGCTTGTGGACTGGCCGACGCTCGGCGGCGTCCGAAGGAGCCCTCTCCTTCTCTCTCGCAGCGATCGCGCCGATAATGATAATCGCCAAGTGAGAGAGATGGAGACGGAGAGGGCGAGGGCGAGGGAGAAGGAGCGGGAGAGGGAGAGAGAGAGAGAGAGAGAGAGAGAGAGAGAGAAAGAGAAAGAGAAAGAGGGCCGCTACACGTCGCGAGATAGAGCGAAAGGAGAGATAGATGTTGCTTAGGCAGGCAAAAAACGCCACCTAATGAAGGCTTGAAAAAACAGCGCTCGGGTCGAGCGTACAGCTGCTGCTATGCACTCTCGCGCAGAGTGGGCAGGAGGAGGAACGAAGGGGAGGCAGTCGAGCGAGCGCGGCAGCGCAGCGGGGCTACGGAGAGAAAGAGACGGGCGCGCCCAGTTTGGCAGCCATTGGCTCCCCACTGCCGCGCGCCGACGCTTCCGTGAACAAAGAGCACTAGCTGCCTCGAGCGCAGCCAAGTTGCCGCGGCAGCAGCGCGACCCGTCAGAACGTCCTCGGCAGTCCGGCTAGCTGTATTCAGGCGCGCACTGCACGAACGCACTATTGTGCCGAGCAGCAAGCACGACGAGGATCGTCGACCCAGCGTGTATCGAGAAGAGCAGTGTGCAGGCAAACGACGGTGTACGGATTGTGCGACAGCTATCCGTGCCAGAAGTGAAAGCAGCGCGCCGCGAAACGCCATACGTGTGTGTGTGTGTGCGTGTGTGTGTGTGTGTGCGCGCAAGACTCGGCAGCCATTTTGTCAGCGCTCGCTGCGACGGTGCGTGTTCGCCGCAAGCTGGCTCAAACTGCTGCGCACAAGCGGGCTAAGGAGCAATACGACTACGGTGAGAGTTAGTGGGTCGAACGGAGAAGTCAGCACCGTGGACCAGTAGCAATGAGGTTGGAAATCATCTCGGCGTCGGACTTCCTGGTGCAGCTGCTGCGGCTGCAGCAGGGACAGCTGAGCGAGGCGCAGCTGCAGATGTTCAAGCACTCCCTGCAGGAGGTGCTGCGGCGCCGTTACACCGACCACTGGTTCCCGGACAAGCCGAACCGCGGCAGCGGCTACCGCTGTATCCGCATCAACGGCAAGATGGACCCGGTGATCGCGCAAGCGGGTATCAACGTGGGCCTCGGGCCGGGCATGCTGCATTCGCTCTTCCCCAGCGAGCTCACCATGTGGATCGATCCGGCCGAGGTGTCGTACAGGATCGGTGAGAACGGTAGCATCTGCGTTCTCTTTGAAGGTTGCGGGGAGGAGTTGTCCTCCGGCAGCGAGTCGTTTGACGAGCCGATGCCCAAGGTCGCGCCGCAATTTCTCCACCAGACCAGCCACTCGAGTCAGCAGGCCAACTTTGAGAGCTGCAAGGACTCGCTGCTACTCGAGCACACGCAGTTCAGCGAGCAGATCGCCGCCTTCGTGTCCAGTTAAAGCTCCTGCTGCCGCCGACGCCGCCGTCGCCGCCACCGCCACCGCCGCCGCCGCCGCTGCTGCTGTCCATCGCGAGCCACTACGCGCAGCCAGGATTATTACTCTTACGATTACTACTCTTAAACAATGATTTGCATCATAGCCCCCATTTTTATTTAACTGTGTCTGTGTCTGAAAGGAGAGATTGCATTTGCCGAGAGAATGAGGAGAAAAAGCTGGCACAACCCAACCTCATCAGCCTTCCTTTATCACTGTGTACAAAAGTGTACGTTTCGCGCGGTGCCGACGCGCGAACGCTGCGGTTCGCGCAGCGTGTGTTGCTCGTCGTCGCGTGCGACGGGGCCAGGAGTGTTCGAGCGACGGCACGGTTCGTGACTGCCGATGATCTCAGCAACAAGGGAGAGGATGCTCGTCGTAGCCGTCGCCGCCACCGTTATCAGCTGCCACTGCGAGTTCTTTGTTTTGTTCCGATGCGTCGCCCGTCATAGAGTGCGCTCGCGGCTACTGCAACAGCGGCAGCAACAACCAGTTTCTTCGCCAATTGTGTATATTGTATTATTATTCGGTTGAATAACGTGAGTCGACAAAAACAATGAAGCTGTGATTTTTTTCTTCGCGAGATTTATTGATCAGAGAGAAGAATGAGGAAAATGTTAACTAAATTTCTTTGGTTTTGGTGTACAAGTGTATGCACGTAAGATATGACAACGGGGTGCGAGTGTCTGTGTGCGAGTGACGTTATATACATGCGTTTCATTGTGCGATCCTAGTGGCTCCTTTTGCTGGTGATTGTTCCCTCAAGGACATTAATTATTTTATCCCTCTTTTCTACGATTCTCGCGAGTTTTCCAGTGGCTTGGATTTTTCATTATTTATTGGCTGCTCCAAAACAAAAGCCGTTTAAATTGTATCATACTCGTCACATATAATTTATAGTAATAACTCAACGACAAGCTTGATTATATCGGTTCAACATAAAATTTGTAAATATTGTAAAGTGTAAAAGTGAAAAAATCAACGGCTTGTTTCTTTTGGACAATCCCACAGAAACGCACGCGCTGATAACACAGCGAATACAAGACGACGTAAAAAGTTTGAAACACCATAGGAGGAGCCACTTCTCCAGCGACTAGGATATTATCCTTCGTAAATATGTAAACAATGTTATAGTCTTTCCTTATGATATATAAAAAGTGATAGATTTCTATATAATGCAAAACAAACAAAAATATAAAGTTTACAAATATTAATGAGAGCGAAACGTCTCGTCTCTTTTTTTTTTTTATTTTTTGATTCACCATTCTACATAAGTTGCAATTTACACTAAAAGGTCGGATTGATGAAGAGTGCATTTCTTTTTTTCGTCTTGTATACTTTCATTTTTCTTCTGTAATAGCTGATCATTATATATATTATAAATATATATTTACAATTTTTTTCATTTTTCGTGTGAGTGCGCGTGAGAATGGAGAGAGACTATACTGACTGATATGAACGAGAGAAATATCGCGCTCGGCGTCGGAGAATTCATTAAGGCTCTTGTACGTATGTAAAACGATAAACAAAAAAAGTAACAAACAAAATGATATGCTAAAAGAAAAAAAAGAATAAAACAACCCACCTGTGATTATATAGCGTTATATAGAGGAGAGACTAGGACTGCGTGAGAAAGAGGCACATACATGTAGCGTCAGTCGAGCGGACGCTGGAAAGCCCCCGGCGGAGCCTTATACGTGCGAGATTTATATATTGTACATTATATGCCACGAAACAATTGTGTATATAGAAAAAAAACGCGATACATTCGAGATTTCTTCATAACTATATACATACATACATACGCGCTCGCGCGCGCGCGTGTGTGTGTGTGTGTGTGTGTGCGTGCGTGCGTGCGTGCGTGCGTGCGTGCGTGCGTGCGTGCGTGCGTGCGTGCGTGCGTGCGTGCGTGCGTGCGTGCGTGCGTGCGTGCGTGCGTGTGTATGTATGTATGTATGTATGTATGTATGTATGTATGTATGTATGTATGTATGTATGTATGTATGTATGTATGTATGTATATAATATATTTGTCAGCGAGAGCGTGTTTTTGTCGAAGTATGATATTACAAAACTTTTTGTAATTGCTTTTTTTGTATATTTTGTCTATAAATGCCTTAGAATAAACCACTTATTCTTCATAATAAAAAACACAAGCGCTTTCTCTTTTATTTTCAATCTTGAGATTAATACGCTTGCATACACACGGATAACACATTGTTATATGTTTTTTCATTTGCTCGTTAAAATGCTCATTCGATAAGCGTGCGTGAAGGCTCCGCAAGTTCGAGTCGAAGCTCGACGGCACCTCTCATAAGTAACAAAAAAAAGAAATCAGTAACAAGATAACGAATAAAAAAAGATATATATAAGCGAAAAAAGAAGGTGACACCGGCAAATAAAGTATATATGTTGAAAGAAAAGCGATGCACACGCGTCCGGGGATACAGAGCTGCATGTATAAATATGTATATGTACTAAAGAGTATACACGATCGACCGTACATACAATGTAATAGTAATAACATTTGTTTCCATTAATACTACGTTTGTCCGTTTTCATTGAGTCAACGAAACAATTCCTCTTCCATACGATATTTATGTAACCATTGGGCAGTGCACGCGGTGCTCCAACACGATCCTTCGCGAACGCGCACAAAATAGTACATTTGAATATTGGTGCAAGAAAGTAATTGCACGTGTACCTAAGATTATTTTTCGATACGACGTGTGTGGGGCGAGAGTCGTTAAATCGTTAAAGAGTTAGGCATGTCGAAAGTCCAATCCCCACGCACGGTCTGTCCAAAAATATCGATTGCGCGTCGTGGTCGTCGACTACTGCTTCATTCATACGATTTTCCGTTTCTCCCTGATTTTAACTGTTCATTTGTCCTGCACACTTGCGAGAGAATATTGACGACGATTCATCGCGAGAGGGAGGGTCAGCCTCTCGCGACGATTATCGATTATTGTATGATAAAAACACAGTGGAATGATGAGAATTACGAACGCATTCGTTGACTGGATCGCGACTGCGGTGTGCGCTTATTACTATGTATACATAATTATATATGTGATCAAGAGCGATATATAACGACGATATAGCAAGCCGAGCGTTGTAAACTAATTATATACGCATACACGAGTCCTTTTCAGGAAGAATTTGTACAAATGAAAGGCCATCACATACAAGCCGCAGTAGCCAACACGAGATGATGAGCGGCCAAGCGGTAGATGAGCCAAGTCTGTGATTTTAGCTTGGTTAATTCAGTATTTTTTAAAAATGTTACGAGAAAAACACGAAAGAAATAAACAATCACGATCAAAAACCAAAAAAAATGAAGAAAAAAAAACGAAAAACAAGCATTAAATTAGATGAGAAGTTTCATTCCCGACAGACAAAGAAACAAAAAAGAAACAAAAAAGAAAAAAAAGAAACAAAAAAGAAACGCGAGAACGCGAGCGCGAGGATTTTCAGTGTGAATGAGTTTGACTGTGAATAATTACTCTGTTTAATAAAGGGGGTGAGAGCAAGAAGAAAACAATCGCGACTTCATTTCTTTATTCTTTGCGCGTGTGTGAGTGAACGGAAAAAAGCAACAGTGTTTTTTCTTTTTTGACGTATCGTCCTATTGCGATCCTTCTTCATTTCAATTGGATCATCCGAAGAGACGAAAAACGGTGAAGAAACGAGCGATAAGGGAGGGCTTGCGAGGGATATAATGTCTTAACAGCCTTCGAATCTCGAACGAACGGAGCTTAAACCATGTTCCTCTGAAAAAAAGCATACAAAGCAAAGAAACTTGAACTGCCTTTTCGAACCGATAGCCCTTTTTCCTTTATTCGCGAGAAAAAGAATAACGACTTGTATAAAGTTTATTATCATTAGTGCGTCGATTTTTCCGTGGTTCAGGAAAGATCGGCCATACTGTATTGTGATTATATTATTGTAAATATTGCTAAGGGGGGATTGAATAAATAGTCGTGATAAAAAATTAAACAAAATGACGCGCGCGTGATAAATAATATTCAAACGAGGAGGGTTTTCGAGGAGCTAACGCGATCGAGATTCGGAGGCCAAGTGATTTTTTTGAGATAAGCGGATTTTTAGATTTTCACACGTAGATGACGATACACGCAATTCTTACATGTAATACACGTGAAGTAAGCAACAAAAGCTGTTTCTCCGTCTGATGTTCATTGTCAAAAAGCATTGTAATGTACAAAAATCTCTGGGTAGATTTGTTTCGATGCCGTGTACACGTAAACATTCAATTATGTAACTTAACACTCACAAAATAGGTTGTAAGGCACTAAAACAGAATGAAAAACCATTCGACAACAAACAACAATTCGGAGGCGTATTGTATTGACGGAAGATAATAGAGTGAAAAAAGCTCTGCATTGATCTATAATTACGATATCTCTAAGATTAATTGTATCATCAGTGTATGATTATATTTAGTTGGTAGGTCTCTCGTACGCACGATATTTTACACACATGCGCGTGCATGAAAGTGTGGTGTGGTGTGGTGTGGTGTGGTGTGGTGTGGTGTGGTGTGGTGTGGTGTGGTGTGGTGTGGTGTGGTGTGGTGTGGTGTGGCGTGGCGTGGCGTGGCGTGGCGTGGCGTGGCGTGGCGTGGCGTGGCGTGGCGTGGCGTGGCGTGGCGTGGCGAGGCGTAGCGAGGCGTAGCGTGGCGTGGCGTGGCGTGACGTGACGTGACGTGACGTGACGTGACGTGACGTGGCGTGACGTGCGTGGCATGGCGTGGTGTGGTATGGTATGGTGTGGTGTGGTGTGGTGTGGTGTGGTGTGGTGTGGTGTGGTGTGGTGTGTGTGTGTGGTGTCTGTGTGTGTGTCTCATGGAAGATATGCTTGTACATACGCTCTCGAGCTCGAAAAAATTAAAAACTTTAACAAAAATGCGCGATGAGTGCATGAGAGTACTTGAGAGTGATTGAGCGAATTATAATTATTATATAGCGACACCGATGTGTCGAAGTATGCGCGGCGAAGTATATATGCGAGAGAAGAATCTATAATTTTTTCGACTGTTTTTGTACAGAGATACACAAAATAATGATGATATTAATGAAAAAAGGCAAAAAAAATAAAGAAAACAATGAGTCGAAAAAGGCCTTGTGCTTATAAGATTTCATTGATACGAAAAATAACCATGGTGTCTTTTCTTTTCTTGTCCTCGACTTGTTCTTGTACAATCCTGTACGATTGCTTACTTTCCACGAATGCTTTTGGGTTTTTACGACTCTAGTCTGACTTGTAGAAGCGTGGATTTGCGTCAATAAACGCACGATGATTAACCGATCGTCGCAGTTGTTTTATTGATAACCAGCATACATTCGCACGTACGACTCGGGAACTCGTGTTTGTCTCCTTGACGCGGCTGAATCATCCTCGGTCCGGCAGCAAAGCGAAAGCTCGAGTCACGCGCTTCACTCGATGCAGCCGTTCCGCGTTGATCGTCCGACCCCGAGACAAGGTGCCGCGAGCGCGCGTCCAGCGAGAGTCGCAGCTCCGACCACTCGGGCTCGAAGGCGAGAGAGGATCGGGCCACTCGGCCGACGCGGACGCGACGCGGACTCGACGCGGCCGCAGCGCCGACGCGCTGCCAAATCTGGCAACGCCGCGAGCCGCAGCCAGCCGCTGCCGCCGCCAGCCGCAGCCGCCGCAGCAGCGCTCGGCTGCGCCTGGCGCCTCGTCCGCGGTCTACCGCGCGGAGGACATTGGCCCCGCCGAGACGACGAGCGGCGCCAGGCAGCGAGCGCCTCGGAGAGCTCCTCCGCAGCCGTCGGCCGGCCGCCGCCGCTTCCAGTGCCAACTGCGCTTTGCTTGCTTTCAGTGCGGACAACAGGCGATGCCCACCAGGCGAGGCCGCAACCAGCCAGTGGAGACCCCGGCCGAGTCGGATGGCGCGACAGCAGTGGCGATCGAAGGCTGCGCCTATCGGGGCGAGGGAAACGCCAACCTGGTGGTCGCGCTGCCATCGGTAAGCAGCGTGGCGCTCGAGCGCGGAGCCCGAACGATCCACGACGCGGTCCCGCTCTGGCGAGCCGCGGGCTGATCCGTGCCACGCGCGGGTTATCGTAACGGTGCGCCGCTCTCTCCGGCTCCCCGCGCTCGCGCACCAATTGCCACGGTGCGCGCGGTACAGTTATCGATTGTTCCTCTCGGCGGCGACCCCGTCTGCGCGCCGCCTCTCCGTCCCCGCGGCCGTTGCGCCCGCGGACTGGCCGCGGCTCCGGCGAGGCGGCGCTCGCCGGCGGCGGGCGTCGCTCACGCGGCTCACGTTGGCGGCGCACGTGCCGCTTGCGCAACCGCGACTCGCGGGCCCTCTGCACCCGGCAAGGGGGGCTCTCCATTTGTCGCCGCGCTCGCGCAATCGCGAGGCCGTCCGCACCTGCTTCCCTCGGCCGCAGGACTGCCGGTCGGCGTGGCCTCGACCGAGCGGAGGCGGCGACGGGCTTGAGCTTGGAGCCGCCTAACCGGTGTCCGATGTTGCAGGAGCGCAAGGTGGTCCGCCTGAGGAAGTGGGCTGGCGCCGACGTAGGCAGTCCGCGGCAGCAAGAGACGCAGGTCCGCCGGGAGGTGGACTTCATCAGACGCGTGGTCTGCCGACACCTGGCCGCCTACGTGTGCGTGCCCGAGATCGTGCGCTGCGACCGCTCGCAGATCGCCCGGTTGGCCGGCGAGATCCGAGCCTCGCGACCTGGTAAGCATTTTCCCCGCAGCCGAGGGCCACTCGCGCGTACCCTTCGGTTTTCGAGCTGCTGGCCGCCGATGGGCAAAGTGCGCAGCCCCGAGCGCACTGCGGCCGACCGAAACTCGGTCCAGCGGGGGGCTCCAGCTCCAATTCCCGGCCGTGGGAAGGTCGGACAGCCGTGTACGCGAATTTCCGCTCACCCCCTGCCAGGCAGTCGCTCCTGATTAGCTCGGCGCTGGCTTGCGCAACGCTCTCGATGCGCGGCTCTCCGTCGGCCACCTCGCCGCGCCTCGAGCAAGCGCACGCTGCATTCAGCCTCCCTTCTGCGGGTTGGAACTAGGGCTTCGCTCGGTACAGTCTGCGAAGCGATTTGACTCGTACGCGTGCTCGGCTTCCGGATCGAGTCTTCGGCCGCAAGACCGACGGCAACTGAGTCGGCGCCATCGGACGCGCCAGCGTAAACGACGCGAGTAGTAGCGGACAGCCGAGGAAGAAAACCTCTGCTGCGCCTTTCGCCGCGAACGGACGGCGATGGCGACAGCGAGGCTTCGTTGGACGCGTCCGTGAAGCTCCGTTGGACGCGTCCGCGAAGCTCCGTTGACGCTTTAGCCGCTCGGAAACCAAATGAAAGCCAGACTCGGATTCGGGTTCGCGATGCGAGCTGCAATCCGACCGTACGCTACGGGCCTCCTCGGCAATGAGCCGAATGGAGAAGGACGGACCCAATTGCACAGCGCAGCACAGAAATCGAGAGCAGAAAGGAGCCGAAGCAGGAATGAGGGAGCAGAGAGAGAGAGAGAGAGAGAGAGAGAGAGAGAGAGAGAGAGAGAGAGAGAGAGAGAGAGAGAGAGAGAGAGAGAGAGAGAGAGAGAGAGAAAGCCGCATTCATTGCTGCGAGGAGGCAACGGGGCGCGCTTCCGTTTCCGTTTCGCCGCTCCTCCGATTGTTCGCGCCTTCGTCGCTCGCCTGCCCTCGCGTGGAAATTCCGTTGAATATCAAATTTATGCACCGCACCTCTCCCTTCCTTTCGTTTCGCCGAAGCCTGAAAAGCGACTTTCTCGGCGGTCCGACTCGAGGTTTCAGTGAACGTGTGGGGCAGGTGCAGCAGCGATAGAAATCCGCAGACGCACCGATCTCGATCGGGCCAGCAGGGCGGATATCCAAGGCGCGACCCCAACACCTCGCGACTCGAGCAGGTCGAGCTCGACCGGTCGTCGACGCTCGCGCGCGGCAGCCGGCTTCCCGGCAGAGCGCGCCGAGCGCAAACAAATGGCAGCGACGAGGGGCCAGGCGAACGGCGGCGCGCAGCAACAGGTGCGCTTCGCGTCTGCGGAACTGGCTCCGTCGCGCATCTTGCCTTCGCCCGCGGCACCGACCGACCGAGCGCTCGCGTTTTGCAGAGCACCGGCGCACCGAGGACGACCTGGGCGTGTACGCGACCAAGTTCCCGGACTACACCTACCTGGCGGACGAGTTGCACGGCTGCGAGTCCTCAGCGGCCACCTTCTGCGTGGAAATCAAGCCTAAGCAGGCGCACGTCTGCGAAGCCGATCGGCTGTTCGCCAAGTGCCCTTACTGCCTCACGCAGTACTACAAGGTGCGCCAGCGAGGGGCCTTTGCGCGCTGCTCCCCGTTCGGGAGCCCTTTCTCTCCTCGCGGAAGGCCGTGTGCTTTAATCGACGAACGTCTTGCCCACGCAGACGCACCACGGCAGCACGAGGCGGCCGAGCGAGTACTGTCCGTTCGACTTGTTCTCCGGCGAGGCCGAGCGCACGGAACGCGCGCTCAAGGCTCTCCTGCGTTCGCCCCAGAACAACCTGAGGATCTTCAAGAACGGAGCGATCATCTACGACGACGAGATCGCCAACCGAGACGAGGCGAGTTTGCAGCGCGTTCTCGAGGAATCGGAGCTGGGCTCGAGCTCGCTGCTGGGGCTGCTGGGACAGGCGCTCGCGCGGCCATTCGACGCGGCGGCCGCCGCAGGGAGAAAAGCCCGGGACGTGGGAGAGGAAGCGAGACTGCCCAGCTGGCTGCCCAGCTGGCTGCCCAGCTGGCTGCCCAGGCGGCTACCCAGCGAGCTCGTCGAGCGCACGAGAAGCCTGCTGTGTCTGGCGAAGCAGGTAGGCGCTTCGCAACAGCCGTTCTCGAATAGTTGGCGAGCTGAGCACAGCCAGCAGCCGCAGTGGGCTTTGCGTGGCTTGCGTTGTGATCGACAGGCGTGCGAGATGTCTGGCGAGGAGCCGCGCCGGCTCCCCGTGGGCTCCGTTCTCGAGCGCATTCTGCGCATGCAACGGCTTCACCGAAGCGGTGCCGACGTGGTCGCTTGGATTCACGCCAGTCTTGGCACACTGCTCGACGACGCAATGGTCTATGCGGAGCTTCGAGACTGCCAGCCGCCAGCTGCTGCTGCCGCTGCCGCTGCCGCTGCCGCTGCCGCTGCGCCTCACGTGAATATCGATCGCCTCTTCTCGCCAGCCTCTCTATCGTGGCCTTTTTTCTCTATCGTGCGCTCCTCCCACGTAGGCCGACAGAGCTGCCGTTGGCGAAGCAGCGAGCGACTGCGCGTTGCGGGATAAGCTCTTCGGTGCCACTCTTGACAACGATGTGTTCAGATACTTTACGATGCAACAATCTTATGGCATTTTGAGAGATTACTTGCTCTTCTGTACTGCAAGAGACTGTTCGATTTTGATTGCTTTTCAACGGATCGACAAGTGAGTATTATCAATTTGTCTTGCTTCTCATTCCGTCCACTGGAGTAGCTAGATTCCTGCTTTACCAGACGTTGCTTGTACGCCCTTCTTCGTCAATAGCCTAGCACCACCTTTTTCTTCCCGGACCGACGATCGCTAACGAACAACATACGTTCGAGTCCTCAAAATTGAAAATACATTCTAATTAACAATTTTTTCAACGAGTGTCAACTATTAATCATACCACCTTACAGAGATTCAACCTTGTGCCAACATTCGATTCATCGAATCGACCTATCCGAAGATGAGAGCTACTTAGTCAGCGTTCGAATATTAGATCTAGATATGAAGAAATTGCAATGCATTAAGAAGCATCGTCAAAGGGATAATGACGTATTACAGGCAGCTATAAAAGAATTAGAGAAGCAATTAAGGCTGTGAGATGTAAATCAAATACTCAGTCACCAGAGTATTATCGTCGAACATTTGAAGATTAAATCATTGTGACGACAAGAGATAACAAGTGATAGATAACAAAAGAGTGAGATCCTAGATTGTGCATTATGTTTAATCAAGATCATATTGATTTTGCGGAAATGTAGTTCAATCGAGTAGTTTTTTTCCATTTCATACACAGTAGTAAACAATTTTTCTGATATCAAATTCAAGCTATACATATATACATTTTATACATTCACTTTGAATTATTAATAAATCATTATGTTTATTAATCAAATGTTTTCTATATAAACTGCTGATTATTTCATTTTTTCTGTATCGCAAAGTGCATAATGAATTCGTTAAGTGATTAATTTATTAACGATTGATTAAAGGAAAACAGTATTGAAATATCATACTAAAATGTTTTTCTTAAAATGACCTTACGCAGATAACTAAGAATAACGTTTACGTAGCAGTTCTATCTGGCACGCTCTTCCAAAAAAAAATATTTCCAAATGTCGAACACGCATTCCAGTTATAATAGAAAGAGCGCAACAGCTGTTCACGAAAAAAGTAGTTTTCATTCTAGGCATTCATAAATAAAATAGTAGGGGTGTTTCGAATGACGCTGGAACAAACAGTAGCAACAGATGCAGTTGCGGCGGCTCATTAAAAAAGCAAAGAGTGAGCGAAAAAAAAAGAATTCGCATGCGATGAAAAAGGTCATATCGACCTATTATAATTCGGTCTACTTTCTCTCTCTCTCTCTCTCTCTCTCTCTCTCTCTCTCTCTCTCTCTCTCTCTCTCTCTCTCTCTCTTTCTCTCTCTTTCTCTCTCTCTCTCTCTCTCTCTCTCTCTCTCTCTCTCTCTTGCTGGCCTGCTCCCCCTCCTTTTCTGTCAAGCCATTTATGAATGGCGCAGTCGCAAACGCGCATATATGCATTTCCCTTGCCATTTTCAATGCTCCATCTCTGTCTTTCACTTCCTTTGGCTCTTCTCTCTCGCTCTCGCATTCTCTTTTACCTGATTGACTATGACGTACAGGCACGTTATGCCTCTCCGCAATTTGTTTTTGTAAACCGTCGAGCTTGTGATCCCTCATATCGGTCGCAAAGCTACAACAACATAAGCGGTCAAGATGAAAAGTCAAACTCATCCCTGTTAGTTGTTGGTAAACATGTAGGTCCTCTCTCTATACCCCCCTCCCAACGTTTACTTCGTAAGCGAGCGAGTGAGGTTGGCACGCGCACATACAGAACAGAGTGAATTCAGTCTACGTTCGTAAATGGCGGCGATGTGAAGTGTGCGCGTGCACGTCGCCTCCGAAAGGTAGTCCCTTCTTCATTGTTTTATGCAGCCAGCGGTCTCCGTCCTGTTGTGCGCTCTCACGTTTGCACTCTTACTGGATGCACAGTGCGCAGCTCCTGTCTTTCGGTACTGTACAGTACGCGCATCGATGTAAGGTACGCTACGCTAACTGCAAAACAAACCCCGACGACAATTCATTTGCGTTGTCAGTGCATTACTTGTTTCTCTTTTGACTCCAGCTACTTTGTTCGCACGAAATTATGCCGCTGATTAGAAAAAGAAGACAGAGAGAGAGAGAGAGAGAGAGAGAGAGAGAGAGAGAGAGAGAGAGCAAGTGAGAGAGAGAGAGAGAGAGAGACAAACAGACAGACAGAAGCTTTCAAGTGCTAGTAGACAATTTTTCCCTCGAGATTTCTAACCTCAACCGCGATGTCTCACGCCATGTACAGTTCCACTGCTATCGGTATTTTCGAGTGGGGTGTTGGATTTTCACCGACTATTAGATACCAAGCGTGTGGAACTATATGCTCGCACGTCAGTCGGATGGTTAATCAATTAATAGCTGGCTATCCGCCAATTGTTCCTATTTATTAAAGAAAGAACTAACAGAGAATCGAATGAGAGATAATAAGCATGTATGAATGATCCTCAGGTCGAAGACACAAAGGCCATGGGAAGGGTACGAGTGCGCACAAGGTCGGCCGGCAAGAGGAGGCCGCCTAAGTCCTGAGCGAGCGAAAGCATAGTCAAGCCGAGGAGAAGAGTGAAAAGAGAGTGCAGCCTACGAGAAGGAACCGCCAGCGAGGAGAGGATGGGCACGCAGAAGCCTGGCGAGTGGGCCAACTCGCTCCTGTCCAGGTTTGAGGAACAGGTACGGAGGCTCTCCGTTGATCATTATTACGCTGCGACGCACGCGCGAGGCCCTTCGCCTCGGTGCCGAAAGGAAAGACGCAAGGGAGACGCGAGCTTCCGACGCGATAATTGCACACGTGCCGCGGCAGTAACATGCGGTGGGTGGCCCTGCTTGAGGAGCCTCGTCGCCCTGCTCAGTGCCCTGCGTCCTGTCGACCGAAAGGCGCTTCGCTTCAACAAAGCTGGCAGACAGCCTAGGTGCACTGGTTCGGTACGATCGGTCTCGATCGCACTTGCACGACGCGTTCATTGACGATGTCCGGCCAAGAGCCGAGCCCGCGTGACCTTCGGCGACTACGAGCGCGTGCGCGTGCACGCCTCTTGTCCCCATTCACGAACTGCAGCCGCCAAGCCGCGGGCACTCGGCCTTTGCCTTGCACCTAGCGCTCGAGCGCTTTCGCGATCGGGGCGCGCGCCAACGCGCTCTCCCGCGGCCGTCGGGCTGTCGCTGTCGGCTCGCTGCCGCGATCCCTTCGGGGCCAAGGCGAGAGTCGGTGCGCAGGCGCGCGGGACGCGTGAATGAAGGCGAGCAGGAGGCGCCGGGCAGCAAGTTCACGGACAAGCCCCGCGTCTCTTTTCATTGAGGCGCGCGGTGCAGCTCGGCCGGTTGTTCGCGGCCTGCTGCTTCCTGTCTCCTCGTTCGCCTCGGTCGATTTTCCCGCCACCGTCGTCTCTGCCCCGGGACTCGCTCCGCTCTGGACGCTCGGCCACCTTCGAGCTTGCGAAAGGCGCTTCATCGAGCAAGCCATTGTTATTGTCGCGTATTGTGCGCGACGATCTACGCCGGTCCTCTTCGGATTTTCAGGGATGCCGGCAACACTATGCTCATAACGCCCAAGTTACGACTGGACATTTCCAGAGTCAGAGTCTACCGCCTCTGATGTATAGTTGACAACATCTGCTCTTCGAAGCATTACTCTTTCTCTGCTGGCTAATAGCCTGACCTTGAGCAAGGCCCAACGTCAATATTATATCTCTGTATAGCTGGCTGTTGTGGTTACTAAGATCATTGAGATGCAAGCTATAGAAACTTTCATCGTCAAGTAACGTCAACAACAAAACGTGTAATGTTCGACCGAGACACCCTGAGATCCTTCGGAGCATCGGTTCATTTGGTCAACGTTTATATCGCCAACTTTTCGAAAATTTCATCAGTTGTCCTTATCGAGGTTGTCAAAACATGCTGCACAGCAAAACCGTTTGTCTAGATAAATTCATACTCGTCTATAGCTAAGTCAGATTAAGAAAAGATACGTGAAAAAGAGTGCACTGGTCATTGAGATATACCCAATTTTTCGGAGCGAATCGATTTGAACGCGCGGAGGAGGCTTTGATGAGATCCCTCAGCACCGCGGTCACCCCTTGAAACTTGATTTGTCTCGTTATAAAAGAAAAGAACAAACAAATAAAAAGGCCGAGTTTCCAAAAACGCAATGAAGTATTGGGAAACATTTTATATGTTTTTTAATTAGGACTACTGTTTAAAAAGAAAAGGCGAGCTTTGCTATCTGCTAATCAAAAACCGACTTTTTTCACGTTCTCGGTTGTATCTAAAAATAATAAACGGTTGAAAATGAGCGTTATCGCGCGGCTCCAATAAAATATCCCAATACGATGGACGTGTCGGCGAAACGATCGAGCCTGCCTGGAGCTGAAACTTTGAGCGAAAGAACGAGCCCACGTATGCCACGTAGTTTGGGCGTCTGTTAGTAAGCAATCGACTGACTGCACTGCATAAGGCGAAATGCGTTCATAACCGCAAGAGCTTGCTTCGAATAGGAATAAGAACAAGAGTCGGCTCTGTTTTTGAAGAGCCCCGGATAGATTTGGCCTCTGGTCTCTCTCTCTCTCTCTCTCTCTCTCTCTCTCTCTCTCTCTCTCTCTCTCTCTCTCTCTCTCTCTCTCTCTCTCTCTCTCTCGCTCGTTCGCTCGCTCGCTCTCGCTGACTTACTTGTTATCGATAGCTGCCGTACCGCTCAGGGCCGCAGACGACGATCTCGCGGCTGAACGAGGAGAGGCACAAGAAGTGCCTGATCCAGATCTCGAAGCACCGCTTTTCCCTGGTCATCTCGGGCCTGACCAACATGCTGAAGCGCGTGAACGAGTGCGCAGGGCCGCGCGGCAACAGCGCCGAGGACAGGCAGTGCTACGAGTCTATTGTCATCATCCTGGAGACGCTGGAGCGATGCCTCGCTAGTCAGCCCAGAGACGCCAACAAGTGCGGCGAGGCCATGAACGTCAAGCTGCTGCTCCGCGAGATCTGCCAGTTCGTCGGTAGGTCAGCCGCTACCTCGCTTCGGTCTTAATTGTTGATCGGCACCGCTCATCTTGCTTCGCAGAGATCCCGTGCGACAGCACGCGAAACGCCCACCTGAAGAGCCTGGCCAGCAAGGTGCTGTTCGCGCTGAGCCTCAACTTCTCCAGCGCCGTGTACAACCGGATCTCGATGCGGCTCTCGGAGCTAACGGTCTCCGCCGAGGAGAACCCCGACTGCAGCGACATCGAGCTCATCCAGCACATCAACGCCGACCTCGAGCGACTCACCAAGCTTCTCCAAGGTACTCGCGCTCGCGCATCCCCGGGCTGTCGCTCTGTTTGTCTGCTCGAACCAGCGCGCAACTAATTTACCGGTTTTCTTTGTCGCAGACACGCTTCTGAAATTCCGCCAACTGAAGAAGTCCGTGCACTTCGCGCTGATAAGCTCTCTGGACAAGGCGATCTGCAACTGGATGGACACCTATCCGAGTGAGTTCGCGGATCTACAGAAGAAACAGAACGACGACCTGGTGAAGGTCTGCGGCGAGCTGTTCGACGTCCTCGACACGTTTTATGACAACAAGAAGGGTCGCGCGGCAGCCGTGTGGCCGCTACAGATACTGCTGCTGGTTCTATCGCCAAAGGTGCTGGAAGAGGTTGTCAACACCGACTCGGGCGCTCCCTGCTCGTCCGAGCACCGCAGAAAGAAGCTGTTCATCGACAGCGTGAGGAAGAGCCTGTCGATACACGGCAGCTCCAATCGCCAGCTGGTGGAGGCGGCAGCGGTGGCCTGCGTTCGGCTGTGCAAGGCCTCGACCTATGTGAGCAACTTGGAATCCAACAACGTGATATTCGTCCTGGTGCAGCAGGTCATCAACGAGGTAAGCTCGCTGCTCTTCAATCCCAACAAGCCGTTCTCGAGGGCCCAGAGCTCCATCGCTCAGGACATCGACCTCGTGATCGACTGCTTCGTCAGCTGCTTCCGCATTATGCGCTACAACAACGAAATCTTCAAAGTCTGCCTCAGCCTCAACTCTCCCACGATGTATCAGTTCGTCCTCGTCAGCTCTTTGTACAGGTCATTTCACTTGTCTTGATCGCTTTGCGTTTCTTTCGCGGAGCCCACCTGATCGGCATTTCAATTGCAGGATCGTCAATCAGCCAAGACAGCCGTGGTGGCCGCAGATCGACATCGTCTACTCTCGGAGCGCCGAGCTGCGTAACATGTTCACCGACACGCTCAATAAAGTCACCCAAAGCTGCATATCTCACACGCCGTTGCGCATGATACAGAGCCTCACGCTCAAGGGAAAGGAGCAGAGTAAGTACAAGGACCGTGGGGAGGAAGTCTCCAGTCACAGAAATTTGCTGCTCTGGATAGTAAGGCTGATACACGTCGATCCTATGCTAATGTTAAATGTGAGTTTTGATGGATCTTACGCTCCTTCCGTGGCTATCCTGCATCGCCATCCAGACGAATACTTGTCTTACAGAACGAAGGAAAGGCTGTCCACGAGATCCAGAGCTCTACTCTCGAGCTGATAAACGGCCTTGTCTCTTTGGTTCATCAAACCACGATGCCAGATATCGCCCAAGAAGCAATGGAAGCACTCCTCATTCTTCATCACCCCGACAAAATCAAGGCATGGAATCCCGAGGCAACGGCGACGATGACCACATTCTGGGACGTGAGCTCGCAAGTCCTATTCTCCATCTCGCAAAAGCTCATCCAGCACCAAATTGTTAATTACACCGACATCCTCAAGTGGTTGCGCGAGATACTCATTTGCCGCAACGTCTTCCTATCGCAAAACAAGGATTACGCAAATCTCGGTAGTCAGATTGCCATCTGCAAGCAAGCACACATCAAGCTCGAAGTACGTCGATAAAAACTACTTTTTGTGTTTTCTATTAAGCTAAACGACCTTGTTTTCAGGTTGTCTTTTTTATGTACCTCTGGAGCATCGATATGGAGGCAGTGTTAGTTGCAATGTCGTGCTTTTCTCTACTTTGCGAGGAAGCTGAAATACGATGCGGCAGCGATGAAGTCGCCGTTACTTGTTTACTGCCCAACTTTCATTTGTACGTCGAACTTGCACAAGCCTCAACTGTTCTTACCACTGGTTAGTAGCCTTTCTTCATTATTCGATTTCGCTATATAAATAGTATTATCGAATTAAAAACCGAGATACTACTCCGAAGATTTCACTTTATATAACAGCCAGCGGAGAGAGTAGGTTTTGGTATCGTGACTACTGCTTCGGTGAGTGTTTTAAAAAAAAACCTCATGGCATAGTATAGCTAGAGAATATTGACCTTGCACTTCAAAGTGTAATCGACAATAGTATCCGGTTTACAAAAATAACTTCTCATACTCTACTTTCATTCATTTAACAATTGTGCTTTAGATGTACATATAGCCTCGCTAGGATATTAAAGTGATTGAAACTCTTGCGATTCACAGGACGTGCCGCACTGCAAAAACGCATAATGTCACTTCTTAGGAAAATCGAGCACTGCGTCAATGGTGTACAGCCTGTGAGTTCATTTTCGATTCTCTTCAGTCTCCAGTACAAATTATCGTTATAGTTAATAAGTTATACTTCTGCAGGCATGGGAAGAAACGTTTCGAAATTGGGAACAAACGTGTCGTCAGTTAATAAACCACCCGAAGACAAAAACCGACGATGGCCAGGTCGAGTCTTTTCACCGTAGCGTAGGCAAACGTCGAACATCCCATCAAAATTCAGAACACGAACTCGAGGAACAGCTGAACGAATGGGCAAACATGACTGGTTTTCTTTGTGCGCTAGGAGGCGTTTGTTTGCAAAGACGATCACCTAGCAGACCGGTGTCCGGGTTATCTTTAAATCCAGAGCCAAAGAAAAGTTCGGCAAAGGGTCAACAGCAGCAGCTGCAACAAGATAATCTTTCGTTATCTAACACGAGCCAGGAGGTGCAATATTGTCCTGTTACTCAGTTTATTTTCAATTTACTCAGACTACTCATCTGCAATAATGAAAAGTTTGGACTCCAGGTGGCATACTGACTTTCTTATACTTCATTTTCATTATTTAGCAGATTGTAATAAAAAATACTTTTTTTTTGAAAACATTGTACAGGTTCAAAAGCATGTGAAAGAACTAGTTGGCCATGAAATGAGTCCGGCTCTATATCCAATTCTTTTCGACCAGATAAAAAGTATCGTCGAAAAGTTTTTCGATCAGCAGGGTCAAGTCATACTGACGGACTTGAACACGCAATTCATCGAGCACACGATCATCATAATGAAGAATGTCCTCGATTCGAAGAACGATCAGCCTTCGGAATATCTCGGCATGGCTAGTATTGAGGGTATGACTTTGGCAATCGTACGATACGTGCGACATCTCGACACGAATTTGCAGACAATACATATCAAGACCAAGCTCTGTCAGCTAGTCGAAGTAATGATGAAGCGACGCGACGATTTGGCGTTTAGGCAGGAGATGAAGTTTCGAAATAAATTAGTAGAATATCTCACTGACTGGGTCTTGGGTACCACTCATCCGATTGCTCCTCCTCCACCCAGTGGCAGCGATATCGCCATCATGACCAGGTTAGATCATTAAGCTTTATGTTTCATAAGCATTCACCAAAGGGCACTTTATCAAATAAGTACAACAATTGATGTACAATGATCAAATCCTCGTTTGCTCAATAAAAGTTGTACTTGTAATCCTGAGAAGTGTCGAGCGACTTTACATCAAACATAAACTCGATATCTCGCACTAAACTTGTGATCAAAATATAATCATGACGCTATATATCTCAGTACATATTTCAGAGAACTTGATCAAGCTTGTATGGAAGCGGTCGGGGCACTCCTTCGTGGCTTACCTCTTCAACCCGAAGAATCTGATCGTGGTGACTTGATGGAAGCGAAATCTCAATTATTCCTCAAGTATTTTACACTGTTTATGAATTTGTTGAACGACTGCAACGACGCCGCAACAGAGGAAAATATGAGTAGAGAGAAGGAAGTCGCGAGAACACGACTCACTACTGGAAAATTGTCTACCCTGCGCAATGCCACCATCCAGGCTATGAGCAACTTGTTAAGTGCTAATATAGACAGTGGTCTCATGCACTCCATTGGTGAGTTTCTGTTCTAAGTTGACTCGCATTACTTATTTGATAGTTTTTTTAATTACAAAGAAATCACGTAATCATCGGACTAGTGAATCGTATGCAATATCGTGCGATGTAACATCGGTGTAGTGAATTGAAATATTATCTAGTTCAATAATTGAATTACTTCTTTTGTTCATTGCATATTCTTAAGCAGACGCACAAGTGTATCAACTTACTTTTTCTTACCTTTTTCATTTTCATTGACTTTCAATTGTACCGCTTTTATGATACGCGTGCACACACATTATTAGAATTACGTATAGTTTACATGTGCACTTCACATTCGCTCTGCCCTTTCTCGCTTCAGATTGTACAAGTTTTGAAATGATAATAATGCACTGAAATTTAGTCGTTCGTTTAACCATTTAGAGTAGTTTATATAAAGTCGTTTGCTAATTGGCGTTCCAATCAAAACAATTCATAATTCGCAGCTTCACTTCGAGAACGAATAAAAATGTAACATCAATTCTCGTTGTAGATTTAGGCTACAACCGCGACCTGCAAACGCGAGCGGCATTCATGGAAGTCTTAACGAAGATCTTGCAACAGGGCACGGAATTCGACACACTAGCCGAGACTGTGCTTGCCGATCGCTTCGAGCAGTTGGTTCAACTGGTAACGATGATCAGCGATAAGGGCGAGCTGCCAATCGCTATGGCACTTGCTAATGTCGTCACGACAAACCAAATGGACGAGCTTGCTCGTGTCTTCGTCACACTTTTTGATGCCAAGCATTTACTCTCACCGCTGCTCTGGAACATGTTTTATCGCGAAGTCGAAGTGTCCGATTGCATGCAGACGCTCTTTCGCGGTAACAGTCTCGGCAGCAAGATCATGGCCTTCTGTTTCAAGATCTACGGAGCCAGTTATCTGCAAAGCTTGCTCGAGCCTTTGATCACGCCGTTGCTCAGCGATCCGCTCACGTGCTTCGAGGTGGATAGCGCGAGGATCGGTACCAATGAGGATATCAATCAGAATCGTAGGAATCTCATTGCACTTACCCAGAAGGTCTTTGATGCTATCGTCTCTTCTGCGGAAAGGTATAATTCTTCGATTCATTTCCAAGCACAAATATCTCTCTTGTAACAATAATCATTGATGAATTCATGAACATGATTATTATTAACTTGAAACAATTCTTTACAGATTTCCACCGCAGCTACGCTCCATGTGTCACTGTTTGTATCAAGTACTAAGTAAGCGGTTCCCTCAGTGCCCACAAAATAACATCGGCGCAGTGGGGACGGTAATTTTTCTGCGTTTCATCAATCCGGCTATCGTCTCGCCACAAGAAATGGGTATGGTGAATAAACCGGTACCTTTGCCAGTGAAACGTGGTCTTATGCTGATGTCGAAGATCCTACAGAATATCGCGAACCACGTGGAGTTCAGTAAAGAACAGCACATGCTACTGTTCAACGACTTCCTCCGCGCACATTTCGAGATCGCGCGACGATTTTTCATTCAAATAGCTTCCGACTGCGAAACTGTCGATCAAGCGAGTCACTCTATGTCATTCGTTTCCGACGCTAACGTATTGGCACTGCATCGATTGCTGTGGAATCATCAGGAAAGGATGGGAGATTATCTGAGTAGCAGTCGAGACCACAAGGCTGTAGGCAGGCGTCCTTTCGATAAGATGGCCACTCTGCTCGCTTATCTCGGCCCGCCAGAACATAAACCCGTCGACTCACAGTAAGAGGATACCGCGGTGCACTTGGACAAAGCTTTACTCTTATACATTTTGTCATCTATTTATGAGTTTTAATTCGTAGATCTTTTTTAGCTAATAACTTTTTTTAAAACGTAGACTTTTTTATTGTGTGCGATAAATACTTTAAAGGTACTTTCTTTTTTCCATGTAATTTTATTTTCGACTGTTCATTTACTTATTGAGATTCCCCGAAAGTGTGTGTTACTTTATATAATTTTATGTAGCAATTTTTATGTTATTTATTATTCCTTTTCTGAAAATATACTATCTTTTTTCTAAAACGCTTCTACTTTCTGTTTATTTCTTTATTTTTAAAGACAAAAACAGCGCTCCCAATGTAACTGTAGATTTGCTGCTAATTTACAACTCGTTTTTCAGTTTATTGTTCTCATCGTCGTACGCTAGATGGTCCAGCATCGATATGTCGTCCACGAGTTTCGAGGAGGTCATGGTCAAGCACAACATGCACGAGAAGGAAGAGTTCAAATGCTTAAAAAGCCTCAACATTTTTTATCAAGCTGGAACGAGTAAGCAGGGCTACCCGGTGTTTTACTACATTGCCAGAAGATATAAGTGAGTGATTTGTACAGGAAAAGTATGTTCTCATCTTGAAACGAATGCATTGTTGATTTATAGAATTGGCGAAACAAACGGTGACCTGTTGATCTACCATGTGATTCTAACGCTAAAACCATTCTGCCACGCGCCATTCGAGCTGGTGATCGACTTCACTCACACGTGCTCGGAGAACCGATTTCGAACAGAGTTTCTGCAGAAATGGTTTTACGTGCTACCGGAAGTAGCTTACGAGAACATTCACGGCGTTTACATTTACAATTGTAACAGTTGGGTGCGCGAGTACACCAAGTATCACGATCGCGCGCTAGTTCCGCTCAAGGGCAATCGCAAGATCGTGTTCGTAGATGGATCCAACCGGTTGAACGAACTTATTGAGCCGGAGCAACAGAAGTTGCCAGGTGCTACCCTGTCACTGGAGGAGGATCTGAAAGTTTTCACGGGTGCGTTAAAATTATCGCACAAAGATACGAAGGTGTCCATCAAGGTTGGGCCTACGGCTATTCAAGTAACTTCGTCCGACAAATGTAAAGTGTTGTCACACAGCGTACTGCTCAACGATGTCTACTACGCATCGGAGATCGAGGAAGTTTGTCTCGTGGACGATAACCAATTCACGCTCGCTATTTCAAACGAGGCTGGTCCGCTATCGTTCATTCACAATGACTGTGATAGTATCGTTCAAGCAATCATTCACATTCGCAATAGGTGAGTTGTCTAAAATCGACCGCCCGTTGTTATTTCCTGTTAATGATGTTTGATTTGTTTGATTTGCGAAGATGGGAACTGTCGCAGCCAGACTCTATGTCGGTACATCCGAAAATTCGGCCGAAAGACGTACCAGGCACACTTCTCAACATGGCTCTTCTGAACTTGGGCAGCTCCAATCCTGTGTTGCGCACAGCTGCCTATAATCAACTCTGCGCGCTTACGGCAACTTTTGATCTGAAAATCGAAGGGCAACTTTTGGAAACGTCGGGCCTCTGCATTCCATCGAATAATACTATATTCATCAAACATTTGAGCGAGACTTTAGCGGCGAATGATCCGCACCTAACACTCGAATTCCTCGAAGAGTGCATTCAGGGCTTTCGCGTATCTACGATCGAGCTCAAGCATTTATGCCTCGAGTACATGACTCCTTGGCTGAACAATCTTGTGCGATTTTACAAGCCCAACGACGAGGGCGGCAAGCGCCAGAAGCAGGTTAATCAAATTCTCGAGAAACTGATTACTCTGACGATCGAGGAGGTTGAGATGTATCCCAGCATTCAAGCGAAAATTTGGAGCACCATAGGTAAAATGATCGTTCTCGTCGAGCATTCACAATTTAATGAATTGCAGCGACGTTTAGAAAGAAAACTTGTTGATTTGGCAGGCCGACTACCAGACCTCATCGACACAGTGCTCGACAACTTCCTCCATAGAAGCGTGCGCTATGGTCTGGGCTCACCTATGGTCGAGATCATGGCTGATACAGCAGTAGCTCTGGCATCGGGCAACGTGCAGCTGGTCGCGAAAAAACTGATCAGTCGGTTATGTCGCGTCGTCGACAAGACTTGTACTTCGCCCACGCCACTACTCGAACAGCATATGATGTGGGACGATATTGCTATTCTCGCAAGATATCTGCTGATGCTATCGTTCAACAATTGTCTCGATGTTGGCAAGCATTTGCCTTACTTGTTTCACACGGTCACCTTTCTCGTGTGCTCGGGCAGTCTTAGCATGAGAGCCTCAACTCATGGTTTGGTCATCAATATCATTCACTCCTTGTGCACCTGCAGCTCACCATCCTTTTCCGAGGATACCTATAGAGTGCTGAGAATGAGTCTCGACGAGTTTTCTCTGCCAAAGTTTTATCTTTTGTTCGGCATTAGCAAAGTCAAGTCGGCGGCTGTCACCGCTTTTAGGTTTGTAAAAATTGGTCAAAAGAGATTTGCGAAGCCACGAGTGGATTCTTAATGGGTGTCACAATTATTGTTGTAGGTCAAGCTACCGTCACTCGAACGACAAGTGGTTTGGTAATGAGCGTAGCATCGCCACTTTACAAGATCGCGAACGATTGTCGCTGAACAGTCTCGAAGTTATCACCGATGCTCTGCTCGAGATAATGGAAGCTTGCATGCGCGATATACCAAAGTGCGACTGGTTGAGAACATGGACGTCTCTGGCAAAGAATTTTGCGTTCTGCTTCAATCCGGCCTTGCAGCCTCGGGCACTCATTGTTTTTGGCTGCATCAGCAAAAGTATCACCGACCAGGATATGAAGCAGCTACTAAGGATACTTGTCAAAGCACTTGAGAGCTTCAATGACATTATGCTGCTGGACGCTATCATTATGTGTCTCACAAGATTGCAGCCGTTGCTCAGGCCGGTAAGTCGAGTATTTTTTGTTGCATTTATTATACTAGGGAAATATTTGTAAATGCCGTTTGATTTTCAGGAATCACCGATTCATCGTTACCTATTTTGGGTAGCTACTTCCGTGCTCCAGCTCGATGAAGCCTCTCTCTACGCGTCTGGTCTAGCACTGCTCGAGCAAAATTTACACACTTTAGACTCGCAAGGTACATTTGACGACAAACCTCTCGAGAAAGTGATGATGTCAACGCGAGAGCCTCTCGAGTGGCATTTCAAGCAGCTCGATCACGCAGTTGGACTCTCGTTTAAGTCAAATTTCCATTTCGCTCTGGTGGGTCATCTGCTCAAAGGCCACAAACATCCGACGCCGACTACGGTCACTAGAACTACTCGGGTGCTCAATATGCTGCTAGCTATTGTTGCCAAGACCTCAAGAAGGGATAAGTTTGAGGTCACTCCTGACAGCGTTGCTTATCTTGCGGGTTAGTTGTTTACAATTAAAACTGAATGATTCAAGTGACGGAGGATGATTACCGATAAGCTTATGATTCCGATTGCAGCTCTAATATCTGTGTCAGAAGAGGTACGAAGTAGATGTCACATAAGGCATTCGTTAAATAGGAGTATGGGTGAAACAGGCAGCTCGGACTATTTGGATACGTTTAATTCGCACTGCATGGTATAAATCTCTTTCTCCGATTAATGTTTCCTAAAAAGGCACATTCATATGGTTTATATTTATACAGGTTACGCCAGTTAGTTTAAATAATCCAACAACTCGAAGGCAAAAGTCTTGGGATCTACTAGATCAGACTGCCATCAGCCAGGCAAGGCAGCTGAAATATCATTCTTCACACCATCAGGTATTATTGAATTGAGTTGTATTCGTTATGAGATATTTGTTTATATTCTAAGTTATTTCAGCTGAAATTTTGTTGCGAACATGAGCTAAATTTCTCCAACTCGTTGAAAGTCTCTTCGGTCCTACTTTAGTTTAGTTTTTCCGTTAGGGTGGTATGATTTTTTCATTTTCGATATTCTTTCTCTTATATTTCGTGTATAAATGTTCAGCAAAGCCAACGTACATTTTGGGCGTAACAAAATTAATAATATCATATGATACCGGCATCGTATCTAGAACAAAAAATAATTGTTTGTTTCCATGTATGGCCGATGAAAAAAAATTGATGTCTGTGCCTGCTACTTTACCTGCCTGTAAAATGTCACTAACGTTTACACTCAATCTTTCTGTACGTTTTCTCCGAACGTCACACTGCAACGGTATAAAACGAAATGTGTACTTTCACTAACAAGACTGGCAGGATTTTATTTAAAACGCAGCGATCCTTCTCCATGCCTTCGACCAAGGAAGCCAAAGCCAATGACGAAATGGAAACGCAGGTACTTGAAGATAATTTGAACTGTACGCGATTACAATTACAAGGGGAAAAGGATGATGAGTGTGTCCATCCCTCTTCTATCTTTACCCTTATATGTATTCTTTTTGAAAAAATGACTAATTCTCCTCGATACGAACATTTTTCATAAAGAATACTTATTCGTACGTATAATTCAGACTTGCGTAAACGCTCGACTGCTTACAGAATCAAAGTGCGCGAGTCAGTGTCAGTAATGAAAACAACATATTGCTCGACCCTGATGTTTTAACGGACTTTATGACTCAAACTCTCGTGTTAACGGTCTTGGCTACGCTAGTCAAGTACTCGACTGACGAGAACATAACTCGAATACTCTACGAGTATCTTGCTGAGGCTTCTGTTGTCTTTCCAAAGGTTTTTCCCGTCATGTAAGTTTTGTTTTTGTATCGACGTTGTACATTAGCCGCAAAATTATAGTTTTACAGAATAAATTTAATTGTTAACAGTCATAATTTGCTGGATGCAAAAATCAATAGTATCCTAACGTCTTGCCACGATCAGTCAGTGCTTAGTTCCGTTCAAGCCATTATTCAAAATATGATCGCTTGCGAGGACACCAGTCAGCAGCACCTTCATTACTTGCAAAGTTGCGGATTTGGCGGTCTGTGGAGATTTGCTGGACCATATACAAAAGTGAGAATACTTTAGCAGCCTTAACTAAGCTAATTTTGACTGAATGATTCTTCTATTTCTAGAGCAATCGAACCGCAGAAAGTGCCGAACTCTTTGTCAACTGTCTTGAAGCGATGGTAGAAACTTGCTTACCAGTAGAAGAATTTGAAGTGTCGCACAGCGACGTGTTGTCCGATCCGACAAAACGCTCGAGTAGCACTGCGTCAGATTTATCGAAAACGAACTCTTTGGTTACGAAAGTGCGCAATTTTTCCGAAGAGAGCAGTTCTTCGTTGTCCTTTAATCGTAAAGAGTCAGTTTTCAACTGTTACCATGAGCGTTGATGAGTAAAGTGTAGAATTCGATTTTTTTTTTCTTTTCAGCCATCCTGTAGAGAGACGATTTGAAAAGTCGGACACAGCGAGTCAGGCAGCTTCGATCGTCAATGTCGAAAGTTCGCAACCATAGCATTTGAGCAAAGAGACAAATAGCAGATACAGTAAATACGATCGGACAAATATTCAGCAATCTGCGTAAGAAAGAACCTTCTTTACCCTATCATTCAACAGTATATCAAGGATTTAATTGCTTTTTTATCTTGCAGGCCTCCTGGAATGTCAGCATCATGCTATTGCTGCTTGATGTCCAGTCAAATAAATCCAGTACCGTCCAGTTCGCGTTGAAAGTGCAGATTTGTCGCGAGCCTATCGTTATTCATTCATTTTGTTTGTTTTCTTTTTTTTTTTCTTCTTTTTTTTCACGTACCCTTAATTTTTGTTTTGTCTGTTCTATTCATCATTGAATCGAAAAGAAGGAACACCAACGAAAAATAAATAAAACTAGAGACCGCTCTTGTCATATATTTCGCAGTCCGTAGCGAAACACCAAAAGTACAAAGCCTTTTGAATGGTATGCGATGCACAGAAAAAAAAATTGAATTAAGAATAGAGTCTCTGCCGAATTTACGATTTTGTTTTAATAGATTATTCACGTAGACTGAAACGTGTAAAATAATTCTTTCTTTTACACCAAAGCTTTATTCTTCTGTCTGCAGACGGAGATTTTTTTCCTAAAGTCGTAACGAGAAGAACGCTTTATGTGATGAATTCTGTAAGTAGATAAAAGCAGATTTGTATATATTTTTAGGCGCGTTATAATTAGAAGAAAAAAAATTAATAAACCGAAGGACAGCATTTACTGCGTCAGAATAAATGTTTGTAAAAAAGGTTATTGTTCTCGTAATAAACGAAAAGGATTTTAATGAGATGAAAGTAAGCGCGGAACGCAATAAGGTATTGTTGTACAATTTTAAGAATATTTAGAGTACTGTTATTTATATTAATAATGAACTGTGATTCTCCACTTAGTTCTGCTGTGCCCTGAGCGAATTCTCAAGCGGAGAATCGATTATGTTTTGTGCTCTCAACAAATCGTTCTTCTCTCGTTGGCTTGCCATTTCGTAATTTTTACTTTGTTAAGTCGCTATTATGATGTTTTTTAAACAAGTTAACTAAATAATGTCGGCGACGATAATGAATTCCAACTGTGATTAGATCCACCAAACACCCGATGGGACCTGTGTGCGGTCCTAACCTTAAAAAATAAATGGAAAAAATAATAAACTCGATGTTTTATCGTAGGGTATTATAATAATTGCATATCGATGAATCGATGTTGAAAAGCTCTCTAACGTACCTGCTCTGGTTGAGTTAACTTTTATGCCTTTTTCGAATGAACAATGAACATGCGACATAAATTTATACATACTGGTGGATGTGTAAGTTGCGATCCGAGGTTTTTTAATGTTTTCGTTGCCAGAATATTCTATGCTAGATATCTATAAGGTTCATTGCGATTTGAACTGTGAACGAACAAAGAAAAATTATGTATATTACTATAGATGATGCCAACACCAATTAGGGTTCGAGAAAAGAAAAACACTCGCGTTTGCCGTCGATGTTCTAAATGTGTAAGTAAGTAAAGTAAAAACGTGCGCGCGAGAGTAATGTGAATGTGTACATCGAAAAAAAAAAAAAAACTTGGCGAGGCCTATTGAAACGAGCGTACTGACGAGACATCGCTTCTGTCTAAATGTGATGTGTAATTTATTATTATTACTACTACTACTAGTACTACATAATGTATAAATGGATAAATGATTTTTAAGAAAGAGCCGCTTTTTGCTATAAGTTGAAAAACAAATTAATAGATTTATTGTAAATGAAAAGTATGTATCGCGCGAGAAAGTAACTGAAATTCGAGGCAGAAAAAATGAATCGAAACGAAAGCATTGCACACGAAGTTAACTGATTGCGGAAGCGTCGGATCAGAGCTCGTTGCTTCTGAAATTAAGATTATAAGTATTAAGCAAGTAGCAGGGATATGCGTTATCGTATCTTAATAAAAAATTAATAAACACACGTGGAAATTTAATCTCGATTTGTTCATTTACAATTCATTGATTTTTTCGAAATCCACTGCCTTAAACTATCAATTTGAAATGCAATTCTGGAAATGAGTATTTGAAAGAGCTTCAGAGGTGTTGATTCAAGCGAGGCACGCAAAGAGATATAAATATTAGAAAAATGGTGAAAAAAAGGTAGCAAGATGCGTTTCTCCCACTATGTGTGCTCTCTCCGGCAGAAAATATGGCAGGTCTGCACGGCGGCGTTTCAAATCAGTCGGTTTGCGGTGGCGCGCAATGTCAGTTTTAGCTGCGCGACTATATTCACCGATCGCTGCGATAAAAGAGAAAGTTGTGCAGGGAAGACGCGCGTTTGCTGGCCTGAGCAATTAAAGCTTCGATCGTTTTCTTTCGCTCGGCGACGTTTCTTACTGCTGCTTGTTTTTGCTCGTTCCAACCAGCGATGATCATACGCAGAATCCATATGGCTGCAAGAGGATTGTGGGCTTTTCTCGCGATCACCAGTTTGGCTTTTAACCGTCCCGGTGTTGAGGCCGATCCACGTACGTATCTCGTTTGTTGCTTCGACGATGGCATTGTTCATTTGCGATTTTCGTTGCCAATGTCACGGATGAGAAGCTAGAAATTACGTAAATTACGAGAATTTCAGACGAACTTGGATTACTATTCTGAATTTTCCGCTTATCGTTCAAATATATCGCACACTTGCGTGGCTCCACCATTGTTTTTCGTTCTTTCCTTTCGAATGTCTATTTTTGCTCAAGGTCGAAGAAAATTAGCTGCTACTAAAACACTTGTATTAACAAATTTAAATCTGTGTGCTAGAACATTAGCATCGCCATTCGGAGCTGTACTTTCTTTGTTTATCCAGGCGGCAAATGATTGCTAGCTTGGATTAGTCGTCTCATTTGGCTGAAAGAATGCCGCGCTGGCATGGTATGATATTGAAAAAGCAGATTATTCGAGATAGCGTTAGAAATGATGATAATAATAATTGGCTTGAGCTGGCAACTGCCAAGGATGGAAAGTCGCGTGAGCAGCTTTCTCGAATATGCAGATATAGCGAGGCGTGAGCCTGGCCGGCCGACGCCGCTTCAGCCAATAGATCGACCAGGCGTACGATATTCGTACATTGCCGATCCAAGCAGCCACCCGTCTGACCAGTTCGGCCAATTTGCCAGCAACTGTTCCGATCACGGGACATTTGAATTGTAAATTTGCAGGCGACTCGAGCGATTTCAGCGAGAGAATGCAGGCATGTTTGGCCCTCGGCGGGCCCTTGGCGCGACCTTGGGCGCCGGCGATTGGCCGAAAGCCAAGGCCAGCGTGGCTCGGCATCAAACTGGATTTCGGATTTTTTCAGCGCGATCCTCAGAGCCGGAGACGCGGCAGCTTCGGCCTATTCCCTGGCCTCGACCACGCAGCAGCGTAACTCAACACATCAGCGAAGGTCTTAATTAATTTAATCCTTTGCCAACACACAGTCAGGTTTTGCGCGACGTCAAGGAGACTGTCGAGAACGAACGAGGCTCTGAGGCGAACCTGCAGCGAGCTCAAGAGCAACTCGGCCGACATCAACTGCGTGATCGCGGACGATCGGTGAGCCCTTCAGCCGCGAAGGCCGCGAACGCGTGAACGACGAGCGCTTGCTTTGTCGACAGGCTGTCCTGCCTGAGGCTGCTGGCTAACGGCCTGGCCGACTTCACCGTGCTCGAGCCGGAAGACTTGACGATCCTCGGCAACGGCGTGCTCGACCACGACGACCTGCTCGTCACCCACGAGCTCAAGCTCTTCGCCGACAGTGAGTCAGTCCGCAGTGACGCGCTCGCGCCGTCCGACTCTGACCCGGGCTCGGTTTCCAGACCAGCCGCAGTACGACACCGAGATGGTGGCCGTCGTGAAGAACCGCTTCAACAACGACTGGGTGACCAAGGACAAGAGGCTGTGCTACATCGGCTTCGAGGTAGGCTACCAGCCCAACTACCACTACCACTACACGTCGGTAAGTAGGCGCTCGGCCGGCGGGCCCCCGGCGGGCCCCCGGCTCCGGCCCCGGCCCGCCCGCCGAGCGGATCGCAGCGCCTTCTCGGCCCGCAGTACTTCGAGCGCTGGCTCATCAACAAGGACTGCGACCCGAGGCTGACCAGCCTGGAGAACCGCATCACCGACCTGTCGAGCCACTTCGGCTCGGCCTGCATCGCCGGGCCCTGGTCGCTCGACGCCGCCTACGACGGAGAGCTGAGTGAGCGCAGCCCGCGAGCGGCCGTTTTAGCCGCGGCTAACGCGCGCCGTGCCTGCATTGCAGAGAGCAAGTACAAGAACCTGTGCGCGCTGTGCGGTAACCCGAGCGGCTGCTTCGCGGGCGACCGCTTCTACGGGATGCAGGGGGCGCTGCAGTGCCTGCTGGAGGGCCTCGGCGACGTGGCCTGGCTGAGCAGAGCCGCGCTCGCGCCGCACTCCAAGGTGCGCGACGCACCGCCGCGGCCCGCCGCAGCACTGACCCGCCGCTTGGCTTGCGCTTGCAGGAGCTGGCGGACGACGGCTTCAGCCTGCTCTGCCCGGACGGCATGTTCCTGCCGCTGTCGACCAACAAGAGCTGCGCCTGGATCGCCGAGCCGCGCGCCAGCCTGGTCGCGAGGAGGTGAGTCGCGCGGCGCGGGCCTGCAGTCGCGGCGGCCGCCGCCGCCCCGCCGCCCTGCCGCCCCGCCGCCGTGACTGCAGCCCCGCGCACCGCTTGCAGCGAGGCGGCCGAGCGCGTGCGACAGCGAACCAGCGGCAAGAGCTTCTACCCGGTGATCCACGCCTCCTACGAGTTCTCGCACCTGGCGAGCCTGGCGGCCCCCGTCGCGCCCGAGGACTACGCGCAGCGCTGTGAGTACGGGCGGGCCCAGGGCCCCGGGCCCCGGACCGCGCCGCGACGCTCACCGCGCTCCGCTCTGTCGCAGTCCAGGGCTACCTGAGCTCCCGGCTGTCGATGCCCTGCCGGCCCGAGCGCGACGTGCGCTGGTGCCTGGCCTCGGGCGCCGAGGCGAGCAAGTGCGGCTGGATGCAGGCGGCCGCGGCGGCCGTGGGCGTCGAGCCGGCCGTCTCGTGCGTGCAGCAGCGGGACCGCGTCGCCGCGCTGGAGGCCGTGCGCGACGGGCGCTGCGACGTGTACGTGGCCAGGCCCGAGGAGGAGGCGCTCGCCCGAGGGTGAGGCCCGCCCCCGCCCCCGACCCCCGCCGCCCGCCACCCTCAAGCTCTCTGTGCGCAGGATGCGGCTGAGGCCCGTGGCGCACATCGTCGGCAGCCGGGACCTCGAGGCGAGCCGCGTCGCCGCGATCGTGAGGAAGGACGCCCGCTTCCGGAGCCTCGCCGAGCTGAGGGGCGCGAGCGCCTGCTTCCCCGGCTACCGCAGCGTCGGTGCGTATCCCCCGAGCCGGCGCGCCGCGGACTCGGCTGACCGGCCCGCTGCCCGCAGGCTGGAACGCCTTCTTCGCGCTGCTGCGCAACAGCTCGGCCGCCCACGACTGCTCGGACGCGCGGGCCATCTCCCAGTTCTTCAACCGCAGCTGCGTGCTCGGACTGAGCGCGGCCAACTCGAGCCTGCCGGCGAACCTGTACTCGCTGTGCGAGCAGGCGCGCCTCGATGAGAAGCTCGGCCCCGACGAGAACGCCTTCAAGTGCCTGATGAGCGGCGCCGACGTGGCCTTCGTCAACGTCCACGCCGCCAAGAAGTACTACTCGGGTAGGCTGCTCGCCCACGCGCAGGCCGCGCCGCCGTCGCCACGCTACAGCCGGTCGTTTGCTCGACAGCCTTCTCCATATTCCGCATGAACTACAAGCTGCTCTGCCAGGACGAGCTGCGTTCGGCCGAGCAGTGCTTCCTCGCCGAGACGACTCTGGGATCGGTAATCGCATTGTCGTCCGCGTGACGCAGCTCGGCTCTGTCATTCGCTCGCTTTCTCGCAACCAGGTGTTGGTAAGTAGCAACGTAACCAGGACGAGGGAACAGGAGATCTTCTTGATGCTGCTGTCGCTCGACCGGTTCTTCGGCAAGACGCTCGACAGGGAGACGGCCATGTTCACTCTCTACGGCCCGTACGAGGGACAGTCCGACGTCATCTTCCCCGTAAGCGCATTCGAGCGAGTAGTCGCGGTTAGTGGCCGACCGATCACCGGGCTTTCGTCGGCTTCAGGACAGGACGAGGCACCTGCAGAGGCACGCGACCGACGTGCGGAACGGCCGGACCTACGAAGAGATCCTGCAGAGCCTCCAAGACCACGTCGAGTGCGGCGCCGGCTCGGGGGGCTCGGCGCGCTCGGCGGCCGCGGACGGTGCTGCGATCGTGGCGCTTGCGTCTGCGCTCTGGGGGCTGCTTCGGCTGCTCTTGTGAATTTTCTCACGCTCTCAATAAAACACCAATTCGTTGCATCCTCCAATCCAACATTGGCGTCTTTAGCACCTCGCGCTCTTCCAAAGCAACTTACCACCACGTGCGTTTTAAGAGCAAACTCTATGACTTTTGCTGATAAATAATAGTCATGGCCATGCGTCCATCTTGATGCTTCGATTTCGTTATCAGTGCGACTTCGTTTTTATATTTCTAATGCAAACGATAACGATAATACGACTCTCTGCATTTTTCGTTAGGTTTATACTGATTCGGTCAAGAGTGTCGTATATTAATAATGTGAAACTTGCGGCTAGGCTGCCGGTCGTACGTTGCCCCGTTGTAATAATAATTACTCGCCACAGGCTCGACTTCTCTTGTTCGCCGGATCGAGAACAAGGGATGCTGGAGAAACTCGGATCCGCGAGAGGTCTTTTGCTTAACGATCGCACCGCGATGAACGCGTTAATCCAGACATCGGACGACAAGCTCGAGCACTTTGACGTGGACCAAGCTTTCGGCACGAAACGACAACTGGACCAGCGTCTTCGGACGACGGCAAGAGTCCAAGCCAGACCGTCGCGGTGTTGGTGTTCTTGCGGGGCGGTGCTGCTGCCGAAAGCTTCGCTCGGTTTCGTTTGATCCGACCGTGCGAAGCCTGCCGAAGAAATAGCGATAACCGCGCTGGAACTTGGATCAAGTACTCGTATTTGCAACGAATGACGAACATCAAAGTCTGTAAGCCAGAAGTTGTTGTCGATGAGAAAACGATGAGAAATGAGCCTATAGTTCAAGTTGATGCGAGACGATCTTTATTTTGGAGGTTCTAACAACTTTTCCGACATTTCATAAAATTTAAACATTTCACGCATAAAATGCAACGTCGTTAAAGTTTCCGTTTCTTACACATTGCTGCTTTCCAACGACCAATTGCAAGCATCTATTATGCGTTGAAGGTCAAATCCTCGCGCGTCCTTTGCGATAGCAACCTCTCCTAGATACGCCTTACAAAAGTTTTCGATCGCCATTTTTTTGCTGCGGATAAATCAATTATCCAAAGGGATCTGAAGGAACGCTCTTATCGGATAAGATACGGTTAAGTTTACCTCGTTAACGCTTGACCATGACTGGCGACCTACTACAGCAAGTAGCTTTTCTAGATTCCATCCATCAAACAAACGATCAAAATCAATGTAAGCGTTTGCTTGACGTTTACATTGACGACGTTTACAGCGAGGCTGACGATGCTGTCGACGCATTCTGCAAGATTTCATTGCCAATAACCAGCTAACGCGATATGATTTTTACTGCGATTCATAAGCGGCTACGTGCAGTCATTCTATCAAATACTCTGGAACAAATAAACATGATTGCGCTTAGTTTTTTGCTTAAGACGCACAACAGTTATTGAGAATACCGGCGCGAAAATGCCAACTATGAAAGAGAACTGCAAACCATAAGTTAGCGTTATGTCTAGAAGACACCTATACGATATTCGGACGGCCGATCGGTTATATACCAACCGAGCTTCTCTCCCCCTCTGATCGATCGTAAGCTAGGTGTCAATAGAGAAATCATATATATTTGAGCTTGCAAACGAGAACGATAAGCATGCTCGTTGGCATTATCGCAGAACGACGTACAATAGAATAAATGGTTGTTTTCGCATGACCGCATCCACCCTTAGGACTTGACTCGATTGGGGACAAGTGTGTACAATCGGTTGAATCGACAACTATCGCGGTAGGCCGTCTCGATAAGGCATCGAGCAAACACGATGAAGCAAAAAACATGGAAAAACGTCGCGGCCTCCTCGTCGAGTACTCGCGATAGCGCGTGCCGACGCGAGCAACAGTCGATAAAGTTTGCGGGCACGTCCGTCGCTCGCTAGTTGGAGATGCCGTCTTGCTGCTGCTGCTGCTTTGGGCCTGGCTGCCGGCGAGATCAAGAATAAGGGATGGTGGAGAAACGCGGTGTTCTACGAGGTGTACCCGCGCAGCTTTATGGATACGAATAACGACGGGTTCGGAGATCCGAGAGGTAGGTCACGCAGCTGCAGCTGCCTGGGAAATACGAGTGTTGAACGAACCCCGCGAACGCTCAGCCGACCGAGCTCATGGGGGCCGTCTCTGTCCGAAAGACAGATGGGAGACCACGACCGCAGCCGGACGGCCTCGAGGTTCCCGGGCAGGGCCGAGCAGATGACGATGCTGGCGATGCTGCTGCCCGGTCTGGCCGTCACCTACAACGGCGAGGAGATCGCCACGGCGACCCCGAGCACTACAGGGAGCGCTCGCGCGACCCCAGCCGCACGCCCTTCCAGTGGGACGACAGCAGAAACACAGGTGGGTCAGCGGTGCTGTACGGTATCTGCGCGACGGCTACTTCACGGCCCGCTTGCGCTTGCAGGCTTCAGCCGGGCGGCCGCAACCTGGCGGCTGCCCGTGCACCACGACCACAAGGCGCTGAACCTGGCCAAGCAGAAGAGGGAGCCCCGCTCGCACTACAAACTCTACCGGGCTCTGTTAACCTGTTAACTCAAGACCGGCACGCTGCGCACGGACGCGCACCGTGCTCTTGCTCGTCAACTTGTCCGACGACCGGCCGCAGAGGATAAGCGTCCACGCGAAACCGGCTAACCTCAGCGGCACGCTGGTCGTGTCGAGCCTTGCCTCGGAAATCGACTGGGGGTAATTACACGCCGACGGCTGCTTCCAGCTGCGAACGCCCCCTCCCCTGCAAGCCTTCGCGCAATAACGGATTGCTCTTCCAGTTCTTCGCTCAAGCTTTCCGACGTGCTGCTGCTGCCGCCGCCGAAAGCCTCGCTCGTCTTGTCCGTCGGGACCCGTAGAGCCTGTGACGTTGCGCTGTAGCGAGTCCACGAACATCAGCTCCCACCAAATATCACAAATCTTTCTTCCCTCCGAACTAACTGGCTTCCACGCAAAACCGAATTTCCAGTTTTTCTCCTTCGCATCGTTGGATCGTAGATCGCACAGCCTAACTACCTATGCTAGTTCTTGGAATGTCAAGAGTCTCAGGGCACGTAACGCACACTGAAAACCCAGTCTAGCTTTGGAATCTATTATCCGTCGATGCTGCGAGACTTGCCAATTTCACAGACGCCGACGAAGCAGACAAGATTGTTCGTCAGGGATAGGCTGCGTTTTTCAAGTTTTCACTGAATACCTGGGAAGCTATTTCCAACCGAAATATGTCGGTGGCAACAAATCTTATGTACGAGAGATCCCACTCGATATATTCTTGTCAATGTCCAGCTTCAATTTCCATTCCAACATTTTCTAGCTTAACAGAGCTTGGCCAATTCTAATTTAAGTTTGCCTCTTGTATCGATGGCGATCGACCGACAATGTCATGCTAATGGTTACTTTTTTCATAATTAACTAGCTTATCTGTGCACCACAAGTACGTTATAGTTTTTTTGCTTTTCAACTAGCAGGCTCAGGCCCATACGAGTGCATTTAATACGTAGGCTAACAGGCCGAAACGTAAGCTCACCGATATAAACTCTTCTAAAAACAAATAGTGTACGTGAGTACACGAAAATACTGTTTATAAAGATCCTGAACAGCGTGGTGAAATCTCTTTGAAATTCTCGCTATGAAGTACCATCATAATTAAGTGGCGAATGGGTTAACTTGTGTAATAAAATGTTTATAAACAGTATTTTATAATATAACCATTTTATTCGACTTTGATAAAATATTTCCAAATTATGAAAAATATATAAATAGTTCTTCTGCAAACGTGGTGTGTTATAGATGCATATAGTGATTAAATGGAAAAAATAAAATCATTAACCAACAATTCGCCTCGGTTTCATATAATCAGCGAAAAGTTTTTATTATACGTATAAAAATTGAACTAATAAATAGCACGGACGCGCGTCTTTTCCTTTCATTTAAATCTTATACATGAAAATCCGAGCAACAAAAATATCTATATGCTTTATACAATCCGCAGTTTGTGTTTTCATACGATTTACGATTTTATTCTCCTTCAAAAAAACAATTATTGATTTAAAAATCATTACCCTTGAATTTGTAATAACTATGTCGCGAGAGAAAAGGATATAACTTTCACATATTTTATTATTTTTCTTTTTAATAAAAACTGACAGTTATTCGTCGAAAGTTCCATTTAATGAAATGTAAAAAAGGCCAAATCGACATATTACAGTATCGATGGCCATCCATTTATCCAACACACAATGCATATATAAACAAACGAACCCTCGCGAATAATGCAAGAGTTTAATTAATCAATCTCTTTAGCAAAGCTTTATTTCAACTTTTTTTTATCGGGTGTACGCGCGTAAATTGATTCTGCGAGCAACAGCAAAATACGTATTGAAGAACAGTTGAGCAGATATGTCTTTTTTCTAATAAAGGGTGTAATTTAAATTTCTGCCGTTTCACCATTTCACCGTTGATATCGAGTGATGAAAGAATATATCAAAGTGCATAAACATAAAATAGCCGCTTTTACAATTCGTTATGTCAATGTCTTCGTATTACAATAATAGCAATATATAATTATAATAATAGTAATAATAATAGTATAATAATACAATAATACATTTAGCCTAAGCAATATCTTATAATGATCAAAGTCGTCCGGTACATGTTTTGTTGTTTCTGTTTTCGCGCGTAACACAAGTTTGTAATAAGCTTAATCAGTTCCGCTCATTTATAAAACGAAGAGAAAAAAGGAGACACCGAAGCTACAAAGTTTTCGGAAGCAAAGTATTAAATCGTGTGCTTAATGACGAGGTCTCTCTTATTTGCGATCACATGACATCGCCGTCTCGCGCTTGTTTCCTAATTCTTCGCCGCGCAAAGAACTATCGTAGTTTGAAGAGAGAAGATTTGAGTCAAAGCGTATTTTACTTTATTAAAAGAGACCATGAACTGTTTTGTCGGTGGTAAAAAAGACCGTTAACATTGATTGTGTGCTGCGACGACAGTGACATGAATAGTAACAACAATTACTATATCAAATAAAGTAACAGACTCAATCGCATAAAAAAAGTGTGACGATGTTAGAAAAAGACATTCATCCAGAAACTCTTCTTGGCTTTTCCGTAAGCTTCCACGTAAGTTTGTTCGAATCTTGGAAAAATTTAAGCATGATTCACTTGAACTATGTCGTCCAGTCACCAATTAAGTGTAGATCCTTTCGTTCGATACAATCGAACTTGCTCTATCGTTTCTCTTTCTCTCTCGTGCGTTAATTACAAATCTCAAAAGTTTTATTTTTACTTTTTCTGAAAAATTGTTTTTCTAGCTTTAGTTTTTAATATAATTCGCCGAGATGCGCCATGTTGCTTCTCGCCAGTTTAAGCGAGTTGCTGCTGTCGCTGCTGAGGTTTTTTTTTTAAATCTTATTTATCTTAAATTGCTCTCCATTTTTTGCTTGATTTTTTTTAATGTTTTTGTATTACGTAAAATAATTAAAGATAAGATATTATTATGTTATAGTTTATGCTGGGGCCTCAGGCATGACGACTAGCTTTTTGGTACAGCTAGCCCCCGCAATTCCTTGATTCGCCCGTACGGCATCGGGCCCGTTTGGTATTACACTTTAAAACAACCTACATCTTCCTTTCTTCTTCTTCTTGACCTGTCAACAAATGTGCATATAAAAAATTAGGCTGCTTTCTATTTGATAATCTCATGTTATGAAAATTTTTTCAACAAAAAAAATTGTTGCAATAAACAATTCAAAACATTTACATTTTTATTTTAACAATAAGGAAAGTTTAGCAATTTCCGACATTATTGAAAATTAAGTATTAATTTAAGCAATGAAATAGACATTGATGAAATTTTAGAGAAATTTGAAGTGACATAAAAAAAATAGATAGAGCATAGGATGAATCATAGGTGATTCACTTATTCCTTTAAGATAGGATAAAATGAAAATTATATATCTAACTAGCAACAGCTAAGATATCTAATAAAATAAAATTGTTAAATGATGTATAGTTGTTGATTATTGATAATTTTGATAAGAATATTGCTACAGAAATTGAAGCATAATATTCATTATTTCATCGAAAAAATTTTATAAAAAAACCTTAGTAACACCTGTAATGCAGCTCTGGTTGCTGTTTCAAAGACCTCCCTGACACCTTCCTTGCTCTTGGCAGAGCATTCGAGGTAGGCAAAAGCATTGATCTTCTCGGCCATGGCGCGACCTTCTTCAGGCTTGACTGGTTCCTGTTTCATTTTGGCGAGTTCCTTGATGGTACTAGGATCATTGCGTAGATCCTTCTTGTTACCAACCAAAATGATTGGTACGTTTGGGCAGAAGTGCTTTACTTCTGGTGTCCACTTTTCCGGAATGTTCTCTAAAGAATCAGGACTGTCAATGGAAAAGCACATCAAGATGACATCTGTGTCGGGATAGGATAGTGGACGAAGTCTGTCGTAGTCTTCCTGTCCTGCTGTATCCCACAGGGCAAGCTCAACCTGCATAACAGGCAATAATCTTGTTAAATTCCCTATTACTCAACACTACACTATCAGTGTCACATTTGCTACTATTGAATTTGAAAAATGGAAAAATAATTGTTGTACTTACTTGTTTTGCATCTACTTCAATATCAGCTACATAATTTTCAAAGACAGTAGGCACATACACCTCAGGGAACTGATCCTTGCTGAACACAATCAGCAAGCAAGTTTTACCACAGGCACCATCGCCAACAATCACCAATTTCTTTCTAATAGCTGCCATGAATCCTGTAACATGTATACAATTACTGAGTTGAGTCAAATATTGATATATTTTTTCTTATCTATGTTAGTTGTTTTTTTATGTTGCTTATGCTTATACGTATATTTCTTGTGATCTATGCAATTTAATACAATATTATGCTTGAAAAATATTTTACTAATATGTGTGTGTATTTATAATCCAAAAGTATAAATATAGGTTATAATGCATGTGCAAAATTTTTTATTTCGTAGCAATATTTTTTTTAAATAAAGTCAAATATCTTCAATGTTTAATAAGGCAAATTATTCTTTATTTCTATCAGAAGTCAGAATTCTATTAATTGATTACTATTAATCAATAGAATAGTACAATACTTTATCTTTTATTTGCATAACTCTACCACTGAATTTTTTTGATTGTGATTTTACTCATCTCAATAAAATATTAGTACAATCATGTAATATGTATCTAATACATGACATTTGTCGGATTAATTGTCAGATAAATTAAAATATGCAGGTATACAGAATTGACTAATATCCAATATTACAGACAAAGAAAATGGCTATCCCTATCTCTGGCAATGATAAGATAGCGAATCAAAAGATATTTGATTACAGAGTTGCACATAGCAAAGTTTGTATCCATTTATCTAAGAAATTGATGCAAATCTGAAGGTATGCAAAGGATAGGAAGTTATAAAAAAAAAGTAAATGATGATGTCATCCTTTGGAACATCTTATAGAAAACAATAATTTTTTTCGTATATCTAGCTGATGCTTCACAATAGAGTCTGATAGAAGTTATTTTTAGAAATTAACAAGTTAAGAACTTCTTACCTGAAGAATTTAAAGAAATGTTAGTTACAAGTACACCGAGAAGAAAATGGAGTAAGTTTCAAGAAAAATCAAGTTTATGAGGTACTTATAAGTACGTTTGTGTACTTTAACAGCCACAGAAAGCACTTTATAAAAAAAGAAACAGAAAAAATAAAAAGTAAGCCTATATGGCTAGCTCTATGCACTCTGCATAAAATTATGAAAAAAGGAAGACACTAGCGAAATCTAAGGAATTTTATCAGTGCTCATAGAAGCATACATGGAAAAGTATATCTAGACCATACCTGAGCCAGGATACTCAGTATCGTTTGATCCAAGTGTACTCCTAATACATCCCATTTCACAAACAATCAGTCTCAGTCTGTATCCTACTCAGATTGGTACTGCTAGTAGCATGCTAGAATCATCAGAGCTTGTACCAGTGAGAGCCTTTCCAAAAAATGAAACATACAGATAATCAATTCCAATCATAAATCCAGCAGCGATAACATATCATAGGCATCTCACAAGAGCTGTTAAGCAAGTGTGATTCGTAACACCAATGCCAAAAATACCAGAGTGAGAGAGAGAGAGAGAGAGAAAGAAAGAGAGAGAAGGGCATGCTTTTGAAACACCACATAAGATGGCTCCATCAGCCAAAAGCAATTAGCCCAGCACAGCCTCCAAAACACTAGGGCAGACACTTGGCATAAGGTGTAAACTGACAACTGCCAAAGAAATCTACCTGTCAGATGAGGAAAGTGATGAGCCAAGCAGGCACCACCGTGAAGCCCAAGAAACAAAAATGTCGTCGTCCTCCACAGAAGCTCCACGTAAGTGTAGCCCGTGAAGTAACTTTTTGGAGCAAGGACTCTTTGCGAACGATACTGTGGGTTGGATGCTCTCGGAGAATAGTGACTTCCGGGAGTCGTGGTACTCGGGTGTCAGGCGTCACGCGTCGCTCAAGCACTCCCACTCTGTCGAGGCGCGTCGCCGGGAATTCCGAAGCCTCTCCCTCACACGTATACGTACGCACTTACACACATACACGACCATTCGCTCGCTCGTCGCGCTCTCTCTCTCTCTCTCTCTCTCGTTGGTGTACTTTGTCAACCTTTCTCGTCACGCTTAGCCTATACCTTGCCGAATTCCTCGCGAGAAAAAACTCTCGTTCAACTTGGAACTCAAGGCACGGTAATATGATGAAACGATTGTCGATGTTACTTTAGCGGTGTATTTACCTGAAATCTTGCGCGACAGATAGTGAAGAAAATGGCTGCCCGCCGTTCGCTGGCCACACCTCAATGGCTCAATCTGTTGAGTGCACGAGACTCAGCGCCGCGGCTCGCTTGCCAGCCGAATTACACACTCTACTCTCGTCTTTTTGCGCCTCTACAGTCTACCCCCGAGCAACGCGCGCGCACACAGAGACACAAACACGGCAGTGGGGCATGCAACAGTGCGCGCGTGCGCGCGCGAGACAGAGAGAGAGAGTTCGAGCCTCATCTTAGATCAGGTCCGTAGACGTTGCCAACTCGTGCCCTCGACTTTATCAAATGTTTGCTTATGCATTCAATGAGATGATAAATTTCTTTAATCTTATACAGTTAACGATTCTCGATTATCTGTACCTTTTTATCGTCTTTTTAAGCATGTCTTTATCGTGGGAGTGCGTGTCATGTTTTTAGATTATTAGAAAATTGAAATAGGGTCATTCGAATCGCGTTTGCCCCCAAAACGTGTAATTATCAACTGTTATTTACTTTGATTTTTTACATGCAACGTAAACGTCAGTCGACCGCTTATTCCAATAATGTTAAAATGCTTTTCAACGATCCGTAGAAACAAGCTGTGGACCTTGGCTCTAGAACTGGCAGTTCCGCTAGTGATGTTTAAAATTTGCCATGACTGGCCACTGTTTGTCCTCTCCTTTGCTCTCGAGGCAGTAAATTTCACGGAGAGCAAGAGAAAGAGGGGGAGAGAGAGAGAGAGAAAGAGAGAGAGAGAGAGAGAGAGAGAGAGAGAGAGAGGCGACGTCGCCCTCTAAGCTGTGCATCATTTTTAAAGTATTCCGAACCATGAAAACAAAAAACACTACATACACCGACCAGTTTCGCGCCCGGCGCCTACCTTACCTATCGTTGATCAATTGAGAATCTGTAGTTAATCGCCAAACACGGAAGCAGATTAATTATATAAATCGTTGCGCATTCGTACGATGCCAAACACGGAAAACTTTTGCGAATGAAATTATAGTCAACTCGGTCATAAGAAAATACTTTTTTCGTTGGTGCTAAATTGAAGATGAATCATCGTGATTTCGAGTATATAAAAATTCGTACATGTTCAATCTGCGCTTGCGCCATACAGTTGCATGGAAGAGAGGGGCGGCAGTAAGGAACTGGTTGATCTCAAGGTCCTCCCTCCTGCTGTCTGTAGTTTGTGCTGGGGGTCAGTTGGCAAAATGGCTGTGTTAGGTTCGTTGGTGTCGGTTGGCATCTCTTTGCTGTTCACACCGTTTCTCATGTTCCTGCTTTCGATTATTTTTCTCGCCTCGATGGGAAAATCATTGGGCGTGCGAAGACTCTACATCAAGCTGTTATTAGCGCTCTTTGAGGTTAGTCTTTGTGTCAAACAACGTCGTGCATCAATGAATCAAGGGCATTGTGATTTAGCCCTCATGCCCATTATCCGGATTATGACCTTGTATTTTTTACTGCTGTTGCGCGCTCGAACGCACGTGTTGGAATGTGTGAAAAAGAGAGAGAGAGAGAGAGAGAGAGAGAGAGAGAGAGAGAGAGAGAGAGAGAGAGAGAGAGAGAGAGAGAGAGAGAGAGAGAGATAGCGCGCGCGATTGGGTCAACATTTGACAACCCTTCGCATCAGCTGGGCGCATCAGCCAACACTGAGCTTCTGCGTACATGCATTTGTGCTAGAGGGCAAAATACATAATATTAATTATTGAGTTTCATTTCTGTTTTGACAAGTACCATAGTATGTGTATGTGGCATCTTTATTTGTAGTCAGATCATGGTTTTCATATTATAAGTAAGATTATTAGTAGCTTGTGGACTTTGCTACTTTATGGCCGAGGCGCGTGTTTACTATTTTCTTTATTTTAGTTTTTAGAGACGATTGCGGTATTTGCTTTGAGATTTAATTTATTCTTGAAACATTTATCATAAGTATTTATTGCAACAAGGCAATATACATCGCTGAGAGTACTCATAAACGAAGGAATTGCTTGCGTAAAAGACACGGGATTTGAGCTACGATGTCTCTAATTACAATTGAATTCGTTAATTTTGGAGGCGGATTATTGGTTAGTGTAATGTAACGTTTTCGTGGGTGTTGTCATCGGGATTGTCATTGCCGTTAGTTAATTAGGCGGACGAAATTTCATAAAAAAAGCACGAAAATCACAAATGTCCAGGAAAAGGAAAACACATGTTTGTAGCTGTTTGTCTCTCTCGCGCGCGTGTCATGAATTTCGAGCAATTATTCGCAAATCTAATCAATCATATCGTTGCACGATCATCATGATTACATCATCAGTCGTCAATAAAGTTTGAACGTGAAAACAATTTTCTACTTGGCTGGAAGAGACCGTGAAGAGGCAAAGGATAAGAATTGTACGGCCTTGAATTGAAAAAAGGCGCGAGCGAGAAAAAAATTGATGAAATCGTGTGATAATTGGTGACAGTTGCTTGGAAAAGAAGTTTACGTAATTAACTGTGGTGTATCGAAAGCGAAATGAAAAAAGCGCATATCATCTTGACTTTGAATCTGCGATAAGATGCAACGAGTATGGAGGAAACACGCGCAAGTTCGTTGATCTTGGCAGTAGATTGGAAAATTTCAAATGACGCGCGCTCCTTTGTGAGCACTATGGACGGTGTGCGCGTGCGTGTGAACTCTTATTTCATTCAGCACTTTCGTCGTCAGCTCGATTTTACTTTTTTCCAAATTGCAAAACTGTAAACATAGGATATCGGCGAACTAACTAAAATAGCGTAACTATTAACTATAAAAGAAAAGCTAAATACAAGAAGCAGAGAGAATTTTGTAGGGCAAAGATGCAGGATATCGTTCTTGTGATAATAAACAATCGCACTTTTCTGAAGGAGTCTCCAGCAGGTTCGTTGTTCGCGTGGCGTTTTTAATGCCGATTGCAATCTTTCGCTGCAAAGTGGAGAGGCGAAAGCCCAGACAGACAAGATTTTTCAGGTTTGTTCCTTATCAAACGCGTTCTTCTCGAATCGTTCGACATAGCAAGGCGCGCGCACGTGTTGCTTCGCTAATCGATCGAATTGGCAAGCCTACGTGAATTCGTGCGTCCAATTAATTGACTGTAGGTGATATTCGTTGGATATCGGTCAACCAAAGCGGTTGGCCACTCAACTACTCGACAAGTGTTCTCCTAAAACGTTCGATAGACTCGACGGATATCGCGATAGATATTCTCCAGGCTCGAGCGTTTTTGCCCAATCTCTGGTACGCGACTGCGAAAGCGACGTGACGAGCTGCGATAGCGGCTGCAAGCTAATAACCCAACCCGAGCCAATAGCTATGAAAACAATTTGGAATAAAAGCGACGTATCGGTTGTTTTCGTCAGTTGGCCAGGCCAGATTGCGATTACACAACGCAGATTGCCGGCGTGCCGGCAATGTTATCTGCGCTGTCTTTTGAATTCGGTTGGCGTTCTTTTCTTCTTTGCGCGTGGGGGCACCCCTCTTCGCGCATTCGCAGGACGCAGGTCGATTGTCAGGCGTGAATTGAATGCTTCGGTCGTCCGTCAAACTAGGGTTAGCCAAGAGCATCCATTCGCGATGAGCAAATGAAACGAAGATTGCATTTGCAGTATGGCCGGCAAAACATCGAGCACGTGAAGAAGAGCAACGGCAATTGGACGGTAGAAGGCGAAGAAAGCGAAGACGAAGGCGGAGGTAGGCTCGACCGCGAGCTCGACAAAGAGCGAGCATCGGCCGAGCAAAAGCCACAGAACGGAGCGATCGGCAACACGGTCATCGCCAAATCCAAGGATCTCATCCTCGTTCCCGAGCCGGAGATGCACCACGAGGACGAGCAGGACAAGAAAGTCGATTGTTTGCTCAGCACCGCTAAGGAGGTGCCCTCGTCGTTTGTTTCTTTGCATTATTTATGTCTCCTCCACGCTTTATCCAGCCACTTCTAAACACTGCGTACCGATCAAATAACAATTATTATAACGAAAGCCACTTGTTTTTCACATTTCTTTCGTCCACTACTTTTCAGCGCTCCTTGCTTTTCAACCGTTTCTCAAACCACTACAATTACTTCCACTCGTTCAACTTCAATTTCACGCAATTTATTTCTATCCATTGACTTTTCTGTAGACGGACATATCGCGGAAGAAGTCCTTCGAGACGCTGAAACGTGAGTTCGAGCCAGCGATCTGTTTGGATTACATAAGAGCTGGTATCGAGGCAATCATCGAGGACGACGTCACTTCCAGGTTTGAAGCGGAGGAGCTCAAGGTATACGATGTTTTCGTAAAATAAACAAAAATCAAGTAATTTCGATCGACCGAACAGTAATTATCGACGACCACGTTTTCTTTTTCTAGAACTGGAATTTGCTGACTCGAACAAACAGGCGTTACGAATTCATCTCGTGGAAGCTGACCGTCATCTGGATGTGCGGCTTCGTCATGCGTTACTGTTTTCTCTTGCCATTGAGAATTCTGATTTGCTTCGTTGGTGTAAGTCATACGAACATTCGTTTTTTACTCTTTGACGAAACAAACAAAACGTCGAATCCACACACGTAATCATAATAAGCTTCGTCTAGCAAAGCCAAATTCGCGAGCTCGTTAAATAGTGTCAAGCGGAAAGTAATGAACTTGGCATTGCTGTCTAGACGAAGCTTGTGCATGAGACCGCGAGAGACCTGAGTTGCAAGTTGCATACTAATTAACGAAAGGCAATGACGTGACTGCCGCATGTAGGTAATGTATTTGGTAGCGTCGACCGCCGCAATAGGTTTTTTACCGCCAGGCTGGCTGAAAGTTTGGGCCAACGATAAGGCAACTCTAATATCCTTTCGGATAATGTCGCGAGCGCTATCCAGTTTGATCACCATTCACAATCCGGAGTACATGCCAAAGCCTGGTGGACTCTGCGTGTCGAACCATACATCGACTATCGACGTGATGCTACTATCTACCATGACGACTTTCTCCCTGGTAAACAGACATAAAAAACACCTGAAAAAGTGTCGCCCGGTGACGGAATAATATCTCAATGTAGCGTACAGCCACTAGCTGTAATGTGGTGTTTGCGTGTCTCAATTAATACGTCGATCATGCGCACATGAACGTTAACGCAGTGTCGGCGATCAGAAAAAAACGCGAGGGACATCGATTTTTCATTTGTCGAGCGAAGCTTCGCCTTTGTGTGCATCTATTATTGGGGAAGGCGCGCTTAAAAGCTCTCGTAAAAGGCGCACACGTATCACATGTGTAATTCGATTGCGTTTTTCTTTGTGCTTTCTTTAAGAAAAATTGCTGACTGGCGCATCACTGCTATGCACGCGAGCGGAAGTCGAATGCGAGCTTGAGCTCGAGTTGAGAGCATATTTCTTGGGCCACCGACTTAGCTAAAATTAGAATGAGTTTTGTGTGTGGGGGGGGGGGGGGGGAAGCTCGATTAACGACCGTGGATGCACAGAATAGGGCTTGGCAGCGCGAGTTTGCTGATTGAATGTGAAAGGGAATAGGGCCGAATAGACTCTGGCTGCGAGTGAATGCCTTTCTCACGTGCAAAATACACAACGCAGGTGATGTGGCTGACATTCTGTACGGCGATAGTGGGTTACGTGCCGGACGGTGCATTCAAGCGCTGGCTGAATCAGCGAGCGCTGATAATGTGTTTCGCGGTACTGTCCAGCGCTCTGTCCTCGGTCATCAACTATCACAACCCCGAGAATCGGCCCAAGAGCGGCATCTGCGTCGCCAATCACACCTCACCCATCGACGCCCTCGTACTCATGTGTGACAATTGCTATTCCCTGGTATGCGCAAACCATACTTCAAACGCATGCTTCTCTGTGTGGTGTGTTGCTGCTTGGCTTCTGCTTTCATTGGATCGCTCACCGCGCGTGCTGCCTTTCATCCTCCCCATTTTCCGTCTCTCGCAAATCCCGCATGCTTTTCTCTTAATCGGGCATCCTTTTGCATCTGCTCCTTCAACATCTTCTTCTTCGAAAATGGATATGCCGATATCCATTTGGTAAAGCGCCTGTTAAATATCTTGCGCGCGTAAAGTTAACGCAATCGTTTCATTTACCTTGCCTACTCGCTTGAACGTGTCATTTTCACGTGAACTTTGCTTACGTATTATACTAACCAGTGTAATGGAACTTTGACTGAGCTTGCAACATTCCAATTATTCACTGGATTTTGAACGGCATGCGACTGAAACAGCAAAGGTCAATTGACAGCAAAAAACCATGAAAATGTTGTCAGATTGGCCAGCGCCACGGCGGCTTCCTAGGAATTCTGCAACGAGCATTAGCTCGCGCATCTCCTCACATTTGGTTCGAGCGCTCGGAAGTCAAGGACAGAGAGGCAGTAACGAAAAGGTATTTATAATATGCGCATATCGGTTTACTAGGTATACATTTTCTCGTTATCACGCTTCAAAATCTAACGGGCTATCAAATTTTTCACAGGCTCAAGATGCACATTTCCGATCCAACGAACCCTCCGATCCTTATTTTTCCCGAGGGTACCTGCATCAACAACACCTCCGTGATGCAGTTTAAGAAAGGTAGCTTTGAAGTCGGCGGTGTGATTTATCCAGTGGCCATTAAGGTAATTCGACAGTCTCCATGATCAATCTAGATCGTTAACTTTCATTGGCTAAACATGTCGCGGCGTTTTCCTCAGTACGATCCACGCTTCGGCGATGCATTCTGGAATAGCAGCAAGTACTCAATGATTCAGTACCTGTATATGATGATGTCGAGTTGGGCGATAGTTTGCGACGTTTGGTACCTACCTCCGATGTACAGAAGGGAAGACGAGAGTGCCATTGATTTTGCAAATAGAGTCAAGTCGGTGATTGCTAGACAAGGAGGACTCGTCGATCTCCAGTGGCAAGTGTTTTGCCTTTCGACTCTTGGACATTAGTTTTCGAGCAAGTGACGAGCGAGATTTGATTTTGCAGGGACGGTCAATTAAAGAGGATGAAACCCAAAAAGGAATGGCGGGAAAAGCAGCAAGAAGAATTTAGTAAAAGGTTGAAAGTCGAGTAAGCTAGCGATAAAAGGTCGGCTACTTCGATTTTCCCGAAGCTGGTTCTTCTATTTGACTGCTTCTCAGTTGATTGCTATAAACAATTTGAACTCTCAATGGTGTAGACAGAAGACTGTAAAACTGTGAACAAATGTTTGTGAATGTATTCATCGAGAATAGTGCGATACGTTGATTTATTTAGTGCACCTACTTCTTAGCCGTTTGAGCGACTGTGTTTTTTAAGGATAACAGATATTTTGAAAGGTTTTTTAAGCATCTTTCAGAATGTGAAATGCTTGCAAAGTTTTGCTGGATCGTTCGATTCTTATTAAACGACCTTCGCAAAGATTTGACGAGCTATCTGGCCGACTTATTTTGTTTTCTTAAGATTCCTTTGAAAACAAGTATTAGCTAATAAAATGTTTTCCTATTCATTTAGCATTGATAAACTTTTGACGTACATTTATTTTAAAAATCTTTCAAGGGTTTTCGATGCTACTTTTGTTACCAATATAGCCAAAAATAATATCACATTGTACAGGTGTTTCACTTTTTATATCTAGATACAAGTGAAACAGCTCTTTCGCGTATCAAAAGAACTTTGCGTTTAATTGATAGGTCCGCTACATTTTAAGATTAGTCTGCAGTAAGTCTTGTTCTTTGTAAGAAAGTATTGAAAAAACAAAACAAAAAACAGCATGCATGCATACAAAACTACTGGTATATTTTTAAAAATATGAAAATAAAAGCTACTACGATATATTTTTATAGTAGGTTTTAGTCCACTAGTGCTTGTGTCAAATGATACATAGGAATAATAGCATTTTGGCGTTGCTATGTTTGCAATGCGTAAAATTTTTTGCTAGTCACGGTCTTTTTCATTCACATTCTCAATTATTCTTTGCAATAAGTATTTTATTTACTTTTTATATCAATGAATGTAAAAAGGTGTAGGAATAATACTCAATGAGTTGTATATTTTGGCTTATTCAGACATTTACTCAAGAGCATTGCAATAAGTGCTACATGATAGAGTAATTGTATACCACAAAGTTGTCTAGAATTTTGATCATCACAATCGTTTTATATTGAATGGCGAGCATAATAAGAGAGACTATTAATTCTACCTGATTGTTGATTTAATTACCTTCATTAACATTAATTTAACAAATTTTAGTCTATAAAAATATAATTGATCCTACATTTAATCTTTCGCAGCTTCTGATGTTTCTTGCTCCTCTAAGACCTCGCATAATTGCTGCTCCTTGAACAATTGAATAATCTTCTCTGAAGCTGTGGGTTCAAACTTAGGACATGCTCCAATTTCATCCTGGAAATTTAAAGTACTTGTAATTAGTAAGTTGGCATAAATGAATTTTTGAACTTACATTTGGAAATTCTATAGTGTTTAGTTTTGGATCTCTGAAAGTGAATGGTGTCCATGTTCCTTGTATAGATGGGAATTCTGTATGCCACATTTTACGAAGCCTTAAAGTAGAACCATTTGAAGACTGAGTCCGTACAAGCTCCATATATTTGACTATTTCATCTCTACTGTAATTGTGTACAGGGATCCAATGTATTTCTCCACTAACTGTAATAAAATAAATACAAAAAATATTTTTATTCTTTTTGATTTCAAGAAATAATTTAAATTTGGTTATAAAAAATACTAACGATATTCAGCTCTGATGACAGGACCTCTGTGTCTCCTTGGTTTGACATAAACAACAACTCCAGGATTTTCTTTAGCATAATTAAGTAAATCATTTTCAATGAATTCTCTAAAATAAAAAAGAAATATTTTTCAATGGCTACAGAATCAATATCTATATGAAAAACAAATGACAATATTTAATGATTAAACAATATTTATTTGCAATATCAGCGAATAAAACTGAAAAAGACAAATATACATAAAAGCTATTTTTCACATTCTAAATTAAACTTTCAAAGTTGAATAATATTGATACTTGAATATTAGATATAAAAATAAAGATGAAGGTTAAGTTACAGCTCACCTTAAACCTCGGCTGGCACCGTGGGTTTTACAAAACTTTAAGGTAACTCTTTGCAATTGTCCGATGTAACGTCCAATACCATTGCAAGCATTGGCTCGGGGAAAACCACTTTTCAAATAAAGTTGCGAGTATGACATTTTTGAAGATTTATCTTGCGGATTCTAAAGTTTCATACTTTGAGAGTCCAAAAACGCGTGTTATAGATCGTAGCATAGATGTTCGTCACTACTCGTGGGCTCGGCCGGTGGAGTCGGCTCATTTCCATATCTGTAGAGAGGCCTTAGGGTGTTCACAGAACGATTCTGACACTTTAAAAAATGACATGAATTCTGACTCCAAGACACTGTTGAAGAAAGATTTTTTATGAGCCATTAAAAAAATACTACTTACTTGCCATCATATTTAAAGCATTCATTTAGTGATAGAAAATCAAAATAAATTGAAAAAGAATTCTTGCTATTTCTTTCCTAAAATTTAAAATTTTTATGTGAAAAATGTAAATTTCTTATTATTAATAAAATGTGCTAGCCAAAGAAGTCAATTTATAAAAATTTATCGTTTGTTGTGAGGGAATATGTATTGTAATGTTTTTGTTTGTTTTCATTTTTATCACTTTGTATTCAAAATACGCGCCCCTTAAAAAACCCTAGAAATCACCTGCGCAGTAGCTCATGACATCCTTCCTTCAATATGCCATGGTGTGAAAATTCATGTCATTTTTTAAGTGTCAGAATTATCGAAACGACCCTGGCAGAAAAATGATTGATTTAAAAAAATATATATACCATTAGCTTCTTCTTAATTTGTACTACCCGAAAATTCATTTTTTGGAATTTGAACCTCCCAAAATTTGGAAAAAAAGCGAAAAAAACGATATTGCGGAAAACTCAAACTCCTGGCAGAAAAATGATTGATATCATGAAAGAAAAAAATACGACTAGTTTCATTTTAATTTGTACCATCAGAAAAATGCTTTTTTAGAATTTGTACCCTCTCTAAAAATAGAGAAAAAAAAAGATTTTCGTAGGGTAGACTAGCAATTCAAATTAACGTATTACTGCGCATGCGCGGTGGAAAATTTATCTTCCAGCAGAAAAATATGCGATTTAAAAAAAAAATACATATGAATGCCTTCTTCTTAATTTGTACCATCTAAAAAATACATAAAACTAATTTGTATCCTTGTAGAATTTGAATAATACAACGTTTTTTGTGCGACTGTAATACTGATAAATTTTACAGGAAAATCTTTTATTTCTTAAGAAAAAAATATATTTCTAGCTTTACCTTAAATTTTACCCAGTGAAAATAGTTTTATTGTAATTTTTACACTCTTTGATCGGAATGGGTTATTTTCCGAAATAACCCATTCCTATTAATACAGATCATATAACTTTAATATAATTTTGGATTTGGAATTTGGAGGGGTACTGAAAAGAAAATTTAGATAATTTTGAATAGTCCAAATAGACATAAAGCTATTTACATAAAATTTTTTAAGAAAATTCACCATTTTTCTGCCAGAATCACAAATTTTATTAATTTTTTGCTTTTTACTGTGTTTCTATAAAAAACGCTGTATAATTCAAATTCTACAGGGGTACAAATTATATTTTTGGATTTCGTAGATGGTACAAATTAAGAAGAAGACATTCATAATCTAATACATTAATATTTCACGATTTTTCCGCCGAGAAAAGAGATTTTCCGCAGCACGGAAGACACGAAATTAGAATCGTCGAATTAGACTACGAATTAATTTTTTTCTCAATATTTTCGCGGGGTTCAAATACCAAAATAACTATTTTTCAAATGGCACTGATTGAGGCAAGGCTGGTGGTGTATTTTGTTGTAGGAAATAAATATTTTTCCTATCAGAGTTTCCTACTTTATCATCCGAGTAATCAGCTGTTTTTGGATGTAGGAGTTTAAGAACACACGTTAACTTAGGACTTTGTATATTAACATGTCTGATTAAATTTTAGAGTGTAAAAATTACAATAAAACTATTTTCAGTGGGTAAAATTTAAGGTAAAGCTAGAAATATATTTTTTTCTTAAGAAATAAAAGATTTTCCTGTAAAATTTATCAGTATTACAGTCGCACAAAAAACGTTGTATTATTCAAATTCTACAAGGATACAAATTAGTTTTATGTATTTTTTAGATGGTACAAATTAAGAAGAAGGCATTCATATGTATTTTTTTTTTAAATCGCATATTTTTCTGCTGGAAGATAAATTTTCCACCGCGCATGCGCAGTAATACGTTAATTTGAATTGCTAATCTACCCTACGAAAATCTTTTTTTTCTCTATTTTTAGAGAGGGTACAAATTCTAAAAAAGCATTTTTTCTGATGGTACAAATTAAAATGAAACTAGTGGTATTTTTTTCTTTTATGATATCAATCATTTTTCTGCCAGGAGTATGAGTTTTCCGCAATATCGTTTTTTTCGCTTTTTTTCTAAATTTTGGGGGGGGTACAAATTCCAAAAAAAGAATTTTTGGGTCGTACAAATTAAGACAAAGCTAATGGTATATATATTTTTTTAAATCAATCATTTTTCTGCTCGGGTCGTTTTGATGTCAGAATTGTTCTGTGAACACCCCGAGCTAATCGATAATTCAGTTTTGAAGATACTGGTAGTTCGCGGGCCACTAGTTTCACAATTTCCTTTTTAGTGGAAAAACACATTGCTAATCTCCTAAGATGCCTGGAAAAGTGACAGCAAAAGTCGGACCTTCAATTCTCAGTGCTGATCTGTCCAACCTTAGTAATGAGTCTCAACGTCTCTTGGACTCCGGTGCTGATTATTTACATTTGGACGTAATGGATGGAAACTTTGTGCCAAATCTCACGTTTGGACACCCCCTCGTGAAATGTTTGAGGTCAAAGATCAAGGACGCTTTTTTCGAAACTCACATGATGGTTAATGAACCTGAACAGGTTAAAATAGATTGTTTTTTTTCATTAAATATAAAAATTAATAAGTGTCACAATGACTAAAAAAAATATTTAAAAGAATTCTAATAGTTATATCAACAGATTATCAGCTCTATTACTTTTTCAATAATGATGTTTAATTCCACATTAGGGTTTATAATAATATGAGAATGAATTGTCTCAGCAATATGAGATTTATTTATGATAGGTCAGTATAAAAAACAATAAAATTTCAGTGGATTAAATCAATGGCTGATGCTGGAGTGGACCAGTATACATTCCATGTTGAGCCAGTTAAAGATGTGCCATCAGTTTGTCGTAAAATTCACGAAGCTGGAATGAAGGTTGGAGTAGCTTTGAAACCAGGAACACCTGTTGATGTTGTGACTGAGTATATTGATCTAGCTGATCTAGTTTTAATAATGACAGTTGAGCCAGGATTTGGAGGACAAAAGTTCATGGATTCTATGATGAGTAAGGTGTCATGGTTGAGGCAAAATTATCCTAATTTAGATATTGAAGTTGATGGAGGAGTTGGACCAAGTACTATCAATGCTTGTGCTGAGGTAAGAAATCTATTAGATTAAGCATTTCTTAAAAATATGTATAACGTTATCATGTATTATAGGCTGGTGCAAATATGATTGTGTCAGGCACAGCAATAATAAATTCAAGTGATCCAGCTAAAGTTATCAAGGATTTAAGATGTACTGTTAATAATGCTTTGGAGAAGTGATAAATATAAAAGTGAGAGTGTTAATACATTTGTACAGATTTTATAAAAAGCTTATTTTTACAACTTATAAAATTATTCTGAAGAATTTGAATAGTCTATCTTCAATGTTTTGTGGTCATTTGATACACTATCATCACTTTTTACAGACTCATGATTAAACTGTGGATGATTCAAAGCAGGATTCTTTGGATCTAATTTTGTTCTCAATTCTGCAAGAGTTAATAAAATAGCTTCCTCCGTTCTAATTGTTCTAGAACCTTGTTGAGGGCACACATTAAAATAATGATTAAAGACTAGTGATGCATCATCAATTTTGAGATTAGGATCATTTTCAATAGCATCTTCTATGCCTGATAATCCACCGAACACAATAAGTGCATGCTTATATTTGAGACTTTTTGATGGCACATCATCTATTGGAGTTCCCTTATCCGATGTACCAATCGTTACATCATAGCCCTCAGAATATGGGCATTTAGCAAAAATGTCTGAAAAATATAGTGCCAGCCTCACAGTGTAACCCCAGTAAATTCCAGTTTCAGATCTTGGAAGCAGCGGGGGAACAATAAATCCTTTTGGTTTATTAGGATTTTCTTGTTTTTCTGGAATTTTCACAGTGACTCTTAAACCGTTTGTCAAAACCTTATCAACTCTAACATCAGTCAATAGTCCTACATTTACCTAAAATTTATGATAAACTAATTAGAAAAATTCAGATGTGATGGTCAGTTTAAGGGAAAACATAAAAACTTACCAGAGACCCTCTTCCTTCTTTAACTAGCTTATTTGTAACAACTCCTTCTCTAAACAAACTTGCATCCTGTTGTCTAAGATGGTGAGGTGTATCCAGAGGATTGAGCAGGCCAGCATATTGCAAATCTTTGTGTATAGGAAAAAAATATTTTCTTAGATATTGAGGGCATTCCAAGTATTGAAGTATTCTGGCCAATTGTAAACATCCAGGCCTGGCCTCTCCAAACACCTCGTCATTTTTAAGTTTTTTTCTTTCACTTTCAGTAAAATCTCCCTTATCGTCGAACACGATCACTTCGTCCACCTTGTATATACATGCAGCCCTGGCAACCTGTCCAGCCAGGTAAGTTCTTAACTCTGATGACTGTGCATTGTCAATGATAGAACCGGGTACCGCGATGCTTACAGTCGACACACTCCTAACCTCAAAGTTTGTTTTCTCCTCTGCCGCGACACTCATCTCCTGTTGATCCTTTTCCCGTTTTAATCGTGCTTGTTTTATCAAACGCTCTTCGCGCCACTTTTTTCGACGCTCCTTGTACTCGCGATTCATTTCCTTCCATGACTTTCCCACGGGTTTAGTCGGCAGCATGCTGCTGGTGTTTACATACACGCTTTCGCGTGTGTTGTCTAATTCAGTCTAAGGCTGTTTACAGAATAATTATGACACTTCCAAAATAACATATGACACATGACGAGACACTCATGCGCAAAGCGCGACCGTCCGTGTGCGGGCTAGATCTATTGACCCCGGTCCCATAGCTACGTATGAATGCGGACGGATACGGACGCGAATCGCAACTCTAGTAACATCACTAAAAATATCTAGTTCGATTATTTAGTATCAACAATATCGGTAGTGAGCAAAAGTAACTGTTGTTTAAAACTGTAGCGCCGAACGTACCACATTTAATGATCACTTATCTAACCTTTACATTATTGCAGTCTATAAGATGGCAAATGATAGAGAATTGATAGACTTTCAACTACAATCAATGGAATTAGGCCTTAATTTTATGGAAGTACTTGAATATATGAGAAGAAGAAGAAAATAAATATAAATGATATGTATTAATCATCCCAAAAACTTTTTTTTACATTAGCATACTCATCAATAAGCAATATTCATGAAAATTTGAAAAGTAAATTGTAGACCTGAGATTTGAACATTAAATGTGGTACGTTCGGCGCTACAGTTTTAAACAACAGTTACTTTTGCTCACTACCGGTAATGTTGGTACTAAATAATCGAACTAGATATTTTTAGTGATGTTATTACAGTTGCGATTCGCGTCCGTATCCGTCCGCATCTAATATATATACGTTACCTATGGGATCGGGTCCGGGGCCTTATATACCGATGCGAAAACAGCCCGACACAAATAACATTTTATAAAAAAAAATAATCACATCTCACGTATGTCTAATTGTACTTCTGACCTAAAGATAATGGTACAATAACAAATAATTATTTTTTTGAGAAGTACAATTAGACATACGTGAGATGTGATCATTTTTTTTTATAAAATATTATTTGTGTCGGGCTGTTTTCGCATCGGTCCTTATACACAGATCTGTCCGTCACAAGGAGAATGTCAATATTGTCGTTAATGAAGTAACTGATCAATGTCAATTAGTATTGTGACGGATACGACGACCGGATGTACCGCGCAATGTCCGAGTGCGCAAGGGGCAAGGGCCCAAGGCCCTATAGGGGAGAGCCAAGCGCTTGTACGGAATGGGGAAGACGTCTGTTCCGCGGTACTACTCAGTGTCCATTATTTTTGGAGAGCTTTTATGATTTCTAACCTATAAAAGTCAGTACTATTGAATCAATAAATTGATGTGGTTATTGACTGGTAGAAATGGCGCGTTTTTATGAAATTTCAAAATACTATAGTCAAACAGAGATATCAATTAAGTAGACGGTAGTATAATATAACATAAAACGTAATTCAAGAAGGTAAATGCAAATAAAGTGTTGTATTATTTATTGCAAAATATATTTCTTTATTTATTATTAAAATGTAATGAAGAAAGTGATGAGTGTTCGACTTGAATCAATGGAAAGAGCGGTAATATTTATGAATGCTCATAGTTTCGTGAAATGAGCGATTTCTATGAATAAAAGGATGGTTAAGTTGAGTTTAAAAAATGAATTTGGATCGATAAAAAACTATGAATTATTGTATAATCTATATTTTCCATGTAACGTAGCGTTTGTACTCGGTTGGCAATTCTTCTTGCGGCTCTTCCAAATTGTCCAGCTCGTCCTCGCCGAATATGTCATCGTCATCGTCGTTCTCGTCCTCCTCGTCCGATTCGGATCTGGACAGTTCTGAGAAGAATGACATTCGCGATTTTTACTCGATATGCAGTACAGACAGTGTGAGATTTGCGAGACAAATCGAAAGCGCAAAGCATACCCTCTTGTTTCAAAAGTTGTCGGTTGCTTTCGCAGAAACTCTGCAGTTGCTTAGCCATGTCACTGTATTTCATTTTTATTCTGGTTGTCTGTGAAGAAAAGAAAAGAAAAGAAAAGAAAAGAAAAGAAAAGAAGAGGAAAAATGAAAGGAATATCGAAATGGGACCACTGCTCAGAGGCCAGAGCGCGCTTTCCAACGAACCGTCTTGATTTTCGACTTGTCGTCGACATTCACTTCCGTGAGGTTCCTGTTGAACTGCACGACGTCGATGAGGTGCTGCACGCCAACCTTGTAGATCGGGTTGTCTCGAAGATCCAGCTTCTGCAAGCGAACGAACGAAGGAATGGTGAAGGGTGAAGAGCTTAGCGGTCGACCGACGGAGAAAGCGAGAGAGAAAGCGAGCTGACCTCGAGAACACTATTGACCCGCAGTACTCTGGCAAGCTCGGAGCAGCCGAAGCAAGTGATCTCGGCCGAGCGCAAATCGAGCTTAAGCAGCACGTCGTTGCCCATCAGCGAGTCCCTGATATCCATGAGAGTGTCGTCGGTGAGCCGATTAGCCCCGAGGCTCAAGTACTTGAGTGTTTTGCAGGCCTTCTACACAGTGAACAGAAAAGCAGCCATGGCAGGTCGCTCGTTGCTCTGCGCTCTGCTCTCAAGTTGACCAAGTGCTTTACCTACAATGGCGGCATTAAGGTGGCAAGCCGATCGCCTGGTCAGCTGGTTGTTCCAGAGTATCAGGCTCTCCAGGCCTTTCTTCGACTTGCTGAACTTGCCAAAGTGCAGCTGGTGCGTGAGTCCGTTGGTCACGTAGTAGATGCCGTCGTCGGCAATCAAGTTGTCACTGCGGAAGCCATCGTGGTGAGCGATCAGCGGCGAGCGGTCAGCGGCGAGCGGTGACGAGCAGACGCGGCTTACCTGAGGTCAAGGTAGGACAGTCGGCAGTTGAACTTGAGCAGCGTCTGGATCTGGAGGCAGTCTCCGCCGCACAACTGATTGCCGCAGAGATAGAGCTGCCGCAGGGCCATGTTGAACTTGAGGGCTATGACTGCGGACAGGCAAATCGAGCGCAAGGACACATCAGGCGGAGGCGCAAGGCGCGAGGCGACGACGACCCACCTAGTAGCTCCAGCAGTCGACCGGAGAGTCGGCACGAGTCGAGTCTCAGTACGAACAGGTAGGCGTATCGCAGGCCGCGGCTCAGCACGATCATGTACTCCTCGGTGAGGCGCACGTTCGCGGCGTCCAGCCGCTTCAGCGAGGTGGTCTGCGTGGGGAGCGCAGGCTATCAGGCCGTGCCGGGCTGGGCGCGGCGCGAAGCGAGGCCCGCGGAGGCTTACCTTTCTCAGCATTCTGCTGCAAGCTTGCCAGCCGAAGCTGCCGATGGCCTTGTTGTTGGACAGGTCCAGGTGCGCCGTCGCCTCGTAGAACTCGAATATTTGAAACAGCACCTCCGCGCTCTGCACCAGTCGTACAGTGTCAGCTCGGGCCCGCGATCCGCTCGGCATTCTACTCACATTGTCCTCCGCGATGGCCCCGTCCAAGTTCACCTTGTAGAACAGTATCCTCCTGAATATTTCCTCCAGCGCTTCGCAGTCATTCTGGTGCAGGCTCGTGCCGCGGAAGTCCAGCTCCTCGCAGCGGTCGTCGATGTTGCTCGCCGACTGCCGAACAGAGCGAGAGCGAGAGAGAGAGAGAGAGAGAGAGAGAGAGAGAGAGAGAGAGAGAAAGAGAGAGCAACCCTACCTTCACCTGGAACATCACGGCGGACAAGGGCGACACCTTGTGCTTGGTGCAGGCCTCCCTGTAGGCGGCCAGCGCTGCATCTCGATTCGGGTGCTGGCCTGCGTGCAGAAGCGATGACCGGCGCTTTCCCCTCGGCGACGGGCGAGGGACACGCGCCAGTCCGATCCGAATACGAAGAACGCAATCGAGCTCGAGATGTGTTTCGAAAGGGACGGCCTCGCGGACGGTCCGTCGAGGCGCGGGTGCCATCGGGGTCCGTGATTCGAGGCCGATCAAACGTCCTCCGAAGAATTTGACGCTGGTGTCGCTGCTCGGCGCCGTCGCGCTTCTCGCGGCGATCGGGATTGCCGCGAGCCTATAATTAGCTTGCGTCGGCGTGTTGTGAAAGCGCGCGCTCTATATAAAAAAGACGAGCTAGCGCTCAACGGCGCCGCGTCCGCGCTGGCCTTGATCCGCTCGAAGCCGCGTATTTTCGGGCGCGCCTCATCGGCGCGAACGGCGACGGCGCCGAACGGCTCGAACAGCTCCGGAGCCGCGCCGCGCGCGCCTCCGACCATTGGCTCGCGCTCAAGGACCATCGCCTCGAGCGATCGACAAGTCGACGAGTGGGCAAGTGGCGATCGTCGCGAGCGGTCGCGGCTCAGGCCTCGCGAGCAAAGGGCGCCCCACTCACGGAATTTCCACGGATTTTCAGGCTCCAAGCAGCCGGCCACCTCGTTGTCGGGGAACCTCAGGGTTCGCTTCTTCTTCCTCTTCCGGTTGAGCAGCAGCGAGCTCCTTATGATGCGCCCGTCGATCAGCTGGTGCGGCGACATGGGCGTGACGTGTCGGCCGTTCCATCGCGGCCGCCTCTCCAGCGGATTGATCAGCCTCGGCGGCAGTTTCTCGACGTCCACTTGCGCGCAGGCCGCGGCCACGGCAGCCGACCTTGACGCTGACTCCTCGTCCTCCCCGATCATCTGATCGCATGATCCTACTCGCGATCGACTGCTGATGCCACTGCCACCGTCGATGTGCCGCACGATCGCTTTTTTAATTATAGACAGATGAGTATCATTGCGTAAGCCATTGCTGCTCGGCTGTTTTTTCTCTGTCGCGACTACCTATAGCGAGGGCGATCGGTCAACGCGGCTCGCGAGCTCGCGATGAGGATTCCGCGCGAGCGCGAGCGCGAGCCGAACGTGCTGCGCTCTCGGCTCGCCGCTCGGCCGGGATCCCCTCGTCCTCGTTACACCCGGTACGACCAGCGCGCCAGCTAGACTGGTTCGCTCGCTTTTAATAACCCGAATCAACTCAAATCCAATTTGTTCCGAACGCGATCGATAAAGGCTCCGAGCCTTTTCCAGCGAGTCTTCTCGCAACTCGCTATCCACGCTGACGGCCCGAAAACTACCACGACTTTAATATTCGACGGTCAGCGTGGGAATGCAGCTGACGGTTTCAGCTCCGCCGTGCGATGGCGCGCCATCGAATCAACTTTCGTCTCTCCCCATCCACTCGATTATCGATTCACGCGGACTTGTCGTTCTTCGATCCATCCCTGTGCGCTTGCAGTAGTGCTTCCTTCGGGAACGAAACTCAATCATTGATTTTTGACAGCCCGTGCACCGACTGGGCTGGGCGTAGGATTTTTCTTTCGAAAAATAAACCCATTCAGCTACGCTACGCTCGGGCATTCATATCCACACGGGGCTGACACGCTTTCTCCAATTAGTATCTAAATGCACTATGGTCCAATGTTCCAATTTTCGCCTATGTCTCCAAGTTCGTATGATCGCGACGCGCAGATCTGCGTGCAAAACTACGCTTGCTTCGTAGCACTGACTGTTACTACTGAAAGTTACATTGTTTACCCAAGAAATGTATTCACGTCGCTGATAAACCGTCGTTTATACAAGTCGTCGTTGACAAGAGGTTGCAACTATATATCAGTTCTACCCAAAGTGGGCTGCATAGTTATAATTATTCACTCATCAATCCCGAAGCTTGAAGGGAGGAAGAAAAGAAAAAACTGCTCTAAGCCGCCTGCACTATCACGCGCATATCATACTCGCGCGGTTATTCAAAAACTCGCTCGCAAGTTGCGCGCGCAAACAAGCCAGCGCTGCCGCTGCGATCGTGTCATGATGTATACATACGCATATACACATGCGCACGCGACGCAACACATCGACACAGGTGACGGCGGCGAAAAAGGGGACAATACGAGCCGCTCATATAGTATGTTAGTGCGAGCGAGCGAGAGAGTGAGCGCCGCGCACCACTATCGATTCCCGCCGAACGTGGAGAAGATTCCGTATTTCTCTCTCTTCCTCTGATTCTTGTATAGAGTGCGAAGAGCGAAAAGCGAAAAAAAAATCGACCTCGCAGCAAGCTCGTCTTCAAGATCAGTAGCCAAAAGAGAGAGAGAGAGAGAGAGAGAGAGAGAGAGAGAGAGAGAGAGAGAGAAAGGAAACGAGGAAGACAATAAAAAAAAGTGTCGCGTCGTCGCGTCGATTTCCCGGTGTGTACGAATTCGAAGGGGCTAGCAAAAAAAGAGGGAGAGCAAGTGTCCGACGACGAAAGTTTCAGTAGTAGTAGTATAGTATAGCAGCGCACGAGAGAGAGAGAGAGCGGATCGATCGTTTGCTCGCTCTGCTCGGCTGTGTTCTCTCTCTCTCTCTCAACATTAAAATTGTATGTAAGGTAAGGATCGAGAGGAAGAAACTTCCGTGAGGATATACATAGTAATAAGAAAGTGGCATATAGAGGTAGCAAACGTCTAACCTTTGCAGTCGTTGCAAACCCTCCCGGGGATCACGAGTAGAGAACGAGAGTGAGACAGAGAGCAAAAGAATGCCAAGTAGCCGCACCTGAGTGCTAACGAAGCCAATATGACCAGTCCAATGACTCCTGGTAAGTAATGCGAAAAAAACCGTACGTATTGATTTTTCTTTACCCCAAGTTTGCCTGCATGATAAGGTTCAATTGGTTGTACATTAATTCATACTGGGATAAAGCAATCTTCATCACTGATTGACAAATTACTGATGTTTATCAACTATAAGATGTAGACTTTTGTGATAAAATTGCAAGTGTATTTTGAGTATATGTCAAATGATATTTATTTGTGGTAGCAAATGTTGCATGATATCAGAAAGTTGAGCTTGCATTGTACAAGTTTAGGCTTGTTTGTGTCTGTAAATGATTCATGTATCGTGTTGTGATGGTCAGGTTGTTGCAGTGATTTATTGTTTTTCAATCAGGTACTGATCCTTGGGTGGTTCAACCTCCTGAGCGAGCTCGATACCAGCAGCAGTTTGACTCGCTCAAACCAATCAATGGAGTTATCACAGGTGGTCAAGCAAAAGATTTCTTTTTGCAATCGCAGCTCCCTCCTGCTGTACTTGGCCAAATATGGTAAAACACAATACACTTATACTGCTTAATTAGACAGTTTCATCAACAATAATTTTGAGCTATTTATGCTCGTTGATTTTTATTCTAGGGGATTGTCGGATACAGATTCGGATGGGCGAATGAATATCAATGAATTCAGTATTGCATGTAAATTGATAAATTTGAAACTGAGAGGTTTTGAGGTACCCAGTTCATTGCCACCATCACTGATAAGAAGTTTGCAGGCATATGCAGCTGGTTAGTTTTGATTTTCAACTCAAACATATTTCTTTTACTCTCGTCTTGCTGCAGATTAAATTGTAAAATAATATTTTACCTAACATTTATGCACATTTAGTATAGATTAAATCATTTTAATTAACTCATTGATATTTTGGTGGAGGCATGACAAACAAAATTGAAATTTACATCACGAATTGCAGTAAATCAACCATTGGCAACTCCACCCACAGTACCATCAATAGTGTCACCTCCAAATGTAGTTTCTATTCCTCGACCGATCGCCGCACCGACAGTTGTACCAAAAATTGGTGGTCCTCCAGTTGTTGCATCTATGGCAATGCCTATCGGTAAGTTATCTATTTTTCTTTTTGATTAATAATTTAGACTTGGAAATATTTCTCATTCTTTTCCTGCTGAAAAGAATAATTAGATACACGGTCATGAAATTCAGTGACCAGTGAATGAACCAATGGCGTTACGTTCATGCGATTGCGTGAATTATCTAACGAAAGTCAGGCGGATGTGATAACGTAAAGAATAACCCCTGTCGTTTGGAATTTCATTATTGACACGTCTAAAAGAGTAGCGACTTTTTTTTTAATTGAATATATTTTTTTTATCAAACAGCTATTGATTTTGCACATTATTATTTTCAAATTGAAAATTAAGTTACATCAATCAATAATGTAAATTATTTCAATTAAGCTATTCATATTTTAATAACCGCACAGTTGTGCTAAATCAGAGTTGTAGACAAAAGTGGCAATATTACATTTATAATCCTATACACAATTCATATACAAATAAGCATTAAATGATCTTTTTCTTAACAATTTTATATGATGCTTATAAATTTCCTATGTAAATTAGTGTCACATAATATAATTGTTGAAATAAAAAACCAAACAAACAAACAAACAAACAAACAACGACAAAATAACCCCGATGACACACAGCATCGCAACAAAGTAGACAGCCTGTAGCCGCAAACGCACGCCCTACGTCAAACACATCACCGTCAAAGCTACCTCCTGCCCGACCACCACCTACTTATATCACCGGTATGTTAGTCTCTCTCTCTCTCTCTCTCTCTCTCTCTCTCTCTCTCTCTCTCTCTCTCTCTCTCTCTCTCTCTCTCTCTCTCTCTCTCTCACTCTCTCTCTCTCTCACTCTTTCTCCTTTCTGTCAAGCAGCCTGTGTATACTATCTTTTTTTATGTTATATTTTCACTCTGTTCTAAATACATCGTTGATAAAATCGATATATTTTTATATTCTTCTCTCTGTTATATATAAGGCTTGATATGCCAGCCCTTTTACTTTTTTTCGATTTTGTTCGTTTTTATGATTTGATTGCCATGTGCTGTTTTATATCATTATTATTATTATCAAAATGGATTTGATGAGAAAATTATTTAAGTTTGGTAGATTTTTTTTATCAATTATGAAATTTCATATTTAACAATATTCCATCAGTAGATTTATAAGACAATATTATGTATAGATTACGATGTATTTGTAAATAATCCATGTTTTTTTTAATTAAGTTAATGTTGAACGTAACAACGCACACAAACAGCATCAGTCATAAATTCTAATCATCCGTTTGGTTAACGTTGTTCTCGAATCAGCTATTTTTTCAATGTATACAATACAATGCGTCGCAGTTATTGCCGCCACAGTATTCAAGGCTATAAATACGTATATATACTTTTTCAGATGCTGAAATATTATTTGTGAATAGTCTTTTGCTTTTTTGTTGTCTAAAACCGGGAAATAATGCACATTCGAGTGTGACACGACGCGCGCAATAATCGTTGACGATATTGTCAAGTCGTACGTCCGAAAAAATGAAATTATTTTTAACGCTTCTGCAATTGTGTTCTTTTTATTTTACTTGTCGAAAATATGTTGTGTGTATTCTGTGCTGCACAATAAAAAAGGAGACTCTGCTGCTAAGGTCGAAAGCGGTACTACTCCGCAAAGACCCACACCTCCTGACAGTATCGGTATGTTTTGACTGCTAACGTCATTTAATTGACAACGAACGAACTATTAGATATACACAAGAAACGACTAGACGTACACCACATATACACGTACACGCGCACACTTGATCTATAAAGATTTCTCTTTTCAATTTAAGTTTTTCGAAAGAGAAACATGCTGGACAACGAGTGTCAATTATCCTCATGTTTTTCTGTATCACTTTGTTTGAATGTTCTATCTGTTTCAAAGTTTGATACGGTTGGTAAAACAAAGTACAATTGTGTCTGATTAAATGTTTCTTTTATTGTGTAAAACTTTCGTATTCTTTCCCATGTATACATGTACGTTTATTTTTATTTTTTATAGCAAAAAAGAAAGCGATAAAAATTTTTAAAACACTTGTATATCAGTACGAAAGTTTTGTTGTTGCTTTGCGTATCGTTACTTTTTTCCTTTAAAATACAACTTTCTCTCAATATATACCGTAGTTAAACATATTTTAATACAGCACAAGGAAATAGTAGTTAATAATAGCTTGCTATATACATGTATATTTGTTTTCCAAACTTGCGTATGAATTGTAAATGCTACATAAATTATTTGTATCTCAATTTCGAATGATTTTGAAAGCTTAATAAGCAAATTGCCATTATTATAGCTGGCTGTCGACATTGTTATTTTAGACCGCGCTGCTGTCGCAGTAATCTACGTTTTAGGGTACTTTTCGACAATGAAAATAATAAACGATTGCTAAAAAATATAGGAGCTGGATTCGTACCGACAACTGGACCACCCCCGAAACCACAACCACCGTCATTTCCAAGTAGTCCAGTAGCTGCAGCATCGCCTGTCAAACCAATAGTCCCACCGATGGCTCCGCCAGTACAAATGGTTCAACCGATGCCCACGGTCGTTTCCAATATGGGTAAGTTTGTCAACTAATGTCGGCCCCTAATTATATCGATACGTTGCACTGCCATTCGAGCAGCAGAAAATAAAAATCTCACGCTTATTTTTTTTCAAATACTCCTATAAAAACACTCTTTTTTCATTTATATCAATACGCTCGCTGACACATGTGCCTCTTTCTTTACAGATTTATTCGATCTGTTAATGTCGGAAGGTACACACTTGAACTAAGGATATACAGTACAACTTTTACACTTTTAAAAGCTTTAACATAATTTTGGTTCTTTTGTTGTTTCTTTTACATATAAATTGTTTTAACAAGTCCTGACTTTGACTTTGTTGTCGGTGCTTTTATGTTAATCTTTTTGTGTTGAAGCTAATTGAAAAATGACATCTTTTTTGCAGCTAGTTCATAGCTTTAATTTGATGCACTGACAAAAACCAAAGTGTATAGTTATTACCTGTATATGATAACACGAAATTTGAGTGGAAACAGTTACTTTCAAAAGCACTGTAAATCTGTACTTTTTATATGAAAAACTTTTGTTTTCGTTACTGCAGGTAACATACATTGTACATTTTCGTTCCTTCACATCTCTCGATTATGCAGTTAACAATGTTCTGCAACGTTTAAGTTTTGTCGTTGTTCTATTTCCTTTTGTGGTAACTATATCTTTTTCGAGTATTATTTCATAACTATCTGTAATGCTAATTTCACCGCTTTGACAAAAGACTATTGATTAAGTGTATCAAAGCTTAATCGCCAAGAAAGCCAATTCTACAACAGTACAACTAAAACATTTCTACTCGCCTTCGTCTAGGTGCGCCACCAGTAGCATCGGTTGCACCGATCGCACCAATAAACACAGCACCAGTGCCGCAAACGGCTTTCACTATGGATCAAGCAATGCCACCAATGTCAACCATGGCACCAACGATGCCAGCAACTGGAGCTCCCGCTGTTCCGTTGATGGCAACTGGTATAGCAATGGTACAGCATCCAGGTATGCCGATGGTACAAGCGGCTGTTCAGCCAATGGTTCAGCCGATTGTTCAAACTATGATTGGTGTGCCATCGATGATCTCAGGAGTGCCTCCGACGGTCGCTGGAGCTACAACTGTATCGCACGTTGCAGGTACACAATTATTGTTGCGAGGTTTTCAAGGTTTATAAGGTTATATGTTTTATTCGTGATCTGATATCCTTTTGACGCGAGATGAACACCGTTGCTAAATTTAAGATATTGCATTTATCATCGTATTTTGCATCGTAAAAAATTCTTAAGAAACTTTATATAATAATTTTTTGAGCCGCTTGTTTGTTCGTTCTATGAGTATTGAAGCTGCATTCTTTAAATCTTTAGTTTAACCATTACACCTTTGTTTTCTTAATGCGAATTTCAGGAAACGGTATGGTAGCCGGAGTGACGCCAGTGATAACGCCATCAGTAACATCATTGCCACAGAGCACAATGAACGGTAGCATAATCCACACGCCAGTGTCAACGAGCACACCTCTGAGCACGACGACAAGACCACCAAGCATAGACCGAACGGGTTCGGTAGATTCACAACATCGTGGTTCCATCGACATGCCACAACAGCATCGTGCCTCCATCGATATGCAACATCGCGCGTCAATAGATATGCAGCAACGTGGTTCCATCAGCGGCACTGACATGCAACAGCATCGCGGCTCCGTTGATAGTCAGCATTCGGGCACTGGGATTGCTTCGCCGCAAGAATGGGCTGTACCTCATCAGACGAAGCTCAAGTACACGCAGCTTTTTAACACGTGGGATCGCACCAGATCGGGTTTCCTCTCAGGACCTCAGGCAAGAAACATCATGGTTCAGTCGCAGCTGCCGCAAGCTGTTCTTGCACAAATATGGTGAGATTGTTTTATTATGTATTTAACGATGAGGGATTATTATTATTTGATAGCTTAATCGGATTGGATTTGAATTCAGACAACTTATAAAAGTGCATAAAAGTTTCGAAACAGTTTGACCTCTGATATCGAGAACTATTTTTCTCACAGATAACTTGCCTTGGCATTATTTTAAAATAGCATCTGTCCAAAGATTATTTAATGAAGAATAGTATGATTGGACATGAATTGGAGCGCATGATTATATTTTTATAAATAAATTATGTTAATTAATTTTCGGTTTCACACTTCCAAATATTTCCAGGGCTTTGGCAGACATGGATTCAGATGGCCGATTAGGTTGTGAAGAATTCGTCCTAGCAATGCATTTATGTGACATGGCAAAGGCTGGTGAAGTCATATCCACGTCTCTTCCTCCGGATCTTATTCCACCGACTTTCAGACGACAGCGCCAGAGTTCCGTCTCTTCTCAAGGAGTTCCCGATAATATTGATCCGTTAGCTGGCATGCCACAGGTATGTAATCGATACGTATTCTCATATGCTCTAACGATAATTATGTGAATTCTTATTCTTTATTTTGTTTTAGACTTCGTTCGAGGACAAACGAAAAGAGAACTTTGACAAAGGTCAAGCAGAATTAGATAGACGGCGTAAAGCACTGATGGAAGTCCAGCGAAAAGAGCAAGAAGAAAGAGAAAGAAAAGAAAGGGAAGAAGCTGAGAAGCGTGAAAAGCAGAGGTGGCCGATTTTATTGATCGATGCATGCGACATTTAATATTTTTGCAGCAAGTATTTCAATTTTTATATTGGGTCATAGATTGGAACAAGAAAGACGTCGTCAAGCGGAATTGGAGCAACAAATGATGAGACAAAAGGAAATGGAAGAACAAAAGGAAGAAGAAAGAAGACGCGAACAGGAACGAAAAGAAGCCGCAAGAAAGTAAACTGATTGCATATATATATAGGCTTTGCTAGTAAATGTAATGGAAAACATTTATTTTTTTTAGAGAAATGGAGAGGCAGCGTCAATTAGAGTGGGAAACACAAAAAATGCAGGAGTTACAAGCTAGGCGCCAACAAGAACAGGACTCTCTTTTGAAATTAAAAGCAAAGAATCAAACATTAACCATCGAATTAGGCACCTTGGTAGAATTACTCGCTAATAATTAAACATTTATCATGTAGATCAATTTACTTATAAGCTTTCCTCTGCTAATTTATAGAACGAAAAAGTGAAGGAGTTATCACAGAAAATTTGCGACACTCGGGTAGGCGTTTCAACCGTTAAATCAACGATTGATGGAATGCGAACGACGCGAGACCAGCAACTTCAAGAAATGTCAGCCTTGAAGAACAAGTTACGCGAACAAAACCAACGATTACTCGCCTGCAGTCAAGAGAAAGCTAAACTAGAGGCGAAGAGTAAAGCCCAAGATGCAGCTGGCCAGGAAGCACACAAACTGGCTGTAGCGAACAAGAAGCTGGCAATCAAACAATTGGAGGACAAACTTGAAGAGTTGAAGAAGGAAGTAGCGGAAAAGGAACAGGAGGTGGATAACAGCAACAAATCCTTGGATGACTTGAAAGAAGAGATGAAAGTAATGGTGAACAACTGTAAGGAATTGCTGGTGAAATACGAAGAAAAGAAAAAAAAGATACTGGAAATGCGCAATAAACAAGCGAAAGGTGGATTCACTGCTGCCACGGCTTCTTGGGGAGACGAAGCATGGAGCGACTCTGGTAACGCTGAGGAAATTGACGTTGACTCTTGGCCTACTGACACTGCTGCAACGGTTGTTGCAAGTGCCGCTGCTACTGCTACTATAGTGGAAGACACAGGTGGCAAAAAGTACAGAGCGCTCTACGAATTCGTTGCTAGAAATCAGGATGAAATTTCATTCCAGCCTGGAGATATAATTATCGTGAGTGCTCTTTATATTGAATTTGTATTCTAGAATGTAACAAATAAAATAAATTTCCGTTACTATCAATCAGGTACCGCCAGTACAAAATGCAGAGCCTGGCTGGATGGCAGGTGAAATTCGTGGTCACACAGGATGGTTTCCAGAATCATATGTTGAGCCTATTGAGCCTGTAGAAGTCGAACCTGTCGTAGCCGATCCATTTGTTCATCAAGATAGCTTAGAAAAACGAACACTTGAGTGAGTATTTATCGAAACAGACAACTTCTTTCTGTATACATGATTTTCATAAAAAAACTTGATTTTACAGAGGAATTGCGGAAGTTCCTGAAAATCTATCAGATGCCGGCTCTGCTGTAGGTGACGGTCCTCACGTCGAGCCTGCTACACCAAAACTAGGTGAAGGACAGCTGTGTAACCTCAAAGCAACGACACTTTATCAATATCGACCTACAACTGAGGGACACTTATCCTTTGGCAAAGGAGAAACTGTTACAATTAAAGAACAACAAGTAATGATATCTAAGTTTCCAATTAAGTTTTTTTTTGTATTAAAAAAGCACGGTATCTAATGAAATTTCATTCACCGCACAGGATGTGTGGTGTTATGGACAATCGAGCGATCAAAGTGTCGGTTGGTTCCCTAAATCCTACGTGAAAATTGAAGTGACCAATGGCCAGGATACAATGACTGTTTCTGGTGACGGTCTTAATGAGTATTACATTTCTCTCTATCAGTATGACTCGAGCGAAGCCGGCGATCTGAATTTCAACCACGGCGAAATCATACTGGTCTCAAAGAAAGAAAATGACTGGTGGACTGGTGTTATTGGCGATCGAACGGGTATATTTCCGTCGAATTACGTCGAGAAATACGACATGCCTAATCAGGTGAGCCACTTTTTTCTCTAGTATATTAAGTTTCAAGGTGTTAATTGTTATGTTCAATTCCTACTACTATTTACTCATGTTTGCACTTGAACTTGTTTGGATTTTCAAGCTAATATTCTACAACAAATAATCCTATTTATCTGTTACTGGTTTTTTTTACGTTATGTATATCATCAAATAGTCCACTTGCACACTATAGTAAAGATTTTAATAGGTTAAGATTCAATCAATACATCCTGTCCAAAAAATAATTGTGTTTTCACGATTATCATAATCATTTTGTGCACAATTCACTTGCATTTTATCTTTATGTGCCCGTCATATCACCTACCTTTAGAGCGCTGCTAAACAAGCTACACCAAATGATCAAAAGCCAGAAGAATTGAGTGAAACTGCTGAAACTGCTATAAATATACAAGAACAGCCAGTGCGTATTAATGTAAAAAATATTAACAGTTGGCTTATGAGGAAATCGATACAGATTTGTTCCTTTTCATTGAATATTATATTCTAGAGATCAAGTGATTTGGACTCAATTTTCTTGCAAATTCTACCTAAGAATTCCTAAAAGCTAAAATAACAATTTAACTGTACACGTGTCCCGTAAGCTAATTGTGATAAAAAAAAGAAAGAAAAAGAAAGTCTAGAATTAGTCCTATCGCGTAACTAAAGAAACCTTAAGACAATCCAACATTTTATTTCACGCTAATCATCCTGATCCTGAAGAAGCAAAAAACAGCCGAACAGCTCGAGGAAGAAAGAGCCGAGGCCGAGGATAGAGATGAATTACCAGACTTTGCTGCTATGTCTGCTTCGCAGGTAAACGCCCAATAACCTCGACGATATCTGCGAAACGTTTTTATTTTCAAATTCGTATTTTTCTGTGTGGAATACATATTGACATTTTCTATATTTCGTATATATGCATAACAGATATGCGCATTATTGTGCCAACTTTATATATATACTCAAAACAACACACACACACACACATACACACACACACACACACACACACACACACACACACACATATTTATTTATATTTATATATAAATTGTTTTGAGTGTTGTACTTGCGTTTGGCTTTCTCTATAACATGTGAACATTTAATGGCTTTTTTTGCCGCGTGCGCTCGTTCGGACATATATGACGGCAATTGTTGTTGGCTCCACGCTGTACTACAACACAGTATACATCAAAGGTAATTGTTATACATAAGCAAGAAAAAGAGAAAAAGAAAAGATATTGGAAAGTTAGCTAGCAAAAAACACTTGTTATTGTAATATTAGCTAGACATTGTACATATATTACGGTTTTCTATATTTTTTTAATAAATAGTTGACTATTTCCTATTTATGTATAGTACGTAATCGTGTAAATCGGACACATCATTGATAACGATTTTGATTAACACGATCGCCGCGTTTTTATAGAAACGAAAGCCCGACATCGTGCAAGTTATCGCACCGTACAAGGCGACGAGTATCGAGCAATTGGATCTGTCAAAGGGCCAGCTGATTGCTGTACGGAGGAAACACGAATCAGGCTGGTGGGAAGGTGAATTGCAGGTAAGCAGCCTACGGTATACTTTGATTTGTTCATTCGGACGTGCATTCATACGCTTATATTTGCAGGCACGAGGAAAGAAGAAGCAAGTCGGATGGTTCCCAGCGTCATACGTGAAACTTCTGCAAAGCAGCAGTAATCGCAGCACGCCAGTTTCACACAGATATCAAGATTCCCCAACGATGGATCCCTTCGCTGGTTAGTATATGCATATTATATTCATTTTTCTCTATTGTCGCATCCGTACATTCACTAAAGTGTTGTTTATTCGATTCAACAGAGAAGGTAATGGCGTTGTATCCGTACAAGGCACAAAACGAGGACGAATTGAGTTTCGAAAAAGGTGATGTGATCGTGGTATTATCCAAGGATGAAGACTCGTGGTGGCGCGGCGAGTTGAACGGTTTATCTGGCGTCTTTCCCAGTAACTACGTCTCGCCAATGTGTAAGTAGATCTCTAAAAATCTAAAAAAAACAATGTACCGTTGGTGAACTTTAGTCATGATTAGTTAGGTTTTGTATTGACGAGTTTGAGTCTGTGTAATTTGCTTCCTTAATGTCGAACAAATGCAATTTCTATTTGCTCTACCTCACTCTTAGTATATTTATATGATCGTTGTAAAACAATGTTAATTAGAGTTTTTCTTTGATTCACTTATTAGTGTAAATATTGTAACCTGCATTTCTCGAGCAAAAGACTTAAGCTCCTCACTGTTGATACACCAAAGATATATATCGCGATCATTAAAGCTAGCGTAGATAGATGAGTTATGGTTTATTATTTTCTGAGCAGACATTTATTCACTGTCGTGTGCATCGACTCATTAAATCGCTTTTCAATTCACTTAGTAAAACGCCCCGGTACGCATATTTTCTTGAGTTTGAAACTTTTACTTCTCGTGTGAGACAGACAGATATATAAATATACAAATGCAATGCCAATGTAAGGCATCGATTTTCTTATTGTAAATGGTTAACCAATATCGGCACTCATATTACCAGCATTTCTTTAACTATTATTATGCCACACGATGTTTCAAACTGTGTGAAGGAGTATTTCTTACAGCTCTTAATGAATAATCTCAAAAAAGCTTTGTCGGTTTCCCCACCAACTCACCGCTCACCACTTATAATTTTATAATAATCATCATTGACACTCATAACTTTTATATATCATACTAATTTATCTCTTTTGTATGTTTTTATTTTGAGTTTTAATTTAATTTTGATGCGTTTTATCATGTCCCATGTAGATTATATAATTAAGACTCTTGTATACTCGTCGAGAATTACCGCAGAAATAATTTTAATAACAAAAAACACGTGTATACTCATTAGATAATAATCTTTCTCGAATATAAATTGAATAATAAAAAAATAATGTTAACTCTTATTAACGCTGCAGGCTCACAAAACTTTAACTCTGTAAACTTACGCTGACTCAAGTTCTTATTGTTAGTCATTGTTGGTGTTTTCTTTTGTTTATTGTTTGCTGTCATAAATTATTAATTTTTTTCGATCGATCATATTTCATAAAAAAATAGCTTCCTTTGTGTGTACACTGATAAGTCCACCTTAATGTGTATTATTAAAGTTGTTCTATCGTGGGTGCATGTCTACTGTACATTTTCATACAACACTCATCACTTGAGCAAAAGAAAATGTGTGTATGTTGCAATATTATTTTGTATTTGTATTTTGTTGAGCTTTAATTTTTGTACTTTGTAAATTATCACTTTGTTTGAAAATTATATTTGAAATTGTAAATTTTTGCGTGTTAAAAAAAGAACAGTTTTTAATGTAGTAACTGAATGAATTTATTTATTATATGTTTGATCTTCTATAATTATCATTTGGTTTGGCAAAGTGCCGTGACTATATTGTTTTGATGTAATGTTAGAATATGAGATTAATATCACATATATTTGCTGTAACATTTACTTCATCAAAATCATATCAATTTCATGCTTAAACTCATTGCTTATTTAATGAAGTCATCCATTTCGAATTATCAATCATTCTGTAAATTCACAAAGTATTAGAATATTAGACGTTGAATGTAGAAGCTTTCTTAGAATGAGTAGTTGAAATTTATTGTGAAAAAAATAGCATTTGTAAAATAAACCTGTAATTCACGAAAGTATTATGATAGAAATTACTTTGCAGCATAATTCTAAGTATAATAATATTGAGAAGGGCTTATGCAATCATAGCAATTGCATTTGAAAAAATTATTGAGCTTTCAAAGTGCCATTCTCAATGCATAAATGCACCATAAGAAAAAAACAGATGGTTGACTTCAATGGAGATTTAAAAAAAGGCAATAGCAACTATTAGTTTAGTGCAGTGATCAAATAGAATAGAGAGAATACATACATGTTCAAAATACGTACACAAAAAATGTAGATGATTATGATTTCATTGATTTCCGTTCGATTACACTATTCTTTTTACCGGAGTCAATCGCATGGCTTTTTCGCAGTGCACAAATGATGGGAGGGATAGGCGCGTATTGCCATCTAACCAAAATCAACCAATCAGGCAAGCAAAAAAAGTGAAAAATCAATGGCATGAATGCCAATACGCGCATTATACTGCTGTCGCAGCATGAATTTCAGTTAACTAATGAATGTATTCTTCGTCCTGTGCTTTTTCATATAATTCACGCAGCGTAAGAGGGGACGAAGTAGAGCTTCTGCCATCGACGAAACAGAGACAATTTTTTCTGATATTGCTCGTGCGACACAAGCTTGAATGTTTGCGCCTATAGACACAGACCCGACGTTACATACGCTGCGAAAGCAACGAACAATCAGTCAGGGAGACAGAGATTCGCGAAAAAAATTGGCTCATCTGGTTCGCAGCTCAGGGAGATTGAACAACAGCGACGACGACAGCAGCCAATTAGCAGCGCCAATTGGTGTATTGCTGCTGCATCTGGAGATCCGACAGTGGCGGATGTTTTGTTTCCTTGTATCCTCTTTCTCACCACGACGCCAGAGGCTGATGCGCTTCACGACCGACGCCGACACGAGCTTTTTTTTCTCGTCTGTTTTCGTTTTGCGGGCAAATAAACAGAAGCAAAACTACCAAGTTTTCTTACACATGCCAAGCTCACGTTTCAAGCAAAGGAAACAATAAATAGAAAAATACAGACACACACCGCTCAATACTGTATGTGGGGTTCAACATCGATGATTATTATTGTCACGTGTGCATGTGCAAAAAAAAAAATAAATAAAAAGAACAAAGAAAAAACAAACAAACAAACAAACAAAACGCTTCGTAACCTCATGAGCGAGCGAGAGTATGACGAATTTTTAGCGTTCTGTACATACGATAGATAAAGGAAGCGCAACGAGGGCGAACTGACGCAGTTTTTTCTCTTGATAGTAGCGCGACACAAATGTTCAAGTACAAGAGATGTATGAAGTGCAGAGATCATTGTTGTTGAAACTCTTTTTTTTTGACCTTTGTGTTTTTTCCTTCTTCTTTTCTTTATAGTCGTAGGCTCGAGAACGAATAATAACAAGGCAAGAGAGTTTGCAACTCGTGGATCAAAATCGCTCGATTGTTACATTACACTTACTATAATCCCTTCTGTTGTTATACCGTAAATAGAAAACAGAGAAACGAACGTTTAATTTGGTCCATCCAATCGTACATAATTGTTGTAAGTTTTTTGGAGGAACGACGCTAATCTAATATAATTAATATTCTAGTTTATACAGAATTTGTTTGTAGATAAAAGAAAACTAAGGAAAAATTAAGTAATGTTGTCGATGTTGTCGATGGCCTAAGTTTAATCAACACAAGAAGTCAATAGTTCGAGTAAGACGTAGGTTAGCAATAAATTTCTTCCACACGAATGAGTGTTTAAATCACATCGATAAAATATTCACGTGGACATGTGTACCTGTAGATTAACGCAGGCAATAATTAATAAATATTTTCCATGGTTTCCAAGATTCGTTGTTTAATATTATAATTAGACAAAGTTCTTTATGACATCGATCCACTGTTCACTCTATCTCTTGTCTTGTAATTATCATCGTTCGTATGATAGCTGCTCACGGAGAATTGTTTTTATTCTACGATGTCATCTGTACGAATAAAAAAGAGGATTTCTCCAAAGAACATTCAATTGAAGTTTTGAGTGGGAGTGGTGGAGAGACGTTTCTGAAAAAATTCTCATTGATCTTATTAAAGATTCTTTTATATAAATTGTGGTAAATAATTTTTTCGACACATAGACATGTGGTTATTGTATGAATTTTGATTGTATGTTGAGTAGATAGCTGCTACGTATATTTTCTTCTATTTAAATATTGGCTTTTTTCATAGTTTGAAAAAAGAATAAGAACCTCAGCAATATCTCTACAAAATCAACCTTACATGAAAGTTTTATTGACTTTCTCGCGTTAGTTCAAATGTATATTTATTTAACTGTAAGTGCGTTTATTTAGTCATCTTAATTATTTATAGTGCTAATTTAATGTTTCGTTATTGATTCGAATTATTGTCGCTTCAAATAAATAAAATTACCGAATCGAAATTGTTTTCAAGTCATTTTAAGAATAAAGTTTATCATTTGTGATAGTTTCGTTCGACAATGACAATAACATTTTTCTGAAATTGTGAAAATCTTCCAGAGATGAACAAAAATGACAAATGAATAAAAATGCGCACTCTCGTCAGACTTTTTTTTCAGAAATTAATGATACACTTTAGCAGAGTCTGTAAACGAGTGAACAAACGAATAAAAAACCCCTTTTTAGAGACGATAAAATACTCCAGAATCTCAACGTATAACTCAACGACAGCTTTTCGTTTTTCCTTTGTCCGGCTTGCACCAAAAGATATAGTTGAAGTTTCGACAAGTTTTGATAAATAATTGCATTTATTGTTTCTTTTTTCAAGAAATACGATTATATTTACTATAAGAGCAGAGTGCATGTATATTTATTCAAATGTTACATAGTATTAAAATTTAGTATTCTTATAAAGAGTACATATTTATGATATTTTCGTGAATACTCTGAAGCATTAGTTTTTCTTTAAAATGGTAAGTTTACAGTCAAGAACAAAATAATCAAGTTTACTCGCGGAAGAAAGTTTACATAGTGCCATATACAAATAAACATATTTGTTTCTTTTCTCAAATAAACGGTATTTTAGTTGTGCTAGATTTAATTGTTTTTATCGTTAACGCCATAAATGTGTATTTACACTGAAGTATGACATATATTTTTTATCGAATTGTACACCAAGCTATAAGTGCGCAGCCTTGAAACAAAATAAAACAATGATACCTTTACCAAGTGAAGTAATGACGAAAATCTGTCGTCGAGAGCAATTGCACATAGTTTGTAAAACTCCCGTCATTGCATTAGATTACAAGAATAAGAAGAATGAGAAATCTTCTATTAGACGGGTATACGCGAGAGAGAGAGAGAGAGAGAGAGAGAGAGAGAGAGAGAGAGAGAGAGAGAGAGAGAGAGAGCGTTTGATGAGCGAAAGGTATATCGCTGACGACGTACGTAGTTGATTAATAGACTCGATTACAACAAATAAATGAATTTTGCAGTTTGAGAAAAAAATTGTATAACGACTAATAATATTTAAGAAATGCCTTCTCGAATGTTGAATATTATATGAAGACCAGATCTATAAATATCGTCGTTTACTTTTTAAATCGCCAAACGCTGTAAAACTCTGCAATTTCTGGTATAAATATATATTTAAAAAAATACGAATAATAGTAAAGGAGCAAATGTTATTATATTGAGAATAGTCGAAAATTGTTGACATTTGCATATTTCTTTCTTTTTTCTGTTATATGGAATACATATTGAATGATTGGTTTTTCTTTTCGGTCGGGATAGGTTCATTTTGACGCCACTAAATACTGAAATACATACACACACAGAAAAAAGAAAGAAAGCATAAAAATATCTCAGTATCACGAAGGAAGCCATTATTATTATTGTTGTTGTTGTTGTTGTTATTATTATTATTATTATTATTATTATTATTATTATTATTATTATTATTATTGTTATTATTATGGTGAAATAAGTAATAAGACGACAGAAGTAGTCTCAGCTCACCCCGACTTGAAGTTGCAAGGGTTTGCACAGCAATTGGACATACATTGATTGTAGAAATACATACCTCTTTAAGCGGTTAGATATATCAATCGACGGCTTGTTTGTACTTGTCGGTTTGTTCACTTGCCTCACTGTAAATGACATTACTTCTAAGCTGAAAAATGTTTTTTTTAGAAAGACCATTGATTGCTTGTATTTGTTCATGCATATTACTTGTTGTAAATGAATTTAGAATCGTAGTTGAATGCAACAAACGTAATTAATTTGCATCGAAAAATGTTGGCCGCTATGTTGCTTCGTCAAGATGCTTAAAATTGAACCAACAGTAGATTTATTCTGTTACAATTGTATAAAAAAAGGAGAAATATAAAAGCATTGTTCGCAGTAATAGAAATAGTGATACATTGTAACGTCATGTATTAATAATAGTGAAAGTGCAAGCTGTATAAACAATAGGCGATATATGCACCCTTTTGGAAAGTTCATTTGACTTTACAACCTCAACTGTCTATAGATTGAGATAAACATGGGAACACATCAAAATACTTTAAAATTCAAATTAGAAACTTTATTATACTAAAACTTTTAAATTTATCTTCCCATTACTTGTTCCTTTTTCTATGTGTTCATCTGGATTATTTATAGAACGTATATGCGAGTGAAAGAGAAAGAAAAAAATAAAACAAGTGAGTTAAAAAGTGATTTTGGAATGATCGTCAAAGCTGTGTACAATCGTTTTCTGTTTCGGTTTTATTGTTATTAATTGTAATATCGAGCTCATTTTTCCGAAATCATTTGACTCATTTTCTTTCGCATCGAAAGAAAGAAAGAAACAAAAAAGACCACGATATTAATGGACAAGAAGAATGATTTTGTTTTGCGGAGTGCGTAATTGGTTAATCATTACGAATATGAAAAGACAAGTTAAACCAAAGAAAAAAATAAAGCGGAAAATGGTAAATTAATATACATATCTTGTACGAAGAAAGCAAACAATAAATAAATAACTAAAGAATAGAGTATTATAAAGAATGGAAAATTGAATAATGATGAAATTCAGTTGATAGTTGACTTTTGTGCACTCTTCTGACTACTTTAATTTTAAACGAATAAGAGACGCATTATCGATTACCTGCAGAGAGATACACGTGCGCGTAGAATGGTTGTAGCAAAGACTCATCATATTAACAAAATAAAAGAATCAGGTATTTGTATAGAACGCGCAAAACAAACATTTCGCTGACTAGCTTGTAGATGGGCAAATAAAACGTAAGAGGAGGAGCTGACTATTTAAATTATTTATAAAAAAGTATAGAGTGTTTACTAAATAGTACTCCTGAGTTCGATACATCGAGACTCTTTTCCGTTTCCTTCGCGCTTTTTCGCTACAAAACCAAATTCGCGACGTTTAACTGCGCAAAGCTTTTGCACCGATTGCATCAACGACAGACTCTTATCGACTTGACCCGACTATTTTTAAAAGTGTTTCACAAACCAACGGACGAAACGTTATTGGATAAATATCTCAATTTGTAATCTACACGAGAATCTCAGCGTTAAAGTTGAATGAGTTGACTTGTTGGTGTAAAGGCGAAAGGCACCGCCATAAAAATAATAATCTCCCGACTATAAAAACTATAGAACTGCTTTAGCGCAAAGACAATTCAGTTACGTTTAATAAGTACTTCAATTAAGACGTCAGAGTTCAATAATCACGATGTAATCAAGCTGTCGAAAGAAAAAAAGTCCGCCGTCGCCATTGCTTAGCTTTCAAACGATGAAAAACAAACCATTCGACTATAAACTAGTGACATGTATGTTAATACTCATAGTGGAGGTCTTCCCGATAATAAAATAACACGTTACTCGTCAACATTTTTTAAGGAGTCTCGCTGAGCATCAAAACATAATTATCCTTCGCTGGCGATCGACAATTTTTAATAAATGGCTAGACGCACGAGAATGTAACAAATAACGAGTCGCGTATCGCACAGCAAACATTCATGGCCTCTCGCTTCTCTCGCTTGTCGCCTCTCGCCTCTCACTACCACCACCACCACCCCCGCAAAAAAACATTCGATCCGTGCAATAATCAAGAATATTTAACGCATAACTTATTTATCAGAGAGCGAGAGAGCAAAATAACACGCATACGCGGCAGCATTGACGAAAGAACTATATTATATATATATATATATATATATATATATATATATACGTGTTATGTTTAAAAAAACGTAGAAGACTTACAATAAGGAGGGGTTGAAAAATAAATAAGTAAAAGCGAACAAATGGAGAAATTTGCCTGGTAATAATTTTTCTATATCGTAAAAATGGAATAAAAATATGATGCATAAACAAGAATAAACAATGAAGAATAATAATTAATGAATATAATAATTGAGGAGAAAAAAAGGCTATGAAAGGTATAAAAGCAAAAAAGTTTTGCAACGGCGTGATTACTAGGTGTACTTTGAATATATACACTTACAGATATTGTAATTATGTATAACAATTATTCGTGTAGTGCTATCCTGAGATTGTTATCAATGCAAGACTTATACATATTGTTTCTCGTTGTATTGTCGGATATTAATAAAAGAAGAAAAAAAAACACAATGAGTGCACGCAATGGACTTGAATTACATTTTTTTTAGCTCTTGATTAGTTCTTTTTTTTTTTTTCCAATGTTCATCTTTCGTTTGTTTCGTTATTGATTTGCGAAAGTTAACGTTCGTTGTCCAAGGAAATGTCTTGTACGTGTGTTGGTTCAACGGCCGTAGCGAATAATTAGTAGCGAGAGACATCGAAGGTAAGATCCGACGTGAATGCAACGTTGAATGATTTGTTCGAAGTACGACGGAATGGAGGCCGAAGAGGCAGCGCGTTATTGTCGCGTTGAAGTGCTAGCCGGCTTAAAATAAAAATGCCTATATAAGTTAGAAGCGGGCGGCAGGGCTAAATGAAAGATAAAGCTAAGCGAAGGATCAATAGTCGAGGCCGGTTTCTCGGGATTTCGGTTTCTCAAGAGTTTCGGCGCGCGCCGCTCAGCCGCTCGCGACGGAAGACCGTCAACAGAAAAAACGAAGCGCCCGCATATTTCGGCCATTCCAAATCGCTATCTGCAACCAAACTCTTCTTTTTGTTTGCCTTTGATTGTTCGCTCGCGCGAACCGCATTTGACGAATCGCTCACGCGTGTGCGCGTGTCTAGTGAACGCCCTCTCGAGAGCCGAGAACGCGATGGCCCAGCAACTCGACTCGATGGAGAGAAAGAGGCAGGAGTACATCAAGGAACTGATCGTCACCGAGGAGGCTTACATCGTGGACATGCAGCTGGTGCACGAGGTAATGCCTACTCGTTTTGCCGATGCTTCAACTATCTCGCAATAGCAGATTTTTCAGATGCAAGCACGGTTCATTTATCAATGATTGAGCGCAGGTTTTCGAAAAGCCACTGTTAGCCAGCATGGTCTTGACGGTCAACCAAGTCGACAAAATATTCATCAACTGGAGGGACATCATAGCTTGCAACGACAGCTTTTTGAGGTAACGCGCACGGACCATTCATCGCATTCGCCGATCTCATTTCCATTGCCGATTTCTATCGCTCAACCGACATCATGTCTTTGTCCCGAATGTGTGTGTAGAACATTGAGGATCCGCCGTGACAACAGCGAGGCTGGAGTCGTCCGAATGATCGGTGACATTCTCTGCGAAAACGTAAGTTGGCCAACTGTCAACGAGCTACTTCGATGCTGTCTATGAGACTACTGTCATCCCGTCCGTAGATTCCACGCATGTCGGCCTACGTCAGATTCTGCAGCTGTCAGATTTCCGCGGCAGTCTATCTACAGCGGCTCACCGAGACCAATCCCTCGTTTGTCGAAGTGGCTCAGCGCTGCCAGCAGGATCCGAGGACCAAAGGGATGCCGCTCAGCTCTTTCTTGATCAAGCCCATGCAACGAATCACCAAGTACCCACTGATTATTGGAAAGGTAATGCCCAGATTTGCGCGGCGAGCCTCCTCAAGTGCCGATCGCAAGTCAAACGGCTATTCACCTACAAATCCAAGAACAACAATTACGTCTTCTCGCTGTATTTTCCGTAGATACTGGAGTACACACGGCCAGACCACCCTGACAGACAATACTTGCAAGAAGCTCTTGCAAAAGCCGAAGAATTCTGTACTCAGGTATTGTACGACGCTTACGTCGGCCTTGTGCACGATCAGCGCCTGTGCTTACTTCATAATCAAAATTCAGGTGAACGAAGGCGTACGCGAGAAGGAGAATAGCGACAGGTTGGAATGGCTGCAGACGCACGTGGTTTGCGATGGTCTCGAGGAGCAAATAATCTTCAACTCGCTGACCAACTCTCTCGGGCCTCGCAAGCTCGTCCATTTCGGAATATTGCACAAGGCCAAGAGCGGCAAAGAGCTTGTCGGCTTCCTCACTAACGATTTCTTACTGTTTGCACAACCGACCAAGTCAATGCCCAGCGGGCAACAATTCTCCTTCGAGAGGAACGAACATCAGAAGTTCAAGCTTTACCGGAGGGTGAGTTTTTTTCCATTATTTCGGGCTTTTAGAACTCGACGTCGAAGCGTTTGGCTCCGTTTTTAGCCGATCTTTCTGCAAGCTCTGTCGCTAATCAACGAATATGAAACCGCTGGCCTGATGAACGGTTCATTCAACGGCCACGATTCCAACGAGCAATCGCGCACCTTAAAACTCAGCGACTCGAAGAAAGCAATAACGCTTGTCGCACCGTCGATAAGTGAATGTTCATTATGGGTACGGCGAATAAGCGAGGCACGACGTCACTTCGCCGAGACGGAGAAGAGCCGCTTGCTACGTCAGCGGTCGAGTAAGTACTGCTATCAGACGCTGCAAACACTCGTACGAGTAATTAACTTTGCTCTCGGTTTGTTCGTTGCTGCGTCACTCGCCACATTTTTCAAGTACCAGATGTGCTAAAGCTTTTCTCCCGTATTTCAATAAATTACCTAGTCAGTTCTTTTCATTATCGGACTGGGCTTTCTTTTTATCGTTTGTTATCTGTAAGAAATGGTAGTATCGATTCATGGTACATTAATTCAGTAGCGTATTTCTATGATTTATGCATGTTACAACAATCATTCAGTGCCATTCGTCTCGTTACATACTACCTAAGTTGTCAACTTTTACGTCAATAAGTCCATTACATATATGTTTGTCCATTACATATATGTTAGAGCAAGCGCAATTCAAAGCGTGTGGCCGAATTCTAGTGACTGTTGTGGAAGGATCCAGTCTAATGTCCTCGACTGGTAAGCTCAAAACGATCGTCTTATCATCTATTTATATTTCTATATATTTATATATAACCTGTACATGCTGTGCTTGCAAAAAAAATTATTCAACAGTGTAGTCGAAATCATAAATAAATTTGTAAACTTTTTTATGCAAGATATGGCAGTGTTACATTTGCATATGTAGTGCTTCTCGTCTACTTATCACTCATTATTTCTGCTCTCATGCGCATGTCAAGTTGACTCTTGGGATCTAGTGATATGAGAACATCCAGCAAACTGTGGTAGACTCTAATTTGGGTGATAACGTACACAAACACTTTCTTTTTTCCTTTTCAATGTTTCCTTTCAATGCACACTCTTTGACCTCTTACTAACAAATCTATTCTTCTATCACACTATATTGTAGTTCGGAAGAGACATCCGAAGGGACACCTTCGGATTATTATTGAAGAGGCGGAAGAGCTTGTCAGTAAAAACAAAGGTAAAATAAATACACATTTAGAAGTCTTATTTTGAACATTCAATATTTTTTTCTTTTTTTTTCTTTTGAATTATTGAACATAAGGAGAAAACTACATTTATATAGCTTTTGTCAGGTATCCGTTTGCCACGGCAAAATGTACTAATTTCAAAAGTTTTGAGACGTCTATATTGGTGAGATAAATTGCGAGGTGTTTTTCATTAGGAAGGCTACTTTTGTTTTATTGACAATATTACATTTGACCATGCATGTATTCGTCTTGATAATGGCATACACTAAACTTGCTTGTCATGATAAGTTATGTAAAATTTGTATTTAGCGAATGCACATTTAACTTTCCTATACCTACAATGAATTAAACGCCATAGCTATGCACTAACAATCTTATTTTATCTTAAAAAATATATATATACTAATATTTTCAATTCATTATTAAAAATACAGATTTATAAATACAAGTAAACCACCTTCTGATAACTTAAATGTTGTTATTTTTAATATCACAGGTGAAGCATGTTTGCATGGCAGAATTTGTCACTTGAAAGAGTCACGAGTTTTATTGTACATTTGAAAATCGTTTGTTTGTAGGCAAATGCAACGCGTTTTGCAAAGTTTCTATGGGTTCGCAAGAGGAACAAACGATCGTTGTGTCTGGCACCGATTGCCCAGTTTGGGACACGTCCATGCAGTTCCAGGTTAAAGATTTACACGAGGACACTTTGTGCATCACTATTTTCGACAAAGGATATTTTAGCCCCGATGGTGAGCTTACACTGTTTTATTTTATAAAATGTAGCTTAACATTATGAAATCACGTCCCTCCGTATACAAGTCACGAAAAACATTTACAAATAAAGCTAATATACAAACGTATAATTAATGTAAAATGTCAGCTGACAATGAATACAATTATGAAAATAATAAATTATGAAAACTCTTGATGTTCCGTCCATTTATTTTATTTGTAATATTGCAACAGTGTAGACCGTTTTGAAAAACATAGTTTTCTTTAGGTGAAGAGTTGCCAACGAGAATAAGAGTCGAACGTATGCCAACGTAAAGTTGGTATACGATAAAAGTTGTACATGCTTTCATTGCCAAATCTTTGTCCGAAGAGGACCGTAGAATTATATGTTTCTCAAAACGGTCGGAATTGTTACTCTATTACAAATAAAAATGGACTGATGGAACATCAGCAGTTTTAATTATGTATAAGAGTTACATATACAAAATTTTTTACATAAATATGCTTTTTTGATTTTGTACAAAATACGTAATCTCTATAAATCATCATTCGGTTGAATGATAAAAAACATCGTTCTGTTTCTAGAGTTTCTTGGCCGTGCTGAAGTTCGAGTGGTCGACATCGTAAGGGATAGCAAAGACGCTTGTGGACCAATCACCAAACGTATAAAACTTCGCGAAGTTGATCGCGGAGACGTAGTTTTAAAGTTAGATCTTCGACTGTTTGGCAGTAGATAGTGCATAAAAAGGAAGACTTACACGAAGAAAATCAAGCATAATAGAGTATATAAATTTCTATCCAAACCGACCTATTGATTTCTCAGTCTTTAGTGGTTTTAAGACGTATACCGAGCATATCTCTCGTGAAAGCAATCAAGTACATATCCGTACATTTCCATTATATGATAGTATTTTTATTTTAAATGTATATGACTCGGTAATGAAATCTGATTATGTTCAAATAATCCATAGTTATTTTGTATACTATGTTGTATTATTTACTTGAACAAAGTCTTGGGAAATATTTTCCTGTTTTTTTTCATTATTACATAAAAAAGTGGTAGCGCATTGTTTTTAACTTTATTATAAATTTATAATTATTGTTACTTTGCTGTTGCAAATGCTTTCTTTATCACCTCAAGGTTAAATTATTAAATAAATATAACAAAATAAAATGTGCAATGAAAAATCGAGCGTTCGATTATTTACTCCTCAATATCTTTGATAACGAGAATGTCTGATGTTTCATTGATGGATGAAATTGAATGTAATAGAAAATCATTGCGATAATACCGATAATGAATGGTACTATACACATGGCAGAGATAACGTAATGATACCATACCGTCTTGAGATCAGTTGGTACGCTTAAAACTACCAAGATAGCAGCTGAAATGTTTTCCAAAAAACATACCGTATAGTAAAGTAGATGCTTACTATAAGTCCCGTTATCCTCAAAATTAACGTAAATAAATATGTAAACGAATCCAAAAACGCATGAAAATAATGTAGACTTTATTTTTTCTCCTAATGTGGACGGCAGATGTGGAGTGCGTCTTTTCGTCTTGCAAAAATTGACAATTCCGCGAGACTCCATAATGAGCCAAATGGTCATTGCAATCCAATGGAGAACACACATCACTAATACGCATATCGTTGAAAAAATTGCGGCAGCCAATACAGAAGCAATGCGCGATGCTATAATAATTCATTAAAACATTTTTATTACTTTCCGAATGATAGTAAACTATTGCATGAATTTAAAAATTCCTCACTTGTGATGAATAAGTGCCACAAAAATTGAAGGATAGTACCAGCACAGTTAATATTTCTCTTATGTTGTTGAGCCAAACGGATATTGCGATGATAATTGACCATTGCCCATGCTAAACTTATGAAGGAGCTAACAATGTTGCTTACTTGATCTAAACCTGCAATAATTTACATTATTCATTATTTTCCATTTGTAAAAGAAGACTTTTGAGATATAATATATTATGTACTCATAGAACTATATTCTCCATGATAGTCTTGCACAAAAATGGACAATTGCAAGATTAGCTGAGGTGCTGCTTCAATGAAGCATTCCAAAACTCTAAGGAGTGCAATATCTTCTTCCTCTTTCAACATTTGTATGAAATACTTTTTCTGCCCAACACAATTGTTTTTCCTTTTACAAAGTCGTGATTTTATGGCATATTTCAAACTGTTGCAGTATCTTTGTACCATGGTGAATTGAAATATTATATTAAGTATCACCGTAAAGAAGTGTATTATTTTTTTTAAGAATGGCCGCTTCTTATTTAGTAAATTTTCCTGAAATTAAATTTAACCACTTGTCATAAATCTCAAAATAAAAAAAAATATAATATTTTTTAAGATGGATACCTCTTCATCTTGATGATACATTTGTAAACTAACAATTGTGTTGATAAATGATGCGATCAGAATAAAACTGATAGTCCATGACAATGTATATAACTTCTTGTTTATGAAGAAAGAAGCTATAAGTTTGGTATCTGTATAAATATCACAACAGTGTATAAATATCGATAACAGTAAAAAGAAAATATCACAGTTAGATATTTTAGAATTTTTTGGAGGAACATCTGGAACATCTTTAGGTTTTTCAATATTGTGTGTATCAATATTTGCTTTCAAGGCACTTTCTGAAGTAGTAATCTCTTCTAACTCCATTTTCAATATTTTTTCCAATACGAGAAAACGGCAAACATTGAACTTCAAATTTAAATTGACATTTGAGATGTAGTTTTGTTTATGATTCTTTTAGATTACTATGTTATATTAAATTTTTCACATTTTTGATCATAACCTTCTACTACATTGCGTTACTTAAAAACCATATAAGCCATATTTATAATACTAAACACCAATCTAAAAGCCACAAACGCGGAATACAAGAGCACTAATTTTGGAGGTTGTCTTTACTTAGCTTTTCGAACCGCACATCACACAACACACAACTCACATACATAACCGCGTTTGTATCGACGACAGGCGTTGTATCAACGATCTCTGTATTGCCAACAATTTGACGTATTCCTTGCAACTTGCAGTGCAGCGAGTGTTCTGATCTGATATATGTGCATATGTGTGAAGACGGGTGTGGAGTATTATTATCTGAATTTTAATTGTTTGCTAATATTTAGTTGGCAAATTTTTTTTGCAAAGCCGACAATCGGTATTTGGTATATATTTATATACATATTATAGATGTGCTTGTGAAAAATAACTAGAAAAATGCCAGTAAGTAGATAAATATTAATGTTTTTTGATGTCTAGGTTATGAATCATCTCAAAATTATCACATCTTAAATAAAAATGCCAAGAGATTTCTTAAACTGCCACGCTAAAACTGTAAATAAGGTTTATCAAAAGATTTCTGCTTTTCATATGAAATCAATTTAAAATTAATTTCTCTGTTATAAATCACTGATGACTGCTAATATTTATGTATTGTTACAGGCATACCACTCAAGTTTTATTTGTAAGAGAGATACTTTAGGTAATATGGCCTTATTACCCTTAAAAACAAGTTATAGAGGGCCAGCTCCACCTATGGCGAATGCAGAAGAGATGGATATTATAGACGAAGCTTTGTATTTTTTCAAAGCAAATGTGTTCTTTAGGACGTATGAAATAAAGGTATACTTTTGCTATTGTTGAATTATGTACTCCAAAATATATGATTTAGCAAAGATTTTGTTAACTTCAGAGTGAGGCTGACAGAGTTTTGATTTACATTACCTTGTACATAACAGAATGTTTAAAAAAGTTGCAAAAGTGTATTAATCAAAATCAAGCTCAAAATGAAATGTATTCATTGGCCATCTCGAAGTTCGATATTCCTGGAGATTCAGGTTTTCCACTCAATTCAGTTTATGCCAAACCTAGCAATTCCAATGAAGCTGGTAAACAATTTCCTTCCGTTCTCAATAAGCTACAAATAAATAATAAACTAAAATAAATGTTAGTTTATAAATGTACTAAAATTAATATTGTTGATAATTTCAGAATCTATGAGACAGTATTTATTACAAATAAGGCAAGAGACTGGTTCGCGTTTAGTTGAAAAAGTATATGGAACTGATGGAAAACCAAGTAAATGGTGGCTATGTTTTGCAAAAAAGAAGTTCATGGACAAGTCTTTGTCAGGACCTGGTCAATAATTAAGTACATGTTTTAATATTAAAAAGACTTTCAACATTTAATGATTGTATAAGATAGATGAAAAAATTTTTCTTTTGTGTATGCAATGTTTTTTCTTATTTTCATTACTGATTTAAAAATAGAATCAAACAAATTTTACATATAGAATTTCAATGACTATTCTTTCGACATATAAAGCATATATACTAAATAATTACATATAATTTGTTTATATTTATTCAATACTGTTTAAAATAGGAAAAAAAAGGCACAAAAAAAAGAAAGAAATAGTAATAATCATTTCTTATGAAATATATGAAGTCTTTAATTGACTAATTACGTTAATTAGCCTGAACAATGAAAGAAGTAGGCCAAGAGTCAGCTCAAAAAAGTTTTACAAAGTAATAAGTACAAATATCTTATACTCTCACAAGATACACTATTTACGACTATTATAACGCCTTAACAATTACAAAAAAATGTGCGTCTCATACGATTAAATAAACCTACGGCTAAATCGATGGGCTCGAAACTCGCGTCGACAGTAGAATCGCAATGACAATGCAACAATAATAAATAATGAAAAAAAACTAATCCACATGCATTTCCTTTTTTCTTTTGTTCTTTTCAGAAATTGCTCAGAAGCCCTCGAGCACTGGCTATTACGTCTACAGCAATTCGATGTTTTATATTCAATTAAATTAACAATTATTCTTTGATACGAAAATCATTATAAGATAATCGAAGTTAGGAATAATACTTTCAAGAGAAACTTTTAGGACTGATTCTTCGGATTGAATCGTCCCATGTGCAGTATCAGTCCGCTAAGATTGTGTCTAATCAAGTACAGGAAAGGCTTGTCCATCTTCATTCGTGGCCTCTCTGGTTGTTCAGCTTGTCGTTTATTTCGACACCTTCGACGTCGCGACGAAGTAAACCAACGTAATCGGCTCTTTTGGATCTTTTGTCTAATATCACTCGACTCTATTGCTTCCTCGGATGGATCTTCGTCTTCGCAATCGCTCGAATCGCTGCTTTGTTGCTGTTCGTTGTTATTTTTGAGTAACTCCCAAGCTCGGGTGTGTCTCGGCGGTGTACCTGGGTAGGTCTCTGCCAAGTGTCGTACACCAGCTTTGTTATCGTCCCCACACGTGCAGAACAGATTCATCTGTGAACATGGAAATAGTTGAGAAGCAATTTTATCGAGATTCTTGAACAACTGGTAATCATACCTGAATCATCTCTGCAAGATAGAGGTCGTGACCAGCTCCATTGATGCCCTTGAGATCGGCAGTCTTGGTGAGCAACAGGTCAAATCCCATCCTCTTCAGCGTGGAAGAAACGTTGAGTATCGAACGCTGGCTAAACTTGGGCATTTGCAACTCAACCCTCCTCGGAATTATAACCTTCAGCAATTTCTCCAGTGCATTGTCGCTCGGGTTGCCAAAAAGCCGGAATTCCAATCTCTCGAGATTGTCACCCGCCGCAGTGAGACCCTGCTGGCCCGGCATCACCATAATCAAGGACACGGGCCTCTTGGGATCACCTAGAGCCACGGCAGTTGCGTCGAGACTCGGTTCGTAGCCGGCCGAGACGCCAGACTTCCAGACGACCGCTGGTATCGGCACGAGCTTACGTTGCTTGACTGTTTGCGCTACCGCAAAGTACATCTCTCCGTCACGACCTTCCGAGTTGGCCTCCGGACTGTCGCAACTGGTTTGAAATACGTTGGCCGACAGTGCGGTCAGAGGCGATCTCAAAGACACGGCGTGACCCTTCACGAAATCCTTGATCCTTCCGCCGGTTTGCTTCCTGATCAGCAGGTTCGTTCGCCGCCTGAGTATGTCACCAGCAGTGGAGAAGTTGACATCCACCACGGCGCCCTCGTAAAACTGCTGAGCTTGCTCCTTGTAAAACGGCATGATTTTGCGCACCTTCAAGCGGTCGGCGAACAACGCTCGGACGAAAGCAGCATTCTCAATACCCTGGCCACGCGCCAAGGTGACGGCGTCGGTAATGTTTTGAAAGACCAGGTGTGGATTGAACGTCACCACGTCGTCGAGCTTGAGAATATCGTTCATCGCGTTGGACGTGAGTCCTCTGGCGCCCAAAAAGATCATCGCTAAGGTGCTCAGCATGCCGAACGGCGACATCGTCACTGATCTCGACGAGCTCAAGCCAGTGTTTGCCAGCGTCCAGAACTTGAAGGACAGCTCGTTGCACATGCTCAGAAATTCAGCGACGTCACTGTCTAAATCTTTGTTACTCTGATCGAGACCGATCGCACCTTTCGCGTGATCCAGCGTCACTATTGGTGAATTCGCTGGAGGCGCTGGTAAAACGCTTTCTTTCACTGCTACTTTCCTGATCTCTTCGCTTTGATCGGCTACGACTTTTTGGGGGACGAGGGTCCACTTGTCGTTCTCCTTGGAGTCGCTGATCGGCTTATTGGTCGTTGCCATCGTTGTCGTCGTTGTCGTCGTTGTCGTCGTTATCGTCGTTGTCGTCGTTGTCGTCGGTGTCGTCGTCGCCGTCGTCGTTGACGTTGTCGACGTTGGGCTGGTAGCCCTGAGAACTGGCTTGGTCGCTTTCCTAGTGTACGTCTGATGTAAATCACCGATCGACGGTCTCCTCAAAGTACTGTAATGAAGTTTATTCTTCATGGTAAATTTGGACGGTTCGGTGGGCCTGACGAGTGGCGCCTTCGTCTTCTCCTCCTCAAGATTGATTCTGCCCGCAGACTTGTCTATCGTCGATTGGATCTTGTCGATCGAGGATTTGGTGGTGCTGTACGTCGACGCGGCGTGAGGTCGTCCGGTGATGGATTGCTTAACAACCGCCATCACTGTCTTAGCATCGGCGATCGTCGTATTCGATACGATCATCGGTCTCTCGGTAGTTAACTTCTTCGCGATAGTTACCGCCGTTGTCGTGAACTGAGTCAGAGATTGCGTGCTAGTCTGGTGAGCTTTGCTCGATGTAAGGGCCTGTGCTGTAACGTACGTGGTATTTTGTGGCTCTGGCGAGGGCTTACCGATGTTATCGATAACGGTGGTGAGAATGTCATCTGCTGGGGTCGTGTTACTGTCACTCATAATCGTCTCGAATTTGTCTAGAGGAACGATAGTCGTTGCGATTCCGTTGGAATTACGATTAGCTGGTGTATTTTGCAGCTGGTTAATCAGATCGCTGATCTTTTCTAATGGTGGATCGTTCAATGGATGAACGCTTGGCGCTAACGTGCTGGTTGCCTTTCGAACAATCGGTAACGATTCAAATGGTATTTGAGTGAAATACTCGTAATTAGCGCTCTGATAAGTGGTAGTTTCTGCATTAATAGCGGTAGCGTTGTCGTTGTCGTTGTCGTTGTCGTTGTCGCTGTCGCTGTCGCTGTCGCTGTCGCTGTCGTTGTCTGGTAACAAGGTCGTTTGTTGTACTTTCTGGTAACTAACGATTTTGCCTTGATCTTGCGGCTGCTGCTGCTGCTGCTGTTTCTTCCTGTTGTCTGCCACTTTGATGTTGTCCGTGCTAATTGTCGCGTAATCCGTGATTGGTTTGCCTTGACCGTAAGTCGGGTATCCTGCTATAATTCCGCTAGCGATGTTGTTTGCCGGTTGACTTTCGCTCGGCAGAGTATATTGCACCGTCGATGGCCTGTTAGTGGTGACAGATGTATCCAACAGAATTTTATTGGCTTCAGCTACGGGATTATTAGTTTTGATTCTCGTGAGCGTCGAGTTACTTATTACATTGCCAAGCGTTATTTGTTTTTCGGGTTGAGGACTCGACACGTCCAAAAAGATTATGGGAGTTTCCACTTTGCTTGTTTTATTCTCATCTGATAATCTCGTTTCAGTCTCGACGATACTTGGACTGGTGGATTCGATTGCAATCGTAGCAGGCAGCTCGCTACTGAGGTCACTCGTGCTCGAGTCCAGTTTCAGGGAATCGGTCTTGAGCAGAACGGGCAACTTGTTCTTGTCGTTCGACGAAGCTTTCTCAACGCTGGTGGGGAACGTCGTCATGTGCGAGATGTCATCGTAATTTCCCGTGGTTGCCGATTTCGTATCGTAATGCTCTTTCATGTAATTGTTAAAAGTCTCCTCCAAGCCGATTAAGCTAGCTTCTTGCGCCGGGCTGCTTTGCGTTGTGCTGGCCGATTTCGATTCAGTTCTTCCCGGGAGCTTAGCCCCGATTGCACCCGCGATTTTCGTCGAGGAATTGGCTGGCAGAGTGAAGATCAACGTGTTGTCGTCGTCGTCGTCGTCGTCGTCGTCGTCGTCGTCGTATATCGGAATAACTTTGACAGTGGACACTTCCTCCTCTGACACTGGTTCTTTCCTCTTAAGGTACGTTTGCGTCGTTACCGCGATCTTATGTTTCGACTCAACTTCGGTTTGGCTATTGTTGTTGGTACTGAGGGCAGCGCCGATTGTCGGCTCCACAGTGGCATCGTGATGATAATTCGAAGACTCGGTCCTCCGCTGACTCGTCGAGCTGACCGGCAGCGTCGACAATTTAGCCGGCGGATTCACAGTAGTCGCAGACTCAGTGGTGGTGAATTCAGTCTTATTCTCAAAGGTCGTTTCTCCGGCCACGTCGCTCTCGTGGAACATGGGTTTCGACTCGATACTGCCGATGATCGAGTTGATCGACTCCGACAGCATCGGCGGAACAGTCGGTATGTCGTAATCCTTTTCGGTAGCTTGCAGCTTGCTCGTGGTTGTGAAATCGACGTACTCGGCCTTGGAGCTAGTCTCCTTTGTATCGTCGTACTTGGAGGTCGTTTCAGATACGAAGCGCACAGTAGTTTCAACCTCGGTCCACGATTGCGTCTGCTCGGTTGGTGTTTTCTTGTCGGTCTGTTTGTCGGTAGCGATCGGCTCGTAACCGTCGCTCGAGGTCGCAGCTGCTTCGGGCTCCGTTGTCGTGTACGGTACCTCGTTCGTCGTCACCTCGACGAACTGCGTCTGCCTCCGCGTCGATCTCTCGCTGGTGTCGTAGACAAGGGTGGTCGTCGCGACGCTATCTTCCTCTACCTTGATAGATTCCGTCGTCTCTAGCTGAACTCCGTCGACTCCGGTTTTCTCCGGTAACTCGAAGCTCGCGCCGATGGCAGCAGTGGCAGTCGTGCTCGGCTTGGTAGCCAATTCGTAGAGCGACGCCGCGGAAGCTTTGCCAGTGGTCGGACGCTGCGTCACTTTGGTCGCTGGCTCGTAGACTGGCCGACGGCTGGTCGCCTCGTAAACCGGGCGGAGGGTTACTGGCTCGTAAATCGGCCGGTAAGACGAGGTTGGTCGTTGACCTGTACTCGGCTTTTTGAATCCACCCATTGGGCCGACGTTGAGCTTCGACGAGTACGAGTCCTTGGTAGTCGCGGCGAGGGGCGATATCGTCGGCAGGATCTGGTAAACCGGTATTTTCTGCGGCGACTTGGTGCTCGATTGATCAGCCTCGATCACGGGCACCTGGATCGTCGGCAGCCTGATGAATCCGGCGCTCTCGGAATCAGCGTAGTCGGTGCTCTTCTGCGTTGTTGTCGTCGCGTTCTGCTGGCTTGGTCTTGCAGCGTGAACGGCTAGCTTGCTGAGATCGATGCCAGCGTACTGATCCTTGAGTTGCGAGTCAGCCAACAACGAGGACGACACGGACAGCGGGATGTACAAGGTGGGTTTCGACGAGTTCTTAGCCTCGTCCAACGTCGGTCGCGTTGGCCTCCTCTTGGTCGGGTGGCTCTCTTGTTCGCCTAAAATCCCACTGTCCAAGGCCATGTTACCCAGGAGCGTTGGTCGGGAAGCTGCTGCTGGTATCTGCACGTGATTGGCCGGTTCGTAGCCGTCGTCGACCGGTTTGCCATTGTGCAGGGGCACGATGTCCACGTAACCAGACGATTGCACGTCCAGCGTTGGTAAAATCATGCTCGTGTCTTGCGTTATGTCTTGTTGGTCGACCGTGCCGCCGGACAATATGTAGGGCAGCAAGTTCGTCCATTGGCTGTTGACGCTGCCGGGTATCGATGACGTGCCCGAAGTGTGTGCCGGCACGGGCTTACTTAACTCGCCTTTCAGCACATTTTGCACGTTTTGAACCACGTCGGCGACCTGCAAAAAGTAGGTATTTTGTGTTTTTCAACCGTTGGCGGACAAACTCAAGTTACAGTTATTCCGCCTCTTCTGCATGTCCAGGTGCCAAGTATGTCGTCGTACGGACTAGCGGATTTCGTGAGAAAACACGTTTCGGCATCTGCCCGTTGACACCCTTTTGATAGTACAATGCAGTAGCCGATGTTAGAATAATCAGTGAATAATAATGGGAAATGAGTACCTTAGGCTCGCCTTCGGGTAGTTTGGTGTGGTGATGACCCATATCGACAGGCAGCCCAGTGCCACTGGCAGCAATCATGCCCTGAATCTGCTGCTTGGTCATCTGCTTCATAACCAGTTGGCCATTGCCGTTGAGCGTGTAAAACTGGAACTCGTCGGGCGTGAAAAGATTGGCGGGCGAACCCGGCGGTTGGCGACCGCGCTGCTCCGTGATCACGCTGCCACTGGCCGATTGCACTTTCTTCCTTGCGCCCGGCTCGTCGATCGTTACGCTGCAATTGCAAGCCAAATCGCGACGGTTGCGCTTTAGGACCAATGCCTGGCGTGGACTGTAGTCGCGAGGAATGCCCGACGGCACTTTGAATTGACGAAAAGCGTTGCGCGCGGGCAACCCTTACGACTGTCACGCCAACCTTGAAGGATTTCATCGTTGTCTTTGCTTCTGGCGAAACGGTGAACGCTGGCTAGCGAGAGAGAGAGAGAGAGAGAGAGAGAGAGGGCGCGCGCTTTTTGCCGACCACGCTCGAGGATAGAATCCTGCTTTTGCTAGCAGAGTGGGCAGTGCGAACGAATATTGGACTAACTGGACGAACGGTAAAGGCACGCGTGCACCGAACTATTGACCAAGCGGACAAGTGGATTTATATTTTTTCAATTATGCGTTTATGTACCTTGGTAGCGGGTTCTTCAGGGTTGCCGTGATGTCAGCGCGACTCGAATCCAGACTCGCGCTACTGCTGACCAGCAAGGCCGCTAGCAGCACCAGCAATTGTCGTTTACACGTCATTTTCACCTGTCGATTTTCGTATATTACTAATATGATTAATAATTAAGTGGGTAACGCCATGCACACTTTTGCGCTCGTATCTTCCTTCTCCCTTCGTACAGCATAGGCGTTCCTATCTACCTTGCCATTGAATAAACCTCTCGGTCGTTCATTCTCAACATATTTCACCTGAATTCAATGAACAGATCCATCTTATTTATCGCATTTGCTATAAGTTGAATAATGAGAAAATTCCTTTTCCCGCAAATAAGTACACTGCGCTGAACTGTATTTACGTGATTTATTTTCGTGAAAATGCAAAAGCGACAGTTCATAAAGAACAGATCGTTCTAGAATGTTCTAAAAATCTGACAAGAGTAGCCGTTATTGTCCACTGGTAAGTGTAAGTTTGATTTGTTTGACGAAATAAAAAAACAAGTTGAACGCAGAACGACGCTAAACGAGCAAAATAGTTAACGAGTACAAAGCGAGTGAGTCGACAACCAAGTGGCTTACGTTGTTTTGTCTTCGATGCCAGTTGCGTCGCTTCGGCGTTTCGTCCAAAAACGAAGGGATCAGCTGTCTCGCTTATCCAAACAGAGAAAAGCTGGCCAGATTAGGCGGCACTGCCCGGCAAACTCGTCATGACGCCTGGCAGCTAGTACACCTGGTACACTCGCGCTTCAAGACCAAAAACCAACAGCTGACTGCTCGCACGAGCGGACTGGATGCATCCTCAGGCTGGACTGACTTGCTGCGCGGCGAGAGATGAAGATGAAGAAGCGAACGCCATCGAGTCGAAGGGAACAGAGAGAAAGAGGGAACGGGAGCCGCTCTGCGAGCAGGTTGCTCCTCGCCAGCAGGAGGAGGGGAAGCGTGCTAGTTAAAAAAAGCACGCAACGCAGCCGGAGAGTAAGCTGCACGACCATCGCTGGGCTTCTTTCGGCACGGCCTTTTCCGCTTGAGCCGAGTCCGCGTCAAACCGGCCGTTCCCATGCCGAAAGCTCCTTGGACGCGCGCTGCTCCCCCGAGTAGTCTTGACCCGGCCGGACTCGGCCCAGAACGAGTGCAGCGAAAGTTAGTCCGCGCGCAAACATCAGCCTTCCTCGTCGTGCTCTTTTCTCATTCTTTTTCCTTGCGGAATGCGACCGTGCAAGGATCTCTCGTTCTCTCGCTCGCTCTCGCTCTCTCTCGCTCTCTCTCTCTCTCTCTCTCTCTCTCTCTCTCTCTCTCTCTCTCTCTCTCTCTCTCGCTCTCGCTCTCCTCGGACGTCGGCGCATAGTAGCGTGACGCGATGAACGTTGCTGCGCTCCTCGCTCCCGAGGGCCGACGCTCGCCGCTGCGGATTAGGGTCGTTCGCCTCCGGACTGTAAAGCCGACTACACATCTTGGTATATTCGGAGCAAAGCTTTGGTCAGGCTTCGTTCGGGATTCAGATCGGCATAATTGATACATCAGCCTGGCCATATAAGAGATGCCGTAATGGCTGTAATCGTTAATGTGATGGATGGTCGGCTCGGCTTCGGCTCCTCGGGCCGCGCACAGGCTCGCATGTGTGTACGCGCACCGTTATTCCCATCGACGCCTCTCGCGCGCGCTTTCGAATCCGCGTGCGTCCAATATAAATTATTAACGCCTCTCGAGGCACAGGTCGACGCGCCAAATTCGCTTAACACCGCTGGCACTCGTCGGACCGATCCTTTATGTGCCGTTCGAACAATCCATTTTTTCTCCTCATCGGCGTACGCGTGCTAACGTGCTATGCGGTCCTGTGAACGATACGACGCGATTTTCAACCACGGCTTTCAATAGAAAACTCGTGACTCGTTATCTTCTGCCCGTAGTCGAGAGCGTCCGCAATGCAGATGCAGCCCGTGTTTTATGCCGGACCATTCGTTGCAAAATACGTGCGTTATTTTTCACGAAGATGGTCAATCGGCTTCCCTGGAGCAAGCTCGCACAACCGAACCAAAGTAACAACAAAAAGACTATGTTGAGGAACGACCGCGCGGAGAAAAGTATTTAAGTCGGGTCATTAATCCTCGTGGCGGCGCGTTCGAAGGAGCACCTGTTTCTCTTCTTTACTCGAGATGTACATAGCAGAAGAGAGAGAGAGAGAGAGAGAGAGAGAGAGAACGTTGACTTGTAGGTTAACCTTGCTCTCGTCGCATCCTTTTTCTCGGTAGCTCCAAGTCCGAGAGAACCGGTCGCAAGTTTTGCGCTTCGATCCCTTAACCGACAACGCCGACGGACGATCGTCATAATGATTAGGAGGGTAATGATGATGACTCGCGCGAATGCGGCATTATTATGTTATGAACATCGTTTCTCATTGTCTTCTTTTTCTTTTCCTTCTCCTCATTCTTCATCTTCTCCTTCTCCTTCTTCTTCTACTTCTTCTCTTCTTTTTCTTAATTTTCTTGACGTTTCATAATCAACGGATAGCAGCTTTTGTCTTCTCACTTTATTGTTCTTTTCCTTCATGTACTCACTTTCTCTATTTGCACGACTGTCCACTATTGGAAATTCTATTCGCTACATGAAAGTAAAATTGCATTATCGTGCATTTGGATCATTGAGTTCGTTGGGAATTACCTGCTCATGATATCTGCAAAGAAATAAAAATTGTTATTTTAAGTAGCTTATAAGCTTAATTGCGTATGTATTCGCATTCGTTTTTTTTTATTTGCGATGAAAAAGTTTAGTCTCGTTATTATTATTGATTATAATTGATCTTGGATAAAGTCCGGCACTGCCTGCAAAACTGGTAAAAACTTGGTTTCGTAAATTCCTCAGCCGAAGCGCTCACTTTACCGTTACATATCGTAAACCGATGCCAACTTGCTACTCGCGAAATTCAACAAAATTGTAAATCAAATCAGTTCACGCGCGTTCTGATAAAAAAAAGCTCTGTACGTCGTATTCGTCGAGCGCACAAGCGGCTCGTCCTCAAAACGCATTAACCCGTTTTACATTTGAGAAGCGAACTCCGTGCGCACAGACGTTACACACCGCCAACATACTTTTTTTTGTGCGTCCCCGACGCATGTACACTTACGTTTTAGCTGTAAGCGAACTTAATCAATTCAAGTCTTTCTCTCTCCCTACCCTCTCCTCCCGTCTCTCTCTCTCTCTCTCTCTCTCTCTCTCTCTCTCTCTCTCTCTCTCTCTCTCTCTCTCTCTGTCGTTGGCATCGGAAAGTTAACGGTTCTTTTGCTCGCCTCGAACTTACGGTTCACCAACCTCGAAAAACTAGGAAAAAAAAAGAAAGACAAAGTGCCGTCACTTTTTCCGCTTGATGCAAAATCGACCGATTGACTTGGTTTTGTTAAGCGGCTCGCAACTGCTCACAGATACTTTTTTTCGAGAACGCACGCGCCACGTGAAGTACAAATGAAGTTGGCTGGATATACTTAGAAATTCGTATTGTGCTCGAGAATATGTTTGGATACGTATGTAGTTCGAACGCTCGTTTAGTCACGTTAGGTACAGCTATTTTCGAGATTCGACCATTCTTCAGAAATGATTGATATGCATATTGATTGGATTTTAGTTTTTGGTTGACTAATTGGTTGTTGTGCCGATTAAATAGCCAAAAAACGAATCTCAAATCAACAACATTTATTTTATTTGAACAAAGAAAAGGTGAAAATTGAAGAACATACGATTTATCGAATGTTTGATTTGCAGGAAAATGTTGCGAATAATTAAGCCAGGAATAAATTGAACTATTGTTGGAGCAGCAGTGCAGTAGGACTATCGATCGATCTGATGAAAAGTCATATCTGTTGAATCGACAAGGAAAAAAGAGTGGAGCAGTCGGATAATGCGAGGCTCGCAATGAGTCGTGCAGTAGAAGCTGGGTCTACTGTCCTTTTTCCATTACATCATTTGCAGGCTGACGGATTACGGTACAATGTCTGACGAATTGACCTGGCGCCTGTTAGTCAAGTCCAGGTAATCGTGTGCCGTGGGACGAAAAAACGAAGGAACGAAGGAACGAAGGAACGAAGGAAGGGAAATTTAGAGAAAGAAGAAGCACTTTGAGCAAGAAATTTGTCGTAGGAGATAATTTGGGCTTTTGCAAGTGATTGCGGCTTGCGTGCAAGCAGAAAGAAGCGGCCTCGACATCCATTGACGCAAGTTTTCCGAAGCGAGATAACCAACTACAACGATAATGAGCCTGGGGCAAAGTCTTACGAGCCGATTAGCCGCGCGCTAGAGATAAATCGTTCGGCGCAAAGGCAGCGGAAACGCTGCTGCAGCAGCTTTCAATGAGGATGTCGAACTGGTCGAGCTGTCCTTGCGACTTGGCAGCTGGCGAGCTTGTCGACGTGGACGATGGGTTTTTCGGGCGCCGTGGCCCGCGAGCCCATTGGATAATTACTCGGAGATTGGCAAAAATTAAAGGTGAATTGCGGCGGCAATGACGGCGGTTTTGTACCGGGGGACAGCCGGCTGAATGCTTAACGAGGCTATTCACGACCTCGTACAGTCGTACGGTTCGCCTGCCGCACAATAGCGCTTGCCGCTCGCCGGTCACGCGCACACGTGGAATCGAGCAGCCGCGAGCAGTCGAGCAGTCGAGCAGTCGAGCAGTCGGTCAATCGACCGATCGACCGATCGAGCAATCGAGCCGACGCGCCTGGTCGTTCGCTCAGCTGCAATAGGGCCGCGAGAGAGGGCGCGGGGCTTGCCGGCCACGCGCGCTACGCCCAGCGCCAGGCGTTGGGGGCGGCGTCGCGACGAGCTTCGTGCCGCGACGCGGCTCTTGATCGATAAACGCGGACAGATTTTGCCGGCGAGGGCCAACACACGTGGGTCTAGAACGTCAGCAGGTTCCGGCGCTCGGCGACGCTCGCGCCATCCAAGTGCCCAGACCAAGCGAACGTGGAACTATAATAGCTCCCGTCTGCATGCGGACGGCGTTCGGCGCCCGACGATAGCCGGAAGTATCGGGGCGGCGACGTCGACAAGTAAAGCTCGCGCAGTTGGCCGGGCTGCCGACGCGAGTGCAGTTCCTCGGGAGCCGGTGTCTGCTGCGACGAGAGCCGCGATAGCCGCGAGGTGAGCCGCTTCGATACCTATCCGGAAACCGATCCACGGCCGAATTGGCTGGCGCCCGGAGGAGGCTAGCGGTCATTTTCCTCGAGCGATAACAGTGCGTCGCGCGATATCGCAGCAAAACTGCCGCGAGTGGAGGCTATCGCGTGGCGGCGCGACCGCGCCAAGGAAAACCGACGGCTGTACGCGTCGCTCGATACTGCCGGCAGCTCTGCCATCCACCTGGAATTGCCCGGGCCTTTTTAAAATCGGCCACGTTCGCGCGCTCCATTCCGTTCCTCTTGCTTGCCCCTCCAGTTGGATGCCTCGTACGTATATTTCGAGAATGACGCAACGCGCTACTTCATCTCTTCTATCTCGAGCTTACATCTGTACATGCTAATTTATGTTTAACGTGAGCTTTGGACAAGCAAGTAGATTGGCCCAGTGATGCTCCAAACGTCCGTCATTAGCGCAGCATCAGCGCAAGTTTCGCGAAACGAGGAGGGAGGGTGCACCTTGCAACTAATGAAGCTCTGATTGGAAAAGAAAACCATGGCGAGCCGCTACGAGGCACCTGACTGACGCGGAACTTATCTTCTTTATCGCGTTTGAGCAAAGTGAGACTCGCGAAACAATGTTTGCAACTGCGTTAAACGAATGCGTTCAACGAGTGCGTTCGCTTGTCAACACTTGGCGGTAATCGATCAATGGAAATGGATTAGAGTTGGTCTGTGAGCGACTTTCCGATAAGAAATGCGATCGAGAGGCATTTAGAGCATTGTTTTGACGGTGATTGCTTATCGCGCACTTGGCCACTTGGTCAAGAATTGAAAGCCGAGTGCGATCGCTTGATCGTTTTTGCGTTTCGCATGCGTTGCTCGGCACGTGCTTCGCAAACTGACCAATGACCAATGACAAGAAAAGCGTTGTTTCAAATAGAAAACAGCGAAGCCGCCGATAATTGTAAGCTGCTTTCCTGGTACAGGTACGAACGAACCGTCGACGCTGTTGTTTCCGTTGAAGCACCGGCTCTTGGGGTTCGTCACTGGTTTTACGGAATAGACAGAGCTCACCACCAAACAGAATGGCCTACGACGACGTGATACTGCAGATGGGCCAGTTCGGCAAGTATCAACGCAGGATATATTTGCTGCTGTGTCTGCCCGCGATTTCGTGTGCCTTTCACAAGCTCGCCGGGGTGTTCCTCGGCGATAAGATCGGATCCAGGTATAGGCGCTCGACCGGGATCGACCGAGATTGTTTTATCCGCGGTGGTATCAAACAATGAAAAACTGACGAATAAGTGATTTGTTTGCGCAAGATGTGCACTGCCGTGGGAAGAAGCGCACAACGCGACGTTCGAGCTGCCGGAGCTGCTGCTGAACGCCAGTTACCCGTGGGATGACAAGCTTGGCGACTGGTCGCAATGCGAGCGCTACCGAGATATGTCGGGTATAAGGCCGAACAGCATCAACATATTGCTCAGCGAGGCGACCAATGCCGCCAGGCCGACGATCAAGTGCGAGCGCTACGTCTACAACCTGACGGTGTACACCGGCAGCACTACTTCGGAGGTACGTTCCTTTCGTTCGACTTGGCTCTGAGCCGTGCGCCAAGCACAGCGCCAGTCATGCGACCTGTTCGGACGACAGTGGGACCTGGTCTGCGATCGAGAATGGATGCGGGCGTTCAGCGATTCCGTCTTCATGGTCGGCGTGGCACTTGGCTCCACGCTCTTCGGCGCCTTGTCCGACAAGTACGGCCGAAAGCCCATATTCTTCTTGTCGCTGATCATCCAGTTGCTCGGCGGAATCGTCGTGGCCTTCGCACCGGAATTCGTAACCTACATCGTCTTCAGGGCGATCGTCGGCTCGACTACCAGCGGCGTCTTTCTCGTCGCTTACGTTATCGGTAAGCCGCATTTCTCTCTCTCTCTCTCTCTCTCTCTCTCTCTCTCTCTCTCTCTCTCTCTCTCTCATAGCATGGCGCTCGCAAGGAGCCAGGGTCGACTGCCGCAGCTGCTGCTCGCGCGCGTATCTTCGTCCGAGCCGCAAGCTCGTTAACGTGCTGCTGCTACACGTGCACGTGCAAACGAGTCAAAGTAAAAGTCAAAAGTGAACATGAGCGAGAGCGAACGGGCACTGGCGGTCCCCGCGTTTATCCCCTCGTTTATCCCCGCGTTTATCCTCGCTTCGCCTCCTTCGGCTCGTTTCAATCTCACTAAAGTGTCGTCCCACTGTTGATAGCACCGTTGAACAACGATTGCGCCCGCGGCATTGACTCGAATCATTTTCAGGTGGTGTGCCATCGTCAAGGCCGCTAAAAATAGCTTGCAGCCAATTATTCGATTATTGAATTGGCTCTCGGCAGAAAGGTCGGTTTATCGACGCCACGTGCCAGGTACAAGCCGCGACGTTCCAGAAAAGAGCGGAGCGACATCGGCCATTCGCTTGGCTGCTCGCAACTTGGCCGAGGCTGAGGCTGAGGCGTTTCGCCAAGGGCCTGTCTCGCCTCCCTTCTCTAATTGGACGCGTACGAGGGCCGTTGGCCCCTGTGCGCCATTTTTTAGCGCGAAGAACTCGTTACTGCGAAAGACCGAGAGAAAGAGAGGCGCCGCTTTGCTCGTACGCTCTCGGCTCGTTTTTCCTTTGCGACTTGGGCCTCTTCGGCCTGCGGCTTATAATTGACTTGCGCGCTCGTTTCTCCCTTTCTGCGCGGTTACCGATTATCTTGCTTTCAATGTCGCACGCCGCGCAATTATTGGCCACAAACCGGAGGTCAATTAAGTGACCGATGCGTTAATTGTCGAGGCTTTGGCCGTTTTGTCTAGATCGAGGATAAGAAAATGCTTTTGTTGCAATTACAGCCCTGGAAATGGTGGGACCGCAAAAACGCCTGATAGCAGGTATCGGCTGCCAATTGTTCTTCACCGCCGGCTACATCATGACGGCCGGCTTCGCTTGTTACATCACCGACTGGCGCACGCTTCAGATCGCTCTCACGCTGCCCAGTGTCGCTTTTCTCCTCTACTGGTGGTAAGTGCGTTCTCTTGGTTCGGCTGCTGCGAACGACGCGACCTTGCCTCGCCTCGCCTCGCCTCGCCTGTCCGCGCCTCGCCTCGCCTCGCCTTGCCTCGCCTCGCCGCGCCTCGTATCGCCTTGTCTTGCCTTGCCTTGTTTATCGCCGAGATTTATCGTGCGCGAGCGCTTTTTGCTGAGGCGACCGCGCGCCCGACGAGGGTCCGCTGAAGGTCCGCTGAGGGTTGCGTCCGCCAGTTGTACGCTTAATTTACGGCTTTGAAGATTACATTCGAGTAGAACGACCCTCGAGCCAACCCGAAGTCAACCCGTGTTCTGCCGCAGGTTCATCCCGGAATCCGCGAGGTGGCTGCTGACCAAGGGTCGCGCCAAAGAGGCAAAGCAACTGCTGCAAAAAGCTTCGCGCGAGAACGGTGTCGATATTGCTGATTCGACACTCGAACGCATGCTCGACGAATCCAATGGCGACAGCACGCCGGACACCGACAAGCCTTCCATTTTCGACCTGTTCAGATATCCCAATTTGCGCAAGAAGAGTGTCCTCCTGTTCTTCAACTGGTAAGTCGCTCGTTGTATCGTTGTCGCCATAGCCGTTTGAGTGAGCCATTGCCGTTCGCCGAGAAGGCTGGTCAACAGCGGCACCTACTACGGCCTTTCGTGGAACGCCTCCAGTCTCGGTGGTAACAAATACACCAACTTTGTAATATCCGGTCTGGTCGAGGTGCCGGCCTACACCTTTCTCATCTTCACGCTCAACCGTTGGGGTCGCAAGAGCATTTTGTGCGGCTGTATGATCGTCTCGGGACTCGCACTCATCGCCACGCTCTTCATACCACAAGGTTCGTATCGCCACTAATTCTCACCACACTCTGCGACTCTTCTTCTCTTGTTTGCAACAAAAATTTCTTCATTCCGTTACATTCGCAGATATGAAGATCTTGAAGGTGACGTTCGCCATGATCGCCAAGCTTGTCATCACGTCGTCTTACGGCACCATCTACGTCTTCACTGCCGAGCAGTTTCCCACGGTCATCAGGAACGTCGGGCTTGGCGCCAGCTCCACTTTTGCTCGCGTCGGCGGCGTTCTTGCCCCCTACATCAACTTCTTGGTACGACTACCTGTCTTCTTCTTTTTCTTCTTCTTCTTCTTCCTCTTCTTCCTCTTCTTCATCTTCTTCATCTTCCTCCTCTTCTTCTCCTTTCGCCGACGCTGCCACGGATTGTCGCTTGAATTTGTATCATCTAGAATATTTATTGGGAGCCGTTGCCGTTTGTGATTTTTGGTATTAGCTCGCTCATCGGCGGTCTACTCACGCTCATGTTGCCGGAGACGCTCAATAAGAAGCTACCCGAGACCATTCGAGATGGTGAATCTTTTGGAAGGTCTGTATCAATTGCTATTTCTGAAACGGAGAATGCACGCCGTGTACGATTCAATATTTCCTTGCTCTCCAGAAAATTTTCAAAGCTCGAGAAGAACATTATCGACATCGAAGACGTAACTACCAGCAAAGACGAAATCAATCGTATGAAATCGTTTTCGTAATAGATATCCGTGAATGCACGCATCAAAGTACAAGATAAAACGTCAAGCATTGCTCTCTTCGCCTCATAGTAACATTTTTTTGTTTTGTTTTTTACATCGACTCAAATGATATTCTGCCAAATATAGATAGCATCATTTTAACCGACGACGAAGAAACAGAAAACAAGCTTGACGAGCATTTACGATAAGGATAAATTGCGAAAAAATACCATATTCTACGTATATCGTAACAACTCGAATAAATATTTTACTCAATATTGATAATTGTAATAACGTGTTCATGTAAAGAGAATGTAGGACATATTTTTAATCGATGCCGTTGCCCTGACGATAAATCACGTTTATATAGGCAAAGCATTCATTCATCGCCGTTTTAATTAATAAGGTTGTTTTTCATCTCTTCCCTAGTTATTAAGTTTTTCAGCATTGCTATCATTGAATTAATTTTAAGGTCTCTCGCTCAAGTTTGAAACGTTGGTAAAAAGCTTCCAAAGTGACATTATTACTTTACTCTAAAATTAAATTAAGAGTTAATTTAAGTTATGGAAGTACAAAATTATTTAATCATACGCATAATCAAAAAACAGGTACCAATACAGGCGTAAATCGATGTTCAACGTGTAATAGACAGAAATGTAAAATATTTTATAAGCTACAGCTATTATACATAATATGAGCCCAAATCCCACTAGAAGATTAGCGCTAAATTTTTTTACGAATTCGTCGCATAGCAATACGAGATCTTGCTTGCTGTGTTCATATATATATATATAGTTATCCTGTCGAAAGACTGATTGTTGCTTAACACTAAACCTACCAGAGCGGTCAAATGACTGTTCCTAAAAAAATAAATAAAACTTGAAAAATAAATGTTTTTTAATTATTATATGATAATTATTTTGTGTTTGTTGTTCATGCTAAATTCTGTATTAATTACAATCAACTGGAAAAAGACTATAATTGTTTGTTTCAAAAGTGGTCATTTGACCGCCATTCGGTAGAATTAGGTATATATATGTTGGTAGGTTTAGTGTTTATCTTAAATTATTTCAGATAGACACAAAAGTTCGTTCAAACTAATCGTTCGATTTTTATATAGATACTTCTATTACATTTTTATAATAAAATTACAGAGTAATTTGTTTGCCTCGATAATTAATTTTTCTATTTGATCTTATAAAAATAGAAAAGGCATTTATAAAAATTCATCATTAGATATTTTTATTGATATTACTGTATTGTACAAAAAAGACTTTTTAATAAAACTTTCAATATTTGAAAATTAGTACGTTATTTTAAACACTGGCCTAGTTCAAATATGTATAAATAAAATTAAAAAAAAATGAGAATCTTAAAAAAAGCAGTAAAATTGTTTCGTTAGAATAAAATAGTGATATTACGATTGTATATCACGATTATTGCTCGCATTAAAATTTCAATTTTAAAAACATGATTTTTATTTAATATTCAATTGCTTCTTCTCTACAACATTTACTGACGCGCCAGCATCTCTAACAATAGTGTAAACAATCGATAATTTCTTCGGAATACATTCGGTGGCACGACATGCCATTACGTCCAGCATAATGTGCATCTGCTTTTGTTCGATACCCTGTGGTATTTTTATCGACAATGGAGTTGACAGATCGCCATTTGATTCTACAGCTTTCCAATCATTGGACGGTAACTGTAAAGCCCATCTTTGCGGAGCTTCAGCATTTAATTTTAAATCATCTTTGAAAATAAGAGCAAATGAAATGCATAGATCGGCGTCGTTTGTACTAACTTTGGAAGTGAAATTGTATGTATTTTCACCTCTATTCCACACTTCTGCAGGTAGGTCGATGGGAATCTGCAACGCAAGAAAATATTTTGCAACATTCCACAGATAACATCTTTTTATATTCGAAAGTGAGTCACTCACGATGCTAATATTTTGAACATTTTTCAAATCGAGGGCCTTGATGCAGTGATTATTCGTATCGGCAATGTATAACGTTTCTCCATTATGGCTCACCGCTAATCCACTTGGTTCATCGAACTAAAAGAAAATACCTATCGTTGAAGATTCATCGTAGCTCTTTATCAATTTCAGCAAACTTTTCATGCTAAAGCTGCTTACAGAATTATGTTTGTATGCCTTTTCAGTAGCACACACTGTCGTGCAATTACCCTCGCTGTCGGTTTTCTTGATTTTGTGATTGTAGGTGTCGGCAATGTATACCATTTTTTCAACACTGTTCCAAGCTACACCCAAAGGATGCTGTAATTTAGCTGAATACTTTTTACCGTCTTGATCGCCAAAGCAATGAAGATTCTAAAAGTAGACAAAATCTTAGTCTGTAGAAAAAGCGTGTAGAATTTGATAAAAAAAATTTTACTTGTGGATTATTGTCAGCTCCACAAACAGGCATAACTTTTCCATCATCTAAACATACTCTTCTAACAGTGCTACTTTCACTGTCGGCAAAGAACACCGATTTCAATTCTTGAGCTACAGCCAATCCTGATGGTTGAGCTAAACTTGCAGCGTGAGGGTAAGAATTATTTCTATTAGCTTCTCGTCCATTTCCAACTATATTAGCACATGTCCCAGCCTTGTATTGCCTAGTATACAAAGTTGCAATTATGACAAATATTTAGAAAACAATTAGTTTTTGTAATAAATCGATCGCGTAAATCTTACTTATTTTTCCACCAAGTGGTATCTTCTAAAAAGTAAGCCCAAATTTGATGTGTTCCTGCAATAGCTATTATCAGAACTGGAACTGTTTGTCCATTCTGTTCATGTTGATAAATAGCCACATCCCATGGAGATGATAATGCTTGTTCCTTTCCTATCTTGCCACCGGTATAATCATGCCCTTGGGATCCATTTCCAGCAATAGTTGTGACAGTTTTGTCTTTCAAGCTAATCTAAAAATTGTAAAAAAATAATAAAACGCTTTTATTTCAAGCTATAGATACTTCAACTTACTTTCCTGATTGTATGATTTTCATTGTCAGCAACAAACACAACGTCCTTCAATACACAAATACCCTGAGGTGCATTAAACCTAGCTGCTTCAAAATTATCATCTCTAAATCCTGGAGAATATCCACCAACCACATGTTCAACTTTGCCATCCTTGCCCATAATTAAAATTCTGTTATTTCCAGTGTCTGAGACTACTAATTTTTCTCCAGATTCTGCTTTAAATGCATGAACTTTTCCAGGGAATAATAAGCTGCCTTTGTTCATTGGTAAAATATGTTGAGCAAGTTTGAGTGGAATAGGATCATTACAAATTTGTTTCAATGATTTAAAGTACTTTACAGCTATTTTTGTATATAAAAATAATTCATCTTTATGCCCTTCACCAACAAAAACAAATAGAGGCTGCCCTTTCGGACCTGAAAGTAAATTTAATTTTTCTACAATTGGTAAATCATAGAGAATATTCAAAATTTACGTTATTTAGTAGTGTTTCAACATACCTAACATAACTAAGCTTGGCCAACAAACAATCCCAATATCTCGCCACATCAAAAGTTTGGCATCATTTACAACGGGATGTCCTATATTATATCTTTGAACAGCTGCAACTATTTTATTAGAATCCCTTTCATTAGCAAATTTTGCACTATGTACACCAACCTAGTACATTTATAATCAGAAGCTTGTTATTATGAGCAAGTATTATTTAAATTATTAATATAATATAAAAAATATTTGTATACTAACAACAACAAGACCATCTTTTATGGAAAAACGTTTTTCTAAGGCATTAAGATCTGGTAATATGTGCATACAATTGATACAACAGTAAGTAAAGAAATCTAAAATGACAATTTTTCCAGCAAGATGTTTGTATATGAATAAACTTTCAGAGACATTGAACCATTCCAGACCTATAAGAACCATCAGTGATTACTTTTAAAAGGTGTTACAGGATTTGTGTTCAAATAGATAGTTTTTAAATAAAAAAATAAAAGAATAGAAAGAAATGTTAGTAAACCTTATTTATTATGTACACTATAAAACAGTATAGAATTTAACCGTATAAATTATTTCACTCAAAACTTAAAACAAGTGCAAATAACTTATTCATCTTTCAAAGGTAAGTCAAACTCTTCGTGCAAGCTGGCTATTGTAACACCTCGCAAGTTAGCCAAAGCACCTAAAATTATTTGGGTTGCATCTTTAATATCGTTATAGTCATGAAGTAGTCTCATGACATCTTTGATCGAATCAAGCAACTGTGAATTCTTTTTTAAATCAGCTAATTCTAACTCTAAGGCTTTCTTAGCTTCTAAAAGCTTAGTATATTCCTCCATTTCCTCCTTGGATAATTTTCTTTTCGCTGGGGCTTCTTTTTGAGGTGTTGACTCATCATGAAAAGCCTTTTTACGATTTCTCTTAACACCTTGCGATGTGAAAGCAGACATTGTTTTATATGTATAAGAAAATTACTGTACCTGTAAGGAAAAAAAAATTAGAATTTTTATTTGTTCACCTGAAGTACAGTGAACAAAAAATCCTAACCTTAATTTATTAAAAATTTTAGATTAACTATAACAATCCGGCATTAAAAACTTGCTTAATTGATACCGTTAGTAGTGCTATTGAATAATGATTAGAATTACCTTTTGCAAAGTCACTAACACGAAGGCCAGTGTCAGCGTAAGATTTTATATGCTTCAGTACTATTTTTTCTTTCTCGTCGTCGTCCTTAGCAGCATCGACCACTCTCTTCAGCTCAATGCAAATCTGCGTCAAATCTTCAACGGTACTCTGAACACTCATATTTTTCAAGCTGTTATTAAAAAGATCCTTTAAGTTATCGGAACTGCCGTTATTATTTGTGTGAAAACGACGTCGCGATGGTGTTGCCAAGTACTCGTGCATGTATCTGGTTTTAGGCAAGGTTACGATATTTTTTCTAATCACTACGATCTGCTGTTGGAGTGCTCGAAGCATCGGTCGCATATCGCATTAAAATCTACCGTTTTTACCCGTCCGGCGTGTAATTCTCGCAATCCATTTTCGGTCGGGAAACTGGCTATCAGTTATTATATTTTTAACTAATATATAAATATATATTGAAGTGTATATATACATCTCGCGTACGCATAAGAGACAGCTACCTTATCGGCTCTTTGAGTAAATATTTTGCATGTATATTTAGCAGTCGACAGCTGGTAGTCGTCGAGCGACGACAGTTGATGCATGTGTGCGTTCTGTGGGCGCAGTTACATTTTTGAAGCTCGATGTCGTGATATGGATATCATTTATTACTTTAGGAGTTGTAGTTAATTTAGTTTATTAGCACTACAGTGTTGAGTGGTTTCGTTGTAATTATGAATAAGAGTTCTACGTAGGTTTCACGTGATTTGTAGGAGATTGTCTCAGGAAGTGATCTCAAACATGCGTCGTTTACCTGTAATCTAATTTATATATATTGGATTTTTTCAATTTTTGTACGTAAATGGTGATTACACTTCATTGCTAACGTGTAAATTTAAATTAATAACGTTCGCTTTTACGATGTAATAAATGTAATAAGGAAAAGAACAGGTTAGTCAGTGTATTTCTGTGGACACAACTTTCTATTTATAGATAATGATGATACAAGGTTCCTAATAAATTTCAATATTCACAGGAGATGACTCATGCGACTATCCTATTTAAAGAATTTTAAAGGTAAACGTGATGACGTGAAAATTTGAATACATTGGCATTTTTGTTTAAAATGGATATTTTTGGTAATGCTAATGGCTCTAAGGTGGATAATGATGTTCCATTAGAACTGAGTCAGAGAATTATAACTATAGAGCAAGATAATTTTCCTATCCAATCAGTAAGTAATTTTGTAAACAGCTCAGAGGCAATTAACAATATATTGACAATTGTTCTTCTCGTACAGGATATAAATATATCATATCAAGAATATCAGAATGTCAGTGATGATGTTGATTTTGTTCTTGCCTATGTTGAAAATGGCAATGCTACAAATGCACAGAAAAGAGAATTATTTGAGAGAAGCCTTTTGGAGCAAGGATTACAATTAGAGTACGAGGAAAATCGACACTTGTGTTTCGTTAAAATATATGCTTCTAAAGTTAGTTTTATCTTTAGTAATCACTATCTTTTTCAAGATAATTTTTTAATTATTTGCATTCACTTTTTATTTTAGGAAGTCTTATGTAGATATTGTGAAATAATGAAACTTAGGATGCCAATAAAACCACTGCCAGATGAGAAAATAATTGAAGAAACTGATTTTCTTGATGATGCTAAATCCTGGTTTGTCCAGTTGTTTAGCTTTGCACAATTAGATGCTGATAAATTTCCTCCAACTGAATACAAACTGTCAGCTGAATATGCTAGAGATAAAGATTATTTGTATGTATATACTATTGTTTAAATATTATAGCATGTTTGTACATTTTTTGTTAATCCTCCGTTATTTTCCCTTATTTTCTAAAGATTTGATACCGAGGATAAAAATTTTTTCCCTACTCATATTCGCGTGATGATTGTGGATTTTATTTTGGAAAGACAGTGTGAAGGGATCCAACAATTATTAGCAGCAGGTGTTTATAGCGCAGCATATCCTTTGCATGATGTAAGAATTGTTTAGTTGAATTGCAATCGATACTTATTTAGTTGAAAATGTTATTAAGAATAACTAAACGGTTTTTTATTTGTTGATTAATTATTTTATTTTTTAGGGTACTACGAAACAAAAAGGAAGCGTCCGTGCATTACTTCTTGAAGAGTGGGGTAATGCAAAAATGTGGATCAAAGTGCAACCATTGGATACGATTAGAGAGTATTTTGGAATAAATTTTGCCATGTACTTTGCTTGGCTTGGATTTTATACGTACATGCTCATCCCAGCGAGTATTGCCGGTATTATAACGTTCTTTTACGGTAAGATATATTATTTTAAAAAATACCATTAAAATGCAATATTATATCATCTCATTTTCTTTCAGGATTGATAACTATAAAGTCAAATCGTCTGGCTGACGACACATGTAGCAACTGGGCCAAGAATACGATCATGTGTCCACAATGCGATAAGACCTGTGATTTTTGGAGACTAAGCGAAACATGTTTATTAACGCGTATTACGTATTTGTTCGATAATCCGGCAATTGTATACTTTGCGGTATTTATCTCGGTATGGTCAGTGTTTTATTTGGAATTATGGAAAAGACGAGCAGCGGAATTGAGTTATCGCTGGGGTTTAGGTCAATGGGATCGCACGGCTGATCATTCACGACCCCAATATTTATCGACTTTAGCTAATATTAAGATATTCAGAGTTAAAGAGAAGGCAAATATACAATTATTATTTCAAAATTTGCTGAGTATAATTTTCTTTTAAATAAATTTTTCTCTTTTAGATAAATCCAGTTACAGGAGAAAAGGAGCCACACGTTAGTTTTTGGAAAGTACGGGTACCTGCGACGTTCTTTAGTTTTTCCGTAGTTTTATTGCTAACTGCCTTAGCACTTGCAGCTGTATTTGCTGTGGTACTGTATCGAATGGCAAGTATCACATCGACATCACTATTTGGCCATGATATTGGCTATAATATTAGCCAATCTAACTATAAAACTTTCGCCATACCAGCTATAGCAGCAGGCATCAATTTAGTACGTTTTTAAAATTTATAAAAATTCAGTTTTCGCTATTCTTATTGCAAAATGCATTAACTTTTAGGTTTGTATCCTAGTACTAAATTTCATTTACGATTGGTTAGCGGTATATTTAACGGAAATGGAGTTGTTAAGAACACAATCTGAATTTGATGACAGTCTTACACTTAAGGTTTATTTATTCCAATTCATCAATTACTACGCTTCAATATTTTACATCGCATTCTTGAAAGGAAAGTTTGTCGGATATCCAATGAAATATAATAAAATACTTGGTTTTCGGTATGTGTAATAGTTTTAAATTCGATTATTTTTCTTTTCTACCATAAAACGTTATTAAATTAATCGCGATCTTATAGACAAGAGGAATGTTCGCCTGGAGGATGTTTACTAGAGTTATCAATTCAACTAACGATTATAATGATCGGTAAGCAAGCAGTAGCTACATTATTGGAGATGGTCCTACCAATATTGTTGAAATATTGGGCGCTGTTCCGTATTCACACTGGCTTGAAGCAAAAAGATCCTATTGTTCCACGTAATCAGTGGATACGTGACTTAAAACTGTTGGATTGGAGTAAGAGTTCCTCGAAATTCTTTTTTTACTAGTTGTTCAATGTATCATTTATATTTTTACCTAGGCGTCAGAGGACTGTACGACGAGTACCTCGAGATGGTAATACAATTTGGATTCATAACACTGTTTGTAGTAGCATTTCCATTGGCTCCATTGTTTGCTCTTGCAAATAACGTGTTTGAAATGCGCTTGGATGCGTCGAAATTTTTGCGACATTATCGTCGACCGGTGCCTCGTCGAGCTCGTGATATTGGTATCTGGGGACGAATCCTTGAAGCTTTGGCGCGTATATCCATTACCACTAACGTGAGTGAACGTTCAATTTTCAAGTAGCTAACAACGTATAAATAAATGTTTCATTATGTTGTATTGTTTTTTTCAGGGCTTTATTATAGCATTTTCATCAACCTTTATACCTCGTTTAGTATATATGGCAGTAGTTAGTCCTGACAAAACGGACGTTGGTTTTTTAAACCACAGTCTTGCTGTTTTTAATACTAAAGATTTTGCTAACAACACCGAGCCTCTTAACAGTTCTTTTGAAAACGTCACTACGTGTCGCTACGCTGAGTATAGAAATCCTCCGGACCATTTCGAATTACCATACAAAAGACCGTCTATCTATTGGCACATCTTGGCTGTTCGATTAGCTTTCGTTGTAGTTTTTCAGGTAAATAGGTACATGTACATTTTTTTAATTTTAACGCCAACCACTTTATTTATACGATTGTAGAATGCAGTGGGGTTGATAAACATGGCTGTACAATGGAGCCTCTCGGGAAATCCACGAAAATTGCGAGATCAAATGAAACGGGAGACGTATTTGACGGAAGAATTGATAATCAAACGTGAAGCTGAAAGAGCTAGAGATAACATGGATTGGGAGGATAAACAATCGAGTGTCAGTCCTAATTCTTCGATCAAAAAGAGAAAATCTTACATTCGTGAGACTGAAGTGTCGGACACGTAGTTATGAGTTATACATTGGTTTAGAACAAATTTTGATATCAATTTATGTTATACATCAATTGAATTGAGTATATTTTTTTACTTGATACTTGTTACATTTTTTAACTCATCTCGTTTGATATAGAGTTGTTTTCAAGTAGCTAGATATAAGCTGTTGACAACTTTCGCGAGGAGAACATTTCTAATTATCTTAAAGTATTATAGTTAACTTATAACGCGGTTTGATATTTGCGCAAATCACGAAAGAACATTTTTCTATACTTATTTTTTATATAAACACTGTTTTGTTAAAATATTCCCATGTTTATGAACCTATGAATGTTACTGAAATTGTATATATCGATATGGTAAAACTTAATGGATGTACCACGAGTCTACAATAAATTTTGCATCGGAATAAAAAGTAGCAAGTGTATTTAAACATTTTTCAAAGCATACGAGCGACAGGATAAGAAGTTCAATATATAAGCGTGTCCAAGACAATAATGAAAATTTATTATACAATTTGGAATCGATAATCCCCATACAACATTAATTTAAAATTTATGCGCGACGACGGAGAGCGTCGTTGTATAGTTTCTTTATTGTTTCTCGCACCATCGCAATTAAAGTACATACTCTTATCCCCCCCCCCCCCCCCCCTCCATAACAGCAACGAAGGTGAGCGCGTCGGGCAGCGGGCTGCGTAGTGTGGCCGACATTTGCACGAGAACGAAAGAAACTCATTCAGAGCGCAGGTATATGCACTCATTGCACTCTCTTTTTTCCTCGAATTTCTTTTTCGTCGATATTTCACGTCTTGAGTCAAACTTTAAGCTTCGCTTGACTCATATTAATGTGGTTGAATCTGTATATGTACATGTGCATATGATTGTATTGCTTCCTTTGGAAGTAGCTCAGCTGTATGAGGTCTTGAATTGTGAACTGGGACTCCATTTGTTGTTTAATTTTTGTTCTCTTATTTTTTTCTTTCACAGTCTATTGTTGCAAGGCCAATTGACGTTAAATACAATGGCTTTGGCAAGAAGAGCGTATCATGCTGGTAGTTGGTACACGGAGAATGGTAATTTTATAGAATTCTTTTTAGGTTATAAAATAATAAGTCTCCACAAGATTTGTTTATTCAATCTTTCCTGTCTTATATTTTTTGCGATTATTCTCACCATTATTCACGTAATTACGTGACTAGAGTTACGTAAATTTTCCAGACGGCCCAACTACCAAGATAAAAGTACTAAGCGGAAAATCGACGAAAATTAATCTGGAAAAATTATATAAGAACTACGTGTGATTAGCAAGGATAACTAAACTCATTAATAATTCAGCACAATTAAGATTTCGTTAATAAATAAATTCTAAAAGTTGAAAACTTGCATATAAATAGAAATTGAATCTATGTAACGTTCTAATTCGATTTTTATAGAAATGAAAATGTGTTAAATCGTTAGTAAAAATCACACGCAATTTTTCTATCCAATCAAAATATCATTATAATCATTCGTTATAAAAAAATAAATAATATTTCTCATTGTAGCGATACATGCACTTGAAAGATCAATAGGTAACGTAAACTCAAACTCAAAAAGTACACTGTACTCTAAAAAGGGCTGTACCCATAAGGCATAAGCATAGGTTATTGGGTTATGCACGAATGCTTATTTTCAGACCTGTAAATATGACTCTAAAATACACCACTTCAAATTGCAAATCTTCAGTTGGGCCGCCTGGAAAATTTACGTGACTAAGAATCTTTAGAAAAATCTGTCATTGAACCATGTAATTACCTGGATCTTGGTGGGAATAATTACATCATATTTTCTAACTAAAAGTGATCGTGATTAAATAGTTTGATATTTTTACTGTTCAATTTGTGTAAATTAAATGTTTTTATAATTCAACTACTCAGTACCAAAAAATACTGGCACAATTATTAATATATGCCTTTATATTTCTTAGGTTGTGAATTGGACAAACAATTGGGAGACTGGTTAAATGCAGCTGATTTGACTCATGGACCAGCACGAGCTATTATATCACCGTGAGTTTTCGCGATTTTTAAACACCGTTTTTGTTTATTTTTAAGCAATGTTTTTGTTGATTATTTATCTGTTATAGTCATGCTGGCTATAGCTATTGTGGAGCTTGTGCTGCATTTGCTTATCGTCAAATTAGCCCTGTCGTTGTGTAAGTTTGTCAACTTTTTGAATTTAATCAAAAGAATGAAACTTCCAAGAATAAACAATCAAACTGATGGATTGATTTTGTGCAGCCGCAAGATATTCATCTTAGGTCCATCTCATCATGTTAGATTATCTGGCTGTGCTCTTTCGCAAGCTACTGTTTACAAAACACCCCTGTATGATTTACATATTGACCAACGAAGTGAGAATGAGTTTTGCCAAACTCTACATTTAATTTCAAGATATTTTTAATGCATTTTATGTCTTATACTCTTCAGTGAACAAGGAATTAATGAACACTGGACATTTTGAATGGATGGATATGAATACAGATGAAGATGAGCATAGTATTGAAATGCAACTTCCATATATTGCTAAGGTGATGGAAGAGTGAGTGAAAATTATAACTATGTATATTAAAGATGCTATAAAATTTTCTATTAATAATGTTTTGAATCTTATTTTACAGTTTCAAAGACTCATTTACTATTATACCCATACTTGTTGGATCAATTAGTCCTGAGCGAGAGGCTATGTATGGTAAATTGTTGGCACCTTATATGGCTGATCCTGAAACTTTGTTTGTTATTTCTTCTGACTTCTGTCATTGGGGACAACGGTTTCGTTATACTTATTATGACAGATCTTGTGGTGCTATACATAAGTCTATTAAAAATCTTGATAAAATGGTAAACTTTCCTGTTTGAACGAGTTGATGAGAATTCTTTAAAGTTATTTCATTTTATAATCTGACCTATTATTTAATTTATAATTTTATAGGGGATGGATATTATAGAAAATTTGAATCCTCAGGCATTTACAGATTACTTACGAAAATATAGCAATACTATATGCGGCAGACATCCAATTGCAGTATTATTGCAGGTAATGTTTTATTAATATCAAATTTAATTAGTAATGCACTTCTTTCAATAGATATATATATCCAGGTGATACAAAGTCTCAAAGAAACTACTAATGGTCAAGGAATAACACTGAGATTTCTAAAATATGCTCAAAGCAGTGAGTGCAAACATATGAACGATAGTTCGGTCAGTTACGCTAGTGCTTCATTGGTGCTTGAGTGATAATGAAGCAAAATACAGCTCCTGCCCTTAAATATTGCGCGATAATAAAACAAGTTAACGTTAGACATAGCTGAAATTTAAACAAATGTTTACTACGAAGAAAAACAGGAAGACAGAATAATTTGTTTCTCGTGAATTTCTTGGTACATCTAATGTTTTAGGGATCAATTATAAATGTACTTTTTCTTTTCATGGCAGAGCTCAAAATAAGGCCTCTTCCAAATGGTACCCTCATGCGCGATGCCATACTTACACCTGCATACTTAAATATACAATTATTTTTTCATGTATGACTAAATTAACATTTTATAACAAAGTACACCGCTATGTAAAAAAATGGTAGGATGTTAGCTAAAGACAACGAAAGACTGACTTTTGTCATTGATATAGAATACATTGTAAAGAAAATGAAAAAAGTCCAGTCTGAGACCCATGTGAGATTATGCGTATTATATACGCACGATATATAAATAAACGTCAGTGAAATAATCGTCTCACTCAATTTGAGTTCTACCTCAATTCATCGAATTAGGTCCAATGCATTAAATAGTGCAACGTTAATGATAACGGATTTTTAGGTCAAGTGAGAATAGTAAAAATAGTTCTTAGGTGTTGAAAATTATTATCAATATAAAGCTATTCCACCAAACACTTTTAAAGGTAATTCATATGTTTTATAAAAAATAGTATAACATTATTTTTAAATTATATTTTAAATTGAGTTTGAGTTATGCCAGACAAGTCAAAAATAATGTTATAGTAATTATATTTATCAAATTTGTTAAATTTTTCGATGTTAAAATTACCTTATTACGGAAAATTGTTTGAATTATTAGTAATTCTGTACATTCAACGTCTTCTTCTAATAGACAGGTTTTTATAATTCAATATTACCTATTTTAATAAATTTAAATTTTTTCTTAGAGTGTATTTTTTACTATTAATTTTAGTCGAGATTATAATATTGAAAGCTAAATTGCATTTTTATTTAAAATTTATTATTTCGAGTATGATTATTATAAACCTGTTTTAAAATTATCACTGGTTATTGCACAATAACAACTGTAACATTTAGAATTTTGTTATTCTTTCATGGGCATTGAAACATGTCAAACTCCATGGTTATTCCATTAAGTCGTGATAAGTTAACATTATATCATAATTTAGATTTTAAAAAATTAACGAAATTAAAGATACGTAGCATACATTTTTAAGACAATAAATATGTAAAAATATAAATGTCCACACTTTCTTATTATAAAGTATAAAGCAAACATCTAAAAATTTTAATTAGACTTTATAAAGAAAGGATTATGACATTTTCAGGAAAAAGTATCAGCAAGATGCATTTACTTAAATAAAGCTTTATGAACAAAAATATTCCACTGTGTTGCTACACTGTTTATAAAAAGTATTTATCCTGGAGAATCCTCACTACTCTTAGTTCAATTTCATTGATATTCAATCACAGAAAAAGTTGAGTGCTCTAGGGAATATGAAAACCATAGATGTAATCTTCTCCTTTACCTTTCATGAATTCACATAATCACAACAGATGGTCAATGAATCGCAGTTTTCATGTTTATGAACTGTCATTATCGGTAGCACCTGGATTATAATCTGGATCATCATTGTCATCTTCATCATCCAAGTCAAGATCATCCAAATTTTGAAACAAACTCTCATCTACTTTGACTGCATCACCTTTGCATGTTATACATATATTATCATAAAACTATATATGGAACAATTGTTTTGACTATGGAATTTTCATTTTTCTTACCATCATCCAGGAACTTAAGGTCAGACTGATCTAGAGTTTTGTCCGTCATAAACAATTCTCGTCCAGTAAGTTTTTTGCCCTCTTTTTCAGCTAGCTCTCTTCTCTTGTTTATTCCTGTTTCTTCATTAAACTTTTCTTTCCACTTGAGAAATGTTTCAACTGTGACTCTTGTACCTTCAAACCTTTTCTAATAATTCAAAGTTCATAGAATGAATATTATGTTTTTGAAACTCATAATAAAAATAAAAAGATATTTATAAGCTTACTCTTTCAGCTTCCTCTTCTTCCTTCAACTTTCTAGCAGCATTTTCTTCTCTGCTAAACTTTGTTTTGTCCCACTGAAGATTCAACCAATCTTGTGCTATACTAACTAAGGTAAAAACCATTACAGTTCCCAAACTTTCATTCATAACTTGTTCTAAATCATGCATTAGTTTTTCAGTATCCTCTTCCTCTAAATTTTCTGTTTCCTCAATTGAAATAATAAGAGGTTCGTCTGGATAATTTACTGTGTATGTGAATTCCAGAGTACATGCTAATCCATTTTCTGTTTCTGGCTCGTACTCCTCAGATTTTATTATGATTGCAAACTTGTGATAAGGTTCAGTTTCTAGAACTAAAATTTGATGCATTGTTACACAAACTGTTGCAATTGAAGAAAATATACAAAAATATGAAAAAAATTTGAGGCACCTTCAAGTTCTCCGCAATAAATAGACTCCAATGCCTCGATTTCATCATACTGTTCCTCTTTGTAATTCATGATTGTTTATTTAACTAAGAATAAACTCTCAACAGCAGTCTCGATAATATTCAACAACAACTTATTTTAACAAACAACAGTGCAAAGTAAAGTTTTTATACTAAGATGTAACCTACGACAACCTAACCTTTAAATATTAAATATTTACGCTAAAAGAATCTCTTTAGATTTCAAGGAAATAAATAAGAGAAACAAAAATAATGTAATACTCTAAGAATTGATAACTGCTAATTGTATTAATTTGAGATCGGCGTCGAAAATGAAAAAGTAAATGAATGTTTTGCCATATATTCCTCGTGCATATTGTGCCGCTAATCGAACGACGCACATAACATGCAGGCTATCTTTTTCTTCTATTTGAATGGCTTTATCTGCTGTCACATTACAACTTGACTTATACCATAACCATAATCTTGGATGGCGGCAAAAATGAATAACTTGATGGAGTAAACCTTTTTAATATAATAATTTAAATGAATTTATTTTTAATTTAACTCTTGATTATATAATTTTATATTAAAGTAGATATAATCAAATATAGTGTTTTTTGTTATTGTAATATTGTCTAATTATAATGTTAATGTTATGTTAATAATTTTTTAAATTTTATTTAATAAATTTGAAATATTCATAGTCATATTAAAAATTTATATTTTATAGTTTTTTTTCTTACAACGTAATTATTGGTTAAAACCTTGTTATAGATGTATAAGACGGTAAAATAGATCCTCTAATTACCTGTTGACTTTTATGCATTTATTATATATCATGAATGCCACCAACGTGAAGTACCAGTTTTGAATTTGTATTAACCTTTTGTTCAACAATTTTATTTTTATTAATTAAAATTTGATTTAAATAATCGCGTTCTAATGCTCTTTTATTAGGTTTTATTTTTAATAATTCATTAAAATCATTAACATCACTCAACAAATGTTCACTATTGTTTGAAATGCCTAAGATGCTTGTCTCAGCGACAGACATGCTAATTTGAAAAAATTAAATTAATGAATTATTAAATGAAAAGAAGAATTGTAGAAAAGAATAACGAAAAGAATAACGAAAAGAATAGAGAAGATAAGAGAAAAGAAAGAATACCCTGTGAAATCTTTAAAGATGAATAACTTTGCAGAAATTTTCAGAGCAGATTTTCAAGCCAACCATTGCCCTCGCCTGAACTCGCGGACTCTCGCTTCCAGACTCGTACAGGCTACAGTCTGCGTTAGGAAAGTGGTCAACGGTGCACTTCACTTTAGTCCGTACACTCGTGGTTAGCGAGCTGGCTATGAATGTATAGGCTGAAACGTGCCTACGTGCCACTGGCCAATTTTTCTTAGGCTCTCGCCACATATGCGCATCTATTTATAGACGTACGATTACCCTCCTAATTATGCGGTTAACAAAAAAGTTGCAGTATAGAGCCTCTGCCCAACCGGATTTATGCATCTCAATGGCCCTCGCCACATATGCGCATACGCGCGCGTACGAGGGCCTCAGCTTGGCTCGGTGTCCAACGCCGTCGCTGCCGTCAGCACTGGCTGGTCAGCAGTGAGCACTGCAGTATATAGGCAGGGCTGGCAGGGACAAGCATGAAGCAACAGTAGAAGCGCGGCTATTTCGAATATTTCGATCAGCCGGCAGTACGATTTGGTCGGATTATTGGAGCTCTCTTGGAGCGAACAATGAATTCTCGAGGTGGGTTTATTTCAAGTCAAGACAAGGGAGCGAGCGAACCGCTCGAACAGCGTCTTCAGGCCCTCAATGAGGCTCCAATCAGCAGTAGGTACGAGCCTTTACGAGTCGCTCTCTTGTCTTTGGTGGCCAAAACTCCGATGCAAGGCAAAAGCCCGGAGATGTAAAAGCGCAGTTGTTTGGCCACTCGCGACACCTTGCGCAACCGAGGCAATCTACCGGATTGTCGCTGGCAGTGGCCCAGGGCCCTTCCAAAGGATTCGGAGGAATTGCTGCCGCCGTCGTCGCTGTCTCTCCCTGTTCGCGAGGCGGGGAGGGGGGGGCGGCGACGACGCAGCGGCGACGACGCAGCGGCCGCGGACACAATCAATACAATCGACGCATAGAGGGGAGAGAACAATTAGCCGGTCGCCCATTCCTGATCGCTGCCGAAATTGAATCATCTTCCAGATTTTAGTCGGAGATGCGCTTTTTCATGGTTGTTTGGCCGCTTGCAGACTTATAAATGGCCCATGATTCGTCAATTAGCAATGGCGCTTCGAGCTGCATATGCATCTTGATTAGCGATGCAGGCTCGATGCAACGACTGAACGGTTCTGTGCCACAATGACTTTCATATGCGTTGATCCAGTGGACGCTGTGGTGATATTGAACCGACATACAATCGACGCAGGCCGATAGCGAGGATGCGCGTCACAGTGTAATCTGATGGACGGCACAGCTTGACAAGCCCTCGAAAACACTGGGCTGCCGAAATGAAGCTCGGTTACCTTGAACGCATCAAACGAGAAAATGCCAATGATCCGTCATTAGGATCCCCACGCAAGCACGGGAAGACAGGTAGTGCAGGCGCGCAGTGCTTAGGTGCAGCTGCTCTTTGCGCATGCGGCGACCCTTAAACTATGGTTGGGCGCGCGCACACACTTTGCCGAGAGTGATACATTGGTCCTACCCTCTGGCGAGAGGCAGTAGGCACGAGGCTGCCAGCCGCGTCGTTGCGTCGTCGCGTCCACAGAGCGAGAAACCGATGTGCGACGACGAGGCCTGAGAAACATGGCGGACGAACAACAAAGCTCGTCCTCGTCGTCGTCGCCGTCGTCGTCGTCGTCGTCGTCGTCGCCGTCGCCGTCGTCGTCCTCGTCGTCCTCGTCGTCCTCGTCGTCGCCGTCGCCGTCGCCGTCGTCGTCGTCGTCGTCGTCGTCGTCGTCGTCGTCGTCGTCGTCGTCGTCGTCGTCGTCGTCGTCGTCGTCGTCGTCGTCGTCGTCGTCGTCGTCGTCGTCGTCGTCGTCGTCGTCGTCGCCGTCGCCGTCGCCGTCGCCGTCGCCGTCGCCGTCGCCGTCGTTGTTATCGTCGTTGTCGTCCTCACCGCGCTCGTGCGTCGTCGACACGTAGCGCAGTAGGCTAGCGAGTGATTCTGTGCCACGAGTGCCACGAGAAACGCTACGGGAGGATGCATTTGTACTTCGAGAAGAACGCCAACGCCAAGTGCGATTGTAACATCCTCTCGCTCAGCTGGATGGGTAAACTGCCCGACGAGCTGCAGGAGGTCAGTTCTCTACTTTGTCCGTTCGTTCGAGTTACTTTCCGACCAAATATAAGCTCTAAGCTGTTAGCTCTTGCAAACTAGCCGGCCATCCTGCGGAAAGTTGTCTCGTGAAAATTGAAACATCTAATGCACACGTAATGACTGCTTGGGCGCACTGTATGTGCCGACCTTCAATCGCGCGGCTACTTGTTCGAACGTACGAACGTCAAACGAATGCACCTACACGTACTGCCGACAAAATCAAAGAGTCGTGTGTGCGCCAGATGGATCGTGCAATTTGTCGACAATTAGAGCGGCGATCGATGCTTTTTTATTAATCTGTCGAGAGAAAAAAGCGGGAGCCGTAATGAGATTGCTGGTGTTTAGCTCGATTGGCGCGTTTCTTTCGCTCGCGCTCATGGCGTGACACACACGTCGTCGCGTGCTCGCTGAATCGGTAGGCGTTCGCCACGCGACAGAGTCACACTGGCCTTTTTTCCATCGGCATTATTACGCTGAAAATATCACGTGGTCGTCTAATCGTTGGCAGGCCCAAGGATGAGATAGGAACCGAAGGAGATATTAATAGTTGGTATAATGCGACCAAGAGCTCGGCCTGTCGACAGAAAAAGAAACCGCGACGCGCGCATGTCTGCATGAATTCGCAGCCGACCAACCATTGATTGGCAGTTGCGTCAATGCACTTATTTTTCGGGGAGGATTGAATGTAACTGCAGCTGATATTCAGCTGCGCGCTAGGGCTGGGTTTCTAACTTGGAAGCATGCTAAGGAGGTGCATGATCGATACGATAAGACGACAGCCGAGAGCAATGTGGCACATTGTGACCTTAGGTTCATAGATTCCCATGGCCTAATACTTGTCTTTTTTCTCTTTTCGTCTTTTCCAATGCCATTCGAGTGCGAGCTGCGATTTCATTGGGATTTTATTGGAATTTCATTGCTCCCAAGAATATACAAGGCAGTTGTACTGTCAGTCTCGAGGGTCAATGATGGCGCTCGAGCTTTTAAACTTGACAAACGTTCAGCATTGCTTCCAAGTAATTATTTGGGAAATCGATTTTTGTGTTAGACCGTTGGCAATCGGCCGCGGACCATCTTTCGTCTGTTCGTTCGACGATGAAGAGAATAAAAAGAAGTCACTCGCGAATGACTCGACGGCCTGCCCTGTCTCTGTCCTCCACTTGCATGCGAGCACGCACGCGTTAACCAATAGGCCTTGAACGACGAAAGTTAGGCTGCGTGGTGTCTCGGAAAGAGAAAGGAAAAGAAAGGCGTGCCGGCGATTAGACTAAGGGAAACGAATGACAGCACGGTCTCTCGAGCCCCCTCGGGTTTGTCATTGGTTAGTGAAAGAAGAAAACTGCAGCTAATAACAGAAAACGATCCCTCGTTCGTGCTAATTTTTAATCCGCGCTAATTGCGGAGCGGACCGGCTACGCTTCTGTACGAACCGGCTAGGGGATGTAAAGGCGCTTTCGCAGACTGCGGGAGCCCGGGGAGAGAAGCTAATTTTATTTATCGAGGCTTTTAGTCTCTGTCGGCGCGTGTCAAATTTGACGTCGAGTGCGAAAAGCGTTGTCCGCGTGGCGACCATTCGTAGCAAAGCGTAGCGTCCAAAACGTAGCGGCCAAATTAACAAGGCTCAGGCTTCGAGCGCAAGTCTACTTGTGCAACTTTACTGCCACGGATGTACATCAGGCTTAACGAGCGTTCAATCAGCTCCGCCAGCAATCCTTTAGCGGCACATTTAGCGAGCGAACAACAGACGAGACATCGAATCTCCCTTTGGCCGACAGAAAGGATTTTATCCAAGACGATAGCGCGTACGAGAGCTCGCTTTGCCCCTTGTCGGCGATTGCTTCGCGGCTTCTTTATCCGATCTGATTAATCGTGGACCGTGAAAAGCGACGATAATTAACGAAAAGGAGCTTGAACGGTTTTGCCGCACTGGAAACTGATCTGGCGAGCGAGTCGAACGACTGCGCTGCTTCTTTCGGTCTTCTGGCAAGCGTGCCTCTGTTGCAGGACGAGAGCTGGAAGCTGTACAGGCGCAAGTACTACCAGGAGGGCTGGCTGGCGAGCGGCAACGCGCGCGGCCTCGTCGGCGTCACCTACACCACCTCGCACTGCCGCACCAGAGTGCCCGAGCTGCCGCTGCGGGCCAATTACAACCTTCGCGGGCACAGGAGCGAGGTACGAACCACGTCCCTCCTCGTTCGGCAATGGCTTTGTGGCAACAAACGGGCTGGCGGCTCGCGCGTAGGCCTACGAGCAGCTTTCGCTTTCGCCGCGGATTAGCACTCGACGAATACCCGAGACAGAGGGAACTGTTGCCGTGCACAAGTGGACGAGGCTCGTTTTCGTGCCAGGTGCAACGCGACGACTTGTCGAGCCTCTTGCGGAATACCTGCCACTTCTTATCTCTGCTCGATCCTCCACAGTGTCATTTGCCTCGCTCGATTATCCGAACCTAACCAAAGACCATCAAAGTTCATGGATTGCAAACCTTACGAGAATAAAAATCAGCAAAGTGCTGTCACGTGCTCTGCGGACATACTCGACAACACCTGACTTATCGATTAATTCTGCCATTCAACGGCGCAGTTTATCCGCTTTTTACAACCTCGGCTTTTCTTCTTTGTCGACTAACGACTTGCACTTTCTCCGAGCTCCGCTTTTTTACGACTGCGATTTTCAGTCGCCACTTTTAATTGCAGGTGCCTTTTTACGCAAAAACTTGGTTTAGCTGCCGCTCTTTGCCAAGGGGGCTGTGAAATATCGCATTTCTCTCACACGTTCATACGATCACGTTTACTTGCTTTCACCACTATTTTTTTAATAATTGGCATTACCGACCAACATGATCGCGTAATCGAATGGAATATTGGATCAAGTATATTGTTTGATTAAGCAACCAAAATTATGAAGGGTACGTTGACTCTTACTACTCACCAACGAAAAGCGACCGAGCGAGAACGACTGGAATCAATTACCGCTCGGGCGAGAAGGGAAAGGGGAGCCAGCTGCCAACAGCAGTGGTAGCACATAGTAAATACGAACAAAAAGAAAATCAGCACATCTCTCTCTCTCTCTTTCTCTCTCGATTTATTTCCTCTTACATATCGGCTCGCTGTTTGCAGCAGCGAAACGTGCTTCATGCAGGAAATCCAGTGGTTCGATATGAGCCTCACGCGAAATAATAAACGTGCAGAGGAGAAATTAAGAAGTCGGGAAAATATTCGACAGGGTGGAGGAAGCCAAGAGAAAGGGAGAGGATAGAAGAAACCGACTCGATTCCTTAGGAGCGGAGCAATAAGCAAAGAGCGCGGCTTGTTGCTAGAGACGCGTTTGTGGACGGTTATTGCTTGCGTAAGGATACTCATATTGAAAAGCGCGAGATAAGAAGCTTCGAAGGGGTAGTTTTGCAATATGTCGCTCTCGAGAATATATTTGTATTGTCTTTTCTTGCTCTTTTTTATTGTTCTTTCGTCGTTCAGCGAAATAACTCTTGTAGATATTCAACGAAAGCTTCTCTGGGCAGCTTAGAAAAGTGAACATAATTGAGAAAAGATAATGATACCAAAGTCGTTTGTGTATCCATGAGTAAAACATTTTCCGGGAACAGAAAGCTGAGGTGGGTGTAAACACATTTCAAAGGAAAGATAAATAATAGGATTGACTTTGTCGCGCAAAGGTAGGTAAGAAAATCCCTTATACTCATAAATCGCAGATTTGCATACGTATATGTAAAATATTGATAATTCAACGAAATATAACAGAAAATTGGAATGTTAGTCCAAGTGTGTAGGGATCAACCGAATAAAACCACGTAAGCTTTTTTCCAAATAGTATTATTTTGCATTGGAAAGTTGCAGAATAATACAAGAATAAATAGAATATAGGCCGCGATACATCGCATTGTTCTGGTTTTCTTCGTAAATAATCTATGTTGATAAAGTTTTTAGAAGTCGGATATAGAAAAAAAAAAGAAAAGGGATAACGATGAAATTGATTGGTTGAACTGTTTGAGCTCGTCTGATGTGCAACCGAATGTAGTCGGCAGAGAAGCGATCCAACTCGTGGTTCGATTAAAGTTGCTTGTGCAAGACTACAATTGTCCTGCGGTATCGGTGGCTTGTCGGCGCGGCCAAGCGCGAAAAAAGCTCCGCGCGGAATACGTGGGCCGATCGCTTAGTTGGCCTCCGGTGCGCAGGTGATCCTGGTAAAATGGAACGAGCCGTACCAGAAGTTGGCCTCGTGCGACAGCACGGGAGTGATCTTCGTCTGGATCAAGTACGACGGGCGATGGAGCATCGAGTTGATCAACGACCGCAACACGCCCGTCACGCACTTCTCCTGGTCGCACGACGGACGTATGGCGCTCATTTGCTATAAGGTGAGTCCTTGTCTCTTGTCCAATCGACTGGCGGCCGCAGGCCTCGCGACCGGTTCGCGACCGGTCCGCGACGAACGAGCAATTAGCAGCTGGCGGTAGTCTTAGTCGAGCTCTCTTAGTCAATCGCATTTCCTCTGCATTTTGGAAATCCAATCAAGGATGGCTTCGTGCTGGTGGGTAGCGTGGCGGGCCAGCGCTATTGGTCGTCGATGCTCAACCACAAGGCCGTCATAACGTGCGGCATCTGGACGCCCGATGATCAGCAGGTTTACTTCGGCACGACAGCCGGCCAGCTCATCGTTATGGACGTTCACGGCGCTATGGTCTCCGAGGTTCAACTTGGTAAGCATCCTTCGTTGTTTCGCACTGAGCTTTTCATTGCTGAGCATTCGACCCGATTTCACTCATTGGTGGCTTGACAATCTTGCGCGCCACGTCGGTAATTCCTGAAAAGTGAATTTCATTTCAAGTTGCAAACGTCGATGAAAACTTACCGAAAACCGAAAACTCCGAGAAGGCTGAATCCGTATAAGAGCGCGGACGTGGGCTCAACTTTCCATCGATATTCATTACTGCCGAGCAATGCGACAAGTCTGTGCGATATCCAGTTTGCGCAAGATGCGATCGCAGAGTGTCAAGCTCGCGTGAAATGTCTTGGATGCTTTTCTCTTTGTTTTCCTTCGATCGCCGTTCTTTTTTAGAATAAGCCGTAAGCCACGCACAATGCAACGATATCAGTTTTCACGCTATGCTGCCAATTCACAGTGGCATTAAAACGAGCGAGAGAACAAAACCTGCTCTTGGTGATGGATGTTGCGTGCAAAAGGTCGGCAAAATCCAGCCAGTAGCGAAAGTTTTGCCCTCGTTCTTGCTTGCGAGCGAGTGGATTTTCCGCGAATAAAAATGTGGTTTTTTTAAAAAGTTTAAAAAGCGAGCTGGAAGCTACATAAAATGGAGTTTGCCTGGCTTGTGGATCACTTGTATTTTGATTTGAAAGGCGGCAAGCGACTCGACACCAGAGCAGAATGAACTGCTCCGTCAACGTACTGTCGATGACTGGAGACGATCGAACGTACGTGGCCTTGAAGCCTTTGGCAAATCATTCGCGCTCGCTTGCCGTGCACTCGTAGACCAGAAGCGCAATAACAAGTAGCAGCAGTAGCAAGTAAAGTTTCATCCACTGCCTCGACGAACAAACCTAGGTGCCGGTGTGACGTCGATGGCGTGGTCAGCGGAAAAGTTCAAATTAGAGGAGGACGACGAGGAGGACAACAACGAGGACGAGGAGGAGCGCGAGGAGGAGCGGGAGGAGGAGCGGGAGGAGGAGGCTACGCCCGCGAAGTCCAGCCGTTCGCGAGTTTTCGTGCTGGCGGTGTGTCTGGCCGACGGCTCGGTCGTTCTGCTTCGCTCGTTCGACGACGTCTCGCCGGTGACCATTCACACGGGACTGCGACCGCCGCTGCACGCCGAGTGGAGCAACTCGCGCACGGTGCTCGCTGTCGCCGGCAGCAAGGACCAAGAGCAGTGCTACCAAAGCTCCGAGTACACGAATCTGCTCAAGTTCTACTCCGACAACGGAGTGCTCACCTACACCATCGTCATACCCCACACGCAGGTTGGTTTTTTCGGGTTCGCGCGCGGGCGCTGTATTAAGCTCAGTCGCGACCGGATTCGTAGCCATGCCAACGCAGTTCTCCTTTGTCCGGACTCGACAGAGCAACGCCATCGTTCGGAGTGCGATAAGTCGCTTTCGTTTGGCGCATTTAATTATGCATCTCTCGTTCACTGCGTCGTTGTTGTCGTCAAAGGCAATTGCCAAATCTGCCGAGGGCACGACGATGAGGCGGACAGCTCAGCGGGACTTTGTTTTCAGAGTCCGGTGACCGCGATGACGTGGGGTCACAACGACCGTCGGCTGTTCATCGCCACGGGCACCCACGTTCACGCTGCTTGGGTATCCAGGTGAGTCGATTATTCCTTGATCAGGCTCCTTCTGGCTCCCGCGAGAGATTAGTCTTGGACCGCTGCGTTTCCACTGTAACGTAGCTTCCTCCTTTTCCTCTTTCCCTCGAGTTCCTCCACGAGGTTGGACGCAACTCTCGATTGCACTTTGCGAATTGCAAGTCCTCCAACCATCTTTCTATTCATCTTTCTTGCGCAAATTTTCCTATCTCCTGGCTCTTTCCAAGGACTCCTTGGCAAATCAATTGCTACTGATGAACGCGCGGCGGAATCAGAGCCCACTCGAGCTAACTGGGCGAGGTGCTTGCTCGCGTCAAGCCCGGCTCACGTCAGAACAGTCGGAACGTTAATTAAGAAAGAAAACAGCGCGATTATCTCGGGCGCGATGTTGCAGAGGAGTGGGCTCGCTGCAGCTGCTATCGAGGCTGGCTTTAAAGGCAGCCTTAACTAAGGAGTCGTCAGTACAACAGCTGCCACTGCCACCGAGACTCAAGGCACTGGTGTCGGGTCTCTTCGCCAGCACTATCCGGTGAGTGTTTCGCTCTCCCTTCCTGCGCTCCGCGTGTATGCACGGTGCAGTAGACGCGGAACGCGCGCCCTCGGGGCGTCATCGTCGATCGATAACCGGCGTCTGCTGCGCTTTCGCGAGGGGGTTCTGCCGGCCGATTCTCATCTTCGCGGTCCATTTGGAAATCGAACTCGAGGCAAGATTCGTTTATCCTCGCGCATCGAAGACTCAATCGACAGGCCAATCGCGTCCGAGAAGAGGAAACGAGACAAACTCGCGTCGCGGCTACTGACAGCCTGGCGATTACAAAGGGGGCGGAGACTTTGCGCGCAAGGGAACTTGCTACGAGCGGGTAGTCGCCGTACTCAGGCGGACGTCGAGAGCGCACAAGCTAAACACTGAATAACGATCGCTCGTTCGCATGCGACAGCTCGTGCGTCCCCAAGCCGCAGGAGCTGCGGCATTTCGTGTCACGTCCACCGCCGTTGGGCGGTCGCCTGCACTGCACGATGCTACGCAATCCGGGTGACCCGCCGCACAGCTACACACTGTACGTGGAGTATCTCGGCGGGCTGGTGCCACTACTGAAGGGTCGTCGCACGAGCAAGATCCGCCCGGAATTCGTGATTTTCGATCCGGAAATGGGCCACGAGGTGACCGCCGGCGAGCCGACGAGCGGTGCCGGCACCTACGAGCAGCTGGCGACAGCCACACTGGCCTCCTGCAGCGACGACTCGGACAGCGAGCGCGACAGTACCGCGGAGCTATGCGGTGGCTCGCCGAGGTTCATGCGCAAAAACCGACGCAAGTGCAGCGGCTTTTACGAAAGGACTGGCTGTCACAGCGACGACGCCGAGGTCAACTACGTCGACACTTTGCCGGAGGTCAGTTTCGCTTTTCGCCCCATCTTTTTCCGAACAAAGATAGTTCGCTAGTGATTGCCGCTCCAAGTCAAATTTCGTTACACCGCCGTGCAGAATGCGAAGCTGGTGGAGGTTACCTCGAACATTTGGGGCACCAAGTTCAAGTTCCACGGACTGACCGACTCCGTCCCGGCGAATCTCGGCCGCGTCACATACCGGCCGTCGCTACTGCATCTGCAACCGAGACAGATGACTCTTGTCATCACCGAGCTAAGCGACAACTTGCCCGCAGGTACGCCCGATCTCGCGCGACGTTTGCTCGTTCCGGCCGCCAATTCAACAGAGGACTTTGCTCGATAGGTCCCGACCCTACGTTCAACCCCAACCTGTTCTCCGAGGACGAAGAGGATAGCGCCCAGTCGGACGGGTGTTGCGCCATCAACGTCCAGCAGCACCAGCAGCTGCAGCAGCAGCAGCAGCAGCAGCAGCAGCAGCAGCAGCAGCAGCAGCAGCAACAGCAGCAACAGCAGCAGCAGCAGCAGCAGCAGCAGCAGCAGCAGCAGCAGCAGCAGCAGCAGCAGCAGCAGCAGCAGCAGCAGCAGCAGCAGCAGCAGCAGCAGCAGCAGGAGCAGCAGCAGCAGCAGGAGCAGCAGCAACAACAGCTGCATATGCCGCAGCAGCAGCAGCAACAACAGCTGCATATGCCGCAGCAGCAAGAGCAGCAGCAGCCGGTCCTGCCGATCATAGCGCCAATGACGAACTCGCGAGGCTGCAGTCGCGCGACCGGCCAAACGATTGCGGTTACGTCGCTGCCCGTCGTCACCGAGGCGCACACGCAACTCGAGGACGAGTTCGGCCTCGTAGCGAGCTACTGCGATACGGTGCGCGCCGTCGCTGGTCCGCATCATCATCGTAGCGCCTACGCGCCAAGATGCTACGACGTGCCGGCGCTGCAGAGCCCGAAGAACACCGTGGCACCGACGCAGATTCTCATCGCCAGCTCGAGTCCGGCTGCCACGCTGGTGAGTAGCATCGCGATTCGCGGCACTTGCAAGAGCAAGCTCTACGAGAGCACCCGTACGATTGGACAGGGCGAATACGGGAACGGCGTGCAACGAATGAAGAGCTCGCTGGCGGACCAGCACGGTGCCATGAGCAGTTTGATCAAGAAGGATTGCGAGCTGGTAATCGGCAACGGCAATAGTAAACTGGTGTACGCGCCAAGTTTATACACGCCTCGCTCGAGCGGAGGGCCATCGTCGACGCAGTGCTGTTTGCAGTCACCTCAACCGCGACAACCATCGCTCAATTATGCTTACACCAATGGCATCGCCAGCAATAACAATCACAATAGCAATAGCAATAGTGAGCAGTACAAAGCTGTTGCAGCTGCTAATAACAACAGCAGCAGCATCGTGCATTCGAAGAATAGTTTCAATGCTGCCGAGGTGAATGGCCTCATCGTTAGTGGTGTGCTGGCTAAAGTGGCGAGCAATGGCACCGCTAGCTCGATTGCGGACGAGACTGACGAGCAGCCGGACAACGTATCGGCGCTTAAGAGTCAGTTCCAGGTAAGTAAACACAAATAAACAGTTCGATTAAACATTCATTTAATCGCAGTACTTACCTTCGAACCGACCATACAAAAGAATAATAAAAATACGTACACCCAGTTCCAAGCGGTGCATCGCACTCCAACAGTAGTGAGCATCGGACCAACGCAATTCTCAACCAACTCGATAGTGCGCAGCTGCAGCGTGGGCTATCTCGACCTCGTCGACGCGCAAATCGTGCCTTGTGACGTTGCGCTGAACATGCTGCGCAAAGACGCGCCCAACAAGCGACTTTTTCTCATCTCCAAGAAGAGCAAGAGAAGACGACGTTGTAGTAAGGATAACAACGGTTAGCGACTTGTTTCTTCTAATTGAGCGAGACAAAATACATTGTATTTGTTGTTTTTGAAACAAGTGCTCGATATTCGGGACTCGACGAATTGCAAAATCTAAATACAACATCAATAAAATGATTCATCAATAAAAATGTTAAAATGTATCCTTCAAAATAATACTTATTCTCTGGCCGCTCACAGTGAAAGAGGCAAACAACGGTAGCGGCAACGGCAGCGTCAGCGTCAGCGGCAGCAACAGCACCAGCAACAGCAACAGCACCGTCATACATAGAACGACGAAGCCACGGCTAGGCGATTGCGGCAAGTCGCGCAGTCTTGACTCGAGCGAGTTATTCCCATCGACGGAACAGATTATTGCGATGCCACCACAACTGACCGAACACGCAGAGGAGACGTCATCAACTGCGTCGATTAGCGAAGCTGCTCAAAATGAAATTAATATGCGCAAGGAAGCCATCAATCAAATGGAATCGCGCCGTGTTAAAGAAACTATCGAAGCACTGTCTAGAGCTGCTCAGTTGGAGTGTGTTAATCAGAAGCAAACAACGGCAAATGCTGCTAATGCTGCTAGTTCCGAGATGTCATGCTTGTCATCTATTAAGTAAGTCATATTTAGACAGACATGTTTTTACGTGGATAGTTGGAGGGTCGGAAGCAAAGAGATATAATTGTTTTTCGGTAATCACGATTTCATAGTACTTTTGCTCAACTGGATTTAAACTGATAAGTTATTTAAATCGACGCACCGAAAAAATAAATCAGTTATACAATAATCTTATAATGTCGAATAGTCATTAAATAATTGCAATTGAACTATTTACGTTGACGATCATTCCTGGAATATATCATAAATTTATCATTGAACGATGTATCTCATTTCTTCGTAGAAATTAAAATCATTTATCATTTCAATTACCACTAAATAATAAACTTAAATAGAAAACTGGCAATTGATATTCATATTCAATAAATAACTAAACTTACCAAAGTCATGAAAAGGACTTTAAGCATAAAAAAGTGTGTATCAATTTATAGAGGATCCAGCGTCAGTACATCCATGACGTCGTCCCTGGACGGTTTGGCTTCGAGACTAGATGGTCTGGCAGTGAAACTTGGCGAGTTAGAGGACTGTCACTCGCTTCCACCACCGTCGCCTCGACCATCTACGAGGTCAGTATGTTCAGTAATCTTCGCCAAACACAAACAAGTAACTTGGCTTTATCGCAAAACACTTCTGTAAAGAGAAAAAAAAGAGCATTGAGCAAGGCTAAGGAAGTTAAGAAAGTTTTCACTTACAGATTACCAAGAAGCTCTTCAAGTAGTCCCGCAACCTCAAAGAAGAGCAAACGAGCCGCCTCGGCTTCACCGATCAGGAGGCGACTGCTATCGAGTCCCCTGCTGAACAGGAAATCGCGCAAAAATCGTAATGAAAGTTCGGACGAGGAGGGTCTTATAGGACAGGACGACACCTCGGACTACCGTGATCTTGAGACTTTCCAAAAGGCACAGCTTCGGCAAAAGGTTTCAAAAGCAACTCTTTTCTTTTTATTTAAACAAATAATCATTTGTTTTGTGCATGGAGCGCGCGCGCGCGCGCGCGCGTGTGTGTGTGTGTGTGTGTGAAACTTCTACAAGGAAAATTACTCAGTTATTTCCAGTATTGAAAAATAGAAATGATTTATTTAGACGTTTGTATAATTCTTCCTTTTTTACAATGTCTAAAAAGAAAATCTTTTTTTACATATTTATACAACAGAAAAAAATTTGATGGCTAACTACTTTCTTTACTTTTGTTGTTACTACTATTTACAATGTTTATACAAAGGAAAAAAGTTATAAGAAGCGTTAGCTCTTGTGACTCGTTATTCACTGAGGATAAACGATTATTTATAGTTGAAAAAGAGGGGTGGTCACTACGGATACGAGTCCGCAGCAACCAAGAGAGAAATTATAATGCATAACAAGGCACCAATGTGGAATGAAGCTAATCAAGTTTATCAACTCGATTTCGGAGGTAGAGTCACTCAAGAGAGTGCCAAAAACTTTCAGATTGAGTTTCGGGGAAATCAGGTAATTTGTAAGGGTTTTTTCTCTCTCGATAAGTTTTCTTTCGCAAGTAAGAAAACAAACAGAGCTTTTAAGAATAACGAGTGCACATTTTTTCCAAAATAAATATTCACGGCTGCATTCTTTCCAAACAGGTGATGCAGTTTGGAAGAATCCAAGGAAACGCTTACACTCTAGATTTTCAGTATCCGTTTAGCGCTATACAAGCCTTTGCCGTTGCACTGGCAAGTGTCACGCAGAGGTTAAAGTAAACCCAAAAGAAAAATGTAAATTTTTTGCGTTGGGCTTAAATATGCATACTCTGACAGGTATATACATAACATACAACGTATTTTTTTAAATTAATGTTTACACATAAATATTCATGTATTCTCCGTCATTCTCAAAACAAAATATTCTCCATTGCACTGAGAGAAGTTACATAGTCAACCAAGTTTTTTTGTTCAAAAAAAAGATCTCCTTAGAGTTTTTGCGTTCATTTACATAATGGATAATTGTAGAAAAATGACCAGAAAAACTAAAAAATGTTAAAATTGTAATATTCTTATAAAATAGTTAAGAAACAACTTTATTTGGTCGAGCTAACTATTTCTCTCAGTGTCTCACTCAGAAAAAAGTTGAAGAGAACATGCACACACACCGACATTTCGATTACAAAATTTTTCGAAAGTAAAGTCGTTAAGTATTACCACTGTCAGGGTTTTAGTTTTTTCCAGTGTAATCAACACCAGCCTAATTGTAGTATTATGATTGTAATAGCACGTATTGGCTGACCAAGGCCTTGTCTAACTCATAGACAAATTGGTATAGTAACACAATTAATTTCATGCGATATAAATTACACAAAAATTATTCTTGCAGTGAAATACAGATTTAAAAAAAATAATAGCATTTTGAAAGTTAATCAAATGAATCTTGAATATTTTGGAAACTCAGGAGAAAAAGGTATTGTAGCAAGTAAAGAGAGCTCTGTGTTATTACTTAGTCGTATGTAGGTATTTTTACGCAAGTGATTTGCAAGGTCCGATGATTAAGCGAGATTTATAAGCGCTATACGCGCGTAAAGTTTTGTACATAGAAAACAATAACTTGATAAAAGGAGGAAACAAAAATAAGAATCTCGAGCAATTCTGCAAAACCCATCGTCGATGAGATGCTTTATAATTCTCGTAACCGTCCAAGACGTTTTATGTTGAAAAAGTCCCGTTTTTAACGTAAATAAACGGCATCGACGTGGCGCGTAACAAGCGAGATACATTCGTATAATTTATTAGCATTCTTGACTTAATACGTTAATATTATTATTATTATTATTATTATTATTATTATTATTATTATTATTATTATTATTATTATTATTATTATTATTATTATTGTCATTATTATAATTGTAATAGCAAAATTTTTCATACTATACGTAGGATAAACGATATATTATATGTATATGTGAACTCCACTCGTGCTATTTAATTTTTTTTCACCATGGCGTCTTTTAATAAGCCACATTGTTTTAACTTATATATAACATATGGTAATTGTATAATCAAGCCAAGAATGAGAAACAAAAACAAAAATGCACGAGTGCGAGTGCTCGGTTGTTCGATCAACTTAAATTCTATTTTATGCTGAAGTACGAGCTTCGCTGTAGGGAATCAAGTGAAATTGTTTAGAACCACTTTTTTCAGCAGAAAAAAAATTCTAATCCAACGAGAACATTGAATGTCTTTAAAAAAAGAGAAGTATATACTGTAACAATAATAATAGGAAAAAATAATACTAAGAAAATTTCAAACAACATACTAAAGACAAAGTTGATTCTAAACTGTTTCAAGTGTTCCCGCGCAAAACCATCGGGCCTGAACTGCTTGCTTCAACATAAATATAAAAGTAAAACCTAAACTATACTTCGATCAAACTGATACAAGTACAGTTTCGACAGAGCCTTAATCATTGGCCAGGAAAACGACCTAAAGTTTATGAACAATAAGTTAATAAAAAGGCGAGTTTTTCTGCTTGCGGTTGGTTTTACAAAAGCAAAACAGAAATCGCAAAACACACGACAGCAAATTCACGAATGAAAGAAACTGCACGTTTTGTACAAAAAAAAAATAATTAAAAGAATGAAAAATCAGCTAGTATGTTTTCGGTCATCATGCTCAAGTCATTCATTATTTTTAATTGTTAAATTTTTACGTCATTTGTGAAATCTTTGTTTCTTTATCGTTTACTCTTGGAGTTCTGTGCAATTAAGAAAAAGATGTTTTACGATATCAGTTGATTGAAGAACAGAACAACAGTAATAAAAGCTGTGAAGTAAAAAGGATGTGAAAAAATTTCGTGACTGACATATGTAATAAAAAACGTAGGATGTATATGACACTATATACGACTTTACAAGTTCTATAATCAATTGTATCATTGTTGTTTTCTATGATGAGAGGGCATTGTTATTTATTCAGTTTTGCCATGGAAATAACGAAAAATATTCTAGACATATGTGCAATAGAATTTTGTTACTGAGTATGCATTGAACAAACGACCATCTATCTTTGTAAATAAAGAAGTGAAAGTCAAGATAAATGAATTTTTTGTTACCGATCCACTAAATTAATGATATGATTAAGTTATTTTCAATGATTAAGTTATTTTAATGCTTACATCATAGTAAAAGCATTTAAATATCTTTGCTATATTTTAGGTAATGTAAATTTATATTAATAATTTTTACTTGAGGCAATAAAAAAAATTTGAAAAAAATAATCTTTTTAATTTATAAAATTTTTTATATATAGGGCTTTATATAATAAAATCATTCTTTGATTTAAAAAATTATCTAGATATTCGACTTTCAAGAATTCAAGTCTAGTTCAACTACTCTTGATCAATAAATCAATAAAACTCAAAGGTATCAATAAATCATCTATTTACAGATAAGAATAGAAGCAATTTAGCGCAAATCCTTCCAAATCACAAGAAAGTTTTACATTTAAATTGTTCCATAATTCTATTTACATCTCTAAATAATCATTCGACACAAGCCTGTCCATTTTATTGCTTTCAAAATATAAATCAATGAACACACGATTTTCACTATCATATAAAATTCATGCCATCTTCCTCAAAAAATTTTTCCGCTTTGTAAAAATCTCTTTCATTTATAGTGTATAATGAAATAAAGCGAAAAAAATCTTGTAAAATATTTGTACTCCTTGTCGACTTCGTAAGTTTTCTCAGCTCATCTATCGCAGAGCATATTTTTCAAAGGTAAAATTAAGCTTAAGTATTAAACTGGTATAAAAAGAAATGATTTTTTTATAAAAACCTACGAGGCGTCTTTTCTAGAGAAAGAGCTTGGCGGGTTTGTTGGACTTTCTATTGCAGACAGGGCATCGATTGCCATTAATTCTGTAGGTTTTCTTGGCGCAATCATAACAACCATAAAGATGAGCTGATTTCCCGTGATGAAATATTCCGCTTGCAGTTCTTTCAACGCACATGTTACACAAAACGTCCAAGCTTTGCGATGGTTGCTTGTCTGATGATAAAGGTCTTTTTAATGGAGATATTTTTGTCTTCTCTTTGGTTAAATCCAACAGCCCGTGGTCCTGTTTAAAGAAAAAGATTCGTCTTACACGTTATTTATACGCAATGAATATCAAAAACCTTACTAACCAAATCTTTTCAAATCATGGGTGTTAAGTATCAAAAAATTTTTACTTTTCATTTAGAGATTGGTGCATCATATTCTTATTTTTGAAGATGAAAAAAATATGATGCCATACTGAAGAAAACATATTTTATTCAAATGCAGAACATTGTTTGGAATGAAAAGCTTTTGATGAAGTTCAAAGCGGCATTTAAATACACGAGTTGCGATAACTATACAAAATTACGTTAACTATACGACATTGAATTGTACGATTGATTTTTATCTCTACTTTCGCATCTCAGCATACTAATGACCACAGGAGTTATTTTAGAAAATGAGCACAAGTACGTGAAAAATGATCGATTCGAGGGAACAAGAAAATTTCAAAGGCCAATAGATTGTCTCGACTTTTACGAATGTTGTCCTTATGAAAAATAGTCATTCAATTCCTTCTCGATGTCGCAAATTCAATAAGATACGGATGAAAAAAATCACCTTACTCATCATCCTTGCGATACTCACACTGTCGATAGAGCCGATATCAGAATCGCACTCCTTGGAAGCAGTCCCAGAATCCGCTTCGTCTCTCTCAACGGACATGACGGTCATGTCGCTGCTCTGCGAGCACAGGATGGTACTGGAGGCCATCGTACTGATTTGCGAGTATGACGTCGACATAACCGAGGGCGATGATTCGAAGTTCATCACTGTGTCACTACTTTGCAAACAGATGAGCTCCTGACTAGCACCCGATCCAATACCTGAATCTATGCCGTACATTTCTTGCGAGGACATGGTTGTGATCCGTTGCTTCTTTGCCGTTGGCTTCTTCTGCGCTCGGGGTTTTCGTCTTGGTCTTTCCCTTGGATAATATGATTTCCTCAGCTGCAAATTGTACAATAAACCCGTTATCGCCTGAACTTTAGTCGGATTCATAATATTATATGCTTATAAACGAATAAAAGTTGAATAAACACAAGTAACTCCGTTTTATGAATGGATATTCGTGCAACAATGTTATGACAACGATGCCGGAGATCTCTGCATCCTGCCGCGGCTTTGTTCCTCGCAAAACAAGTTGAGACGTGATTCAAGCTTGAGGATCATGTGTGGGGGTGATCGTGAGAGTCGAACGAGTCTCTCGAAATCGAAAAATGCGCGCACCCGGTACAATCTCATGACGCTCTGGTTTACCGACGATCCATCGCTTATGATATTCGCTCTATCCATTCTCTCTTTGTTAAAAAAGTGATTGGACCAACGGTTGTAACAGCACATTTCACCAGTATTCTTGGGTCGTTATTTTTCGTCTTTACTCGCCACATAAGGATTTCGCGTGCCTTCGGCTAGCACGTGCTAGAAAAAAATCAAATTCTTGTCAATTTATTTGCTATTTGCTCAATACAGCCTGTAATGAAAGTTTGGCGTGTCGTGAAGTTAAATATAACGTAAATGCCGATGAATATTTTTGTATAATTGGGACGATTTACGACGCTCTGGAGGTACTTTGGCTACGGCTTGCACATTCTTTTTTCTCCTACAGCTATTTTCATATCGATATTTGTTATCATTTTTCTTCTTAATAGTTTCATATTTATTAAAATAAAAATAATAATTCACAGAACATTCAAAAATAATGTCACACATTCAAAAAATGATAAATTATAGTTACTTTAAAAAAAATTCTTAGTAGCAACAGGAAGATTCAGTCAGAATTTCAGTTCAGTGCTTCATTATTTATTTTTGCTTCTTAAATATAGTTACTGCACATGAAAATATCCTTTAAATTATTTATTTTGACTACTTAATCATTTCAGAATTACCTGTGCTAATAAAAATTAACACCAAAATAATATGCAGCTAGTTTAATCAACATTAATTTTTTTTCTTTTAATTGCACTAATAGATTTTGAGATGTTAATATGTTTTATTTTTTTCGTTTGCCTAACAATGCCAGTCTTTTTTATTTTTTTGTTTTAAAATAATAAAGAGAAAATTCAAAACCTTATTTTTTTTATGTATACACAGTAAGATAAAGATTTTTTTAAATTGTTCAAATAAACTAAATTTCTTTCAGACATTATACATTAAAGGTTTTATATTTTCTTTAAATTATCATTCCATTAGTTAAAAGTATAATCTAAATATAACTACTTAAAGATAATGAAAACATAACCTCTAGTATGTTCATTTACCTGATAGCATTTATCACAGAACTGAAATAACGGATTGTGATTTTGACCTTTACATTGCACACATGTTCTAAAAAATGATTTCTTCACTTCACTATCCATAGAACTTCTAGAGTCATCACTGTCATCAGCATGCCCATCGCAGTTAGAAAAGTGATTTACAATTTCAACTGCGATAATATTCTGTAAAAACAGAGGATAGTGAACTTGAAGATTTCCAATTCATTAATATTTTCAATTATATATGTTTGTAAAATTTACCTCTTCTGGACCTGACGAAGAGGATCCAGATATAGAATGAAATTGTTCATCATTATCTGAACTGGGGGCTAATTCATACTGCACTTGGAATGCTACATCACTTTCACTATTGGAGCTGCTATAATATGTATGTGTCGATGTATCTGAAGTATCCCTTGCATATTCTGAAAGTTAATTGAAAAAATAAATGTAATACAAATATCACTGTCTGGTTAAAAAATTTTTTTTAACTATTCTCTGATTGACTTATGAACAGTAAGACTATAAAGGAAAAGTAAAGCTGACACTAACCAGTTTCATGGCCTTGTTCTGTGTATATAGACTCTTCGTCTTCATCTGTCGGTACAGGAGATTCACTCTCCAAGGTAACGTACCATGAATACCTGGCTTTCTTAACATCAGCCCCTCTGTTGTCTTCTGTAAATTTAACAAACTCCATGAGTATTTTAACAATACTCACTTCTCAGTTTTAGACATCCCAGGGAGGTAACAATAAACTGCTCAATTTATACATATTTTTTGGAGCCAAGTATGTCACTGCCGGGCTTTGTCAAATAAAGCTCCAAAAATCACTTTTCACAAAATGATCATCAGCACAAAGAAAGCTAGGCAAATCTATTCAGACTCTGTTCCCGCGCTAAATCTATCACACGAGGAGAAAAGCGCGGCTCAGGAATAGAGCCACTCAGTAGAGCGCAAGCATTATAAAGAACAATGCTCCTCGTTCGCTTACCATCATCCGAAGCTCTACGTTTCCAGCTGCCTTGATTCCCAATGGCACCTGCAACCAACAGACCAATACGGCTATAGATAATAATTAAGCATTCTTTGCAGAAAGAACTATCTTATGCCATCTCACTAGACATCTTGTTCAATTCATATCATCATATGAAGGGCTTTAAGAAAGCATGTTTAGGAAAGGCTTTCGCAGAGAGCTCTGGAAAGGCCTTCTGAAACAGCATTTTGAGAAGGATTTCCGAGAAAGCATTTTAAAAAAGTATTTTTGGAGAGGCGTTTAGAGAAACCTTTTTGAAGAAGCACAATAAAAGAGTACAAAATAAATTACGAACCTGCCGGTGATGTATTAACCGCCACGCTCATTGTTCAAGTACAGCAAATGTCGGGAGACTAATCGTACTCTCACCTACACCGCGCGTACTCTTGCTCACGCACTCATATAGGCACAGACGAGCGCGTCGTTTTGAAAAAAAATGAAGAGGAAAAAATTATCATTAAAAACAAAATGATCCGATTGTTGGTCGCGCGGGTTCGAAAAATGCTCAAATCCACTGTTGATTTAGAACCTTCAAGGTCTCCTGTACTATGCTGCTACGCTATATCGTACGCCATCCATAGTAGTACTACTATAGCCGATAGCGTCGCCGCCTTCCGTTTCATAACACGTAACCAAACTGGTTTCCGACGTAGGCAACTGCTGTAGCACGAGTAAGTCGCGCATATTGCCAGTTCCTGCCTGCCCGTTTTCAGCCTCGTTCATGCCTGCGCGTGTTCGCTTGTAGTACAAATTCCCTCCCAACCAATCCATGAACGCCATTCAAATCCTATTGATGATGCCTATAGTACTCCGACGGTTGAAATAATTTCCATGATTAAAATGCTCAACAGCTGGCTTCTTAGAATCACGATACAGGCTGTAAAAAGAGAAATTCCGTCTAAAGGGCGGATATAGTATAAGAGTTTCATATGGTAATTCGGCGTCTTTTTCTTGAAGCTTTTCCTTTGTGTGCGGAATGCGATTAGCAACGATTGTTTGTAGCGTTTTTTGAAAACGGAAGAGCGAATTCGTATATGTAGATGTTAAAAGAAATATTTTTTTTCAAGTTTACTTGGATTGTCTTTGTAAAAAAATAACAACAGCAAAACTCTTACAATTTATTATCGCTATTTTAATTCTTCCCTGTCACAGATATATCAAATAAATAGGCTTATAATTAAACATTTTGAAATTCGCTTATTGAAACAGTTTTTAGATATTCAAATGATAACGTTATATCTCAAATTCTCTATACAGTCAACGTAATTTTAAGATGTATGGAAAGATGCTTTCTGAATTGAAAACATATATTTTGAAATATTTTGTAATTATCCAATCAATCAACATGTAACAAAGAATATTTACGCTTGTCTGAACAAGCTAAAGATAACCTAGACTTTCGAGGTATCTGTATTTCTGCGATCGTGGTGGTATATATGACTCATAATAACTACGTTTATAAATATTCTTGGAATGCAATAGCGAAAAAATAAATTTAGATTGTACCAACGGTAAATATTTTAACTGTATGCAAAGCATAAAATTTAGACATAATTTTTCGTATTTTCAAGTCTACCTTGTTAAATTTTATACAAAAAAATTTATTCCGTCTCTTCGACCGAAGGTAATGAGTCAACGTAATACCAGAAATATTACTACTCATATGGGGCTTTGAAAAAAAGTTCGAATGGATGTTTGTCGCTTGATCAGCTTGATAGCTTGTTCTCAATTTCTCCCGCGCGCAAATGCTCCATAATGTTAGGATTGCGACATTACGCCGCAGCTTCGGATGACGTCGCTGTCGTCGCTAGTGTATAGTACCGCACACAGCCAGTACAGTCACCACACCGCTGTCCGCAGTGTTCGTTATTATCCACGGCACATCGCATTGACGCGACGTTGGATCTAAGGCCCCGGGGGCCTATTCTGAAAAAAAATTTTAGCACGGGGCATATTCTGAAAAAAAATTTTAGCACATGTCATAAGCATTTATCACATCTAAAGTGATTAATTCTGTGGTAAACTGAAGTGACAAACTGATTTACCACAAAATTTTTTTTCAGAATAGGCCCCCCGGTCTCATAGCTACGTATGAATTCGGACGGATACGGACGCGAATCGCAACTCTAGTAACATCACTAAAAATATCTAGTTTGATTATTTAGTACCAACACTACCGGTAGTGAGCAAAAGTAACTTGTTTAAAACTGTAGCGCCGAACATACCACATTTAATGAACGCTTATCTAACCTTTACATTATTGCAGTCTATAAGATGGCAAATGATAGAGAATTGATAGACTTTCAACTATGTACAATGAGTGGAATTAGGCCTTAATTTTATGGAAGTACTTGAATATATGAGAAGAAGAAGAAAATATATATAAATGATATGTATTAATCATCCCAAAAGCTTTTTTTACATTAGCATACTCATCAATAAGCAATATTCATGAGAATTTGAAAAGTAAATTGTAGACCTGACATTTGAACATTAAATGTGATACGTTCGGCGCTACAGTTTTAAACAACAGTTACTTTTGCTGACTACCGGTAGTGTTGGTACTAAATAATCGAACTAGATATTTTTAGTGATGTTACTAGAGTTGCGATTGGCGTCCGTATCCGTCCGCATTCATACGTAGCTATGGGGCCGGGGTCTGATGACAATAGCTTATGTCTATATCTGGAATCTTAAGCCCTCGCCACATATGCGCATACGCGCGCGTACGAGGGCGTACAAACGCGTACAAATCGCTAAAAATGTTGATAGTGCCAACAACAGAAAGTTACTACTATTCCTCGCATGTCCCAAACGAACACACTTACTCCCGGAACAAACGTATCATAACCTTCGATAATATAGCGTTATGATACGTTTGTTCCGCGAGTAAGTGTGTTCGTTTGGGACATGCGAGGAATAGTAGTAACTTTCTGTTGTTGGCACTATCAACATTTTTAGCGATTTGTACGCGTTTGTACGCCCTCGTACGCCCGCGTATGCGCATATGTGGCGAGGGCCATTGAGATGCATAAATCTGGTTGGGCAGAGGCTCTATACTGCAACTTTTTTGTTAACCGCATAATTAGGAGTGTAATCGTACGTCTATAAATAGTTTGTTATTATAATTGAACATTGTTGAAACTGATCTATGAAATGTAATAAAGAATACGTATACATACATTCTGCCAATGATTTTTCGTCTGGGCAACGGGAATAAATTTTAAATTAAAAAAACTATGTAAATTTGTTAAGCACGCTCTTTTCTCTGTCATTTCCTTTCTATCGATAATGGACAAACATATAATTTATATTTTATTATTAAATTTCGTAACGAGTATTGACATTGATATTTGATATTTTTTATAATAAACATGTAAATACTTTAATTATCTAAAATCGTTGTTAAGAATCTATATTTATATGTATACACGCATATATATAAAAACATTTTCTAGCAAATTTTTGTAATTCGCGCCTTAGCATGACGCTACCGCGTGTTGGTGTTGCTGTCGGTATAAATATGTGCATATGTATATGCATTATGCTGTAAAAGTTCTGCCAATATAAAAACCTATTCTACTATATACTTCCATTTTCTATATACAGACCTCTTCGTCCAATAATAGATCAGTTTCATATGCATGTAAGGGCAGACTCATCCAAGCGTAAATACGCGCGGAAAGATGCTTTGTTTACGTTATTTATAATTTGTTAAATTTAACAGTATTTAATAAAAATTATGGTATGAATAAATTTTTTATTAATATTATAATTTATTTCGTTATAGCTATTACTTATTTACTTATTTTTCTAAGCTAAAATCCCTCTAACAATCTTAACCTCTATTCACTTTAGCCGTTTGATCAATATTCGAATGATAACATTTTGAAAATTTTAAAAATTGAATGTTTACAGAATAAAAATACTTTTCTGGAATATGTTCGCTATTTAATATGTTATTTTTCTTTTAGATTCGCTCACAAGCTCCAAGTAAAATTGGCAAACGTCCTTTACTTGGAGAAGTAAGCACCCAATTATCACAATTCTGCCGCCCGGACTCTGTGGAAAATAAATTATCCAATAAGGAAAATAAAAGGAGACGAATAGAAAAAACTGTATACATATCAGACTGCAAATTAAAGGCATTAACTGAAAATGATATTAATACTGTTCAAGATACAATATCAGATCATGTAAATTTATTTGTTTTCTTAGTTGTATTGAAGATGTAAATTTATTACTTTTATTTTCTATTTAATTGTAGGAAGAGAGAGTTAGAAAATTACTCAGTAAACCATTCAAAATTCCAATCCCTGGCTATGAATATTCTGGGCGAACTCTTGGTTTACACTTTGCTGGTCCTAGGAGGGCTCTTCATGATCCAGATGAACCTAATGCTCTTGTTGTATATACACCTCCGGAGATGACAGAGCATGAAAACTTAAAGATCGATGAGTGAGTAGTATGCATTGGTTGAAAAGCTAGTTAAACTGAAACATTAGCCTGTGATACACTTTAAAATGATTTTATTTTTTATAGAACAAAGAAACTTGTGCATGTAGTAGTTGATCCACTATTATGCAATATTTTAAGGCCTCATCAAAGAGAAGGTGTTAAATTCATGTACGAATGTGTCACTGGTAGAAGAATAGATAATGCAAATGGATGTATCATGGCTGATGAAATGGGTTTAGGTAAAACTCTGCAGTGTATAACTTTATTGTGGACATTACTAAAGCAAGGTCCAGAAGCTAAACCATTGATAGATAAAGCAATTGTTGTAGCTCCAAGTTCCTTAGTTAAAAATTGGTACAATGAAATTTTCAAATGGCTGCAAAATCGAGTTAAGCCTCTGGCAATAGATGGTGGCAGCAAAGCTGATATAGACAAAAAATTAATTGGATTTATGAAAACCTATGGTCGACGATGTACCAATCCCATCCTTATAATTAGTTATGAGACATTCAGATTACATGCTCATGTATTGCATCAGGATGAAGTAGGTTTAGTTTTGTGCGATGAAGGACATCGATTAAAAAATTCTGAAAATCAAACTTATCAAGCACTCATGGGTTTAAAAGCTAAGAGGAGAGTTCTATTGAGTGGAACTCCTATTCAGAATGACTTATTAGAATATTTCTCTCTAGTTCATTTTGTTAATGTAGGATTATTAGGTACAGCCCAGGTAAAGCAAAATTTTCATTATCATATTATGCATATAGAATTTATCGTAAAACTTCTTTCACAGGAATTTAGAAAAAAATTTGAAATTCCAATTCTTCGAGGACAAGATGCCGGCGCTACCGACAAAGAACGCCAACTAGCTCAAGAAAGATTAGAAGAGTTAGTGACAATTGTAAATAAATGTCTTATTAGACGTACCAGTGCCTTGCTATCAAAATACTTGCCTTTGAAGTATGAATTAGTAGTCTGCATAAAAATGACTGAACTGCAAACACAGCTTTACAAAAACTTCATTAAGAGTGATAGTATTAAAAGGTCAATGCAAGGTAAATATTAAAAAATTTTATTTTTTTAAGTTTAAATTACTTTTATTAAATATTCAATTACTATGCAATGCCTATTATTACAATTTAGACAAGGATGGTAATAATAAAAAAGGAGGACCTTTATCAGCTTTGGCTGCTATTACATCTCTCAAAAAATTGTGCAATCACCCTGACTTAGTTTATGACAAAATTCAAGAAAAGGCAGAAGGCTTTGAAGGAGCAGTTAAACTACTTCCTTCAAATTATAATACAAAGTACAAAGATATTTATGCTTCTTATACATTTAGTTTAAGTAATAATATTAATTTGTTTTTGTTTCTTTGTTTCTTTAGAGAAGTAATGCCAGAGTTATCTGGGAAACTTATGGTTCTTGATTGCTTATTGGCTCTTATAAAATCCACTACAACGGATAAAATAGTTTTAGTATCAAATTATACACAAACTCTCGATTTATTTGAAAAACTTTGTGCCAAGCGAAAGTATCGTTACGTTAGATTAGATGGAACTATGAGCATCAAAAAGCGAGGAAAAGTTGTAGAAAACTTTAATAATCCTGACAGCGGCGAGTTTATCTTTATGTTGAGTTCCAAGGCTGGTGGTTGCGGTTTGAATTTGATTGGTGCTAATCGTCTGGTAATGTTTGATCCCGACTGGAACCCCGCGAACGATGATCAAGCTATGGCTAGGGTTTGGAGAGATGGTCAAAAGAAGCCGTGCTTCGTTTATCGTTTCCTTTGTGTATGTATTACTTTATTAACATTTCAAATGTCTTATTATTGGTAAATACATAATGATTGTTATTTATTTATTTAGACTGGTACAATTGAAGAAAAAATTTTCCAAAGACAAGCGCACAAAAAAGCTCTAAGTTCTACTGTTGTAGATCAAGACGAAGACGTTGCTAGACATTTTACTGCAAATGATCTTAAAGATTTATTCAGTCTTGAAGAAGCAACAGTGTCTGACACGCATTCTAAGTAAATCCATTAATAGTTAATTTATTATAAAATGTAATTGATTGAGATAATAAAAAGATGTTTCTTTTATTCTAGATTTAAATGCAAGAGATGTATAAATGGAATAGAAGTAAAAGGCCCACCCGAAAATTCTGACTGTACATCCGATTTATCAGAATGGAGGCATTCACAAAATGCCAGACATTTACCAGATATACCCCTTAGGCAGTGCTGGTCTAGCGGAATCTCATTTGTATTTCATCACCGTTCTGCTGAAGTAGCCAAAACATGATTTTGTACGTTAAATGTCAGATGTGGTCGGCAAAATGTTCTGTGATCAATTAATATTTTAGTAATAGAAGAATTATAGATAAAAACGAATTAACTTTCCAATAAAATCAACTTCTAAAACTTAAGTAATTAATTTGGAAATAATTTACTTTAATAATACATCAAAGCATAACAACACTTATTCCATTTTTATATTTATTGAATAAAAATAATATTAAGTTTTCATTTGAGTACAAACTGTTTATAAATAGTTATAACGAAATTTTGTATCAACTTATTTGTATATACTATATTTGCATAGGTTCATATATTTATGTAATGAAAGTTTAGGCATTATTTATATTTACATGTTACTTGAATAGTAATTTTATTTTTTTGTATATAAAATTAGTACAATTAATTAATTTCCACTAAAAGAAACTAATGAATTGCAATAAAATACACATTCAAAATTAAATATTATTTGACTAAATCATACAGTATTTATTTCAATAAAAAATTTATCAAGAATATTGCTGAATTATTTATTTATAAATCATCATAAAAATTATCATTATTTATTTACAAATAATTGCATATATAAAAAATTTTGAAAGCATCAACTTAACGTTTTTATACTGATACCAGTAATGGTTTAATTTTTATTTAAAAATTCTCGAATATGAAGTAGGACACGAAAGTGCGTTCACCGAGTATTTTGCAACAAATCAATGCAAAAGAAAAGGATCGCGCTTATCGTTAGAGCAAGAAAGCGCGCGCACACAATTCTTGCACATGACGAAAATTACGTGCGCGGAAAGCAAAATCGGCGATTGGGAACGGAAGAAGGATAATTGTGCAGTCTTTCCACTACCTTATCAGTATCCATACAATGATTTTTTGCCAGAAAATCATTGAATGCCGGAATCATTTTTTCAGAAATAAAATCAGATTTTACATGACTTCCGATTAATTTGGTTTGGCAATGGAATTTCAATAATTAAAATTGAAGTTGAGTGTAATTGGAAAATCGCCGTAACGTGCAAGAAGGAAACTGAATGTGCATAAAGGATGTGACGTATTCGGTGCGCAATCCGATTGGCGGACGTTGTCTACAAACACCCCCCACCACTGGAAATAGGCGGAGTGAGTCAGTCGAGCCCGTCCACGTCGTTGCTGGCTGCGCAGCAGCCCGATCAGAACAGTTCCAGATGTGGCCATGTTTAGTTAAAACTTTGCTCAAGTTCTCGATATTCTCGTCATAAATTATCACAGCAACGTCGCAACGACAATACTCGCGCGAGACTCTCCCGGATCTCTCACTCAGAGCGCAATAAGCATTGTAATAACTGCTGCTACAACATCAACAGCAAACAACCAATTTTTCTTCTTTTTTTGCTTTTATATTCTCTCTCTTTCAATTTCTCTTCATTATCCGCGGCGCTGCCAATCACGGCCTCTCCCGCGTGTCTTCCATCTTTTTATTTCTTTCTCACGTAGTTTTCTCTCTCGCAGACACCCGACATTTTTGACTCATTTGTGAACGAGTCGATTACTTTCGCAGTTTTTTTTCCTAGCAAGCGCAACGCTCGGAAAATGAAAATCAATTGCTCTGTGGAAGAGTTACGGTACGACAACATACAGACACGCATACAACAGACTTGTTTCAAATCATACTAGCATCATCGGCCATGTTTCTATTTCTCGAGCAAATGCTCTCTTCGTTTCCTACACACACGCACACGCAGACACACAGACAAAATTCTCATTCGAACGTATTTTCTCAAGGAAGTTTCTTCGAGAGTAAGTTGATCATCATTTTCACTCTAGAGTGCAATGTGTAAGTGTGCCTAGCCTTGGATAACACACTTCCGTTATCTGCTGGCGTATACACAGCTGACGCTCTCACGTACATTCGTATACAAATACATACCCAATACGACAAACGAACGACGCTACGCTCACATACACTGTTGCGCGCGCAACGCGTCCGGAAGAGGGGAAGGGATACAAGACGACGAAAACTGATCGATCGATGCGCAGGTTATGATCGTCGCGGTGGACTTTGGTTTATATTCATGGAAGGGTATATAGATATATGCGTATAAGACATTTAGATATTAGGCTGAACACAAAAAGCAGACATCGTGTGAGTGATTTATAGTCTCCTCCGTGTACCCGTATGCAACAATTTTTGCGTACGCACACAATTTGGCAGCCATTGTTGGTAATTATGAGGCGACGGCTTATATGTCGAAAGAGAGCGAGAGAGAGAAAGAAAGAGAGCGCACCCGCGATGCTATGTGTTATGAGATACGGTAACGCACACGATAGGTCAAGTATATCGCTCATAAATGCAAAGTAGGTATATATATTAATGCACACATACATATCTAACATACAACACGACGCCTGGTCTATTTTAACTTTGTGAAAGGTATCATTAACATTTATCTTTTTTATTATTTGTTTTATTTTTCCTTTATAAGAAAAACAATTTGTTTCTCTTCTGGCTGAAATATGGTTCACTACTAGCCATCAGTGTAAAAAAATGAAAATGAGGACGAGAAATACGTTTCTCAATTTTTATTTAGAGTGAAAACGCTGCTAAATACCTTGCCTCTGTTCGGTGCACGGAAGCTTTAAGCAATGGCTTTCAGTTCGTCGCATGCGACAAAAATAGTTTCATCTAAATAAACATTGTTCTTTTCTACCGCGTAGAGATACGTGTATAACGTAGCGTTTTCGCTTCTAATTGCAATTTCGGAGCCAGCAAAAAAAAGGAAAATTCTTGGCAAGTTAGAAATGATTTACCAAGCAATAGTTTACGCACAAACAAGATAATTACGTTATCAGTAAATTGTCAATCACGAAGATTTTCTGTGCTTCAAGTAACTTAATTTTAAGATAATCTTCTCAATAAAAAATGCCAATACTGGAAAATCATTTTTGTAGCTAAAAATTTGTCTTTTTTTCTTGCTCCAGAATCGCAAAATGAAGGATAGATTCTCGAGTATATAAACGAAATAATTTATTTTTATGCTTTGTGACACTGAATTTTTACAGAAGCGAGTTGTAATTGCCATAATATATTTTCAAAGACAAGTTTTATTACTGTTAATTACCTAGAGAAATAACGTTTAAACTAATTTCGATAATGCTTTCATAGCAACTATTGCGATTCTATCAATGAAAACGCGAACGAAAAATATTCATTCCAAAACAGTGTATAACTTATGACGAGAGACTAAGAGCTTCGGTGGACATAACGAATGGTACTTTAAATCGATAAATCCAACGCCACACACACACACACACACACCCGCGCACACGCGCGCGCGAACTCACACGACACTAGACACGTCGCGTGCCGCACAAAGGCCATTCGGTGTTGCCTGTGTACGTGAGCACGCACAGCCGAACGCGCATGAGATCCGCTCATCTCTGTCAGCAGTACTGTCACGTATATATAGTAGCTAGGGGGAAAGAACTACTAAAGCTTTTCGCGAAAGAGAGAGAGAGAGAGAGAGCATATTTTTGCAAAAAAAGAAGAAGAAAAGGGGGAGAAAGAGAAGGAAATCAACAATATTTTTTGTTCAATTTCTGTGCAGAGAAAAATCAATGGAGAAGACACAATGACGCCAACGAGAGAGAGCACCTTTTCATAATCTCTAATTATACGTCATACAATATAACGTATCAAACACTCGGTTTATGCTTTACGAAGCACAATTATGGCCCTCGAAAGTGTTTCCGCGGTTGAGACCGCTATACAAAGGTTTGATCATCCATTCATATTTTTTTTCTATATTTTTCTTTTTTTTCTGTTTTTGTTCTTCAAGCAGTGCTGTAAAGTTTTTCCTAGAGGAAAACAGAAGAGTATTCGCATCCGGTTGACTATTATACGACAATGACGACGTTATATACATACATGACTAGGACTTTCGAGACGTGCTATTGTTGGATACTTATTCGATGGATCGTCGAAAGCTTATTGATCGCAATTTAGAAAATTCGTCATTGTCATGGACAGTTTGCAATAGTTGCAATCGTTGCATAAACGCAAGCGCGATGATTACGTCAACGGACTATCGGTGTAGTTTTCGCCAATTTTCTACTCCACGGAATGAAACGTTACGTAACACGCGTATAAATGCACGGTGAACATTGACTTTCACGAATATGTCTCGTTATTATCGGACTTGTTTCATAATAATAATCGTGATGGATGGGCAAGGTCATCCATGGAATGATTATAACACTGCTACTATTGTTCAAGTTTATTCCATGTATTCCATGGACGACCTTGCTCATCGACCACGATTATTATTATTATTATCATTATTATTATTATTATTATTATTATTATTATTATTATTATTATTATTATTATTATTATTATCATCATTATTGTTATTGTTATTATTATTGAATAATGGAAGGTGAAAAGTCTTATTTGGTCAAGTTTTGTTTGATTCTTTCGATAATGACAACGTGGACAGACTTAGCAGGCAAGATAAGATGTAAATAACTGCGTTATTTACACCTTGCCGAAGATAAATGCTCTTATTCACTGATTCTTTGGAGAAGGACAAGCTACGTATGCCTACTTTATATATGCCAAAAACAATGCAACGAGCTCTCGACGGTGATATCGAGTTGTGCTTTTTGATGATGATGATAAATATGGTGATGACTGATTTGTAACAATGCAAATAATGTGTCCCTGATCATGATATATGATGAAAACGAAAAATTTAAAATGAGCTGATGTTCGCACGCGATGACGATGAGCAGCAGCTATGAAAAGCTGTGAAAATGTATATGAACCACTTGCCCACTGGTAAGAAATAACTATGCTATTTTATTTTCTTATTTTAAGAACGTTATAATACGTCTATTTGCGTGTAAACTCGGTCAATGATTGCCGGCAGTGCAACTTATAGGATGGCCTTGCGTATTGGCTTAATTCTTAGCTTCTCACATAATGCTTATTTATTTATTTTTTCTTCTTATTTATCGGTCAGTTATGTGCGTCAATTCGGAGTGATATTGGTCTGTAAAGCGCGATTCATTCGAAAAAAAATGTACAAACCTTGACGTATGGCAAAGTTATAATGTCGATCACGGCTCAAAAAGGACATTATTGGAGCCGATAACTCGAAAATGATAATTGCGTATCAAAGGAGTGGCTACAAGTCGTGATTGCGAAAAAGCGAAAAGTGCTATTGATCGTCGTCGTAGCAAGTCGAGCAGTAGAGGAAAGTGCAACGGCAATCGATGTCTTTGCAGTGGCTAGTATTATAGACTTGTTTGGCATTTCACTTGACAGCCTTTGCTTCTAGTCTAGACTATAAGCACCATACTTGTTAAATAGCCAATTTCATTTGTGCAAATGCTTATAAGGCTTATAATGTAAGTTTAATGAGATATTATCGCGACAGAGCTCGGTGCACGTGTAGCTCGATCAATGTCGATATCATCTTATTGAGCCAGGCACATTTACGAATCCGAAGTCATTGATGAACATGCTGGATTAGTTAAACTACGTAAATAGTTACTGCGGAGTGAACGATCTCTTCTTTATACTATACTTTTTGCAATGTCATTATTTATATTTCAAGCTTGCACGAGTGAATATACAAATGCCAGTGCAGGTCATTAATTGAGATAAGAAAAAACCAGTTGATAAGATGCAGTAATGAATTTCTTTTGCACGATAACTATAAACTAAGAACAACTTGTCGAGCTTTCGACTGCAATAATAATGACAATCGCCAAATAAAATTTTTCTTTTCATTGGCGTATATTTACTGTCACGAAAAGCGTCGTTCGCATAGACAAATGACGCATTGTTCTATTTCTAGACGCAGTTTCTAATTGTAAGAGCGTGTAAAGTTACGAGACGATCATGAAATTTTCAATGAAAACTTGCCTAGTGCAAATAAGATTAATGCTCGTTCAATAAAAATCATAAATATGCTTTTGAAGAACTCAAAGCGTCAGTGCATCGTTTGGGATGTAAAACAAACTGTCACTTATCAAACGACCCCTTTTCACGGTTTTCACGCAGAAGCGAAGTAACAAACGAAACTTTAAATTGCCAGCGTTAGCTCGCATCACAATCACATCATCAAAAAGACGATAAGGAATACTCTTCTGTCGTCCTTTAATTAATCTAGTACGAAAAAAACATTCACTTATTGTCAAACACATTCGTGAAACACAGCAACGCCGACGACAATGACTTGGAAGATGGAGAGATACCATCGGATGAGGACGATGAGCCGGCACAGCCGCCGCCGATCCAACCAAACCGATTATCCCCGGAGCTAGCAGCCAAGGAAATTATCCCACTAAACAAGACTGAGTCGTCGCCAAAGCACAAGAGCTTCGACAAATTTGCCAAAAGCAAATCCAAATCACCCACCAGCGGCACCGACAGACTCAATCGTCAAAAGAGTGCTGCCAGTGACGACTTCGCCGGTGACGTGGAGAAAGCCATCAGAGCAGCTCTGGACGAGGACAGAGGGAAATATGAGAAAGCTCGAAATAAGAATGATAAGAGCAGCAAAGCTCGCAGTAGGAAAAGGTCGCATGACAAGGACGACGAACGAGCCAGAGATCAAAAGGTTCGTGGATGCGCGCTCGCTTTCTCGAGAGGACGGGGGACGGGGAGGGGGGGAGGGGGAGGGGGAGGCCCTTGAATAATTGGGCTGAATTATTGCAGAAAAAACGCACGAGCGACGATGAGAATGGGAACGAAGACGATGACGAGATGCTGTTCGTCAGAGGTGCATCGCCGGTCAGGAGAGGCTCGCACGAAAGTTCACCCGTTAGGCGAGATGACTGCTACAACAGCGGCTCGGATTACGACGACCGTAACATCTCTAATCGGCATAGAGATGATAGCAAGCGAGGTGGAGCACGATGTAAGTACTTTTTCTTCAATCGAGGCTTATTGCTCGGACGCACCTTCGTTGTACCTTCGTTGTATCTTCTGCGACAAGTACTGCTTTTCGTTTTCATTTCGACTCGACTACAATCGCGCCGCATCCTCCATTTTACAAGTTTTCAACACGACCGATCGGAGAATTTCATTGTCACAAAGCAGTTTGAGAGCATTCGTCATCTCGCGTCTAATGTCTAATCATCCGAAGCTCATCCGCACGCACACCAATAACAATCTCTCAAATTGTCTTCTAATCTGGCGATAAAATTTTCCCATAATCGAATAAACACAAGGGTCGCAAGATCGTAACAAACAACCTCCACTGTCAGTGGCAGCAGCTCGACGGAACGTCAAACAGAACGATCGCTTGGGTAACAAGGCTGGCATCAAGGCTCGTATGCAGTTGCGAGGCGAACGAAATAATCGTCGCAATCAGAATGATCACGCGTATCAGGATCCCGATGCTATCTGCGTGTACTACATGCAAGGCAAGTGTCACAGGGGCGACGACTGCCCGTTCTCCCATAATGCGCTACCACCCAGGAAGATGGAACTTTGTAAATTCTACCTGATGGACTGTTGCGCCAAGAGGGACAAGTGCCTCTACATGCACCACGATTTTCCATGTAAATTCTTTCACACTGGCTCGAAATGTGTCGCCGGTGAGAACTGTAAGTTCTCACATCAGCCCATGAGCGAGCAGGTGAGTTTTCTAATATCTTTTCAAGCGAACGTCGCTTCTTTTTTAACCATCTACGTGACTACTCCAATGTTTTCCTACGTGTATTTTTTAGGTGAAGAACATCTTGCTAAAACACTTAGAGACTGCTCCCAAAGAGATTTTAGGAAATTTCCCGCGACTGAGTAGAGAAGGCGCATTGCACATGATCAATATGACCGAAAAGCAGTTGACAGGTCACGATGCACCTAGAATTCCTAGTCTCTTTGACCTCAAAGTTTCAAATTCATTCGATACCACGCACATCAATGACCACGGAAATAACGAAAGTACGCCTGGCAAATTGGAGAATCCTAATCAAATAAAGTATTCATTCTAATTGGCTGTATTCAATTTTGCAGTGGACGATCATAAGCATACGCACAAAGATCGTAAGTCGTTAAAAAAGACACGATGGGGCTCGGATGACGACCGAGTGCCGCTTGACGTACTCAACAAGTTTGCTTTACTCGGCAAAGAGTCAAGCGGTACGGCGGTCAATTTTTACAACGAAAACGACTCGAAGGTAAAGGAGAGGGACGAGCGGGAACGTGAAGAGAGACCAAAGACGAAGGATTTGGCGAGTTTGAACGCCATTCCCAAAGACGTGGACTTGAGACAACTGTTGAGGCCAAAAACACCGAAAACTGTTAATGTTACGGATGAGGTGGCGAATTCGGCTATGGCAAAGATGGAAGAGGGAAACGATCGAGATGAGGATACTAGCTTGGTCATCGAGACGCCTACCGATGATGAAGATAAGAGTAAGATTTTTTTCCAATACTCTGCTGTTTCAAATCTTCTTAGATAGATTCTAATGGCATAATTTATTAAATACAGGTAAAACGAGAGTATCGCCAAGTCTGGGTAGTCAGATTATACCATCGAGCTTGTCAAAGAAAACACAAGAGCTATTTATGCGAATACAGCAGCAGCAGAAAGAACAAGAGGATAGTTTCAAAAATTTAGATAACAATGAGGATCAGCATGTGAACGAGGAAGACTGGTACTCGGATGATGATGACGATGATGATGATTATCAACTAACAATCGTCGATTTCGAGAAAGAGAAAGAAGAAGAGGAACAGAAATTGAAAACAGAAGAAGAACCATTGCAGCAGTCAGGTATTCCTCAACCCGCACCGTTCGTCGACTCCAAGCTTGGTGATTTGAGCAAAATTGATATCAGTATGGAGGTCTCGAAATTGCTGTCGTCAATAAAAGCACAAAGTAATCAGAAGCAAGAGAAAGAGGCATTGAAAACCAGACAAGAGTCTACTGAGATAGATACGAAACCCGAGTTGCCTTTAACGAACAGAGTCTTAGAAAGCGAACACTCCGATCCCAAAATGTCACCTTCTTCAAGTAAGCCATTGAAAATACTTGAAAATCATTGTCGAAGTTTTAAAAAATATGATAAACTCAATTTTATTTATTCTACAGATATATTGCAATCAACTACGGTATCTCGAGACCCGCGAATGAGCCGTGATCCACGTCAAAGAAGGGATGAACCTCGACAACCATTGCTTGGAGCTGCTACACCTGTCGCAAAAACTGATCCAAAAGACGCGCGTTCGATGCGACTAGAAATGAGTATCTACAGTTCTGGTATTATTGCCGAGGACGCAATAATGGACGTAGATTTAAGAGCGAAACTCGATCACGATCACCGACGCAAAGACATGGATCTTAGGTGTTTCCCTCCAGGGCAGTCATTCGGCGACACGGATTTGCGACTTGGAGTTGGAGGCTACAACGTCGATACACCCAAAGGTGGAGACGTAGATCTCAGAATGTTGAGTATGTCGTTCAAGCCTGTACCTTCACATGTACCGTGCACAGAACTCGAAGCGGGAATTACCTCGCATCCACCCATACCATATAAGGTAAATTCGCCTGCTCGCGTTCACACATATTTTGATCATTTTTTTATCAATGGATGAATGGGAATGCTGATGGGCATTTATTTAAATAACAGGTGTACGTGATTGATGTGCCAAGACCTGATTATACCGGTCTCAAGATATCGAAAAACGATCCCCAAGTGCAGTACGATCCGAGATTACGGAAAATACTGCGGATAAGCGACGTACCTGAATCGCCAATGTCGCCGCCACCTGTAAAAATGTTAGATACTCCAAAATCCCCACCACTGGTACGTACTGATCCGAGGCGTAAAGCTCTCGAGGCCGCCACTCAACCCAAAATCATACCTACGACAGTGCAACAGCATGCGGTTCAAGAGCATCCTAATATCGGTGGTAAGTTTTTATATACATATGACATTTTTCAATTATCGAATTTTTCTAATAAAAAACATTTTTTTATTAAGGTATGCCTATGGGAATGAGCTCTAGCTATATGCAAAATCCAACTGCTATACCAGTCCAATCAATAGGTTCATCCATGGGCCCACAGCCATTAATGGGTGCACCGATGCTGGGTGGCATGGGCCCGATGATGCGCGATGGTCCAGTACTGAGTCGTGAAATGCCAGTCATAGGTCGCGATGTACCAGTCATGGGTGGAAACGGTGGTAGTTCCATGGGTCCGCCTAATATGCGAATGGGTTCAAGAATGCAACAACATCCTGGTCCTCAAAGTCAAATGCGTGATTATGGTGATCCTCGGTATAACTCACGGGGAGAAAACAATGTTGGATTACTCGGTCCTGGGCCACAGCAAATGGGTGGTTACAGAGATGACCCGAGGTCGCAATTTGACGGACCACCCGGTCGATATCCCGTCGACAATTATGATAATTATGGGAATGGGCCAAATATGGGTCGAGGGGAATTGAGGATGGAAAGAGGTTTTAACGGAGGATTAGACGAGTCGAATTTCTCTGGAAACTCGGATTGGGGCGGAAATCAAGGTAGAATGAATAGAAAAGATAGGAGAAGAACTACTCGAGGGAAATTTGGTGGCTTACTGAAGCGAAAAGATTAAACGTAATGAAATAGGGGAAGAGATGTAATGAAAATTTATTTAAGGAGTTTTCCAGAAACGCATGATTCGTACAAACGATTCGTTGGAAGACGTTAACCAATGAGCTTAACGTTGTTACTATCGAAACTATACATCATTCTGTTAAAATCTAATAGTCTCATAAATTATTACCAAAACGTGGTGAATATTATTACGGTTCTTCGCGATGAAAGACCCGTGTATTCCAAAAGAAAGGAAAGTCCTTTACATACAGTAACGCAAGCGATTGTTTAAAAGATTGCGTATATTCAAACTAGTAATTAAATAAATTTAAAAAAAAGAAAATAGTTTGATTAACTTGCGAAGTCGTTTTTGATAACGTACAATAATTGTGGGTCTTGCCCAATTTTTGTTTAAACGAATATTTATTGTACATAAACGAGGTACGAAAGTTTCGAGATTGTAGGTGTTACATTATCGAGAACCAATGTGGCCGTTCCGATTGAACACATTAGAATGTAAAAAGCTCGCCGAATAAACTTTTTATTCTACTTGCTCGAAGTTTATTTTTCTTACGTCTTCCGTGTACATAATTCATACGCGATACGTTATGTACATAATATGTATACACAATTATTATAATTGTATAGGGTTCGCTCTAACCCTTACATGGTTATATTTGTCTACTTTTAATGAACTCTGATTTTATAAGATATTAAAATATATTACTCAAATTTGTCTTTTCATTTTATTATCCTTATTTATCAAATGTTTTGACTGGGAATTTTATAAGAAAGATTCTATGGTACTGTCTCTTAATAATTTACTTTAATTATTTTCTATATAAAAATTAATTATAAAATGAAGATTAATTTTAGACACGAAAGTTTTTTCTATACGATATAAAATTAGCACTTAGAATATAACTATTTACAATAATGCATTTTGTTATTGAATTGTTATTAGCAATTATCATTGGTAATTTTTAAATGCATTCTTTATAAAAGTAATCTAAAGTTTTACTAATGAATTACTGAACTTAATGGTTCTGCTCTTATAACTGATAAATCTAAGCGTGCATCCATTTCATCATCTAGCTCTCCTACAACGGCCCTGAAAAAATTTTACTGGTTGAACATTAAATTAACATAAATAAACAACTAAAATTTTACATCATTTGACTGAACCACATCAAAACAAATCTAATGAATTAGAAACCCAAATTTAGCTAATTACTTAAAAATGAGAATAAATTGGAAAACACTACGATTATATTACAACTACATTGTTACAGATACATATTTAACAATTCAACTAGCTCCTAAACTAATTGAATATTAGAAATTGATGCATACACATTGTCCCCTCTGATGATATGTAGACCCAAAACTACTTGCTCCACACCTTGTGTGGTACTGTAAACTCTTTCATGGGATTCATCCAAAATCAAATTGATAGTATGATCGAAACCTTTCAAAGTTCCCTAAAAGACATGATTATTTTCTTAGAACCTTGTATTATTATAATAATAAAGCAAATTTGCTTAAAATTAACCAAAAATTACTTACGATGAAATTACGCCCGTCACATGTGATGATGGAAACAGTATCTTAAATTAATTAGGTTAAGAAAATATTGTAGATAATATATTTGAACAAGTTTTACTAACTTTATTAATATAATTTTTAAAAGGATACGATTAACATAGCTTTCTAATCCAGTTGCCATCTTAAATAAATAAGTATTGTTTGAAGTCAACAACAACAAAAATAAGCCGCTAAAACTTTAAGGTTATAAAATATAAATAGAACTGCAGTAAGAGTATTAGAAGGTATTAGTGACAAGCGATAGTATTCAAAAAGTCATTTTAGAAACAGCCTAAATTAAAATTTACTATTATTTTTTTTGCAGTGATTGCAAAAAAGTATGGAACTAATATAAACGCAAATATTGAAAAGTGTTGTTAATTATTTCATTATACAGTTTAATGATAAATCTTTTTAAAACATAATTTCAAATGAGTCACACAGGTAAGTTTACTTAGAAAATGATGACTATTTATGACATCCCTTATATTTTCAAATAATGGAAAAGATATTACTAACGTAATTTATATTAATTTTTAATAAAATAAAATAAATTGTAAATGGCGTTGATTAGTATTAATTTACACTAATGGGATTTGTTTAACAATTTTTTTTCGACGTCATCTTTCTCATGTGTGACGTCCGTTTGTCCACTGAAACAGTCCTTACTTTAAGCAAAATAAAACAAAAATATTCTCTCTCTCTCTCTCTCTCCCTCACTCTCCTTCTCCCTCTCCCCCTCCCCCTCCCACTCCATCGCTCTCACTCTCTCTCTCTTTCTCTCTCTCTCTGCAACTTATTCAAGTATTCAATTTTTACGGATTACAATGTAAAAAGGTACTCACATTGCTATACAACTTTTACATAGTATATTAATATTTGAATAAATATAGGTTTTTGATTATCTTTATTTTTAAATCACGCTGTCATCAGTAGAGGAGAAAATATTACGAAGCATTACACTTGAGAAGAGATAATGCAAAAAGAATTGTGCGTACTAATTTTATTTTTCGCAATTAATTATATAACATTTGTATAAAATTATGACGTTTAATCATTTCTATAAAGAATCATGTATGATGTAGCTATACTTATATTTTCAGTTTTATTATCTACATATACAACATGCAGTTTTGAAAGGTTTAGAAATAGTTTATATTCATTAATGCTCCATTGAATGAATACATTAGTACCAGTGATAGATCAATTTAATACAATTAATTCAATCATTGTTGAAAAGAATGGTTTCAACTTGGTATTATCTTATTTTGCCAATTGTATTGATCGCTGGAATTTTACGAAAATCTAGAGAATATGCTTGGGGAAAATGTAAGAATAAAAGCAATTTAGAAGGACGTGTTTTTATTGTTACGGGTGCTAATTCTGGAATTGGTAAAGAAATAGTGAAAGAGTTGGCTAAACGAAAAGCTACTGTGGTACTTGCTTGTCGAAACTTGCAAGCTGCCAAAGATACTGTTCAAGAAATATGTAAAAATGCACCGAATGCACAACTGGTATATTATCTTTCCAAAAATTTTCAAATAAGCCCAATGACTATCATTATTTATTATACAAATTTTTACAGATAAAAATATCCTTACACATATGCTTTTAGGTTCCAATGGAACTTGATCTTGCTTCATTTGTGTCAATTAAAAGCTTTGCAGCACAAGTCTTGAAACAATATCCAGAGATACATGTTTTGATTAATAATGCTGGTGTGTATGTACCTTTACAAAATCGAGATAAAGATTTAACCAAAGAAGGATTTGAAATACACTTTGGAGTTAATCATTTGGGACATTTTTTACTAACAAATTTATTACTTGATAGATTGAAAGAAAGCACTCCAAGCAGGTAACATTTTTAAGAATATTTTCTAATTTTTATTTTTCAATTCTTTTAGGAGTTTTCTCAATTTTTAGTCTAATGAAAAACAATACTTTTTTAATTATTTTAGAGTTGTTGTAGTTACATCAAAACTTTTGGAATCTGGAGTTATTGATTTTGCAAATTTGAATGGTGAAAAAAGATTACCGGTGAAAGGAGGAATGAACCCTGGATATTGCAATTCCAAATTGGCAAATGCTTATTTTGCTGCTGAACTTGCAAGAAGAGCTGAACAAACTGGTGTATCTGTATACATGGTTTGTCCTGGATTTACTTACACCAGCCTTTTTAGACACGTGAAGAGAAGTTGGTTCCACTATATTATCTTTTCTCCAGTTGCTTTACTTTATTTACGTACAGCAAATCAAGTAATACAATTTAATTGATAAAAGTACATTTTGATATTTTAAAATAAATCTCATAATATGATTTTCCACCAGGGTGCACAAACTATTCTACATTGTGCTACTGATCCTACTCTATCAAATGAAACTGGTAAAATGTATCGTGACTGCAAAGTTTATACTTCCAAGAAAACTTTTGATCCAGAAACAGCAAGTAAACTTTGGGAAGTAAGTGTCAAATTTACAGGTCTACAGGAAACTTTTTTGTAATTTAATTTTAATTGAAGTGATTATGTAGCAAATAAGTTTTTTAATTTAAGTAGAATTCTATTTAATGTTGCATTAAGCAATAAGGAGGAAAGTGACCATTAATATTTAATCTATAAGGCTGTTAATGAATAATATAAAAGTTTGAAGTAGTTTTATTTATTAGTGAAGATCTTTGAAAATCTTATTTGTTAGAAGTGATAACGATAACTATTATATATATATATAATAGTTCAAATGAGATAGGTACAAAAGATTCGTCTAGATAAAATTTATTTTGCCAAACGTAAAAAATATATTCTCTCACATGGTAGAGTTTATAATTTTCCAAAAATTAATATGCTATATAGGTGATATTTAATATTAGTTTTAATTAAAAAAATAGTGCCATGAATACATTTAGAAAATAAGAAAACTCAATCAATTTATCGTAATAATATAGTTTCACCTAATCCGAGTTTTCAAAATACCTCTAATTATAATAAATGAAATTGCATTATATTGAATTAGTGTGCACAAAAACATAGAAGTTAGTAAAAGATTGAAAATAATAATCAAAGACTTTTTATGTTTAATTGTATGTTTAATAAAACATATGATTATTGATTTATTTTTTATTAGAATGTTTCATAGAAATTCTGCGATATTTTATATATAGATAATCTTGAAAGAGCCTATTGTACTTTTTACATTAAAATACAGTATATACATTTGGATTAATTTTAATAAATAAATAAAATTTTCATAAATAGTTACAGTTTAAGTTTTTTTTTACATATAATGATATTTACAAAACATTGATATTTAAAATTACTTCAGGTTTAAAAATAATTCTGAATAAAATCATTTAAAACGATATAGCTATTATTTTCATTCTATAGACGTGGCCTCATTACCTTGAAACTAGTAGTCTTATTTGCTAAGGCTTCCGTCCGTGCATAAACATTTTCTGAACTCCGTCTTATAGAATCCATATACTCAGTTGATGACGTGAAGTCAATAGATTTTATTTTATTTTGTATTTCGCATTCACTTTCATCTATTTCGCTTTCTAACTGCAAAAATATATACATAATTAAATAAATTTCTATTGAACTTTATTGAAAATAAAAATTAGACTCTTATGCATATTGAAACGTTTAGTATTTTCTCTGATAGCAATAACTTCAATATTTACCAATGAATCACAGTCATAATCATTCAAAAATTCTCTGGAAAGATCTTGAGATGTAGCATTACTTGTAATAGCTTCTTGAGCTGTTGTCTGATCTTGCCTGAAAAGATTCTGCTGTCAGACTGGAATGATGAGAAATAAAAAATGAAACTAAAATAGAAATAAAATAATACAAATAATAACAAAGAGTTATTGTACTTTTTCAATATTATGATACGTGTAAAATTGAAATAATATGCAGAAAAATATTGACATTGTAAAATGTAATAAAGAATGATTTTTTAAATTTAAACCCTTTTATGTAAGAATACCTTATTTCTGTATCACATTTAACTGTCTTTCCTTTTTGTAAGTTTAGACTATCGCCTAAGCTATCATTTAAATTTAGTTTTACACTATCACTTTTTTCTGTTTCAAGTAAGGAATGACTTATAACGGCCCTACGATCTAGACGTAGCCTCTGAACACATAACTCTTTTGACCCCTCTGCCGTAGGATATTCTTTAGATTGTTCTGTTTCAGTATTTTGATGGACAGAAACATTTTTAACATTATCACATTTTTTATTTTCTTGATTCATATGCACACCATTGTCGTCGTTTTTAATCGATGAGTTACCATTAGAACTATCTTCACCATCGGCCATACTACTACTTAGAGCCATTTCACAACTACTGATAGAATTAGAGCTTCTCTGTCGGAAATTTGCTGGATTTTCTGCCTCATCTGAATTACATTTCAACTTTGATACCGACATTGGCACCATTATTTCAATATCACTTTCTACCAAAGTATCATTATTCTTGGCATGATCATCATTGCAGTTTACGTTATTTTTGTTAGATATATCTTTCGTTTTACTAAAAAGAGTTTCGTTCAAAGTTTCATTGCTATTCATTTCACAGGATCTCTGAGGCAGAGCTAACGTTGTATCATCGATTGCACATTCTTCAGATTTACAAATTCGTTTTGCTTGAACATTCAAAAATCGTGATTGCATCATAGGTTGATTCAATCCTTGATCAAGAGAAGCCCCAAGCAAAGTCTTTGTGCCTTTGAACTGACTTATTGATCGAGTCGTTCTGTGACTTCTTTCAACAATTTTGTGTAGTGGTGGTGTAAGAGCCAGATTGCTTCTATTATTAATTATATCCACATCTAATGATGAGCCTGATAAAGTTCTTTTTGAATTATCGAGACTGTTGACAAAAAAAAAGTATATTAGATAAATTACGGAAACTGAAGTCTTTATAGTAAAGTAATTACTTACGTATGACTTGGTTTTATATTAATTAAACTGGCGATATTTGGTAACGTAGCTCGCAAATCGGTCGTAGGTAAACCGCAGTACCACTTCAGCTGCGCTATATTTTTATTTAACAAATATACAGCATAGTGAAACTGTAATTTATCTTTACTTCGGACAAAAAGAGGAAATCTAAAATATAATCTCTTTAGTAAAATATTCGAAAAACATAATAACTATAATGAATATATCTTACTGCCTGTCAGAGTCTGAAAGATTTTGTGTTATATGATCAACAATTTTACTGCGGGAACCATAATGTACAATAGGATATCTAGTAGGAACATTCAAAAAATTAGCTATCATTTGAGTCGTGTGAGCAACAAAACCAAGAGCAACTGCTACTTGAGTATCATTGGTTGAGTCTAAATTTTCACTATCTGGTAAATGTATATCATTGATAAGATATTTATCGTCTTTTTCCTGAAGGACAAAGAAAATTGAATGATTATTTTTTTACTTGAAATAGTATATTAAATATTTATTATATATTAGATATTTTCAAGTGTTATATTTACTTTTACAATAGGATAGATGTAGCTTAATTCAGAAATAAGCTGTCTGCGGCGATAAGCAAGATGAGCCGTTGTTTGAACGTAAGCCTCTCTAGAATCTATATGATTTTGTCGCCACTCGTTTAATCTCTCGATCTCTTTGTGCAGTTCTTGATATCTATCCATCAAATCAGAGCCTGTTAATAAAAAAATTAATTTAACCATAAAGAAAAGAACTGAATTAATTGAAAAGTTTATAAACTTTAAGAATAATGTACAAAACATTGCTACTACCGCGATCTTGATTCTCTTCCATCAAGTCAGAATGAAATTGATTCAATGTTCTGATTTCACTCATCTTTCGTAATCTTTCTTGTTCTAGTAACTTTGTTCTAAACTTGGCAATTTCAAGATCCTTGCGAATTTTTAAAATTTCAGCCTTCTTTTCTCTGTTTAGCTTCTTTGGTTGTAATAGCCTATTGAGCGATGATTGTGGATATTTTGGTACAGATATGCTTTCCCCTGATGCTATCTTTTCTCTCAAATTTCGTACAGAATCAGTTTGTTGTTTTAAAGCTTGCATTTTACTTCTCAAGCTACTTAATTTACTGACTGCATAGCTGTCTCTAACTTCGGATGCACTGATATTCATTACAAGATACCTTTTTGATTCAGGTGGTAGAAGAAGACAGAAAGGTGGTGTATAATATCCACCATGTAAATAAAAAATTAGTGAATTATCATGGAGCATAGTTGATAAATCAGCAGGTAATCTGGGCCCAATATAAGATAAGCCGGTAAATGATATACCCCATGTGAATAATGTGAGGTCTGACAATGGATCATCTTTTTTGGTTCTTTTCCACAGCCTTAATATTATCTCTGAATAGAAAGTAAAGCAATCAATATTTATTAAAAATATATCAATTAAAATATTTATCTTGTATAACTGCATATGTACCATTAGCACTGGAGTGTCCTGTACCATGCAAAGTAGGCACTTCAAGGCTTGACCATCTTGGACTTGTATTGTCAATTGGTTCACTTGTGTAAAGAGGAGATGACATACTTGTCCTATGTATGGTATAATAAAACCAACAACTATCATGTTTTTGGTCTCCATTTATTTTCAATTTATAGCCAATAATTTGGATTAAACTCCTCAAGCGAAGCTGAAAAATATTTGTCAATCAAATATTGCAAAACAGTACTACAAAAAGTACTCCTAAAAAATGTTATTCAAGGTAAATAGATTGATTTTATTATGTGAAATTTGTTTAATTTAAAAAATATTTAATACGTAATGTTAATTGATATAATTTTCGCGGGGTGTAGTGCAAATTCAATAATCAATAAAACAAACACACAAAGAGTGACATAAGCACTCATTCACCTGTTGTGTAGCAAGAAGCAGCCAAGTTTTGTATCTCGGAGCAGTACGTGGCTGCAACGTGAGATCCAATTCCTTAACGCAGCATCGCATCTCCGTCTGATCCATGATTATGGTACATTATTTTCACCTCGAAAGCAATAATTTGGCTTCTCTTGAAACTTAAAACAAATTAGTCCGACCAAACTTTTATTATAGGTTTATCATTTTGATCATTTAAGCGAGGTTATGGAGGCACGCACGATTGTCATGCAAGATTCTGCTATTAAGGATTTTTCCCAAGGTCTTCGCTTTAACTACGTTTTTGAAGTTTTCTCGCAATCATTGAAGTGAGAAAGACCCATGACTGTTTTTCAATTGAGTCGAAGTTGAACTTGAATCTTGCACTGTCACTGTCACTGTCTTATTTAAGCCCCGAATAAAATGTGATTATGTATACAAATCAATTAAGTAAAACATGCACGCACACTATATAATTCAAAAACGAAGTTGAAAAAAAACCATTCAGAAGAGATAGTACACTTTTACTTTTATTAGCGCGATGAAAAACACGTCGAGCAAGCGTGAGATTGACAGGCTGATAGAAATTGCTGCTGCTGCAGAAGACACAATGCGCGAGCTATATGTTATTTTAGATGTCTGGAGGAGGGGGAGCGAAAAAAAAACTCATCGATGAGAGAGAGAGAGAGAGAGAGAGAGAGAGCCGGTGTGACCGTACACAAATTACGTACATTTTTGTTATAAATTCTTTATCACTCAATAAAAAGAGGCGTAATTTTCCTGCATAATTTTCTCTCTTGGGAATAAGCTAATTCAAGATAACATTCGATCATTGAAAACGCTTATCAAGCAGACTTTATACGTTGGGAGCGTAAATCTTTCGTAGTATGACATGTTTAATATAATAATTAAAGTGGTACCGTTGGAAAGGTTGCATCTAGAGGCCTGCAATTATTGCACTAAGCTAGGTGCACATTTTTCTCGTGAAATAACGTGGGATCCAAATAGATACGTCCTTTTCAATGGTAACGCTGTACATATGGCTTCATAGTTTTATGAAGCATCAGATTTTACAAATTACAAGGACGATTGCAAGAACATCATTTACAGAATACTAAATAATAACTTTGAAGTACTAAAAACGTATTGCATTTCACACTTTGTACATATATTATTTAAAGTTTTACATCTGATGTTATTTTATCTTGTTGAAAATCAATCTATTTCAAAATCAAAGTATTAGTGCTATATATAAAGCAGCGTTTTATTGAAAAGTTAATTTTTTTCCACTGATTGATATTGCTTTGTTAATTTTATATTTATAAGAATTTACATTTTCATTGTCAACAGAGAAAAAATTAAATATTATTCAAAAAAAAAATAAATAATCGAAGTAGAACTATTGAAAGAAATTTAATATCGATACAATAAATCAAAATATCTCCTAACTAGCAGAAACATTGCATTTAAATATTTTCAAATAAACAGTTGAAAAGTACTGCGTAATTTACAGGCATAGATACATCGATACATGTGAAGGTAAACGCATGAAACTCGACACGGCATTCGTCTCAATATGAGTCATGATTTATGAGGCATTCCCGCCGGCGCCGGTGGGTTGGCGGCTTGGCGCGCTTCTATTCTGTTCTGTTTCTGATGTGATACCGCTTGATGGCGTTGGACATCACCGACGCATACGGATTGGCGCGCTTGTTGTGTATACACGTCACGTATATGCTGCTGTGGGTGAGTGTCAGGCGTCAGCGCTGGTGAATGTGCGAATTTCGGCAGCGTTCTGTATCGACCGAGCAAACAATAAACATAAACAATCTTGTACACCGTTTTATTATTGTTCGTGGTCAGATGGTCTTCTCAACGAAATGACTTAAAATACATAGAATAAGGTAGAGACGGAAAAAATAAGCTCGGAAGTCGAATTTTTCGAGTTATTCCAGCAAGCTAAGTGCAAGCGGCAACCTAAAGCGACATAGTCAAGACAGAGCGGCAGACCGCGCATCTGCGTCCTTTTTGGCGCTTGGTTTCCGCCGCTGCCTATGTCACCGTAGAGAGAGAGAAATACACAGCCTCGGAAGAGAGAGGCCATTTTGCTGTCCGTTGATAAGTCCGCGAAGTGGAGTATTAGCATACCGACCGATTTTCAATCCGTACTTCGGCTTTCGAATGTGCGAAAAGTACGTAAATTAAAAGTGTTGATAAGCCCATAATCGCCGACGGTGAGTTTTTCCGCGATTGTTAACTCAACAATTTTTGTCGAGCTGCCAAATTCTCATCAAGCGCCGTGGTTAGGTTACTTTGGCGGCTCACTACTCTCACTTCTACTGGTCCACGCCTAAGCGTATTCCAGATTGCTTTTTGAATTTGCACTTGCTCCTTTGTAAATCATAAATTAATCATTTTATATTTTTAACATTCAAAAATATATTTTTTATTATTTAGTTGGCTGATTTAGAACAATAGCCTTCGAACACGTTTAAAATAAATAAATAATTCTTATAAATAAAATAAATTCAGTTATTTATCATATTAAAAGTCTTAATTCAAAAAATACTAAAATAGATTGATGCTGGTATACCAATTATTGTTTAAATCCCAGTTAAAGTCTTGGTTCGATGAATAGACAAAGGAAATGATAAGTTAATTTAATTTTTGATTTTTCAAGGCTACATAGTTTTTATTTATATTTTATGAATATAAATAAAATATAATCCTTTATTTGATATATTTAAATTCGTGATAGAGGAAAATTCAATCTATTATTACTTAAGTTTGATCACAAGAACATGCAAGATCATAAGGCGTAATTAAAAAAGTGTAATAGTTTTGTTACCCGAAGAAAACTTCAAAATTTAAAGACAATAAATATGGATGTTGATACCCATGTGACTGAGATATTAGAACAAGCTGACGAAGGACAAGAAATTATATTAGAGCCTGAAGGACAATATGAGGAAGATGAAGAAGGCGAAGTTGAAGAGATTGTAGAAATCATAGAAGAAATTGAAGAAGTAGAAGATGAAATTGAAGAAGAAGTTCATGAGGCAGAACAAGTGGAACATGTTGTTGTAGAAGAAGCTGTTCATGCCGAAGAAAGGGAACAAGTATCTACAAACCATTTAGTTAATCATGGAGATGTTAGTATACATGTTTTATCGAATAAATATAAGGAATATTTCAATTTTTGTATTATCTTTTAATATTGTATTTATAGGATATCTCATACATATCTCAAAAACAACAACCCACCCCTAGTAGTGAAACAAATAATATTCAAATTTGCTACGATGCTTCAGCTGATTGGGAGGATGAAGAGCCTAATAATGCAGTGGAGCCCAGTACAAGTGATGGACAATATAATACATACATTACTTATAACAATGGTGTGAACGATGAAGGTAATCCTGGATCTGAGGAAAGAAATCAAATAAATTATGAAGATTGTGTACCTAAAGAAACTAGTGTAGAGGATGAAAATAGTCAACATGAAATAATTCAAAATGAGGAAAACAATTTAATTTACACTGTATTAGGAACTAAAAAACCAAGAGTAAATCAAGAAAATGCACAAGTAGAATTTGTTGAGGTATATATATTCTTATTCAACAAACCACTTTTTATGTAATCTGTCAACTTGCATTTTTCACTAAACACTGAAAATTGTTCAAAATTTTTAGGTTCAACGATTTGCAGAAGAAAATTTACCAGAAGATGGAACTATTTACTATGCAGTAAATGAAGGAGATGGAACATACGTACAAGCAGTTACAGAAGATGGGCAACAGTATCATTATGCTAATGAAGAATCGATGGAGCAAGATAATCAAGAATGGGAAGTATCCAATCAAAATACTCTTGAGGAGCAACAGCAGCAACAACAAGAAGAACAGCAGGTTTGCAAAGATTAAAATGTTATGTTAATACGATAGAACACTGCTAGATGTATATTATTGTGATACTATTATTGTTGGATAGGGAGAGCAAGAACAAATATTTTTGCATGAAGACGAAGATGGTCAACTGTATTTTAAAAACGATCAAGGACAACTTCAGCCAGTATATTTAACACCTGATGGAAATTATGCTATTGCAGAAAATAGCAGTGATGAACAGGACAGTCAAGAAGCTACAAGCCAAGTACAAGAGGAACATATGGAATCAGATAATTATGTTCTTCCTGATTTAGATACAAAACCATATAGTCCTAAGAAGGTAAGATAAAAATTTCTACTGAAATTTTGTACAAATACACAAGTGCTTATTCTATTCAAATTATTTGTAGCGCGCAAAAGATCATTCTCAAGATGATAATGATGATACTGTGACAATATCATTGATTATATCAGAAGATGAGCATGGACAAAAAAGAACACAAGTCATTATACCGACTCCAGCAGAAGCCAAATGTGATATTTGTAACAAATCATTTAAAACTTCCTTGCAATTGCTAAAGCATAATAGATTAAAACATGCTAGAGAAGAGGATATTACAACTCGTAATTTCCCGTGCGATTTATGTCCTAAAAGGTATTTATTTTGCCTAACTTATCGTGTTGTGTAATTTTTAAAAGTATAAAACAATAACAATTAAATAAAAATTATTTACAGATTTTCTGATCAAAATTCGTTAGCACGTCATCGTAAAATTCACATGGGAGATAGACCATTCCAATGTCTAGAATGTCATAAAACGTTCCCTACAGCTAATATACTAAGGAAACATTTATCAATGCATAATCCAGATTCCCATCCATTACCTTGCATTTATTGTGGGCGAAGATTTTCTGACAAAATCAGCTTGATGAAACATGAGCAATCACATTTAGCCGGAGAAAAGAAAACTCATGTTTGTGATATTTGTCAAAAATGCTTTTCAAATCCAACCGACTTGAATATCCATAAAAAAAATCATGATCCAGACAGGAAATTTGATTGCGAAGTCTGCGGACGAGAATTCAATCGATTGAACAATTTACAACGCCATATGATGGTTCATCAGCAGGTAAAATTACAACTCTATGATTCCATTGTTAATATTTATAGTACACAAAATTTTATTTACAATTCAACTATAATAATAATAATAATAATAATAATAATAATAATAATAATAATTGATGTTAAATTATAAGGTCAATAATATTTATTTATAAATTATTATCCAACTGTTATTAAAGAAGCAACAACAACAAGGACCAGGAGGAAGCGAGGAAATCTTATCTTGTAATGTTTGTGGAATCACGTACAAATTTTCAAGCTCCTTGACTAGACACATGGTCACAACGCATATGAATCCTGAAAAGCTTCGTCAAGAAGCCGAAGAACAGAGGAGAAAACGTGAAAACAATTATAGGCGCTATTTAGAAAACCGAAAAACGTACGAAATGCAACAACCAAAGCGCCCCTATCACCGATCTAGAATGTTAGACGACGAAGATGATGAAGCCGATTGATTCTACTGAAATTTTGGCATTAATGACAGTTTGCGATAGTCCACAGTTATTAAAAAAATATATAAATTGACTATGGATACATATTTTCTCATTGAATATTCAACTTTCGAGAGAACTTGGACATTTCTTTGCATATTTAAACTTTTATTATTCGGAGCGTAGATATACTGATAATTATTGAATGTAAAATCTTATCTCTTAAAATAACTTTTGAAGGTATTTATAAAATAGTACATTACGATACTAGTGCGAGAAAGAAATTTTATCTTGGTGTGAATATTTGTGCCCGAACGAATCGAAGGTGAAGAGGCTACACAAAAGTAAAATCACTTTTTCGTACGTATTTAACTTTATTTTTCGATACAACATACGTGAGACAAGAGTTTAAGCATGCTCGATTTCTTGAGCATGTTTAAAGTGGAGTCCTCGCGCACAGAGTCTCGAAAAAGTATATAAGACTCTTATTAGATTTGTATTCTGAATACGAAGTTTATAAAAGTGAAATGAAACTTGTTTTGTTGAATTAAATGTGACTTTGCTTGTATAAAAAAAAGGAATTATTTTTAATGGCGTGGATTTCGCCAAATGTATGAATGTTGAAATTATGTATAATAATATTCTTTAATCATTGACGGCACGATGTATGTGTTGCATATGTGTATTATTTGCATAATGTTTCCAGAAATTTGTAATACGCGTACTTTATGTCATATTCCATGTCATACCAATAGTTTATGGCAATACAGGCGTGTGATTGCTTTACATGATGAAACCATAATGAAGGCAAATAAAGAACGTCACCTTTATCGACTTTGACTTGAATTTTCGTTGCATTTTTATATCTTGGATACCTAAAAATAATCATTGTTAAAAAATTTTTGACATCATTAGTTTGTTATTTATATAGTTAATTAATATACTTTTTATAATTAGGATTCAAAGGATCAATGGAAATCCATGGTACAGAATTCACAAAGTCTTCTTCACAGAGTAGTTCATTTGTATTTGAATTGTCTGTAGTAGTAAATGCACTTTTCACTAGTTTTGTAATCCACTTTTTTGGTTTTACTTCTTTGTAAGTAGCAATTGGGTACTTGTTGTATGGTATCCAAGGTAAATCTGTTGGTGGATGTAAAATGAATTCTTTTGTTCCCGAAATAACACAATAAATATTTTCATATGGATCTTTGTGCACTAAAAATATAACATTTTTTATATTCTTTCTTATAGTAACAAATAAAAAAAGGATTGTTGCAATTAAATTTAAAAGCAATTAAATAACATTTACTTGAACTTATTGCCCTGTGATCACCCATCCAAAAATTTACAGCATCTGGCTTTGACCCAAATGCTTCTGATGCCCAAGATATGTCACTATCAATATCTCTCCAAAGTTCAGAATATTCTTCAAAATTAGAATTCTGTTTTTGAATATAAAAAATACTATCATCACAAGGTTTTTCTAACGTTTCTAAAAAAGCATTCATGGTCATACGTCTTTCTTCTGGCATTACAAAAAACTCTTTATCACTAGTACCAAATAAGGTTTTTTCTTTTGCTATAGCATCTGCATAGCCATTTGGTGTTACAGCTACTGTGATTTCCTTATTACCTATTTTACTTTTCAAATACTCTATCTCCCACTTATCTACAGCAGCCCAGTGTTTTATTCCATTCTTTATTACAACAGGAATATTTTTAGACACATAATTTCTATAAAATGTTAGAGCTGATATTACTGTATGTACCTCAGATACTTCTGTTGGTATATATAATTCTGAAAATAAATATTTCATTCGAAATTACTACTTAACCCTCGTATTAAAACAAGTGATAGTCAAATGAAGTACTTATATAAAATAAACCTTTCGATTCTTGAGACAAAGTACAAAATGCAGTTTCAAGTTTATCCTTTATTGATGTATTCATACTTTTATTTATATTATATATGAATCAAGTTTTTATCTAAGAATTAATATTTTGCGCATAAAAACGACGTGGACGCAAGTGTTGGGAAAAGTAATTTGTAATTCAACCGTACTTTTCTCCAACTAAAAATAAGTAATTTGTCTAATATGTCAAAGCTCTGATGAATTAATTGGAAAAATATAAAAAATATTGAAATTTTAGGTTTTATTATCTTAAATCACTTTTGTCTATATTCGTTGGGTGAACGCATGACGACAAATTAGCTATTCTTTTCGTAAACGAAACAAAACAAAATTAAAAATCTCAATATGTTTTAATGTTGGTAGGTACTGCTATACATATGTAACGTATATGTAACATACATATGTATGTATATGTAATATACATACAGATGTATACGTACACACAGTACAATGTGCAAAGCCGCAGAATAAAAACTAAGTTAAGGTACCAATAACCTAATTCGTCTCTGACATTAACATACCTATAGAAAAGTAAACGATGTTTTCAATCTAAAATTTGTTCATTTGATAAATATGAAAATGTTATAATTAATCAGTGTTGATGCTGTTTGCTGAAATGACGCAAAATATTCTAGATTTACTGGCAGAGCCTAGAATGACCAAAATTTGCGCTCCTATGGTTAGATACAGCAAGTAAGTATAAATAATGATTGCCACATAAGTATATATAATTTAACGCTAAAAATAATTGTAAAATTAACGAAATAATTGTTTTTCTTTCGTAAATTGACTCGAACATTATCATTAGGTTGCAGTTTCGAACCCTAGTAAGAAAGTATGGTTGTGACCTTTGTTTTACACCAATGATCCTAGCTGATTCATTTATACAATCTTCAAAAGCTAGAAATAGCGAATTCTCCACTAGCGAAAATGATAAACCACTAATTGTACAATTTGCAGCCAAAGAAATTAACGATTTTGTAGAAGCAACAGAACTGGTAGCACTGTAAGTATAATAATTATTTTTTTAGTCTTCATGATTATTTCTGTATACATTATTTATTATTCAAAACCATATAGGTATTCAAATGGTGTTGATTTAAACTGTGGCTGTCCACAAAGATGGGCAATGAAAGATGGTTATGGTGCAGATCTTCTGACAAAACCTCAGCTTGTGAAAGACTTAATTTCTCAAGTTAGAAATAGGATACCAAAACCATTCACAGTATCTGTAAAAATCCGTCTCCTAAAAGATATCAATAAGACAATAGAACTATGTCGAATGGTAGAGTCTGCAGGAGCATCTTTCTTAACAGTACATGCCAGAACACCTGATATGCGCAATGAACCTATTGATTTGGAAAATTTAAAATTCGTGAAAAGTTGCATACAGCTGCCAGTTGTTGCCAATGGTAATGTTAGATCTCTTAATGATGCAGAAGTACTGTATAGAGAATCTAAATGTAATGGTGTAATGGTCGCGAGTGGAATTTTGACTAATCCAGCTTTATTTGCTGGATATGCAGCTACCCCTACTGAGTGTATACAAGATTGGCTTGACATTACATCAACCATGGATATTCAGTTTTTATCCATGCACCATCATCTTGTTTTTATGTTGGAAAAAGTGTTGACAAAAAAAGAAAAGTTGATATTTAATGTTTTGAATAATAAAAACGATATATATGCATTTCTTAAAGACCGTTTTAATATTGAACCAAAAACGATTAGTGATAAATATAAAGTAACAGATTGTGAATATCAAATTAAGCCAAGAAAGTTCATCAAACAAAAGAATATTGAAGATGACTGTAATATAGATTTAGAAAATCTATTTATACAATAAAATTATAATTACGTGTTATGTATCTTTTTATCAATCTTTATAAGTTAAAAAATTGTACATTATTTTTTTATGATGTAAATGAGAAACATCGACAAGTACATACGAGATATTCAAGGTTTTTGTAAGGATGTGAATGAATGCATAATATATATATGTGTGTGTATATATATATAATAATAATAATTAAATGTATTTATTTTGAATTAAGTGCAATCATACCAATGTGACTTGTAAAAGCCTTTTCTTCCCTTTTCAAACTTTTTTTACAGAATCTTATTAGCAGTTTTAAAGTTACAATAAATACAATTGGTTTTTTTCTCGCAGTAATTGTTTTTTTAATTTGTGACAAATTTTCAAGAAAAAAGTTTCGCTGGCAGTACAGAGCTTTTGATCCAAACTGTAAGATATAAATTATAATTACTAAGGGAACGTATCATTACTTATAGAAATATTTGGTAAATGCATTTAAATGCTAGCCATCATAAATAATTGTCCGCTTTGTTATGCAAACAAAGATCGATTGGTGCATCAATAGATTCTAGAATCGTCTATCACTGCTGATAAGAATAACGAAATAATTTTATTTGGCGCATCGACTAAACGAACTGTTATGACTGCTTCGAGAAGACGACTCTGGTGAAAATATGTTTATGAAATTTGAGGATGGAATAGTTTTGTTATAGATAGCATGCTTATATTATGCTTCGAATTCAAATTCTATCACTTGAAATGACAAGAGTTGTTTAGAATGCAATCGAGTTTTCAAATATATATCATAAAAATATTGGCACCAGAGTTCCATATCGTTCGAATATTTAATTTTATACAACATTCTGTACAAGGATATTTTCATATTGTCTGATGCGAAGGTTTAGGAAAAATACTGATATCTTTTGTTTTAATTATTCTTCAATTTACAAAATTACAGTGCATCTCTGTACGTCGAGCAAATGTGCCAAAGGATACGCTTCCATTACTCTCAAGGGCAGAAATGCAATGAAACATGATAAATAAAAAAACAGCTATTCTCACTGCTTCATGTGAAATATGTGGAATTACATTTGTTTTCCATCGCACACTTTTCTCTGTCTCGTCCAGCGATAAGCTTTTCACTGCGCGAAATATCCTAGCGAGGAATCATCGTTGAGTTATACAATAAACATTTGAAACGCTTTTTTTCTACTAGCTCCACCTCTTTGGCTTGTGGACTTGTGACTGACCGTATATAATATAAATTATTATGTGTATATATACTTTTTTTCTTTTTAATCTACCATAGTAAAACTTTGCGTCACGCACTCTAGAATCTCTCGACAGTATTTATTGTTTTCTTATTTCTGTCGTGAAAAATAATTATTACAACGACACCTAACTTGATAGAAGGGAAAAGAGCATTAAACTGCATTTACTCTACACGTTTGCCTAAGTAGTTCTTGTTTTAAAACATTGAAGGTTTTGAATATTTTGTGAGATTCCAAGGTACACGAGCAAACAATTTGTTTCTCACTTTAAAACATTCACGCGCTCGATTCGATTCAGGCATCCTTTATGGTAATCATTCCGTGGAAAATGTTTTTGCATAACACCATTACCATGGATTGTTATTTTGACGAGTGATTGTTTATCTAAAGTAATATCATGGTGACAGTGAAAAGAAACCTTAATTACTAAGTTGCAGAAGCAGATACAATTAATTGTGACTGCTTACGTTGAAGCATAGATCGTAATGGATGTATATAGAATCGTAACGAGCTTACAGTTGTAGTATACATAAAACGACCGCCTTTGTACGGAATAGAAACAAAACACAAATTGCATTGAAATGACTTTTCACAAATAAATAGACTATCTAATGCGATTCAGCGACGACACAGCTATACCTTTTTAATCAACACAAACACTTGGGCGTTCTCGCTCTCGCTCTCTCTCGCTCTCTCTCTCTCTCTCTCTCTCTCTCTCTCTCTCTCTCTCTCTCTCTCTCTCTCTCTCTCTTTCTCTGCACACTTATACATAAATAATAAACGTAGTACAGGGTTTCAGCTTTAGAATAAAGGTATTGACAATGATTAGAACTGCTATACACATTTCGATTTGACTCTTTATCAGCAATCCTTCACCCAAGTATATTTACAACGCAAATAGTTGAGATCAGCCTCGAGCTTGCAAGCTTATCCTTTAGCAACGGGAAAGTATGGAAACACTCTACAAGGCAGAAGTGGCTTAAATATTCTGAAGAGACATCGAAAGAAAATGAAGTAGAAAGAAGAAAGAGAGCAAAGAAACGCGATCAAGAGAGCAACCAAACGCTCATCACTGCAAAGAAGCAAAGAAGCCGAAGCGATCGGTTCTGCGTGTAAAGTGCTCCACAGACAAGTAGCGCGCGAGTCTCCCTGTTGTACGTGCGTAGGCGCACAGCAGACTGAATTGTTCGCGCGCCGTTCCGCTCGTCCAGCCCTTGAGTACTAATTGACTAGCATCGTTCATCACTCTCACTCTTACTCTCATTCCGTCGCGAGCTCTGCTTTTGGTCGACTTTGCTGCTTTTGCTGCTCCGCTGTGCCGCCGTGCCGCCGTGCCGCCGTGCCGCCGTGCCGCCTGCTCGTTCCCTTGCGCGCGCAAACGGTAAACTCGACCAACTCGGTTCGTTGCGCCGAATAAACGACAGTCAGCGGACAGACGAGCGTCTGGCATCGACGTTCGCACGGACTTGCCTTTGCGATACAGCCCAATTTCGGCGCGTACAAGGACGGCTGAACGCGATGCTACGAGCGACCGCCACGACAGGACTAACTTAAGAACACAGTCGAATCCTCGAGACGAACTGGACGATCCGTCCGAGTGAGCTTACTTATTGGTACATCTCAAGAATCTCTCAAGGAATGCGAATCACAAGCGCAAGCTCGAGTGGACTGTCTCGGAACGTTTAAAAAACGGAAAACGAAGGCAAAAGAAGGCAAGAGAAGGCAACAGGCTGCGCATACCCGTTCCACTCGCTCGCTCTCTAGCTGTACAATATTTACAATGAACAACAACAGCACAGGCGCACGCTTTGCGATCGCAGCGCCATACAGAAAAATATCGCTCGTCCTCGCGCCTCGCGCCTAGCGTATCGCCTCTCGCTCCTTTCGCTCTCAGTCTTATCTCGATGGGGCGCTCCTTGGCCAGTGCTTCACCGTACCGCTCCGCCGCTGTGCCCAATGCTACACGCAGCCTCGTCTCTGGCGCGACGACGACGACGACGACGACGACGACGACGACGACGAGGGCTGCGGCTGCGGCGGCGGCGGCTCTGGAGCCTCGCGTTACGTCACCCTCATCACCGGGTGGCCGTAAGCGAAGCTCACCTCGCGTCATGGGTAGTCCGGGTGGAGCAGGTTGTACATGACGGCGAATATCGTGCAGGCGGCGTACACGCCCAGCGCCACCCACCAGAGCAGCTGCTCGTGCAGTCGCTGCTCAAAGTTCTTGAGCACCAGCAGACCGATCGTCAGGCCCGCCAGCGCCCCGGTCAAGTGCGCCACGTACGAAACCGGCGGGCCTGCCAGTTGTTCCGACGCCGAGGCGTAGGCCACCGGCGGTCCCAGCTGCTCGGCTGCGTACCTGTCGTAGATGGCGAAGCCCACGTCGGCGCTCGCTGAAACAGTCGGACACCAGACCGTATTAACTGTCTTGGCTGCGATTGTCGCTTGACAAGGTACAAACGGCAGGTTTCGCTGTGCTCGCTGGCCGAACGAACGACCGATCGGATATCGATCGAGTGCATTGCAATCGAGAATCTCAGCGTCGATTGGCCAAGGCTTGTCGAGCCTATTGGCTAGGCACAGCACTTGCTGTGTAATTGGCTGCGAAAAGTGCAGCTCGGACTGATCAAGCACGACTGGCCAATGACACCGACACGACACGAGCGTCCGCGGAGGGAATGAGGAGAATTCGGGCGAAAGTCACTCGAGACTTACCGATGATGAAGATGCCGATGAGGCGCACGATGCCAAACTCCATGTTGTTGTAGTTGAGCATCACGTTGGCGAGATGCGCGGCCAGCAGTGCGTACACACCGCCGCTGGCACCCACCAGGCACACGTCCGTGTCGAAGACTGATGTACCCAGAGAACCTGCAAGTGAACGTTGAGCGAGCGTCAGTCGAACGTTGCACGGGTCGGTTGATCGTCATAATATAATTTGCGCGATTGACCAGCAACGGCAGATTATTCATTTAACATTTGGACAAGAACTGCAGCAGAGAAACAAATAGAGATGCAGTCTTGATCCGCGTTTTCGTTGCATCCCTTTGACTGGTCGAAGCGACCCACGGGCGTCAGTTCGACTCAGCTTGTCTGCATACTTTACTTTTTATTTTTGTTCACTAAATAAATAAACGTTCGGAGAAAAATCCAACACCAGACGAACTTGAAGCTTGGCTCGGGCAATAGCGATGAATTAACAGCATCGCGGTATTATCATTGCCAATAGTGATGGTCACGAGTGGTGGTCCGTTTGGCATGCGAACACGACGACGATATTGGAGTAGCGCAAACACGCGCTCTTAATTAATGGTCAATGCCGGCGCGTAAATCGTAATTTCGAACAGATCGAGCGAGATTGTCCGGGCATAAGATCGACGACGCAAGACTGTACGATGATCGTCCGGTCGAGTGGCAAACGGTCCTTTGGTCCTTCTGGAAAGACCGCTGAGAGACGGCAGAGCCGCGAGCGAAGTCTGCTCGATCATCCGCGCGAGAGCGCAAGAGGAAGAAACGTGAGCGACGAGCTCTCATCAATTCGGGGCACCATTACGACTCGGACGTGGACGAAGCCGGAGGCATCGATGCAAGCGCATTAGCCTTCGCAGCGGTGTGGCTTCGGATGTCGATTTGGATGCCGATTCGGATGCCGATTCGGATGCCGATTCAGATGCCGATTCGTGTCCGATCAACAGGCCAAGAAAGCTCGTGAACAACTCATTGGGTTATTGTACGGTTGCGACAATCCGCGACCGAGTTGATAAAGAGCATCTGCTTTGAAAAAATAAAGAAAGCTATAACGATCGCACCGTTTTCCGTGGCGCACGGTATACGCGCTCTTTGGCGCTCTCAAGAACACAACCCCCCTTCGACCTTTCTATCTCTCCGCGCGCACGAGCCACGCTTGCCTCCGTTTCGCCTGCATTTTTTCGTACTTTGTCGTTCGCCCGTTGCTTCTTACATCTCGAATCGCAGCACTGGTTGCACTTTCAAACGACAATTACCGCGCGATTTACGCGCGATTTACGCGCGATTTACGCGCGATTTACCTGCGATTCATGCACGGACAGACTCAAAATTCTCTGGCTTTTTGTTTCCTCAAAGGCGAACGAGCATGCTGTTATTTTCTGCATTCGACGTCGCGTCCAAAGGATATTTACAAAACTATCCCGCACGGAAAATTTGCCAATATTTGTTTGTTCGCGCGCATTTTTTTTTTGGTTGATTGAAAGGAACGTCGGTAAAAAACAGAAAATAACCCCCCCCCCCTCTCTCTGCCGGGGAGGAAAATACTTTGAGGGCTCTCTTTTTATTGACTTTTCCGGAACATCGATACACGTATATATCTGCACGAACGAGCGCTGCTTCACTGCGGCGGAAGTGATCCGATGCGGTCGAATGCAGGATGAGAGACTTGTTTTTTCTTTCCTCTCCTGCGAATGGTGAAACAGTGTTGCCAAAAAGAGAGAGAGAGAGAGAGAGAGAGAGAGAGAGAGAGAGAGAGAGAGAGAGAGAGAGAGAGAGAGAGAGAGAGAGAGATGAAAAAAGGCAAAATAAAGCGTGAAATGAATTGTCACGTGGTCGGGGCGCGCGTAAACCGACTTGAACCGGCGGAATGTCGGTTCAAGTCGGCATGAATAACACGTCGGTAAATATTTTCCTTGTTAGCGCGGCAGTATTCACGGGCAAGGCGATAACGCGATCTGTTCGAGTTAAAATGGAATAAGAACGGGGCGAAAAGCAACGTTTCGTTGATCCGAGAAGAAAAGTAATCCAGAGCGAATCTGTTTCTGTCTACAAGCGAATGAAGATTAAAGAGAGTTATTTCGTGGGAGGATAAAAGAATGAAAATGAATCGTAATTGGCCGAAGGATACGAGAAATAATTGTTAAGCAGGGCGCGCGCGTTGGCGCGTTCGCGCGCTCGCGCGCTCGCGGCGGCATAAGCGAGATAGATAAGGATCGGCCGTGGGAAATTAGGAAAGTAGGGACGGAATATACGACGCGCGACTCTTATCTCTCTCGTATGAAAGTTGGGCTACACAGGTATAGGTCTTTTACCAAAGAGATAATACATGGCGCCTTATCGCGCTCTTCTTGGTTTTTGCCGTTGTCTGTTTAACAAACAGACTCGACCTACATCGAGCTACATCGCTGAGCGCTGTTGAGCTTTATATTCCGTTCGACGAGAGCCGTGGCAGGCAGTTGCGTAGAGTACTCGCGGACCAGGATCAGCGGCCAACTGAGGCCTTTCGTTTTGTCTTGTTGTGGCGCACGAGCGCGTGCGTGGCATTGTGCTGGCGACAGGCCGCGGTGGGCGCCTTTAATCGAAACTGCAGAGAGAAGCCCACGGTAAACTAATTTAAGTTATAATTGCTTCGACAAAATAAAAAGACTCGGCTCAGTCGTGCGCGTTATTATGACGCGCGACGTCGGTTCAAGTTGGAGCTTGCAAGTTTAATTAAAAATCCGGCGGTGGCGAGCGCTCGCGTTAATTGTTTCGTCGCTCGCCAATCGCTCGGCAAACTCACCGGCGAGCACACCGGCCATGTACACGGCGGCGATCCTCAGGCTGCCGTGCACCATCTCCAGCGGTAGACCCACGACCACCTGCACGCCCAGATTGAACAGCAGGTGGAGCCATCTGAAACAAAAACCAGCACGTCTGGCTTGAGTTGTTTGCTCGAAGCGCGTACGACGTACGAAACCTACGACCAAATTATCGGCGAGCGACTCGTTGCCAATAGCAGCTTCGATCGTTCTCGCGTGACGCACGCTACTTCGATGGCGCGCTAGCTTCCATCAAAAACCAGATATTTGACCGACGCATCCGCCGCCGATTCAGTCGCCAAAACACAACTTCACAGCTCGATCGGTCGATCGCCTACAACAGCACTGCGCGAGCAAACTGTCATAGGTGTGTGCAAAGAAACGTTTCGGCGTAGAGTTGGACTGACGTTCGTTTGCTCTAAACAACCGAAAATGCCCACTGAGACGGATCGCGATTGGGACGATCAGTCAAGAGTAGTAGCGTCTAAGCGTCGCAGAGTTGAAAGCATTTCTCGTCGTCGCGAGAATTTTTGCCTGGCGCATTTCGCCGAGTGGAAAACGGATCAATCCGTGCGGTGGGCTGCCAGCGAGAGAGAGAGAGAGAGAGAGAGAGAGAGAGAGAGAGAGAGAGAGAGAGAGAGAGAGCGAACGAGACGCTCGCAGTTGGCGAAATGGAAAGTTGCCTGCGCGAAAGAGAGAAAAAGAGAGCGAAAATGTCGTTTGAAGCCGAGCGAGGAGTTTTCGCGTCGACGCGCTCGCACTGCACTTTCCATTTATCACCCAGAGACAAGCCTACGACTCGACAACTCTCCGTTCTTTTTTCTTCTCTCACGGTAGCGGCACTTGTGCTTATTTCTCTCTTGTTCCTTTTCTGCACGCATCGCTGTTTTTCCGTTCGTTTGTCGCTCGATTCATTGCCGATTGATTCGTTTGATTTTTCTAGTATAGCCACGACCCTGGAGGCAGCATTCGTTTCTCGTTAGTCGCGCATCGATTAGCGTTTTCACTGGAATTTTATCATTTCAACAATGGGAATCTACTTTCGAGTATGGAAATGAAAGGGAAGGGAGTGTGAGTTTGTCGAGAAAAAGCAAACAAATGCAATTGAAAGGTAAGCGTGGAGCAATTGATTAGGAGCAAGGCACGAAGGAAGCAAGGCTAAACGCAAGGCGTATCCCAATAAATTATTCAATCGAGTTGTGTTCGTGGTTCGTGCGTTGGCTCCAAATTCGCAGTTTGCTCTCGCGTTTTCTCGTTAGCGCCGTAACAAGCTGCCTCTTATCTCAAACGCCAAAAATCGAATGTGTGTCCGCTTCTTTCGCTCTCTCGCGGGCCCATGAGTTCCACAGGGCGCTGCCCGTATAAGCCTCGTTCTTCGCTGAGCGTTGCGCTACGAAGGGCTGGTCGCTGGCCTTTTCAAAGATTCAACAATTCTAGATTACACGGAGCCAGCGAGACGACCAGGCAAATCGAAAATCGATGCGAATTTGCCAATTGCTGGAACCCAGAGAAAAGATAAAAAATATCGGCAATACTCCGCGCCCCATTAGTCGATGCAATCGTCTAATGGAGCGAGAGTCCCGTGGTATTACCGTGGCGCGTAGAATATACTAATGGATTGCAAACAAAGAAGAACGCCACGGGCGGGCGCGCAACGATGCCTCAGCCTTAGCCATTAGATAGGGCAGTGTATTAACCGATTGCCTTAGTGCGCTTATCGTGTTTTGCTTTATTTTCGCACGTCCGTCGTCGGTCGCCATCCCCGCGCCGAAAGCGTTTGAATAAACAATGCTGCCGCGGCGTGTCGTCCTGATTTTCATAATTGCGCCACTTTACGGTGCAGCCTAATGCGAAAGCCGATAGTCGAATAAAGAAGGCAGCGAGGCGGCGTCGAAGAAGAATGAAAACGAGCCGTTGGCGCTCTTCCTGCGGCCCGGGAGCGTAATGGCCCGAGCGCCTGGCTGCTCTGCGCATAATCGCCTATATAGGTCGTATCGGAGGCGCATCATTATTCAAATGTACGCGGGTCCAGGAGCTTCCGGCGCAGCATTTCACTTCCGCCGCGGCCTCGCACTCCACTCCCTAGCTTGCTTCCCTGTTGCCCAGGGGCCACAGGTGCGCGCCGGCAGCGGACCAACGATTCACGGCGCCACTGCAGCTTCGCTGTTGCGCACGCCGCGCCGTCAATCGGCCGGCTCGATAAGCCGCCGTCCGATCGGTGCACGCCGCCGCCGCCGCCGCCGCCGCCGCCGCCGCCGCCGCCGCCGCTGCCGCCGCCGCACACGCGGCCTGGCTACTTTCACACGGGAAGCGACAAAAATGCTCGTTCTCAGCGCCCGAGAAAGAGAGTCGATCGCGCGCGCGCGCGCACTGCCGGCTCTTCTTCTCGCAGCCAAAATCGCAACGAGTCTTATTTTCAAAGCGACGCGTCTGCCAGCATCCCATTCAAAAGTCGCGTGCGCGCACGCGTTTCCTTGGCTCGCGGCGCTGCTTCCGCTAATTAGCGCCGCTAAACCGCCGTTCTCACGGGTCGAGGCGGCGCTTTCCTACCTGCGCGTCGCGGCACTTGCCCGCGCAGCTTGTTTGGGTATCGCTGGCAATCGGTTTATCGACGCGCGAGAAAATCCACGCGCGAATGTCAGCGACAAAGGCGTGCGAACGCTGCCCGGATGCTCGATCTCTCCCTCCCTCCTCTCGGCGATTGCGCAATTGTTATCGGCCAACCTTAGCGCCTCGCGCGCACGACTCCCAGCCGCGTATTTTTCTCGACTCTCGCGTGACCTGCGAGCGCGCCGCGCTGCAAATCTGCATACGATTATCGCTCTCTCTCTCTCTCTTCACGCTTTCGTGCGTGACTCACATTTCTCTCTCCAGCCCGCCCTTCGCTGCCAATCGTCATTTCAGCGCCTGTTTTTGCTGTCGGCTTCAAAATCCTAACGCGTGTTTCCGAGGCTAAGTGAAAAGTCTATTAATCAATTGAACGGACGCGGCGCTACGGCGCTACGGCGCTACAGCGCTACGGCGCTACGGCGCTACAGCGCTACGGCGCTACTGTCGCCAGAAGAAAAGTTTCCGCGGAAGAGGCGAAAAGATGCTCTTCCTTGAGCTTCCGTACGAGTGGAGCGTTTCACGGCGAGTACTGGGCAATGATGCGCCATCCTCGCAGGTACGAGCTAAGTAATGACGTCGCGGCGACGGTCTATGCTCTTCTAAACAAGAGCCCATCGAAGAGAAAGGTCTTTGTGGCGTTGTTTCGCATCGCTGCAAGGAGCTGGTTGTGGCTAAAGCTCTTTTTAAATACGTACGCTTGGGCAAAGAGACACGAGCACACGAGAGACAGATCGCGGAAAAAGAAGCCGCAGCGAGGCGCACTGTGTCGCACACCAATGATCGTCGTCGATAATCTGACCGGAGAAAAGCAAGTTGCGCGCGCACCCTCACAAATTTCGAAGTATTCGCGCGAAAGTATTCCAAGAGATGCCGAACGACCACGGCGCGAGGCAAAGTGCGAGTGTACTCACCCAGCGTGAAGGAACATGTAAAAGGCGAACCTCCAGAGTTCAAGCCGTTTGTCTGGTCGGTAGATGAATACACTGTCGATGGGGACCGGCCCCGAAGGATTCACTTTACCCTTGACCACTGTGTAGTAGGTGAAGAAACCCAGCTGCAACAGACGAACAAGTTGGGCATCATTATTCGATCGTTCGTTATCAAGAGGCATAGAGGTAGGTGTCCCAACGATCGGTGCAATCTGTAAGATAACGGTGCCACGACATTGGGCGTCGCGATGCCGGCTTGAAAAATTCCAGCGGAAAGCTGCTACCGGGCCAGAAAACGGAACTCGAGCGCACTCGAGCCTCGCTTATCTCCGCCGCGCGTTGCCCTTTTCGGCGCGGTGTTCATTGGCGAGTTGCCGTTGTCGTGCCGTTGTCGTGCCGTTGTTGGCGCTGGCTGCAAACCATTGCGCAACTCCAGCTCCCGTCCAGGACTGACTTCGCAGCAGCAGCACCCCCCGCTGTGCTCTAGCTCTCTGCATTGACTGATGCATCAACTGGCGATTATGCGGATGGCCCGACGAAGCTTTACCAGCACCCCCATCGCTCATGCTCCATTGTACAAACAAACGTCGCCAAGTGGAGCGCTTTATCATAAAGCAGCGCGAGCCGTCTAACTGCTGACACTTGACGAAAGATGCGTGCGATACGAGCAACCCCGACTGCACGAAACATAAACTTATGCTTTTACGACGGGTAATAACAATTTTCCAACGCTGAAGCTGGAATAACGGAAGCGATTGGTCGGACGCGATAACGTCGACGTCGACGTCGTAACCGTTTCTCTTATTCGCCCAAAATCTCACGGGGGAGGCTGTGTAATGCTTGCCACAGCTCGTCACAATACCACAGACGCTACGTCGTTCTTTTCCATGCAACCTACCTCTCAACAATCACGAACGTACTATTTTGTTTATTTTACTACGCGCATCGTTTTTATTTCACGAGTGCGATGATTAAAACGTTGTTAGGTTGTTTCCTACAAATCATTCTTTTATACTTCATTCTTGAAAAAAAAATTACAAATTCTTTTGGCTGTAACTTTTTTCATTAAAATAACGATGGGCATCTTCTTTCTTAAGACTATATATATAAAACTTGAGAAATTTATGTTACCTTTTTTTCGGTTCAAATATGTATTCATATATTTTACCCATAAACTTATGCATATCCTCAAGCGTTGGAAGGAATAGGTACATGTACATAAGAAAAAAGTCAAGAGAGAGAGAGAAAATAGAGAGCCAAGATTGAAGAAAATGAATAAAAAAAAGACGAAAGAAAAGGCCTGCAACTTTTTTCCTTCTTGAGTAAGAGAGAGAGGGAGGTCGACAGCCGCACGCAGCGATAACGCTGTTAGGTATGCAAATTAAAGCGCGCGCGGATGAAGTTCCGCGGGGTGGAAGAAAAGTTTTTTTTCTATTTGCGCGTAATCGAGGCGATGATAAGTCGGAGCTTTTCTCGTAGCGGCGAGACGCACACAATGAACGATGAGAGTAAATCCGATGTACTACTCTCCGAAGGAAGTATGTTCGTTAGCCAACTTTTTTCTTGAAGCTGATGAAAATTTGATTAATCAAGCTTACGCCAGAGAAAAAGTAGTCGGTAAGAATCTTGGAAGTTGAAATCGAGATGAGCGAGTTCCTTATTTTTCTCTTTTTCTCGAAGCAGAACAAAGAAAATATTGGTATCGTCTGGTGATTCAAAGGAGGAGAGCGTTTGCACGTTCGCATTGAAAGCGATTTGTTTAGCGACAGGAATTTGCGCCAGTGGAGCGAGTCAGCGTCCGGTCAGGCATTAGTACGCGAATATCCAATAAGGGCGCATTGACGGTAAATCAAAAAAAAACAAATGGCTTAATGAATAGCCGAATAATTGGCGGTATTGAGCGTGAAGAAACAAAACCGTCATCAATAAAGTGCCGGGCAGGGGGGGGGGGGCTGAGTTATCGCATCGATAACAAACGATCGATTTAATAGTCACACAGCCAGTGCAGAGCCAGAGGCGGCGTGCGATTATTCAAATGCAATCGCGCTTGCGATTCTTGCGCCTCATTTGGCCAAACAATGGGAATTATGCGTTGCCTATATAGAAAAGCTCCTTTCCGCTGGCTCAGCTTTCAGCTTGCCGAATATCGGATAAATGCGAACGAGCATACAAAGGACGCCGAATGGGCCAAAAAATTTGGCGAATCATTGTCGTGATTGTTGCTGAATGTTTCGTTGGCTATCGAACAAGTGCAGCGATTGTTGGTCGAACGGGAAAGCACGTCTAGGTAGTAAGCTGGCGAGAGACAAGCCAAAGATCTGACTTGAAAGTTTGGCCTTGAGCTAATCGGATTGGGCGGTATCGAGTGACGATTAGCATCGCCGAGGAGGGAGAGCAAAAGAGAGAGAGAGAAGGGGGGGGGGGAGGAGGCAATGATCGGGGTAGAGAAGCAAGCAAGTGAGCAGGTTGCCGGCAACTGGGCCAAACAGTGGCAGAAACGCGCGGTCTGCATGTAAATTGGACGCGCGAGCAAGTTTGTCGCGCCTCCCTTCCGGCCAACTTGGGCTAGGATTCTAATCTGAAATTCGGCCGAAAGAGGAGAAAGAAAAGAGGCAAGCAGGCGAAGCTGCAGTCCGCGGGAGGCCCAAGGATGTCGCTACTGTCGTGAAAATTACTCGTCGACGTCGACGCTTCGAGAGTTATTATCGAGTTTGCGAGAGGATGTAAGTTGCCAGGGGAGGGCAAAGCCGCGGCAGAGGACTTGCCTTATCTTATCTCGCGGCGGTTTCGCCGTAGTTTCTCGCTGCTGCGCGATGATGTATTGCATATATTATCCGTATCGCGTTACGCGCCCGCGCGTCTAAAGGCGCCAACTGTTATAACAATGCTTCCTGCGATGTTTGCGAGTGCCGCTGCTTTCGCTCTCTCTCTCGCCGGCTGCTAAGTTTATAATTGATACCGCGTGCGCGCAGCTACCGCCAACTTTCGTGCCAATATTCCAATATTTGGTGGCAACTGCTTTCTATTGCCCGCTTTTCCGCGAAAATCAAGTCGATCGATCTCGACCGAAGGGGAGAAATTCTCGGGACAACCGAGAGAGCAGCGACTAGCGGCGGCGCGCTAAAGCCGCCAAGTCGCCAGGCCACTGTACTGCAAAAGAAGAGCCAGGCACAGACCGCAACGGCCAGATGAAATCCGGCCTTAGTTAACCGATTCCGCTTCTCCGATTTGACACATGTACGTAGACGTTCTTTCAATGAAAGCTGTCGTCTATGGCGCGAACGCTCGCAAGTACGAGATTTCTGTAGAAACTGCAGAAAAGGAGGCGGCTCGTCGATGCCTGCCTGCAAGGAGCACAGAGCGCAGTCATGTAATCGCCGAGTTACGCATCCAGCAAGAGGCAGGGCGCGCGCGAGCCACTGAAAGAGAAATGGAGCGGGAAAGGATGTATCTTGCTGCCTGCTCCCGGACGAAAATTGCCCGGACAAATTGAAAATCCTTTATCGAGCTGAAATCGCCGGAGCAGATAATTGGTGTGAGCAGCAGTGGCGCTATTCTTATGCTTCTTTTATGGGTGCGACGAGCGTCGTTTATTGCCGCTTCCATACGTGCCGGCGCGTAAATGTCGCTCGAGCGCGACTTGCGAATCTGCCGCCTCGGGAACGCCGAGAACTCGCTGGGTCTTTTGGCTCGCGAGAAAGTTTGCCGGGCTGGCTGCGAGCCTGGATCGGCGAGTTCCAGTTGCGATTCGTCAAGCGCTAGGAAGGGCTGGGCCCGCGAGCGCCGAGAATGAAAAACGAGGCGAATGCGAAGGCCGGGAAGAGGGGGAGGAGCACGGCTCAGCCACAATTAGCATTAACGAATGCAAGGAATTTAATCTCCCCCGTGAAATCGCAGTGCATCTCGCGTATTTGTGGGAAAAGCGAGCCTCTCGGCCAGCGCTAATTAGTCACTTTCTGTCTCCCTTCCTGCCGCCTTATCGGACATTTCCATCGGCATGTAAGCCCGTCCGACATCCGAGAACGCCCAAAGGCTCATCGGTCATAGCGAGCTATCGACAATCAATGCCTAGGCGCGCTTATCGGCTGCGGCAATTAAGTTTGCAGTTGCGCGGAAAGCTGACCGGGACGTTTGACTAGCCGGACGGCTGTTACGGGCGCGAAAAGGCCTTGGCGCTAATCTAAAAATGCGAATAGCGCTGAATGGCCCACGGACACGCGACGAGCGCCGGTTGGCTTCTGCTCTTTCGTCGCGAATGGCTGGTCTTCTGGGCGCCCGTGCCTCGAGCTTATCGGGCCTTTTCATCTTGGTCGCAACGAGGAGAAGAGTGCACCAGCCACGCGTGGGCCCATCAGAGCTTGGTGCGCCAGCAGGCCGCGACAACGGCTCGCGATATTGGCCGCCTCTTATCGTCTCTGATTGTAGAGCAGCGGCTCCAGCGGCTCCAGCGGCTCCAGCGGCTCCAGCGGCTCCAGCGGCTCGCTTCTATACTGTAGATTACAGATTGTTATCTGTCGTTTTGGGGCTCTCCGGGCGCACAGCGGGCTGTGCGCACGGTCGGCCAGGCCGAAACAGAGCTCGACTGCACCAAGAGCAGTCCTCGGTGCGCGCAGGAGCCGCGCGGCCGCTAATCGAATATTCAAATCGAAATTCAATCGAACGTCCTCGCAGATCCGAGCTGGTCTGCGAAGCCAATCAGAGGCTTCTTTGTGCTTCTTTGTCGCCAGTCGATTTATCGTCGTGGCTGGCGCTGCTTTTTCCGCGGCGCCTTATCTAAACGCCCCATCAAATTTATATTTATTCCAGCGCCAACGAAGCCAGCGGGCAAGGAACGACAAATGGCCCTCGTAATTCCGACTAATCTCGCGCGCTGTCTGCCCTCCTGTCGATCTGGCTTTGTTGCGCACGCCTCCGCTTCCTTTCTGATCTCGCTCTCGCCGCGACGATTCGGGAGCAGGGTTGCCGCTCGCGCAAGCTGCCGGCAGCTGCAACGAGCTCTATTTTCGATCGCGATTGCAACGCGTCTTCGGGAATAGGTCCGCCTGCAGCCGACGCTCCCCGGCTCGACGAACTTGACCAAGTTTTCGGCGCGTTCCGTCTCTTCTCCCAACTAGACGGGACGCTT